TAAGCTAGATTCGTAGGTGTTACTGCAAACTGGCAGCGAAGTGCAGTACAGATCCAGACTTGATAGGTTGGATTATAAAGAAAAAGATCCATAATTAATGAAGAAGCGATTTATAGAATTAGGTCAACCTGGTTACTCCTTTTAAAACGAGAGAAAAGAAGAAAGAAGGAAAAGGAAGAGAGAAAAGGGAAAAAAAAAAAAAAAGGAGTTACTATGCAATTGCGCTACGACGCGATCGCGCCATGACGCGCGACACGATACAATAATCCCGATATAGTCAGTCATGGTTCTCTATATCATATTACCGTTATAGAAAAGGAAGAGAAAAAGGGGCTTAAAGAAAGAGACGGGGATCCTTTTCTCTCCCCGTAGAGCCACGCACCGAGGACCACGGGAGCACACACCGGGGACCAATCAGCGGGCGAGTAAATCCATTGGAGGTCCGATGGATTTGAGCCTAGGGACTAGGGGTTCGTAACAATAAATAATTAATATATTTAATTTTTCAAATAATAATATGTCTATGTTAATGATAAATTTTCACACAAAAATTGTAAATATCAATTTTTATAATAAATGTTATTGTATTATGTTTTTTGAATAATTGAATAACATAAATAAAAATTTATAAATTATGAATTATTTATATTGTCTTGAATAGTTTTTTGTTTAAAAAATATGAATTTTGATTTATAAAAAAACATTTGATAATTATATAAAGAATTTAAAAATTATTAAAATTTTATCATAAATAACCATCAATCTAAACCCAATATTTCAAATAGTTGAATTTGATTTGAAAATAATAAAGGATTAAAACAAAAATAATGATTTTTAGATTATTATAATTGAAAAAAAACAATAATAATAATGATAACATTAATAATAACAATAATAATAATTATTAATAAATTATTAATAAATTATTAAAATTAAAAAAAAATTATATATAAATAATTACAATAATTAAATTTTGTATTATATTCGATCGTTGTCAATCTCAATTAATTTATATATTAGTTAACAATTGAATTGAGATAATATGATTTTTAAATGTTTTATAAAATAAAACAAAAATAATAATAATTTAAATTATTTTATTATCTATATTTAAAAAACATAAGAATCCGTTTGAATTGAAAGATATATTTAAATTTAAATGTTTGAAATAATAAAAATTTTTTAATTTTTAAATGAAAATTGCAAAAATTAAATTGATTTAAATCTTTTGAATGATAATAAAAAAATATTAATTATATTTTTGTAAAAAAAATTGTGATAAAATTATAATCTAATTGATTGATAAAAAAATATTATTAATATATAGATTTGATATTAAAAAGAATTGCATTGGAAAAAATATTTATTAAATCTAATTTTTTGTAAGACCCTCGCGATATATATCTAGCTACAAGACCATTCGCGGATGACTCAGCTGCGGGCTGAGTCATCGCACACATAGAACCCATCCTCGCGGAAGAACCACGTTGGCTTCTTCAGCGTTAATCTACCATATTGACCTTATTCTTGAAATGATACCTCGCGACACCTGTTTCTTAGTCATTATTACCTTTCACACCTATCGCAAACCCCTTAGAGACCCAAGGTCCTTATATTTTTGTAATTTGTTATTTATAAATGAAATTGAAAAAAAAAAATATTACTGATAGACAGATTCAATAATAAAAAAAAATTATATTGAAAAAAAAATATTTGTTAAATCTGATTTTGATAATTGTTATTTATAAATAAAATTAAAAAAAATATATTTGTTGAATTGTTTCAAAAAAATGATTTGTTTATAAAATAAAATTGAATTGGATTTTATACTTTTTCAATATTAAAAATAAAAAATTAATAAATAAATTAACTATTTTGTTTTTAAAAGATTGACAAATTGATTATCTTTATTTCTAGAAAAATTGTAATTATTTTTATTTATTTATATTATTAAATATAAATTTTTCAATATGATGTGAATTGCATTTTATATAAAATATAAAATAATATTAATGTAATTTATACGAAAAAATTAAAAAAAATAATAGTTAATTAATTAAAAAATAATCAATTATATATTTTTCATTTAATTAATGAAATTTGTTATTTTTTATTATTTTATAAATGTGATTGTTTTAATATAAAAATATATTAAATTAAAAATATTTATATTTTACAATTTTTGAATGTTATTGCACAAAAAATAATTAAAATGATATTATAAATAAAAAAATGATTATAATAATGATAATAATTATGATAATCAAATATTAATTATTGATAAAAAAATAATAATAAATTAAACAAATGTAATGACAAACACAAAAAAAAATTTAAATAAAATAATTTTATTTTTTTAAACAAAATTAAATAATACAAAAATTATATCGGACAAAAATCATAATTTAAAAATTAAACAAAATATATTAAATTATATAATAATATCAAATAAAATTGATTGAATAATATAGAAATGCTAAACAAGATTGATTGAATAATATAAAAATATTATATAAAATTAATTGAAGAAAGCCGAGATAAGATTGAGAAAATATGAAAGATGAAAAAATATACACAAATATTAGACAAAATCATGTTTATGTCAGAAAATGCGCAACAGGATCTGTATGGGCAATTGTAATCTGTGAGGCGCTCTCGCGCGGGGGCGGCGAAGGGTTTATCTAGGTTTTTATGTTGAATAGATGTAAAACAAATAAATAGAACAACATAAGAAACGCATAAAAATGATAAAAAATCGCTTAAAAATTTTAGAATAGAGAAATTAAATCGATAAAATCTAGATTTTGACAAAATATATTATCAAATTGTAGCCGCGACAAATAATTAATGAAATTGATAGATTGAATTAATAATAAATAAAATGATTGATAAAACTAAAAGGATTGTCAAATTGGTTACTGTGAAGTGGGTGACTGCTAAGAGAAATTATACAGATTTTAAATGCAGTAGGGGAGACGACATGAATCATTTGCGCAACGCACCGTTCCGCTGAGCGTGGCGAGCTTCATGGGAGGCGGATGCAACATTTAAAAGCTTGTAAAAAAACGTAAAAAAAATATTCTTAAATTAAAAATAAAACAATTGGTTTGAAGGACGATGACTCATTAACGATGCCATCATCTGGACTGTGGCAAGTCTAGCCATTTAGGACAGGTGGTGGTAGAAGGCAGTAAACTAAGCAATAATAATTTTTAATTTTATTAAATAAGATAGTATAACATATTTCGCAAATCACAACGCGTATTGGATCTTATTTGTATTCAATCCAGGGCTCATTCCCCAGACTGCTATGTGTTAGGCCCAATCAACAGCGTCAAACGCTTGAATGTAATAAGATTCAGGTATTTCCTTTCGCCCTACTTCCTTATATATATTGTAATGATGCTAGGTAGCGTTGAAACGGAACATGTGCCATAAAGATATACTGGTTCTTATTCCCAGAGGTCCATCTGTTCTTTAATCTTGCATGAATGGATCTTTGTAGGCCGATACTCTAGGTACACCTTATTATTGGTCTTGTCCTCAGAGATTGGTGGCTCGTGCGTTTGTACCATCACCTAGACCCCTGCCTTTACAGGTGCTCCTCCAAAAAGCTCAGCACTGTCTTATAACCTCTCTCATACTCCTTGCGCACCTCTCCGTCCTCCAGATTAGACCGCGCCGCCATCCACCCGTGGATCTGGGAGGCAAAGGTCTCGACGTGATTGGGGACCTTTAGGTTAGCCTGGTAGGCGGCTACATCTTCGGCGGGCTCGTCCCCAGACGCCAGCAGGGCCATGGGAACGGTCACCTCAGCGGCATCGGCTGGGTCCACCATCGCGGGGTGGCACTGCACCGCGGCCTGGAAGATGGCATTGTCCTTGCCTGCACTGAGACTGGCAATCTTGCCGCCCCAGCAGTGGCCGACAATCGCCCACTTCGCGTATCCAGTGCCGCTGGTGGCCGTCTTGTTGGCCTCGTTGACGATACCGGGGATCCGGGCGAGGGTCTTGGGCGGCACCGCTTGCGTGGAGAAGAAGGTCGTCAGGTTTTGGGTTTGCTCCTCGGTCGTCGGAGGATACCACGAGATGTCGGCGGATTTTCCCTCGAAGAAGTCCGGCATGAAGACGCGATACTTGCGGCGAGGGCTGGTGGCGAGAATATCGGCGCCTTGAATGGTTTGAGGGAAAAAGCCGAAAATGTCTGGTTCACGATAAAAGATCAACGATCGATAGGTCCGTCACTCGGTCAATATTATGTTCGGTTGAATTCCTGTCCACCGTCTATTTGACTATCGACGGATTGTCGGGGCTACGTACCATAGATGAGAAGGATCGCCTCGGTTGCGGATTCGGGGCCAGTAACGTCTGCGGTCAAGGATCAATGGGAGGAGGTACATGTTAACGGCAGTAAAGGAGGCTGATACATACAGGTCTTCAGGCCATTGAGGGTGGTGTACTCGCCCTTGGGTTCGTAGCCCTTGGACACTACCGGAGGAATGCTGCAGTTGAATATTTAGCTTTGCACCCTGTCGATATCACAATTGAGGTAGGGGGCTCACGAGCAACAAGCCTGGCTGATGGACGACATTTTATTCAAAATTTAAGGTCTTGACAGATTTAGGATTGTGAGCAAGTCGGACTCTATGGATCAAAGGGGGATTAGATATTTTTCTCCTCTTTTTTTTTTCATGATTATTTTTTATCTTGCTAAGCAACCGCTATTAGTAGCTCTGAAGGATCGATTGGGTTCTCCGAAATCTCGGCGACAACAGCCGATCTCCAAACCTAGCTTCGGTGGGAGTGGCCGAACACGTCAATTATCATGACAATCCCTGGTCTGAGTGGCAAGGTAGTGAATATTGATGGAGACAGTCATGACTAGTACCACTCAAATTGGTGGCTCCACTCTCTATAAAGCCAGGTCTCGGGTCCCGTGCGCATAGCGTTTACTACCGTTTGTTTCCCATCTGCCACTGGTCTTCTACTACGACCAGCAGAATGACATTGCTGGAGCTTCCCCAGTCCAACAACACCGTGGAGGTTTTCCTAGTCGATTCGTATGTTCCTCCCTGCCCGTCTTCTCCCCGACTGCCTACTATGCCATGAGCTCATTCAAGGATATGCAGAGGTGCCCGTCTGGAGTTCCCAGCCCAGCAGTTCATGCAGCCGGGAATCCGAGGCTACAACCGTTTGACAGTGCCCTCGTACTCTTTTCTTATCACACACTCGTCGGGCCAGCGCATCCTGTTCAATCTTTCCACCCAAACGGATTTCCACAATCCGACGCCGAGGTTTGCCGAGCCTTGCACTAACACTGCAAGTAGCGGCTGGAAGATCTCTTCGCCGCGCAGCGTCTCTAACGTTCTGATAGAGAACGGAGTTCCTCTGACTGAGATCAATGCCATCATTTGATCGCAATTTTATGTCCACCACATCGGTAATTCATCTTTGTTCTTTAGCTCTACGGATTTGGTCGTGGGACCGGATCTCATCAGTAGCTTCGCCCCGAGATGGCCGGAGCAAGCCGATTCTCCGGTAAAGTCCGCAGACTGCGAGGGGCGCAAGCTGCGAGAAAATAACTTCGATGAGGATGGGGACCTAAAGAAGCTCCATACTGGGGACTTTCCCGCAGACTGGTTTGGTGATGGAAGCTTCTATATGCTCCATACGCCCGGTCATACGCCGGACCATTTGGTCGGGCTGGCTCGAGTGCAGCCGGATTCATTTGTTCTCATGGGTGCGGTGAGTGCAACAGCTTCCATTCTTCCTTGTTCTCTTCTTTTTCTTTTTCTTGGGACAGACGGACACACTCGCGACCCGCCTATTAAAAGGCTACCACCATTGACGCATTCACTGATGGCGAGATCTGTATGATAGGATTTCGCCCATCATCCCGGCGAATTCCGGCCGTCAAAGGACTGCCCGCTTCCAGAAACCATTCAGCATTCGCCGCTGCCCTTTCACTCCCAGTTTGGGAGTGTCTGCCCCGGGCATCTCTTCCACTCGATCGGACGCCACCCCGGCCACAACGACAAGCCGTTCTTTCTGCCGGCCGAAAAGTACACGCACGACTTCGACGAGTGCTTGCGTACAATTGACAGGCTGGCCAAGTTTGACGCCGACGACCAGATTTGGATCCTCATAGCTTATGATCACACTCTCTTGCCGATTTTCACTGGCGAGGAGGATCGAGATACCGGCTGGTTCTTCCCGCACCGCACTCTCAATGACTGGCGACAAGCGGGACTCGCAGAGAGGGGGAGGTGGCGTTTTCTGAGCGACTTTCAACATACTATTTAACTATGACGGCGCTGAACCGTAGTTAGATCGGGTCGTTAGTATGTGGGGATTCCGGACCGTTTGGGGATTTGGAGATTTGGGGACCACCAGAGCTGGGGATTCCATAATTTGTTCTTGATCGGCATTTTTCTAGTTCGCCGACGATGTTGTCGTCATCCCCGAATCCCCAATTCTCAATCCAAAAAAAAAAAAATTGGAGAGTCCTTGGGTGAGTTCCGCAAGAGTCATGGCCCTTGATTATAAAGAAAATAGAAGAACAGTACAGATGAAGCAAATGATTCGCTCATCAATGTATAGAATTAAGGTTAATCGGTACATACTACGCCCATACAAGAACGCAAATCTCTACCTGATATTTCGAGAATAACTAAGCAACATCCCGTTGGAGAGGCTCATTGCGTCATATATATATGTAAATGCAGCCCATCCACTTCAAATGTCCAGCCTTACCCACCACCTAGTTACAATTGCTATTCAAACCCGAAATTCACGCGAAAACTAAAAGAGAGGGAGAAAAAGTAAAAGAAAAATATGCCATCTACACTATCATTCAACTGTGCCCTCCTGACCGGAGGCGGTGGTGGCATTGGTCGAGCCATCTCCTCCTATCTACTTCAGCAGGGCAAGAAAGTGATCATCGCCGGACGAACCAAAGAGACACTACTAAAGACGGCGCATGAAATCGGCGCCACCGACTACTTCGTCCTCGACACGGGAATAATCTCACAGATCCCGACCTTCATCCACAAACTGACCACCCAGTACCCCGAAGTAGACTGTCTAATCAACAACGCGGGCGTACAACGACCCCTCGACATCGTGAACGACCCAACCACCGACTTCCTCGCCAAAGCAGACCAGGAGATCGACATCAACGAGCGTGGGCCGATGCATCTCACGCTTGGCCTGTTGGACCATTTCCGGACCCATCCGCACGGAGCGACCATTATCAACGTCTCGTCCATTCTGGCCTTCGTCCCCTTCTCCGTCATTAACCCCGTGTATAACGGCACCAAGGCCTTTATGCATTTCTGGTCCATGAACCTCCGCACGCAGCTGGCGAATGCCGGCCTGGAGAAGGTTCGTGTGGTGGAGATCATTCCCCCCTCTGTGGGGACGGACTTGCACCGGGATCGCTCGGATCCGGATGATAATAAGAAGCATAATAATCAGAGCGTGTTGACGGTGGAGGAGTTCATGGAGTTTGTTTCTAAGGGCCTGGAGCGCGGTGAGACTGTTATTGCTCCGGGGATGAGTCAGGAGCTGGTGGATACATGGTATAGGGATTTTGGCTCTGTCTATGAAAATTACTCTGGGATTCATAAGAAGTAAAGGGGCCGATGATGGAGTGAATGGCGAACGATGAGACATCTTTCAAATGACTCCTTCTACAAAAAGCTACAGCCGACGCAATGGAGTGTGTCCACCCAAGTACCCATACAAAAAACTGCTGGTAATTTGATATCTAAGCCACGAATTTGAACTGTAGGATGACTAGATATAAATGATTCCCTTGACCGCCGTTTATGAGAACGCGGCAAGCAAGCTTTCTCGTCACTCCTGCAGGCGTATATTTATGAAAGTTCTATAGCGTGCAACGTGGATATAGTAGTCCCAGCTACTCGTGGATTCATGAAAGAACGACAAAAGGGACTGTGTCATCCCCGCCTAGAACATGACAAACGAAGGTATTGGAGGATAAATGAATTTATTTCGGTGCTTGGACACTTCTGGGCCGTCCTGATCTCTCTCCCCTGCTTCAAGTCCCCCTATTGACCAAGTTGGCGTAGCATTCCAGGCTTTCGCCTATCATGCGAGCGATGGGCCAGGGACTGCTACACGATACAAACATTTGTGCCCAGAGCATCGGCACGGCAAATTCAAGAAACCCAATAGTTTGCTGCGGGCGATGCACCTCCTTATCTTCGAGCTGACACTCGTAGTCGGAGGTTTCATCGTGAGACTCTAGCCCCTCGTTCGCGACTCGGATGAGGCATTGAATTATCTGTCGTTCGTAGTATTCGGGCTCGGGGAAAATTTCGTAAATACAGATAAACAGGCAAGAAAGGAAGACGGCGGCCATACTTGTAAGAGGCACAAGGCTGTGATTTACAGCCACGACATGCAACCATTTACCAGTGAACACGGCAAACTCTAACCCACAAAAGACATGGTACAAGCTCCAAGAGAAGGATTGTCATTTTGAGAGATGGATATTTCCATGTGAACAGAGATTCGAAGCGCGTGGACGGCATGAAGCAGGGCGTGAGGCAGGTGAGGGTTTCGCTGGGGATGAGGACTTTCTTTCAGCCTCGCGGCGATGACTTGTGGGTTACAGGTTTTCAGACTGCGCCAGGGACCCAGATTCAATTGAAGCCTGACATGCGCGATCCCGAGCAAGGCCGTGGAGGAAAAGGAAAATGCAAGAGAGCCGTACGTGTCGAACGGATCGTGGGCCGTTTCAGGTGAGGCTTTCCATGTGATGCGCCAGTTGTTGAGAGCTCGCTCGAAGCTATCGGTCTGTACTGGAAGGATGTTACTATCGCAATCGCGGGCAAGGGAGTTGGCGAGATATATCCTTTGCAAGAGAGCATGGATTATAACGTAGGCTCCCATTGGGGAAAGGGGTGATGGGGGTGATTGATGCTGTATCGTTGATAGCTGAGATCGGAAGCAGTTCTTGACATTAATCGGGGATGCGGATTCGTCCTTGGCGGCAAACCATTTCGACTGGGTTTCGGCCACCCATTCCCTGCATGATGAGGGAAGATGAAGATCTAACTCGTGGTTTAGCATTAGAGGGGGAGAATCGTATAATATCGTTTGAAGGTTCAACAAAGAGAAAGCGCTGAACACTGTTCGTATATTCTCTTCCGTGGCGATCCATTGCTTCCAGCTGTCTTCACTATCACATGGCATGGGAATATTGCGAATGATGGTGGCAATCCATCCATAATATTCTGAACCCTCGTGCAAAAAGAGCGGATCTCGTTGACGGGCAGCAAACGTCGCCACCAGAGTCAGTGAGCGCAGACGATCCCTCGTCTCAACATATTGGTCATCTCAGCTCGACTAAGCACGTAATATAACTAATTGCTTATCTAGAAGAGTTTTAGGAAAGGACTTAGTTAAACAAAAAATGTTTAAATAAGTTAGAAAGAAGGCTTTAATATCTTTTGTAAATAATTCCAAATGGAGGATGGAAGGTTTATATATTTAGTTAGACTTTATTAGTATATAAGAACTCTAGAGTCCCCTGTTAGATAGTTCCTTTCTTATAGGAAAATTGCTTGATTACAAGTCATAAACAAACTTGTCTTTAGTTAAGCTCCTTTGTAGACCGTCACACTGTAAAAGGCCTCTTAAAGGCTTTGGCACTGCCGTTCCGAAGGCCTCTAATAACACTATTATAAATTGGCAAAGGCAATTATTTTTAGATATCCGTTCGGAGTAACCAGGAAGGAGACTACTAAGCCACCCCTTTTTGCTTAACTATGAGGGCACTTTGTCACGGATGGACAGCCATAGGTCTGGCGGGATTTACGGATAGGGAGCTAACTTGGATGGTACTGTACTAAAGTCGGAAGCGGAGAAACCGGTTGAATACTCGATCGTGAACCCACAAATTCCTTGATTCTGGTAGGATCTCCACACCCCTAAATTGATGCCTTACTCCACATGGATCATCCCCAACAAAACCTTCCACCAATTTTTCTGGTTAAACTGATCAGCATTGGCGGGGTAGATGTAACGCTACTCGGAAGATGTCTTGGATGCGGAGTACACCAATAGCGGTGATGCGCATGTCTCACTTGCCACGGCTCACTGGACGGTGGCCTGACAATCCAAGACATGAACGGAGTGCCATGTCTTAGACCAAAAGGCCTCCCAGATGCACACCATGGCTACATCATCGGTACTGAAAGTGGTCTGAGCAGGTGGCCTATATAAAGGCCGCCCATTCCTGTACTTGTCCGGAGGAAAACAGATAAATCCCAAGTTCACATTCAAAACAGCACAAAATTAGAAGCATACAAAATGAAGATTTCCCTGATCACATTTGCTGCCTTCCTCGGCCTGGCTTCGGCCCAGAATGCCGTCGTGCACAACCACTGTGCCACCCCCGTTTATGTGCAGTCGTTCCCTTATGATGGCAGCGGCCCCGGCCCTCTCACCACAGTTGCCAAGGGGAAAACTTTCTCCGAGAAATTTCACACATCTGGCTCTGTACGCTTCCATTTTATTCTCCAGTCAGCGCAACATTCCATACAGCGAGAGAGACTAACGAGGGATGGGATGCGCAGACCGTTAAGATCGCCAAGAAAAAGACGCTGGATAAGCCTCTCTTTTTCGGCTATTCATTCTCTTCTAACCCAGACTACGCGTACTGTGAGTGTACCCGTTCTATGTGTCAGCCAAGAGATCATTGTATTAACGAGCCCTTCTCTAGATGAGCTGAGCACGGAATGGGGTAATCCCTTTGCAGCAAATCCCAACTCGCTCAGCCCCGGGGACGGCTGCGAAGTCTTTGATTGCGCAGCCAATGATGCCGCTTGCTACAGTACCCCGGCTCATAAGAAGGTTTATGGGTGTCCCCAGCCTGTCAATCTATCGGTAGACCTGTGCCAGTAACCTTCTCGCATATATGGTGTCATGTTGTCTCTGGCCTTTTTCCTTGGCACTGTCGCGGCCTGGCACTGCTCGTCCTCATGAAGGGGGAGTTTGGGACGAAAACCGTATAATCCCGAAGATAAGAACGGGCTGCTTAGATCCTTAGCTCCTGGTGAATTAGGCAAATACTCGCAACCGTACGAAATAGTTAATTAAGGGTCATCAAGTCTTAGAAGCTCAACAATAAAAGGAGACCTTGGGCTTTCAGCTTTTTCTTATTTGCTACGACAGTTAATTCATTAATGATACACCACCCCTAACAAGAATCTTGGTACAATCTGTTACTTAAACCATGCATTGGTTAGATAGAATAGCCTCCCAGTTCACACTATCAATGTATTTCCATGGCTTCTCCATGGCTTTCGTTCCTTTTCGGTCTTATGAGCTCATCCGGGATACCAATACTTTCGGTATATGCGTTCATTTCCTTAGACATAGATAAATGTGTGGCTGAAGGTAGTAGTCAACTTACTCGAGGACAGAATCAGGGCAGACAGAACGTACAGACTGCGCCGCCTAGGTGGCTGCACCTCCGACCGCGTTATCTCCTACTACCCTATGTATGAAAACACACAGACAGGAAAGCACCGACCCTGCCTTCTCCCACGCGAGAGTCCTTTCGTGGTATGATACCGAATACATCAGAGACCACAACCCAGGATGCTAATGCTGCTGGGTGTAGCCCGCGTTCTGTCACTACGAACCGCAGTAACATGCGGGGATTTGGTGACAATCGAGCATCTCCGATTAGAGTAGGTAGACCAGGAAGTGTCACGGCCCCGATATTGGAAGATGTTTTGACCATTTGAACGAGAAATCCGACATATATTTCGAGGGGGTGACTTAATGGCGTTTGACCCCGCAGTGCAAACAATGCGTCTAATTGATACTGGCGGCGCGGAGGAAGGAACTGAAGGTAGCTAACGCTAAATATTTCCACGGGAGGCCAGTTCAGATTGTCGATAAAGCCTGTGGCTCACTTTATGAAACAGGCGATCACAAATTCTGTGATGGTCTTTGTTGTTTCACTCGGAAACCTGCCGGCTGCAAAGTCCATCAACGGTCCATCGTGGGCTTCATTGGCCATATAGAGTGTCACATTCCCTTTACTTCTTCTCTTCAACATCGAGCCCAAGCGCTGTATATGATCACTGAAAACCTCTTCGTATCCACCGGTCACGAGAATTTGGTCGACAGCAGAAAGATTTTCCCACCAAGTTTCCGGCACATCAAGAGCCATTCCCCATCCATCCCCTGCTGATATTTCCTCTAGCCAGGGAGAGTTGTCCACAAGACAACCCCCCCCCATTCGTCCACAACCTTCCGGCTGAGAACGTCAGCACTAAATAACCTACGATAGGATGGGGTATTGAAGTTCAACGATGCAAGCGGAGACACAAGGAAGCAGCCTCTTAAGGTTCCATGCCAGTTAATCGAACTCTCTGTGGTGACGTCGGTTGGACGAAAACGATGCAGATGCGCCATTAGGCTCAAAGACAGATGGCCCCCTGCAGAGTCACCTCCGAACACAATCTAATGAAGAATAAGGTCAGATCGGTGAAGGGGAGCTGTGGAATGAAAGGATACCTCATACCTCCGATGGCCTATATCCGGACCTGACAAGATGGTTGAGGGCGAGAATACTCTGCAGCATCTGCCTAGGATATGGATTGGCGGGAATCAATTCTGAAAATAAGAGTGGTAAGAGTCTGTTCTTTTGTTTGATAAAATTGTGGTATTGTTCACGAACCGTATTCGAGAATGCACACACTGAGGTGAATTCCAGCATCGCGCGCCTCATTCCTAACGTGTGCCATCCAGTCTAGATGTCCTTCGGAAAGGGGCATGACGTATCCACCACCTAGATAGCCGTTCAGACTCGACACTTCGATGCGAGGGCTGTATATCCTACCGTGGAAAAAAAGGATCACCTTTTTTGCATTCCTCGGCCCAATCCATAGCAGTCGGGTTGATTTGTCAGTCCCGAGAACATCTACCGCCCGACTGTTACCATGAAGTGAGACCCATGCATTATATGTTTCCATAGTGGACGGTAAGATAGCCTGGAGTTGTCGAGGAGGAGTGATGGCCATAAGGGCTCCGGCGAAGCCATTCCAGACGGATGGGCCGAGAGGCAGCTTGCTTAGCCATGCCCGGACAATGGCCCCAATTATTCTGAAGACTGCGTGAGGTAAAGCACAAAATATGACGGTAAGGAAGAATTGGGGTTTTGTGAAACCACCTGCTGTGCGCGCCATGTTGTTAAATAACCTTTCATGTAACCCGGTAGGTATGGAAGGACTTGATCAAATCAGCAATTAGCTAGTGCGTCGGGTTTAAATTGTCCAAGGCGCAAGATCAAGCAACAGGGCGACTAACCAGACATATCCTTAGTGTTTCGAGCGGAAGACACGAGCTCTGCTACGCTCTGAGGCGTGTTGGGCTCCGTTATCCGATCCTACTGGCTCCACCGAACACCTGTCCAAGTAACCTTCATATTCTCCCAATTCATCCTACAACACGAGCCGCTATCGGACTTCGATCCTGCAAGCCGTCGTCCCGCCCAAAGTCCGCTACTGTGGCATAGGCATGATGCCGTTTGATCGGAACAGACCCGACGAATGCTAGTAGTAGGCCTGGGTACGGGAGAGTTCCGATTGGGCATTGGTTTAGACTGTGCATTGTGACTTATCTGCCACACTCAAACGAAAATGATCCCCAAGTCGAAACTCGGTACGCTTGAAAGCACATAAGCCGCAAGGCAATTTATGCCACCCTCTACCGTGGCTACCAGTACCGTGAGTGTTCCTCCTGCATCCTGATATCGACTGCGCCCCTTGAAGAGCATTCCGCAAATGACGTAATCTACGGTAGCGTGCGACCAAACTTCCTCGCGACAGGGTTCAGCATCATCAAATGCATCTCTTACATCGATATATCGTCTACGCTGCATTGCCCCAGAACCTTTGATCCCCTAGAGATCGAACATCTTTGGCGAAGTAACAGATACCTTTGGAGGTCCTTTCTGTGGACGGGGCCGTTTCTCATACTTTCCGCAGATCGTGTATCCAAGTGTAAGCCGGATAAGTGTTTTCATGGGGACTGCCCCAAAATTGTTGAAGATTTGGATTATTCCGGATCGTGTCATTTACTATTAAGAATCTTTCACTAATAGATCGGGAACCGATCACAAAATGGGCTTTCCAAATCCTTCCGACATCGTATAGATGACACCAGTTCCCTTATTAAGGTGGAAATTTGAGGCGTAATGAGCTAGTCGTCAGAGTAGTTGTGCATTAGACTTTTCTGACCACTGTCTAATGTCTATTCGGGCTCAAGATACTCACCTAAAACATGAGCCTTAGCACGGTATATGTTATTTGAATAGCTTTCAACATCGGTGTAGTCGTTTCAGGTACTCTGGCTTGCGATAACCCTCGGAAGGGTGATACATAAATGACCTCCGCCATCATTCGCGTCGATAGACAAAGCGAGCGGACTCAGCCGACGTGTTCGTCACAACTACTACACGGCGAGTCAAAACACTCTCTCCACGATATGTTTCCACTGTCCATATCTAACAACCACTGAGCGGGAATTCATTTGGCATGCAACGCTGGATATGCTCACCTGTTCTGCGGCCCATCCGGGGTCGAGGCTACGGACGAAGTCATGAATGAAAGCTTTCTCGACAATCCCATCCGCAGCTTCAGCTCGCTGTTCGGTGGGAACCGGCTTAGATAGAAAAGTCTTATTGTGTGATCCAGCGCCCTTAATCTGAATTTCAAGAAGCGGCTGGAGTCGTCCATCTGGTTGTCTGATGCCGGCAATATAACGGCTACGAATACAGACACGGCCGAAGAGTGTGTCGTTGTGCTCGAATTCGGTCCAGTCCAGCGGGCGATGCTCTGTTTCTGCTTTCAATCCACCCTTGATGGCAGGTTCAAGGGTCAAAAAAGTAGTACCGCCTGCATCAGAGCCCTGGGTGATCCTCAGGGTGGATGTCGAGACCGAAATGGCTTTCCTAGTTACCCAACCAATTCCTTGCTGATCGCTCTTGAGATTTAACAGGCTTCTGTTATTGGAACACCAGAAGGACTTACCAGTGTGAGAACTTTATCCAAGCCGGCTGAGCAGGTCTTATCCTATTTCGCAATTGCATAGACAGCAGGGATTCACGTAAGTCAGAATCTGGGATTATATAGTATGTGAGCTAGTTTTACCATGATCCAGTTGCCGCTTAAGTTGAGTAAGTATGCCTGGTCTGGGGTAGCCATGGTCCGAGAAAATTGCGGTCCTCAGCGGAGTCAATGGACAAGGACGAAACGCGGAAATCGAAGAGGGCCTCCTTCGGTCGAATGTGGCAGAGATAAGTAGGGAGGAGAGTGTGAGTTGGGGCGCTAACGAGAGAATTCCATATTATGTACTTCCCTCAGGTGTTGACGGCACACCGGAACCTTCCGTGAGAGCAACCTGAGAGTCGGGTACCTTCCGGCCTAAGCCCGGCTCCTTCGCGCCCTTCTCCGCCGTCAAATCTCGAAATGACCACGGAACGCTGGATATTTTCTCGCGAAGGTCTATACATCGATCCGATAGTCACTATTCTTCGAACAACTCTGTTGCATCCCTTATTCACCTTGGCTTCCCTATATTTGGTCCACAGTGGCTGGGTCGTGGTCGCAGCTGCGTATGCCAAGTTTGTCCAATTCACCACAGCGGCCAGTCTCCTCCTATACTTGAATACCTGGCTTAGTGCTAAAAGCCGGAATAACTGGGTGATAGATAACACATGGGACTGGAAACAGGAAGTGGTGGTAGTAACTGGTGGGAGCGGTGGCATTGGTGGGGGGGTGGCTCAGCGTCTTGTTGCAATGGGGGCACAGGTGGTTGTGCTGGACGTCACTCCTCTAACTTATGAACCTGGTATATTAGTGGCTTGAGGTCCTGAGATTCATATTGATTTAATTGCTAATGGTTATTCTAAGCAAACAACCGGATCATATACCACGCATGTGACCTAAGCGACGAGAAAGAAATCGCAACCGTTTGCGAAAGAATTAGATCCGAAGTCGGACATCCGACCGCCATAGGTGCGTTAAAGCAAATCTCGCCTCAAATTCCCTGGCTTACAACGGCAGTCAACAACGCTGGTCTGTCCCGCGGCCGGACTGTGGTCGAGGGCACTTACAGTGATAACAGTATAACCCTTAAAACCAACTTGCTGGCACCATTCCTGCTCTCGAAGGAATTCCTTCCGGTCATGATCCGGCGGAATCACGGGCACATCTTCAGTGTTGCCTCGATGAGTGCCTTCATCCCGCCGCCAGGAATTGCGGACTACGCGGCGTCTAAAGCTGGATTGATTGCGTTTCACGAGGTATGCATTAAGGAGAACTACCCCCAGTCCAGATTTGCATGAGCTGATTGTCACAGTGTCTTTCTCAAGAGCTTCGAGTCCAGAAAGCGCCCAAAGTCCGCACCTCGCTCGCTGTACTGAGCTTCACGAAAACGCCATTATTCAAGGGAGAGACATATCAGCCCTGGTTCCTGATGCCCCTTTTGCACGTTGACACCGTCGTGGACGCCATCGTTCAGGCCCTTGACAGTGGACACAGCCAAACAATTTTCCTTCCTGGCATATTCGGACTCTTTGCAGGCCTGGTGAGTTTCTTCCCTGTGGTGCAGAGTTCTAGTTAACGGCAGGTGTGGCGCGGAGCTCCAGATTGGGTTCAGGATTTGGTTAGGGGTGCTACTAGGTCCCTCAAGGTAGAGTTTAAAGGACGTCAAGAGATTGATACAAAGACCGGCAGATTACGGGCTTAGTTTTACGAGCCCTGGAACATCCACCCAGCTGAGGGGCTACAACTTGCAGATGTGTCAGGGACGGCCAACTCAACCGCAGGGACAATGAGATGAATTCAAGGTCATATGATTTTCGAACCGCCAAGTATAGCGTATTGTATGTACTCGAATGCTAAAGTTGCTACCAGCGGTGGCTACCACCCCCTGGAAGAATGAATACGTCCATGGAAAAACTCTCGAGTTACTGCACTGTGCTTTTCCACTTGCCCCAAGCAAGAGGTACGCGTAAGTCTAAGTACAATGAAGAAGTCACCGGCGTACACTCTAGACCATTGTAACCTGGTGCCTATTGTCAAAGGACAACTCATCGCGCAAACTATTTGGCTATAAAGGAGAAGCTCACGGACCGCATTCACACTCGCGAGCTTCCATATTCAGCAACTTTATCTCCCCAAACATGTTCATCATATCCAACATTGCCCTGTAATACAATGAATCAGGACGGGCCACTGCTTAAAATGACTTCTTCTGCGCGTGTTTGTTGAGAAGCTCAAGCGAGTTCGCACGCAGTTTGTCCGGGCCAACATCAGACCCGCGGGGATTCGATGCTACAAAAGCAGCATACTCGGCCACCAAAGCACTGATGCCGAGTTGTGGTACATACGGAAAATCGGATCCAAAGAGGATATGCGAGGATTCGGCAAAGTCCAACAATCCATCCAGCTGAGCTGCACTGGTGCTCACAGCAATGTCATAATAAAAGCGAGAAAAGTCCTCCTTTGCATGGATAGCACTGTACTCTACCTCATTGGCGATTGTAGGTATAGCGAGGCTGCTGATTGCACGGGTTCCGACAAAAGGTACCGCCCCCCCGGCATGAGAAAGAATGATGTCGACGTCTGGGCAGCGCCGGAAAGTGCCTGTCATGACAAGGTCGACGGCGGTACGAGTTGTAGCCAGAGGGTAGTCGATAATAGGTTGTGCAAGGCTGGACGCAATGAACGGTGGATTCACGGGAAGGACTGCTGGGTGTATAAAGACTAGGGCATGGAACTGCTGTAGAGCAGCCCAAATGGGAGCAAAAAGAGGATCGCCGAGAAGCTTGTCGCCATATGTAGTAAAGACAGTAACACCGTTACAAAGTCGTTGCTCTGTATAGAGGTATTCTAATTCGGCGAGTGTTCCATTCACGTCTTGCCAATCCGGCAGAACGCCGAAGAAGCCTAGGCGGTCTTTCACTTTGCCATGTGCTGTGATGTTGCCTAAGTATTCATTAAGAGTCCGAGCCAGCCCCCTCGCTTCCGGACCAGTCCCCAGAACAGGTACACCGGGACTTGAAATAGAAAGAATACCTGCGGAATCAGCCATGATACAGAGAGCCTAGACTGCACGGAGTAGAAACAGATGCCTTCGCATCGAAGATAAGCCAAGGGATTTCACTTACCCACGGATGATCCGACGTCGTTCATAGACTTGATGGCCGCGTCCACCGTCCACTCCGGGGTTGGATAGCCAGAAGGATCGCCACCAGCAGCGTTCAAGGCCGCAATGTATGCTGGCGGAAGGGCATGAAAATGGTTGTCAATTCTGTTTGAGCCAATCGCGGTGGCCAATGTCGTGCTGAAGACTAGTACGGAACAAACCCGTAAGATCATCCTGTGCATGATGCGGTAGACGAAAAAGGACAGCTGAAGAATCAGGGTGTAGAGATATACAAATCAATCAGAGCACATCCGCTGTCCTTCCAACTTGTCCTGCTACCCCTTATAAGTTAGGAATTGGCACTGACTAATCCCTGACTATTCCTTGCGGATCCTCCTAGGTTGTCTTGTTCCCGGGTCGGGATGTTTCCGTTCACCCAATTCAACATTGTATCCGTGCGAGGGGCGAGTCCCGGAACAGCATCGGACAGGCAGATTTCCAATGTCAGAAAGGGTAGGTTGTTCTTGATACATTCCTACCCCATTTGCATCTGCTCCACCGGGTGAGAACTTGCAAGATGGCTAACCATCGGCGGGAGGGAGTTGTGAACGGGTTTGGGAAACGAATAGTCTGTACGTTGTGGATGCACTTATTTCAAACCTTACACATGGTAATTATAATATCCATCAGTGACTGGATTAGCTGAGGCATTTTCAGCCAAGCTCACGAGAATTCGAAGAAGGCAGCAGCACTATAGATGCATCAGCATAGGATCGGAAGGGCGCGTATGTTATGAAGCGGCACCGTTCATCCCCTATACAGAGATTTCCGGTTGTGATGGAACGATATCAGAGCATTGGAGCAGATACGATGGTCCCGGAGCTTACAACTGCTCAGCTATGAGCGGATTTCCCAATTTCTTTCTGTTACTCGGGCCGAACGCAGGAACAGGACATACCTCGGCCTTGATGGCAGCTGAAAAGTAAGCAAAGCTGATTTGATCAGGCGGGACTGCATTTCACACTCACTGTGGCAGTTCTGTCAACTATGCGCTCCGTGTGCTCAAGCCTGTTCTGAATGGAGATGCAGCATCAATAAACTTGAAGCAAGATGCGGAAGATGCGTACATCTACCATGTTCAAGACGCTCTTCGTCACCGTGTCTGGAACGCCGGATGTGCTTCGGTAAGAATGCTGTTATTAGGATACATAACTGTGGCTGACAGATTAGTGGTATGTCAACGATAAAGGATGGAACGCGATGGGATACCCGTGGACCCAAGGTTATTATTGGTTTCGCAGCTTGTTCCCTACCTGGTCAGACTGGACATTCAAAGTAAGTCTGGAAGTTTGTGGTTTTCACAGAGCTGCAGCTAATTTGGAGAAGGCAATTCAAAAACCAGTTTCTCCGAGAAAAAGTCCAGCTTTAGTACTAGCTTGCTTATTAGCATTTGGGTTTACAGTCGTGGCTCATTTACGAGGATTTGGAATTTGGACCGCAAACTTTCATTGAGCTCTACTTAGCATGTTGCTTTCTTTGAGAAGCCTTGAAACTAGTTTGACAGAGGAAACGAAGTTGGCATAAATGTCGGGTTAAGAGAATGGAACAATGTTATGATGGATTATGTTATCCTCAGAGATCCTGTTTGTTCTTAGGTCAGTAAGAATGCTACACATGTGAGCGCTTTACAAGAAACAGCACAGTATCTTGGACATTGCAACCGGTGCTTGTCAGACAAACCTGAGATTATACCAGCCACTAATAAACCTTGTGATATAGACCAACCGCTACTTGGAATGGTTAGAAGTCTACGAAACCATGTCCTTTGTGGGAGGCGGAAACTTTCAAGTAACGGTCATTACGCACTCACGAGCGACTACTGGATATATAATCTATCTAAGTCATCGCCTTATCAGGCTACCAAGCACATCGCAGGTTGAAATGATTACTATTTAGAACTATAAGACAAGCTCTGTAAGATATTGAAGTCATCTCAAGGGTAGTGTATTTATTCACAGCCCGGATTGTGGAAACCAACTCTGCATCTCGCTGATATCGAATGGGCCCAGAAACCCTAATTCATTTGTTGGCAGGCTTTCATCCCAACTCACGGGGGGCCATGTATCAAGAATCGGCCGTGACATATCGGCCTGATTCTGTTCTTGATAAGCATGTGGGGGAGGCTCATTGCTATTACCTGGGGCAGATTGGTTCGCGTCAATGTGGGAAACGAATCGATTTCGGATGGCCTGGAGGAAGTTGAGAGTGTTTCGACCGGAGACACTGAACGAAGCCAGATGTTCTAATACCATTTCGGCTTTTCGCCAAGTGGTGTCAATTGTTGCTGATTCGATTTCGACAGCCTCGTAGCACGAATATGACATGATCAAAATCATGGCTGCCGTAGACGTATCTGCGCTCTCATAAGATTTCATTGAAAACACTACCAGTCTAATAGCGGTACTCACAGAAGCCATTATACCACCATGTATCTGTCGTTGATAATTTATATCTCCCATGAACGAGAGAGATAAGGTCTATTGCTGCCTGGATGCATCCTGCAGCCCACCTGTGCAGCAGCACCGAATGAGAGTTTGGAGTACGACATTGCACCTCATCAGGTGGATCATCGAAACAAAGCTGAGTGAGCATTGGCCGATACAGCAAGAGTTTATGATAGAGAAACCTTGGTCGTCAGTAAAGGCCATTTGAGGTTTGAAAAACGTACCGTGAATGAAGAACATTACGCTGTCTACTTATCGTTTCCTCGATCGTAGATTTTGGCGGTAGCGATGTGGCTGTCCAATTCAAAAATGGAGGAACGGAAGATTCAAATTGCAACAGTTGATCTTCAAGGCGAAGAATAACATCAAGACCGGCAGGCCTCACTTCCGGTGCAGCGTCAGTGGATGGACCACGCCAAGCCTTGTACACATCAGAAAGAATACTATCTAAGATGTAGTAGAGTTTTATCGTAGAGGTATAAAATGCGATCAGTGGCGGAAGATCTGAACCTGTACCCGATATTAAGTCGAGAGCACCTGGTAACGGGGCTCTTGCCAGGTGACTCGTCATGGTCGGCCGCCCGTACGTCATGCTGACGGTTCTGCGAACAGTTAGAAAATTATGCATGGGAATTTGAGGGGGGGGGGGGCAGATACATGTCCATTATGATGCAGCCGTGCCAGGTTCTTCGATGTATCTCCTGCTCCAGTGGGTTTTTCGAGTCTTCCAATTGCATTTCATGCAACCCCAGTCCAAGTGCGAGACGACAAGCCATTCCGGTTGAATTCCAGCAGCGATGAGGATAAGGAGTGCTCTGCAGAAACAAGGCCACTATTAAGAGGGTCTGGACCACTCCAATTGAGTAGATCTCTACCAAATCAAGTCCAATGTGTCATTTTGCCCGGAGGAAGAAAGACATAATGAAAGGTTCGCGGTCCTGGGCGGGAATCGTCGAGAAATGACATCCTAGTGCAAATACGATGTTCAGTGCACAATTAAAGACGATGGAATTCGGGGCCGAGTTGAATCGATCTCCTAAGCCAACATTGAGATCCGTGAGTTTGTGGCTGGCATGACTCTTTGGTGCCCAAAGATTCTCATATGCTTGTTGAAAGCTCTGGCGATCAAAGAAAGGATACAGACAATAGACCCTTTCCCAGAAGCAACCAAGTAAATGATCGGCAAGGTCACGGGGAGGTAGCGCAAATGCCTCCATTTCGGCAACTGACGCCTAGCCCGAATTTTTGGGTTGATTCTTGCTGACCCAGTCAAGGAGTGGTATCTTCTGAGAAGCCCACGCGTGGCATCTCCGCTGCCGTTGATCGCTGGTGAGGCGCTGGTGAGGAGACACATTAGCGATGCGGCTGATGAGCCCCCGAAATACTCTGAGTTCTGGCTGGGGACTGGGTCGTTTTCCGTGATATTGGTCATAGCGCCCATGCCAGTAATGTTACCAGGCGAATCTGTAGTTCTCAGAATATCGCTTTGGGCATCTGATAGACCGAGTGTTTGGGATTCTTGATTCTGCAGTAAAGTTTGTTCATGATCACCACTCAACCTGGGCAATTCAAAATCACCGGCCTGTGATGGGCAGGCCTCTGTTGCTTCTATCGCCTCATCGTCAACCATAGCCGACGGGTTTACGGACTCCGAGTCGGCATGTTGGGATGCCGAGCCAGCCTCCAGTTCCCGTATTCGATGGAGCAAAGCGCGTATGTATCTGCAAACGTTCCGTCAGCATAATCCCTGTTATTGTTTGGGATAAAGGTTCTGAACTCATTGTTGCTTGCCGTTCGTGCATTCTCCGCCACGTATACACAGCGGTCGATCGGAAGCCTCCGACGTGTGCATGCAGCACATATCGGCTTGTGGCCATCGCAGCGAGACTTGCGCTCACGACAAGGTTCGCACGCTAGAGCAATCTTTCGACGGCGAGGCTCCTTAGGCTTTTGGTTAGAAGCTTCTTGCTGCATTTTTGCTCGTTGGCCACCATTTCTCCGAAAATAGATTTTGGGGAAAGCCTTGTGGTCCGGGAGAGGAAATCTAAAAACCAAGTCATTTCACCACCACATGAAACATTGTTAGATAATACCGGAATAATTCCGTTGATGCCGAGGCACTCGACTGCGTGAAGAGGTTTCTATTCATTCTAACCATCTCTAGATTGTAAAGAAACAAAAAGAAGGCCTCAAAACTTTAGGAATTCGTTGGCTCTTTCGCAAATCAAAATAAGCCCGTGTTTTGCTTGACTTTATCATGACCTTCGTTCCCTCCGTTAACAGTTCGGGATATGGTGCACTTTAGCGAATCTCTTCTTTGGATTCACCGGCTTTATCATGCACAAGATAGGCTCGTGGGATCTTGTTACTTGTAAAACTTGTGCTCCAAGAAAGACCACGCACCCCTGGCAGCCGACTGCTTTTCTATAGGACCGTTCAGGTCGGTTAGAAATTGCTAAAAGTAGGCTGAACGATTGACAAAACTGTCAATTTGACCACTCACTGGTCACCCAGATCGCCAAAATAAATAGGACCTTCATTGCTGCGCTGGCATAAAGCCCGTGCTTTTCGAATGATAACGTTGCAAACTACGAGAAGCGTTTTACAATAATAGATGTAATTCATGTGAGTAACCCTCGGCCCAATACATTTCAAAATGGATTTTATCCGCGCTGATTCCGCACCGGATCCTTTCCGAACGATAATTTTGCGCCCGCGGGATATATCCGCGAAGGGATCATGTCAGTACAGATTCCCCACTCACGCCAACAGCCAGGAACATTGGCCATGCTTGGTCAAAGAGTTGATTGTTTCAACATTTCGGCACGATTCCTACGCATTATTACTGATCGATACATATCCTCGTGTGTAATTTAGGCCGCGGGCTTCCTAGTTATATGGGGTAGAACTCTGGATATAGTGAGTCAATGCTATGGTGTAATCTCAAAGATCCCATACAGGCATAGCCCCCACCCTATTACACTTGGCCCGGATCAATTGGTGATCCTTGCAACGGAAATAATTTCAGCTTCTGCGTTAGCCACTGGTCGAAGCTGCCGCCGTTTCCCTGGTCCAGCATCAACTCATGATGATCGATGGACGGCCGGGCCCAAACAAGATCTGCTTCCTCTGGCGCCACAGACCGAGTGCGATTCCCAATTTTCCACCCGCAGAAGGTAGCAACAGCGAGAAATGCCATGGTATAATGGCTAAAAAAGGATCCTACGTCCCATTTCCCCGTCAAGAAGACTTCGTACCCACACAGAACCTCCACGCTAACAAGCCAAGTTAGGGCAATCCAGGTGCCCCAGGGCTGAAACCACCCGCAGTACGGTAGCTCCGCGCGGCTGTACCCCTGCCGGTTGAGGGCCCGGTAAAAGAAGAGATAGTTCACACATATGGTTATATATGTTATCAGCGTTCCCCCCGTGATGAGGTTCGTTAGCCTGAGTCAATTAGTCACATTGAGAGCATGACACCGAGTTAACTCACCAGCTCAAAATTACAGCAGAGCCGCTGCCAAGTTGCAAATATGCAAAACAGGCAAAGGTGAGCGCCACTATGAGCCCGTATACTGGGACTCCATTCTTCGTGCATCTCCGCAAAAGCTGTGGCGCATGGCCATTTTCTGCTAAGCCTACCAAACTGCGCGAGGTAGTATAAACACATGCATCCCCGGCTGAGTAAATGGTAGTCACAAAGAGCGCATTGACGACATGTGGCAAGCCTTCAATTTTCAAGTTCGTCATGGCAATTACAAAGGGTGATGACGCTCCGCTTGTCTCACCGGAAGCCAGCAACTGCAGAAGCTTCGGGTCGTTAGCTGGGCATACGATGCCCGCACAGAGGGCGCCTCCAATGAAAAAGGCGCCAAAGCGCCAGTAGACTGATTTGAATGCCGCTCGCAACGTCTTCCGAGGTGCCTTCGTCTCGCCTGCCACAGCTGCCAGATATTCTGGACCCGCGATTGTAAAAGCAGCCTGCCAGATGGCCACAAGGACCCCTTGAAATCGCCCGAGGCTTCCTGAAGATAAGTGCTCGACAAAGGGGCTCTGCAAAATCCGTCAGAAGAAACGTCCTCCAGGCTTTTCCAATCAGCGGAACTCGTAAGCAAAGATCATCATACCGGTTGTGTCCAATTTCGAAATCCATAAGCATCGTGCTGGGGATTGCCGCCTACCATGGTGACGAAGGTAAAGAGGTATAGAATGAGGATGAGTAAGAGCTTGCCGCTGGAGAGCCAGAATTCGGCCTCCCCGAAGTATTTCACTGCAAAGACGTTGGTTATCCTGGGACCATATTCCATTCAGCAATTAGCGGGTTGTTTGTCACTTCTCAACAAGGTGAACAGCTGCAACCTACAGGTATAGCAGGATGGTGACCGAGATTACTGCGGCTGATGGGATATCATTGCGCCAGTAGGTCAGGACCATATTGAGTGCGGTAATCTCGAAGGGGATCAACAGGCCCTCGAAGAGGCAGAAGTTCCACCCTACCATGAAGCCCCAAGCCTGGTCAACCCAGGTGCTGGCGTGCTGGATAAAGGCGGCGCTGACGGGCATGAACACGGTCATTTCAGCCAACGCGTTGTTGACCTGGGCCATTACGATCGCATGAAGAACGAAGCCAACGAGCAAGCTGCCGGCCCCTTGCATCACTCCTCGCCCGATCGTGATAAATAGTGCGGTACCAATGGAGCCCCCAACAGCAATCATTTGCACCTGGCGGGGGGTTAGATGGCGTTTCAAAGACTCTGCTTCGGCGCCCTCTCTTGCGGTCTTCCCGAGTTCCGGAAGCGAGTCGAGCTTTTCTTCTGAGCTAAGCTCTGCCGGGGTAGTGTGGAAGCTCATATTCACAATGCTTCGTCCTTCTGGCCCACCCACTTCCAGATTCCAAAGCCGGTGTCAAAGGAGACGCCCTAGTCTTCAATCTGCCGCAATATGATCTCGTAGTTGTAATCGTTGTAACAGATCCAAGTCGTTGCCTTTTGAAAGGAAGATGACGAAATCCGAATATCGCAACAGCTTGGGGAAGGTAATGTCACAGAAACCAAGGGAGGAGGGATAATTGAAAGATATATTCCGCCGTGCTAGTTCCTTTGTCGGACCAGAGTATGCTTAAAATCAGTGTTATTGTAGACTCTGCGCTCAAGGTAATCTAGCTACAAGGCCTAGGTCGTTATATAGCGGGTAGATATTGCAGGGACTCCAGATAGCCACTCCAGTCATTGGAATCGTTCGATCTGGTTCTAGGTCGTATGAGATTTGGGATGTAGGGCTAAAGCAGTGATACGTTGGTCGATGAGCTGCAACGTATGAGACCAGGAATGTGGGCACATGCATGCTAATCAGGTGCTTGGTGGAAGAGAACCGAAAGCTGTATAGGACCGGCCGGTGTGTCGCTGCTTGTCCCGACGACATTCCTACAGGCAGAATTGTCCATCGTACGGGGAGGTCCGCAGGAGATGAGAGGCCAGGCTTCACGGACAGACGCCTCTGCAAAGATTCCAAGTATTCTGAGAGCAAGGCAAGCTATCCATGTAGTTGTCTCTCATCTCTCCCTGCAGAAGAAATCCTCTGATGGTTGCCATCTGGCCGGATGAGTAACCACTATATCGTTACGGCGAAGGTCAGCTGAGGGTCTGCAACAAGCTTCCTTGCTTGATTCAGTTGAGGTGTTGAATTGTAATCTCTGGCTGGGCCTGGCGATTGAGCATGAAGAAAGGTCGAGACCTCGTCTCAAACACGGCGATGCAAGGGGCAGATTCCGTGGCACGACTTCGGCAGAGAGTCTACGATGGCAGCCCTACAATTTGCTGTTGCCGTTCCAGCAATTCTTTTAATCACTCGATCCAAAACACTCCGGAAAAAGTGGTGTGCAAGTAGTGCTCAATAGATTGCATTGATATGGTGCCTCACGTTGCGATTCGGGGCCTCCTGTGTCTAGACCCATCTACCTCTTGCCCTTGTCTTATCAACGTGTGTGTAACTGAGGAATCAGTCCCTGCTCCCTCGCTTGTTTGACACAAGCTACCCGAAAGTTGCAATTCGATCACCGAAACCCAGCGTTGGGGTCGATGGGAAAGAAATACTAGTCGTGTGTGAAAGCCATAAGATCGGCTCGGTTCGGCTCGGCTCGGTTCGGCTCGGCTCGGTTCGGCTCGGCTCGGTTCGGCTCGGCTCGGCTCAACGCGGGGTCGTCAGCGGGCATCGGACTCAGTGGGGAGTCGTTAATGGGACATTTTTTGGCTGAACATAGTACTTTCCAGCGGTCTATCTCTCCTCGCCAATGCAAACTGTCGTAACAAGGCCCCGTAGAGATTCTTGGGTGGGATATACATGTATGAAAATATAGAAAAGGGCTAAGAACTCACTTCAAACCCATACCTAGAGCTTTATCCTAATAACGTAGCACGGCTACCCAGGTTCAGACCTCGTAGAGCTCCGTGAGCATAGCTTCGATGAACTCCTTTTGCTTGATCAGCCAATCTCTCGTATCGGTGGTATCGAATTTCCGCTTGGCTACTTCGCGCTGGCGTTCGGATGTCAAGCGGGCAACAATGCGCTCCTCCAAGATCTCCAGGCGGTACTCCGTATACTGGCTATACAGCTCTGGTATGACGCTAATCCCCCGGACCCCGGTTAGAGTCGACTCATCCTTGACAAACGGCGACCTGGGCCGGAAGGCAGTGACCATGCTGATGCGTTCACGACCGCCCAACGCCCTGAGGGCCTGATGCTCAATATACCTCCCTTGCATTACCACCGCGGTTCCCTGCTATGGGTTAATCAGCCGGCACGAGATGATATGATCGGTATTAGGCATCACAGGCTTACCATGGCCGGAGCGCGGACTTTCATCGTCTCCCCGGTTCCCGTCCTCAGCACCGTCTCCCCTCCAACCATGCTCTCGCAGTTCGAAATCATAGTCACGCACACAAACGGAAAGCTATCGTAGTGCCACGCTACACTTGGCAGATTGTCGTCCAAGGGTCGGTCTAGAGACGGTGTCAAATCTATCCCTCCCCCGCCTATCGAAATGTTGATGGTGGCAATGTCGTAGTCAAACACTGGGACCAAATCGATTCCGGCGACCTGGGAGATCTTAGCCAGCAGCTCCGGTGACTTCCACGCACTGTAGATGAATGGGGCGCGCCTGAAGTCGGTCAGCAACAGGTGATGGGGAGCTCTAGGCTGACTTACACAGGGCCCATGCCCCGAATCATGTTCTTATTGAAGGTCGATGCAAATTGACAGTGATCGAGAACCTCGCGGCTGAAAATCTCTGCTCTCATTTGCCGCACGGCTTCTTCGGTGAAGAGTGGAAAGGGAGCAGACACGGCATGCGGTGAGATACCCTGGCCCTCGAGCCCGATCTCTGGCATCGTGTAGATTTTGCTTGGTGGCTCGAACATAAGGTGCTTCTCGGGGTCAAATGGTTCCCGCTTGTCGACATGAGCACCGTCTATCAGCCACTGAGGCAGCGGATCGGCGGGGCGAGTCGCTGTTTTGGTTGCAGGGCCGACCACTCTCGGTGGCCCCGTGGTTAGGGGAATGGTGGCAGCAAGAACCATCATGTAGCACAGTCAAAGGCTTGGCTTGTCACTGCGCTTCTGCGAGGACCAACAGCAAGGAAAGTATGTGAAGAAGAGTAAGACACGATGATAGTGGCTCGCTTGAAATTTGCTTTCCGGGAGGGAATGGCAACATTCGAGCGTGACTGGACGTCGTTGCAATTAGAAACGGGACGTTCCCGGTCTCCAACTTGTAGGTCGTGGAAGAAACAATGCAGATCATATATTTAGTTTATTATGAGACTATCCTACACTGGAATAGCTTTTCTATTATCACATACAGGCTTCGCTCGGAAGGGAGAACCGATCGATATCACTGGGCACTTCCGATCCCTAAAGAGATCACCTGGCACGCGACACTCTAAATGGCACACTGCCAGTCTGCCACCTACTTTCGGGGCCCGCATCTAACAGGCAACTGTGTCCTTTGTTACTGTGGGTCGTTCATTGGTTGGTCGGGCCAGTCCCGAAGTCTCCACGCGAAGCCGCATCGTTTGCACATCGCACCAAGTGATCTACCGGGAGTATCTGGGATTCCAGGTATCCTTGAGCTTAACTGGGCAATTGCCAGACCTGCTTCTGAGTCCGGTGGATGTCATAGATCCATAGTGCCCATGCTGCCCTTGAGAGGAGAAAGTGGACTTCCATGTTGCGTACGCTCGGCGATCCCACACACGAGGGCACGTGGTGCAAGTATTAAAATTTCCCAGTTGAGTTCCCTATTGAGTGTTAGAGGATGGTGAAGAAAGCGACGGCAGGAAATCCCTTTCATACTGGCTCACTGGATTTTAACGTTGCAATCGCTCCAGAGTGATCGGGGTTAGAAACGCTCGAGTGCATGACTTCCGTGATCTCACCCAGCTCCCTAGCTATCGGTCCAGTCCAGGTAAGTATACAGCAAAGCCGTTTCTCGGAAGCATCGGTTCGGCTCGGCTCGTTCACTCGGCGGTCGGATGGCGGATCATGTATGTATGTACCTAAACCCAGAGATCCCGAGAACCGTCGGAACAAACGAGGTGGCATATTGCGGCGCGGTGTGGCAGTCGAGAGATACTAGCAGTGCAACTATGTCTCGAAAGCTAATTATTATAGGCATTTGAATGCGGAATGCTCGTTGATCCGTGAGAGAAACGTGAACGTGTTCAGTTCTACGTCTATATTGAGCAGAATCCCCGGTACATACACACAATGACTTCGGCCTTTGCATCTGGCCTGAAAGACCCTGGTCTCTTCGTTGAGAAGGCTTTCATCGACTGGCAGTGGGTAGCTTCCCAGTCCAATGTCACCTTCAATGTTTGTAATCCTGCGTCCGAAGCCCTTGTTGGAACCTGCCCTGAATCGAACACAGAAGACCTTAACGACGCCATTCAAGCAGCCGCCCGAGCATTCCCAACATGGCGGTCTGTATCCGGGAGACAGCGAGGTCGCATTCTGCGCCGCTGGGCAGACCTTTTGTTGGATAACAAAGAGGACATCGGCCGCATCATCACGGCGGAAAATGGCAAAGCCAAAGCTGACGCGGAGGGAGAAGCCGTTTTTGCCGCCAGCTTTTTCGAATGGTTCGCCGAGGAGGCACCGCGCATCTACGGCGATGTCGTGCCACATAGCAGTCCTACCAGCCGCACGCAGGTGCTCAAGGAGCCCGTCGGCGTCTGCGGCCTCATTACGCCGTGGAACTTCCCCATCGCCATGGGAGCGCGCAAAGTGGCCGCCGCGCTGGCCGCTGGGTGTACCATTGTGCTGAAATCGGGCGGATTGATGCCCTTCGCTTCCAACGTGATGGCCACTCTTGGAGAGCAAGCTGGTGTTCCCAACGGCGTCTTCAACGTCGTGACGGCCTTGACGAACACACCCTCCCTCGGTCGGTTGCTCTGCGAGACTGAGATTGTGAAAAAAAATCTCGTTCACAGGTTCCACTCGCGTGGGCCGTCTTCTCATGCACTAGTCGAGTCACACCTTGAGGAAAGTGAGTCTGGAGCTTGGGGGAAATGCCCCGTTTATTGTCTTTGATGACGCCGGTGTCGAGGCCGCAGTAGCTAGTGCTCTGATCAGCAAATTCAAAGTGACTGGGCAAACCTGTGTCTGCGCCAATCGTATCTTCTTCTAACAAGAAATCTATGATCGTTTCAGCCAGCGACTAGTGCAGGAAGTCCAGAAATACAAGATTGGAAACGGCCTGGAGGATGCTTCTGTGACCCACGGCCCCTTGACCAACGGGGTGGCCAAAGTGTCCCAGCATATCCACGACGCTCTAGACAAGAAGGCTACTGTGCTCCTAGGGGGTAACCGTCTGCCTGCATTAGGCGCCAACTTCCACGAGCTCACCATTCTGGGCGATGTCGATGACTCGATGCAGGTGACTAGAGAGGAAACCTTCGGTCCGCTGGCGGCACTGGCCAGATTCTCAACGGAGGATGAGGTGGTGCGACGGGCCAACGACTGCGACGTGGGATTGGTATCATATTTGATGACCAGTGACCTAGCCAGGGCGCATCGTGTGTCTGAAAGGCTAGAGGCCTGCATGGTGGCCATCAATACCGGGGTGGTTCCAGACGCTGCGGCACCGTAAGGAAACCCCATATGAGCACTAAACCCAGATCAGTCGTATACTAATCTATAACGGCAGCTTCGGTGGGGTAAAATACTCGGGGATGGGTCGTGAAGGCAGCAAGTACGGGGTAGAAGAGTATTTGAACGTGAAGATGATTGTCACTGGGGGCATCAACACGGCGCATACGGCTCACCTGTAGGGGTGGAGCTTGAGGCGAGCCTAATTTCTGGCTTGGTTTACTAGCATGTGCGATCATCACCCTATCATTGTGCTTTGTAGGGAGTGTGTAAGTATGTTCCGAGATGAATCACTAGAAAAGGGTGGTACGAGGAGAGAATACAATCCCCATCAAACATTACGTAGACCAGGGTACGCCTAGAGACAATCCAATTTCCTTCACTGCACCGCCATCTCCCAGATTCCAGCCACGTCCTCATCCGGGCTGATGTTATCTACGATGCCTAGCGCCGTCGTGGGCTTTTTGTACCCCAGTAACTCGAGCATCTTGGGGCTCATGCGACATACTTTACTTCGCGGGACTGCCAAGAACTGGTTCTCCTCTGTCCGTAGAGCCCCGCGAACAAAGAACAGGCTGTATATTGTCCGAATTGACCCTGGGATGGAGTTGTGGCCTCCGCCATGGTACGTCGACGCAAGAAAGATCAACGCGGAACCCGGAGACATCTCTGACCCAGGGGCGTCAGTTGCCATGTGGACTCATCCGAGGAGTGAGAACATACCAGCAAAGCAAACCTGGTCCTCGCTCGCCTCCTTCTCGTCATCCCATTTATGGCTCCCCGGGATCACCATCGTGGCGCCGTTTTCCCGAGTCACCTGGCATCCGGCGATGAGACATCCGAACTGGCTGGCCTGTTTGAAGCTCCACGGGCCGCGCCTATCATGCCGAATGCCATGAACATTGTCGTCGCGGTGCAACAGCTGTCGAGGGGCCCCATACCCGATGTTCATCGACACGCTCAGGCTGAGGAGGGGATCGATGACGTTGGGCTCCATATGACCCTCGCGGTTCACCGTGAACTCGTCGCGCAGGATACGCTGTCGGAGACCTTCCAGCACCGGTAGCTCGCAAATCTGGGCGACGGTCGGAGACTTGCCCACCAGTCCGGGCACCAGAGTGGTCTGTGCTGGGATCGTCGTGAACGCATCGCCGCTGCTACTGACCTCGCCTTCGGCCGGATGACGGGCCAGTCTGCCGTTCCAGGGCTCCAGCTCTGTGCTGATGGTGGCGAGGTCATGCGGCGACACAAGATCTTGCAAGATGACCCCGCCATCACGTTCCAGCTGAGCGAGAATGTACTCGATGGGAGTGGAAGCCGGGACCGTTTTCAGACTACATTGTGGCTTGTAGTCGGGATCGATAGGCGACGCAATAGGCAAAGCGAGGCGCGTCATTATGTCTGCTGGATGATTTTCCTTGATGGTGTTTGGGTGGAGGTTCCAAGAAGGCAGGGCTGGGTTGGAACTTGGAAGGACACGAAGCGTAGACACCGCCGTCATACCCGAGATCGGGAGCGCCAGCCGATGTAGGTACAGGATCGACATCTCCGCACTCGCCTCGGATCTCAGAGCTTGGTAGAAGTTAGTCCAGTGCAACCTGTTGAGCTTCGCATCTCTTCACGGCCACGCCTACGGGACATACAATGCATACTCGTCGCGAATCAATGTCCTTCAAACTTCGTAACTCTGACTGAACAATCCGAGATAGGCTCGGCAGGGGGCAACCGGCAAATCCATGGCATCTTGGGTATATACCAGAGTCGATGCTATAAAGGATGTATACTACTTCAACTTCCAATCTGATGGAGCGAGCAGAGAGATCTCATATATTTGAATTTGGTTTAATCGGATCCTTTGCCACATATTATCTCCTTTTGAAGCCCCTTCTCAATGCAGACAAACGAGCTCCAGGAGATTGCGCGCGTCCTACGCACTGCGCGCGAGAAGCAGACCCCCATCCAGGCACCCACCAAAACCTGGCCGGCTCTAGACGCCGACAGCGCCTTTGAGGCGCAACGGATCGGCACGGACGAGGCCGTCAAGCAAGGCGACCGTCTCGTGGGGTATAAGCTAGTACGACTATTAACGATGGCACTTCCGTGCCGCGCAACAAGTACATCAAGCCCTTCGTGGAACTCGAGCCGGCCTTCGTGCTGCGCGCGTCTCTACGCGGGCCCAATGTCACCGTGGTAGATGTGGCCATCGACTACGCCATCCCTGCCATCGAGATAATCGACTCGCGCGTACAGAACTGGGCCATGGACCTGCGCGACACATGCGGCACGTTGCACTTCAACGGCCGCGAGGTGATGACGGGAAACACGGCCAACGTGCTGGGAAATCCACTCTCGGCCGTCGCATGGCTGGTCAACCGATTGGCCGCCTACGATATCGAATTCTAACCGGGGCAGGTGATCTTGCCGGGAAGTTGTCTAGAGGCAGTACCCATGGAGGAGAGGGGGCATTGGAAATGCACCTTTGAGGGCTGGGGCACGATTGAATTTGACGTGGTTTGATGATGGTTGCGAGGCAGTCGTCGGCATCATATAAGACTTGCGGTCGAAATCAAACTTCCGGGCAAGTTCATAAGAAGTGATGGGCAACGGGGTAGTTTCATGGGGCATTGGTAAATCATGATGTCGAATATACTAAGGGCTTCTCGGTGGCCGCTGCAATTAGCAAACGGGGAGATGGCACTCATCTAGTTACCAAGGTCCAAGGGGCAATCAATTTATCTCTCGTCCGTTGGTTCATTAGCTGCTTATGGGACCAAATTGAATAGTTCGCAGGGCGACCATGTCGACAAAAGTGTCCTTTCGTACGGCTTCATTCGTTCCTCACAGGGAATTGGGGCTATAGGCCGGATCACTTTACTCGAATAGAGTTCTTGGTGCTTTTCGGCTGGGTGATCGGCTCGGGAGTATGCCAGGGCAATTTTCATGTGTAGAATAGGCCTATTATTCAATAAATAACAATCTTCAGTCAAAGGCAGGAGCTTCGTTAATTGAGCCTAGGTAGGGAAGGAGGCAAACGGGCATATCAGTACACTAATAATTAACCGGTGGGCTCAAAATGCGGACTTTCGCAACTGACCCGGGTCCAGAACACTGTGACTGACAGGGTTCCCGATCTGGTTGACGATCGAGAGAAACTCATCGGACGAGATACCGATGTTCTCCAAAAATTCCAGGTTGCTGGCAATCGGCGGCAGCACCGAGGGAGAACAGCCGGGATCCCCAAGCATCGACGGCGTCATGGTGGCTGGGCCGGTCAGCGTCGTATCTTCCTCCGGCTCGTGCGTGAGGTCGCCAACATCCTGGTCGGGACTTGCAAGTGTTAGCGTCTGGAGACCACGCCGTTCAATGCGCGCACCCAGCTCGTCAAACAGGCCTTCTAGATGGGTTAGCTCGGTCTTGCGTGTCACTGCGAGGCGATTCCCTTTATAGATCATCTCATCTAGGATAGCGTGCGCCTCCGCGGTGTAACTCTGGCCCTCCGTGGCGTGCGGAAACAGGGTCGTGGCCATCAGCAATAGGATGGCAGCCCCGTAGGTAAACTCCAGCTGGAAAGGCAAGAAAACCTCTTAACTCGGTGTCAGCTTGGAGCAGGTCTGGAGCGCCATCGATTCACTCACCCAAAAGACTGTCTTCGTCCGACAGTATTTGCAGCGTCTTCGCCGCGGATTTGATTCCGGTCGAGATCAGAGTCTTTGTCGGGGCTAGGAAACTCTCCCAGTTTTCTTCCTCGTGCCCTAGCTTGTCCAGTCGTTCCTTTAACACGGATAGCAACAACGGTCGCGTGGCGAAAATCACGCACTGTGGGTCTTGATCAGCGGGCAATGCTCTGCTATATTACACGAGGCACGCTGTTCAAGCTCCCAGATCGTCGGAGCAAGAGATCACCGTATGCCTCCGACTGATGCCTCTGGAATCGTACCTGATGATACAGCAAAGTGATATGGCGCGTGCCTCTGGGCATTGTATCGACCGAATTCTGAAACCTGAGATGAATGATATTTTCGATCTCCTGGGCATGTCCAGCCATGGTTTGCAGGATGGATCTCGTCTTTTCCAGGAAAGTGCCAAGAGCGGTCTTTTCGTTCTTGTATATGGCTTGAGGCAGATGAGTGAGTTCCGGTCCGACATGAGGAGACTGGATGACTTACAAGTGAGGATAAAGGACAGCAGATGCGATAGCTTCACATGTAGACTAAGGGTGGCGTCCCTCTGGGAGCAGGTACTTGGCGGGTCAATCACGGTGGTGATATCGTCATCTTGCGTGGTCATAGGTAGCCCGACTGACGAAGAAAAATGCCGGTCCATGACATACAGTGTCCACCAAAGGTTACGGCACCGCGCCACCGTCTCCACGCCCAGTTCGTCTTCCGGCAACTCCGTATGTAAACCATCCATTTGAGCGATTCGGATGGCCTGGCCTACCTATAGGTTAGATAACAGTCAGTACGCAAGTCCTGTCAAGGGCTTAGGAGGGGGGAGGGGTAGATAATTCTGACGTAGACGTGTGCCGATTCCCGGTGGTCAATGCAATACAAGTACAGACCGGCCAACGCCAGGACCTCAGTCGCCAGTAGACTATCCTTCCAGAGAGATGCGTGGTCGGGAATCAATGACATAGCTCGCACGAAGAATTTCGAGCCCGGCGGATCCTGCGTCGCCCGCGATTGCAGGAAAGCGTTACCAAAGGCCAGCACCAGCAGAAACTGGACGAACCAGAGACGACAATCGGCGGCCTTCTGGGCAGCGGCTCCAAAGTAAAATTCATGCACGTGGGCGAGAAACGTCTCCTCGTCGAAGAAACGATAGTTCTGGTGCAGATGAAATTTCACGGTGTTGAAGAGATACAGCGCGTGGTCAATGGACGGCAGGCCGGTGATGTCCGGCGGGTCGTCGAACGCAGCCGGCCTCCACCGTAGGGGATACACATCGCAGTCCAGAGAGTTGGGAACCGTGTAGGGCGACGGCAGGTGAAGTTTCTCGGCCATCATGACCGACAGTCGCGCGGTGAACGACCATACTGACGTCGGAGCCAGCCAGACTAAGGGGCAGTGGATCGCGTCAGTCAATCCTATCTCCACCACGATCTCCAGGGAAAGGGCGATATACTCCAGTTTCGTTTATTCTTGTAAGAGTTCTTGATCGTCCTCGACGGCAGCGTGAACGGACTGATCCACACGCTACGACCGTTGTCAATGGTCTGATAAGGGGGCAACTCATCATCGCGGGGGGAACCGGTCGCCGCCCGAGTCTCCGGTCCGAACGCCACGTCGACGGTGCGTTTCGTTCCCAGCGACGACTGCGGTTTCTCTCGCGCCTGTCGCTGTAGTTCCTGGAGATATCTAGAGAGTGAGGTCAGCGTCGGGTTCCCAGTATATTATCAACAACGAGTGGGAAGGGCGGGCAGCGACGCACTTCTGGGCCACCGTCACTTTGTTACCTCCTTCGACAAAGTGGCAAGTCAGGGCGCGACGCTGGCAGTTGGCGCAGGGATCGTCGCCCGAGCATTTGATCTTGCTTTGTCGGCATGCCACGCATCTAGCGAATCTCGATCAGAATTCCATGTCCCACATCTCGCGGTCGAACAACAAGGGAGGAGAGAAGGGCTCACGCGTTGGTAGTGCGTCTTAATTTACGTGGTTCGGTTGGCACCTCGGTTGCCATGACCGGCAGAGGATGATACTCCACTGTACAGTCTCAGTTGGCAAGCCGATGAAGGAGGGCCGACAGACACTCCAGGGATCAGATCAGATCATGGTTCGATTGTCTTTTGATATGCGGAGAAGTCCCCGGGCGGTCACGAGACGCTCCCGAACCCCGCAGAGGGTCATCCTGCCTAATCGGGGTGTTCCCCCGCGTTTCTTTTCCCTTTTCGGGGTGGTTTTAGGGCTGGGGATGCATGATGCCCGTTCAACATCATCTGGAATGTAGATTATGTTCACTTTCCGCGGGGGCCGCCACTCTCTTACAGGGTAAATTAGACTCATAGGTACAGTATAGAGGTATATACACCGGTCTGCATCGTCTTACACAACCCCTCACGTGAGATCCCATCCCTCCTGCTCTTCGGCCAAGGGAAAAAAGGAGCGAAGAAATTCACCCGTGACGGGATCAAAAGGAAAGTCCGAGGTCGACAGGGGTGAGGAAGGCAATTTTGGCCCTTCCGCCTCGGCCCTACCGGCGCAGTTTGGTTGCTGCCGTAGGTGGTCAGGGGGCGGTTGGGTTGGAAGAGCAGGGGGGAACGGGACCAGGTCGCTGACATCGTAGCCCCTCCCGCGGGCAATGCGTCGAAGACTACTATCGCACAGCTCCCAGCCGCGGCGAGATGCATGGCTGTGGACTGACATGGCGGAGAGCCACCGAACCGCTTTTTTGCACTGTTGCAAGATCGTCCCGTCGGCTCCGGGCATGTGAACGCAGCGCCAGGAAAGCTCCAGGAGAAGAACCGCCGCCGACTGCATCACGTAATGAAGGATACACCACCATGGGCATGTCCGGTAGAGCCAGCGCGCGTCGGGGGCATCCGGAATCAGGTCCAGCATTCCGCAGGCTGACTCCACGGCCATGCGTGCGGTCTCGCGACTGAAGGATTCCTCCTTCTGCGTGTCGCGGCGACAAAGGCAGGGGCGACCCACAGTTAATCGCGAGCTGTAGAACTGAAAGGCGAGGAAAAGCTGACCGCAATCCACCGCAGACTTGGGATCGGAAGAACGCATTATATTGTATTCCCGAGGGAGGTTCGAGTGCCAAAAGTCAATGCGAGCTCTCTGACTTTGAATACGGCCCTCTATCTCGCGCCATGGGATCATGCAACAATCAGGCGAATAAACCTGATTGACAGTCCCTTGATTGATCACCGCTAGGTCTACGGAGTGGGTAAATTCCAGGGCACGGCTGGGCGGGAGGCTTCTGAACCATGCCCTTTGCTCCTCATTTCCCGGGTTGCTCAATTGTGTTCCCCCTGGAGGATGCCGGTAATGAAAGGCCAGGCATGACTCCATGGATTGTTGATGAAACTCATGGTCGGTTAATAGATGGGTGGCCATTGGTGAAGACAGCTGCTCCTCTGCCAGCGGCAAAGGAAAGGGTGTTTTACTGATGCCATCGGGCATACACGTCGTCCGGCCCGTCATGACGCCTAGCAGATTTTCAAAGGTGTAGAGACACCACCAGACACGGTAGCGCGATTCTTTCGAGGCGGGCATGGTGGTCACGCTCGTGTCTCGCAAATTGAGGCCTAGAGAAACCGATGACCGAATGGCCAGGGAGATGATTCGCCAGGCCCTGGAAGCCGATGGTTACCGTTGGCTGACGAGCATGCCAGGCTGTGGTTGTGCAACAAGAACTCACCTGTTGATGTGATCGCATGCAAGCAGATAGAATGCCGTCAGGCCTTCGACCTGGACTTGCTGCAAATCCGGGTGGCTGAAGAGCACGTCCCCATTCATGCTGAGAATCCGAGCGCGCGTTAGGTATACCAGATGGTCGTCCTTGTTCCCGCGCCAGGGGGCCTGGGTGAGGTGGGCGTGCTTCGCGGCGATGGCAAAGATGAGGTTCAAGATAGCCAGCCACTTGTCTCCCGGTCGTACGGAGCCCCCAAAGAATTTGTCAAACTGCGTTTGGAATAGCGGACGATTAATAATTGGGAAGAACGGGTGCACCGTATCTAGATAATCGGCGAATAACTGGTCTGCAATCGGCCGGGGCGGCATCTGGTGTACTGGCACCGGGCCCGGTACCGAGATTTCCAGCATGTCCAGATGATAGTTCACGGCCGGCAGCGAGTCCTCCGTCTCGCCCTCGTCGTCGGGGAGTCCCGTCGACTGTCGCAAGTACCCCTGGGCCTCCCTCTGTACCTTCTGCATCCATGTGACCTCGGAGTTCTTCCCCATATAGCCTGTGGCACGAGCGCTGGGCGATCGGTTCAAATCCTCTTCGACACAATCATTGGCGTCCAGCGATCCAACGGACGAAGGCGAACTGGGGGTGTCTTCTTCGGTGGACGCTTTGGACCGGGGGAGAGGCGACTGGATTCCATCGTCAACGGCATACTGGTGCGGATCGTTAGCGACGCGAACATAGACGTCAGATGCCACGCCGCGGACTTTGTACCGACCTTGCTCAGCATAGTCTCGATGCGGTCGGCAGCGCGACCGTCGACATAGGCGCCGATATCCCTGAGAAGGGACTCATATTCATCGATCTGCTCAAAGAGATGGTTGATGCGTCTGAGGGTCCCGGCGTCCGTTAACGACTCCCTTCGCAGCGCAGCAACAATCAACATACCCTTGGGTTCGATCTCGCCATGACAGCGGATAGCGACACGGAATGCGCATCTCCTTACACTGGCGACACACCGGCGTGTCGCCGCTACATTTAGTCTTCCGTTGTCGACACGTTTCGCATGCCAAACGCACGCGGCGGGCATGTCGAGCCACCGATTGCGAGGCTTGCCGTGGAATGGCAACCTTGTGTACCGGCCTAGGGGGCATCTCCATCTCGCTCGTCGCCGGGCGTCAAGTGTGGATCTCCCGGACAGAGGCCAAGCTACTCTTGGGGGAACCTAGCATAGGGATGCCTTGTTCACCTCATGCATGTGTCCACGGTGTATGGACGGGAGTTTGAACCGCCAGAAGAGTGGAAAAAGGGAAGGCTTCCAGACCTCGTGGGACCCAGAGGAATCTCGGGAAGTCAATTGTTTAGCGTGAAGACTGAGGTCAACCTGAGCTCATGCGTGGCGATTTGCGCGGTGATGGCCGAGGGAAACCAGGTACAAATGGCGTCATCATACGTCATTAGGGTTTGTAGTCTCCGCTGCTTTCCATTTATTTTTTTTTCTTTTTTTTTTAGAACTTACACATTCTTCGCCAGTTCTTTTTTCCCGGTACTTTGGAATGTCAGTCTTTCCTTCCAAGTCCCTCCCCGCATAGATCTTCTATAACTAAACCCATTAAAACTTTTCGAGGCTCGTATCCTACCAGGACCTCTAGATAGATCGGGTCCCCAATGTCGGCGCTCATCGCGAGCGATGCCTTGAGCGACTGCTCCGCTCTCAACAATTACGGGTTAAAGGCAAGTGCTTTGATGGTCGTCCGGGATGGCAGCTGGCTAACGCAGACTCACATGGGGAAAAGTGTTCGCCTGTAGCTCCTTGCCAGAGCTGCCAGAACGGAACTCCTAACGGCGTGGCGAGGCCGTACACCCATCGCGACAGTCTCCTCGATGATCTCTTGGAAGCTTTGCGGTCGTTGCACGAGCAAGATGCGTATGCCATGCTCAAACTGGTTCGGGAAAATACCCCGTTCGATCAGATCCGTGGCTTTATCAACCATGCGCTGGGCCGCGTACGGGCCCAGTCAGACGACGAGGGCTCCGTTCGCAGACTACAGACCATCCAGCATAGCATGGAGACGTACAGCCGAGTGCCGCCGTTTCGGCCAAAGATCATGGATCTCCGGCTGCTAAGTCGCCATGCGCCCTACCGGGTCCCGGCAAGTCCCTGGACGAGCGTGACCGACGACGACGACTTGGTGTCTCACCTGGTCTCACTGTATTTCACCTGGGACTATCCATTCTATGCTTTTCTCGACCGCCACGTGTTGGTCAAACATCTCGTCGTGGGCAACGTTTCTTCCGACTTCTGCAACCCATTCCTGGTCAATGCTCTACTGGCGAATGCTTGCGTACGAACCCTTGGCCCCCCGGCAAGAAACTTCGTTAACACATTTCCCGGCTTGATAGCACTATTCACAATACTACTCAGAAGCATATGTGGTCCCCGGTGACATCAAGACGATGGGGACCAAGTTCCTGGCCGAGGCCGAACAGCATTTGCAAACCCACCAGTTTGAATCGGGGACCAATGTCCGACTAGCGTCCTTGCAGGCCACCCTACTCTTATATGAAAGGTGATGCATACCATGCCGCGGAAATGCTCAGGCGATCGTCTAACTCATCAATCTTGCCTCCCAGATACTCGATGTCGGGCGACGACGACCACGGCTACTCCATGCTGCATCGCGCCACGGAGATGGCCGAGGCACTGGGGATTATCAATAGTCCGCGGCTCAACCTTGACCCGTCGCGAATGTCGGAGGACATGATTACCTCAATCAAACGAACCGCCTGGGGTTTATTCCAGATCGACACGTAAGTGGGACGCCCGGCGCTGTCCTTGGCTGTGTCTTTGCTCGTGCTCACATTTCGCCGACCCGACGACAGTGTGGTTCACGCGAATTTCTTGCGACCCAGCCGCGTATTCGAAGTGAGCGTCATTCCGATAGACCGCGAGGAGAACGACGAGATGGATGTCTGGGCCCCGTATCCGATCAGTCAACGGGGTCGGGCGTCGTGGTTGAGCCAGTACTTCGACGAGGCCTGCCGGCTCTCCGTCATTGCGCGAGATATCTCGCGCGGTTTGGAGGCGCACTCCGAGCCAGATCCCGATCTCCGGCCACACAAACGGGCACTCTACGACAGGCTTCGCCGATGGGAGGAAGAACTGCCCCCCGAGTTTGCGCCCGCCCAGAAACCGGCGTCTCACATACTTCTTCTCCGGTGCGGACCTTCCCTCTACCCAGCCCTGTCCGCCAGAGTAGGCTAATGCCTTTGGGCCTTCTAGGATGCGATATCACGCCCTGCTGATCAACCTGCTGCTCAACGGGTTAGGTGGCAGCCTCCCCTTTCATCCGCCCCATCTGCGGAAGCCTCGGGAACAGTCCGACACGGCCCTCAGTGCGGAGGCCTGGGACACGGCACTCTCGTCGGCTCGCGAGATCGCCAGCCTCGTTCGGCTACATCGCGAGGAATTCGGCATTGTTCGGGCCCACCAGTACATCATGTATACGATCATGTTAGCCTTGTTCACTCTGCTGGAGCACCCCTCGTTCGAGCTTCTGGACCCCGACTTCCTGTCCCTGACCAGCTCCCTATCCGTCGTGACCAGTTGCTCCCGCGTCGGAAAGAATCTTTGGCGCATCTTCCGTCAGTCCGTGCGCGCCCGGGTTCGAGATCAGGCAGTCGTCGACGCGGGCGACTCATCGGGAAGACGGTCGTTGTCGCAGAGCTCCTCGTTGGCCACGGATCGATGGGATCACTATGCCGAGGCGCTGCGAAAGCTGGCCGATAACGACGGCTCCGAAGAGAGCCCGTCGAACTACGTGGCCACGAGCATTGGGAATATGCTAGGCATGTTCGAGACTCTCAGTCTGGGCAATCAAGAAGACATACAGGCCCGAGAAGAGTCCAGCGCCTTTCGCTTCTCGCCGTCATGACACGGGATGGGGAGGGAAAGAGTCGGACAGCAGCAGCAATGTGTATATCGTGTACGATTCCACCGAATCAATTCCATCAGTAACTGTCCCTTCCACTGTAACCTAATCAATCAGTAATAATCAGTCCAGGCCGCGTGGGATCGATCCACTAGACCGCGGCGCCTCGGGTTACCGCATGAGGCAACTCGGACAGCCGGGCCTCAACTCCGCGCGACTCCACCTTACCTTCGTCCTTCGTCCTTCGTCCTTCACCCTTCATCCTTAATCGTTCATCCTTCAGCTTCAATCTTCTATCCGAACAGTTCCTGGTGAAACGAAGCTCTGACTCACTGGCACGTTTGCTTTTTCTCAAGTGACTCGCCCCTGTCTCGTTAGGTTTTTCTCCTACAGTTCGTATGAAAGTCAACATCCCGAACAGAACAACAACGGGGCACATCTATCGCTCGCTATTAGCACTGTGCTCTCTCGTGATGGCTACCGAGACGCAATCCCAGCCCCCCAGCTTGGTCTTGCAAGCCCGAGGCTCGCCGTCGGTCGCGCCTGACGAACGCGCCGAGTGGCAGCGTCCGACCCGCCCACCGTCGCCGTATATCAAGGTGTTCAGTGCCGGCTTCTCATTCTTCGTCGCCGGGGTCAATGACGGGAGCTTGGGGTCGGTCATCCCCTATCTGATCCGCACGTACGAGATCGACACGAACATGGTGGCCATCCTGTGAGTCCGTCCCGACGACGTCTGACCCGGTACTGACGACGGGGCCAGCTACGCCTGCACTTTCCTCGGCTGGTTTGTGGCCGCCTTTTCCAATAGCTCCCTGACACAGTATCTGGACCTGGGCTCCCTTCTCAGCGTCGGCGCCGCTCTCCAGATTCTGGCGCATGTCCTGCGGGTCTGGTTGCCGCCGCTGCCGCTCTTCGCCGTCACCTTCTTTCTCGCCAGTCTGGGCCAGGCGTACAACGACACGCACGCCAACAACTTCGTTTCCACGCTCCCCGCCGCTCACCGGTCTCTCGGGTTCATCCATGCCATGTATATGGCCGGGTGTCTCGTGGGACCGTTGATCGCGACCGCGGTCGCATCGGCCAACCCCTACTCCCAGTGGAACCTCTTCTATGCTTTTCCCCTGGGTATTGGAGTGGCCAACCTGGCCCTCGTCGCCGTCGCGTTCCGAGATCGTTTCGCGGGGATGGCGCAGGTCCGTCCATCCGGTCGCTTGAGCGACGAGGGACGCGGCAAGGCCGCCTGGACGGAAATCCGGGTGACACTGTCCACTCCGGGGGTCTGGCTGCTCAGTCTGTTTTTCTTTTTCTTTCTGGGGTCATCAATCACGGCCGGCGGTACGGTGATCCGGGCTTCCTGTCCTCATTCATGCTAACGATGCCCAGGGTGGATGGTGGAGTATCTGGTGATCGTCCGGGACGGGGACATGAAGAACATCGGATACGTCTTGACCGGATTCTACGGTGGATCCTTCCTCGGACGACTAGTACTGGCCGAGCCCACGTATCGATTCGGCGAGCGTCGAATGGTCTTCGTCTATGCGGTACTGTGCGTGGGCTTGCAGCTCGTGTTTTGGCTGTATGATCCCGCCTGGCCGTCTTTATGTTGAATCGCCCCGGCGAACACTAACCTGCGACAGAGTGCCAGAAATCGTGACCGCTGCCGTGGCTGTCAGCTTTCTAGGCTTCTTCTCCGGTCCCTTCTTCGCCACGGTAAAGTGACGCGCTCTCTCTACTTCTCGATCCATTGCAATTGACCGTGTAATCGTCAGGGCATCAACGTGGGGTCCCGGATGTTCGGGCCTGAGATCCGATCCTCGGCCATTGGTAAGGTCTCCCGACGCGTTTTAACTGTGAATTGGCTGTTTGGGGCTGGCTGACAGCGATAGCGTTCGTGTTTGTGCTCGGTCAGATCGGCGGCTCCATCTTTCCGGCCGTCACCGGAATCATCGCGGCGCGCGTGGGCGTGCAAGTGCTGCAGCCGATGCTGGTGGGATTGCTGGGCGCCGCGGGCCTCAGCTGGTTAATTTTACCGCGCGACGTCGAGCTGCATCGTGATTGAAGCTTTTGTCTCGACGCGTGTGAGACAGAGCCAAGACCGCCACTGGATGTTGATTACGTCATCATCGAGTTTGCCTAACAACTGGCAGTATGGTCCGTACAGTAGATCAGACTCTCAATCTTTCTCGGGATATTGGAGCATTTTGTAGCGGTGTAGTAATGACGCATGGGGCGGATGGCGAGGAAAGCTCAGCCTGGAGATTCTGGTTGCGCAATGCTCCGATGGGGGAACTATATATATCAACGGTCTAGTTAGTGCTATACAAGTAACTTAACAAGCGGACCAAGACCACCGCTGTGGGTAAGCGCATTGACCGAGCTTAGGAAGAAAGTCCATGACAGGGTATTGTACATTCGACCGAGGTCGAATTTCTGTCTACTTTGCTTCCTCTTGCACGGATCAATAGAGATGAAGATGTTCTGCCAGCTGGCGAGCATAACTAACCGGATCCATTGACTGCTGAGTCATCTATACTGTGGATAAATTTGCCAGTGAAGGCTTGGCATGATGACTAACTCTATCACAGCCACCGCCAAGTCTTTCTGTCTGTCTCACTTTTCTTTTCTTTTCTTCTCTTTTCTTTTTTTCTTTTTTTTTTAAAAAAAGAGAAAAATACTGAGGGCATACTCCGTACAGTAGAGAGAAAGAGAGACGGCATTGGAAGCCAACATGCTTTTGTCTGCCCGCCGGGCGATCGTCGTCGCTTGTGCCGCCGTCACCTCGTGTGTCTTGCTGATAACTTTCTGGAAGGCCTCCAATGCGCTGGCCCCCTCGGGGAGCCTAAGCAAATCGACCTTCCAGGGGCTTAATGCCCATTGGACCAGCGAGAGACTCGAGAAGCGCTTTGCCTACGTACAGTATGCGACGGACCTGGATTATCTCTGCAATGCGGTTAGTTCCGACTACCTCACTCTACGGAGTACAAGCCTCGTGTTCTGATGCCAATGATGACTGACTCGCCGCCAGATGATCAATTTCTCACGACTGCGGCGCTTTGGTGTCGAATATGACATGGTGCTGATCTACCCGACCGACTGGGACGAGGTTCGCTGCATCTCTTTGCTCCCTTGTACTCTACCTCGGATCGTGGTGCTCACTGGCAGATAGGATGCGTCATCGCGGGAGGCCCGGTGGATAAAGAATATTCGCTCCCTACATTCCCATGTCAAGCTGCGACCATTTCACCTGCTCACAACGTCTCAAGGGGATCCGACTTGGCAGAAGAGCCTGACCAAGTTCCATGCCTTCGCATTGACCGACTACTCGCGCGTGATGGCCTTCGACTCCGACTCTAGCGTGCTCAACAACATGGACCACTACTTCCTGGCGCCTTTGGCGCCCGTCGCCGTTCCCCGTGCGTACTGGTTGGACGGCGACGACACATCCGTCAAGGCTCAGATCCTCGGGTCGCACGTCATGCTGATCGAGCCGAACGAGGGCAATTACCGGCGTATTCTCGACGAGGCGCTGGCGTCCGGCGATTTCGACATGGAAGTCTTGAATCATCTCTTCAGTGACTCGGCCATGATCCTGCCTCACCGCCGGCTCGCCTTGCTCACGGGTGAGTTCCGCGCCGCCGATCATCAGAGATACATGTCCGAGGACAAGGACCAGACATGGAATGCGCACGCGGAACTCTCGCGCGCCTACCTGGTGCACTTTAGCGACTGGCCGCTGCCGAAGCCGTGGAAACCGCGCAGCGAGGAGCAATGGCAGTCGCTGATGCCGCCGTGCCCCGAGGACGACGTCGAGACGACGGACAAGCCTCGATGCGCCGACCGCCTCTCGTGGACCAGTCTGTATGAGGATTATGACTATGACAAGACGCACGTGTGCGCCGCATTGGCTGCTTGACCCCTCGGGCGAGACCGGGGGTTTCAGAGTATATAGAAACAGACAATATATCAATTTCTCCGGTCTGCAGAACTCGACCCCCACAGTTGGTTTTGTGTGTCACTCCCGGGGTGGATCCTGCACGGACGAGGTGCCAAGGGGGTTTGATGGCGAAAAATGGGTCCTCGGACCTTTGCAAGGCCGACAGTCCGATCTATAGACGATTATTATAAATCGCGTCGATGCTTATTCACGCTGATTCATCACCAATGCGCAATCTTTCCGTGGATACAGTTCACGCGAGCTTATCGATAGGCTCGCTTGAGCCGTTTCATAATGTGGGTCCGCCAAGGCTTGATTTATAAGCAGAACGATTCGCGCGACCTTAAATATCTTACAGTAATCCGCTTTCCATGAAAAATTCAACTTTCTTTCTTATTTCTTCACCACTCCCTATTCCGGTCCGTCAAGCGCTTCTTAAGCGATTACAAAGTACTTTCTTACAAGTCATACTATGGATTCTACTGCAGATCCCTTGAATGAAGTAATCGATGTGGATGCTTTGACTACAGTAGGGAAAACTCCCAAGCTTGCCGGCGCTTGGTAACCGCTTACTAAGTGCTTATAGGAACCCGAAGATGACATTCCAATTCCGTTGACTCATGCGAAAACAAAGCCTCTTACTACACTAAAGGTTGAATATATTGATGATCTTCCTGAATACCCTCAATCTCATTTGCAAGGATATTCATATATTGTTGCATCAAGAGGACGATCATATGATGAATGCAAAAACCTACTATCAGAGGTACAGAACCACTTAATAACCGCTTGATAAGTACTTACGGTCTTAGGTTCAATATGCGAAGCGGCAAATCTGTGGTCGTAAAGAATCGATTTTTTGTTCATTTTTGGATTGTTTTGTCAGCCGAATCACATGGAATTGCTCAGGAATTAAAACATGCGAATTCCTTAATTCTGATCTCAGATTACATCATCATACTGCAGTAGATGAAGCTTTGTGGGAAAGGATTCGAAAGGCTCGTCGAAGCATTCAACTTTCTGAGACAGATAGGACCAAACGAAATGCATACAGGTATTATGACCACTTACAAAGCAGTTAGCAAGTACTTGATCTAATTTTTCCAGTTTTTTTCGAATGCTTACGCAGCGTTTCAACCGAGGGCATGCATGTGTTGAAAATCGGGAATCATGTAAACCGCTTTTTAAGCGGTATAATCAAGTGGTAAGCATTATTTCCTCTAAGTGCTTAGGAACTGTTTAACAACTACTTTAGAACGCTATAGGAGAACGTCAACCCTATATTGCTTGTGTCAATGATCTAGGGGGTCAGAATCCTTCTCATCTTCGAGAGTCTATTCCAAATCATACAAATATGGATATAGGCTTCTTAGAAAGTCTTTGTAATGAAGATTTACTACCTTCTTCTGAAGAATGTGGTAGTTTTGAACCTGTTACCTCCAGAAGACAGTGGTGCGGTATGTTATCTTTTTAATTACTTGCTAAGCGATTATTAACTGCTTATCCAGATCAAGACCATCCGCAAGGAAGTGGACGGATTATTACAACTAAATGCAATGTTAAATTCAGTGCATTATTGCCTCTACAGCTTCAAGAATGTCCATATTTCATCTTCACTTCGCATGGGATTCATCAACATATACCACCACCTCCAAACAAGCCTCCAGAACAAATTTTAAATGGAGTGCAAAGAATTATTCGTGAGCTTCGGGATCCTACTTTAACAACGTGTAAGTACTTTCTAACCGGTTACGGACTGCTTTTTAAACTGCTTAGAATAGCTCAATTTCTCCGATCTCCACAACTTGAAAAGTTTTGTGAGCAGTATAATTCTTCAACCTTAGCTCAAATCCATTCATCTTTTTCAAATAAAGATCGAATCTCTGCAATTATTCAAAAAGAACGTCTTCTTTCAAATCCTGCAGGTCAAGGATTGAATGGTTTAATCTTTTTACAAAATCGGGATCCTTTAATAAAAGTAAGTACTTAGTAACCGCTTCTTAAGTAGTTACATTTATTTACTTTACTTAAGGAATATCTACGAGAATACTATCATGATTCAAATGGTAGTATGGCTTTTTGCGCATTCAAAGAGCAAATTCAGCTTCTTTCAGAATTAGGCTCATTTGAAGTTGATATGTCATACAAACGGATCCGTACAAAGGACTTTAATGAAGTTCTTTTTTCAACTTTTCTGACCGACCAGAAGAAAAGTGAGTAAACAGCAGTAAAGTACTATTTAAGCGCTTACTAACTGCTTTATAAAGTTGTTACCCTCTTACGCGTCTTTACCAACCAGGAAACAACAAAAGGCTATTTTTTACTTTTTAAACGAGCTTTTCAGCTTATTGCAAAGGTAACAAGAAAGCCAGTTGTGTTCTATCCTATTCATGGCAATGGGATTTACGGTATAATTGTTGATATGGATAATAAACAATATACTGGTAAGTACTTATCAACTGATTGACAAATGCTTTCTAAGCGCTTCTATAGGTCTGGGGCAATATCTGTCTGAAATCGATCCGGAACATCGAGATTATATATGGCAATTGCAGAATATAATTGTATTCTGTAAAGTCCATTTCCAACGATCGATTTTGACTGCGATTGGCACTCAAAATCATGGTAGTGGCGTATGGAGTCGAATGATGAGTCTTATTGAATGCAAATCAGAGGAAGACTACGATGAGTTGATAAGATTATTAACTAGTATAACTACTTATTAACTACTTGAGAAGCGCTTGCTAACTGCTTATACAGCCTTGGAAGATCACAATGTACGAAATTGGGCTCTACACAAAAGTCGACCAATTATTAAAGCAGGTTTGAATAAAGCCTGTTCAAGAATTAAGCCTGTTTTCTTTCAATCCCTTCGCGATCATACAAATGCGGTTGAGCAATCTCATGAAAAGTCATATGCCTCAGGAAAGTTTTTACCGTTAACTGAGGCTGCTAGAAAGTACTTAGTAAGCACTTTCCAAGTATTTATGATAATACTAATAAGACTATAGCTCTGCGAAGCTTGATCAAAATGATATTGAGCAATATTTGCACTTTGATCAATATAATATTCATCATAGCTCGCGAACCTCTAGTATAGAGACACATTATCGGAGACACCTTTACCGTGAGTTCCCCCAAGTACTTATCAACCGCTTAGCAAGTGCTTACCCCCTCTTTAGGATCCCGCAAACGCCCTAGATCGAACTCTCAAGGTTCATTATATGACCCTGAAGAAAGGCCTCAATCTCAGGCCGTCTCTCAGTCACGGTCTCAATCATCAAGGCGTAGTAGAGACAGCGAGTATATTTCCCCCCTGCACAAGTACTTAGCAAGCGCCTAATAAGTACTTAGATCCGTTCGATCAACCACCAATCTTCGTCGTCTCGCTTCAACCAATACCCTTTCGGCCGAGCAGAAACGTCAGGAACTTGAGCTTAAAAAGCTTGAAGCTGATATACGAAAGCAGGAGGAAGAGACGCGATTGCAACAGCTACGAAATGAAGAGTTGGAATTGAATCTTATTGAGCGCCGGCGCCAGTTGCAAGATGATATAAATACTTATTAAGCAGCTTCTAAGTGCTTTTGCTAGGTTGAAATATATTTCCTTGACCGTAAGCGCTTTATAACTGATTAAGGGGTCCCTTGCAAGCATTTTAGTGGCGGACCCTTCTAAATATAGAAGATATATATTCTATGATATATCGAGCTTCGGTAAAGGAATGATTCCATCTAAGCACTTATAAACTACTTGAGGTGATAATCTACTTTTTGGTAAGGAAGTTTTTCAAGTGCTTAAGAGGCACTTCTCAACTGCTTCACTTGAACTAACTAACCACGGCCATGTTTTTCCCCCCAAAAAAAAATGCTTAAAATCCTGGGCCGTTGGCCAAATCAAAACGCCTCCCTAGTTCACGTAACCAGTTGCAAACCACTTAAAAAACACTTCCAAAGCGCCTGTTTTTTTAAAAAAGAAAATTCCCCCGAACTCCTGTAACCGCTTGGAGACCGCTTAACAAGCACTTGATCCCTGGTATTTTTTTTTTCAAGCATCGTTTTCCTCGGCATTGACGCCAGCATTTTCCTGCTCATCGTTGTGGGTAGCCGGGGCCAATTTGTCGCAATTAAACAACAAGAAATGCTCGCAAAGATTGATATCTTTGCAACAATTTCTACGGTCGCCACAACTGCCGCAGGGAATCTTTTTGCCCATATTTCTGACCAGCTTCCGCATGTCCGTGATATGAACCTAAGCAGTCATTAATCGCTTGCCAAGCAGTTAATGAGTGGTTATAATCTTACCTTTCCGTCCTTTTTAGTCAGGGGCAAAGCTGGCAGGGGAATCGAGGCATTGCCAGAACCAAATCTGCCGCCGCTACTGCCGCCGCCAGTACCTTCCTCAAGCTGGGGCTCCTCACCGGAAAAAAGGTCCTTGTACCATTCTAAGCAGTTGTAGAGCAGTTAGCAAGTGCTTGAGAATCAGTTGTAATCATATTGAATATCCGTACTGATGGACCGATCCATTTCCTTCTGTCCGACCCGACCGCCCTTGTTATCCTCTGCCAGGCTGATGTTTTCATGCGCTTTGAGGTGGGTGCGAAGGTTATTGGTAGCCGTGTATTTCCTCTAAGCAGTTGACAAGCAGTTAGCAAACAGTTAAAATCATTTTATTTTTTTTTTCACCTGGCCCTTGGCGCAATCCTCCTTCCGGCAAAAAAGCTCTCCGTAGTAGATAATCAGGTTGCCGGCACTATCCTAAGCAGTTCCAAATCAGTTAGCAAATACTTGAGAGGCTGGAAACAAAAGGTTTCCTCGAAGTACTTATAAAGCACTTCTCAGTTCCCTTTCTGAAAGGTTTCAAACCGCTTTCACTCAAGTGCTTAAAAAGCACTTTTCAAGCAATCTTTCCCTCCCTTTCAAGTATCCTTTCCACGAAAAGATTGCTCAAATGGAAAACGGAATGAGGTAGGAATCAGACAGAAAGAAGGCGAAAATAAGGCTTACCGTTTCGTAGGGGGGGAGGGTGAGCTGCCCAGTGGGCACCATACGCAGATACCAGCAGTACCACTTCTGAGGGGAAAAGTTAAAACAACTGCTTCGAAAGCGCTTGATAAGCGGTTACTCACATTTTTCGCCAGATTTGCCATCGTGGCGGCTCCGAAGCGGTTGCGGAGCGGTAAATGAGTATTTGTAATGAAGAGTGTATCAGAGGGCTTTATAAGTGTTTGGAAAGTGCTTTATTGAAGAAAGAAAGAAGGGGGGGGGTCGAAGAAGGTGGGTTGAATACGAAGGTAAGGTGGTGTAAGAGGTCGTGCGAATTGAAAAGAAAAAATTTGGTGGTGCGAACGTCACGTGACCAAATCCTGCTTAATAAGCGTTTTCGGCTCGCGGGACCCACTTTCAAGAGGTCAGGTCAGCTGCAACCACAATCTTTCCTGCGTGTCAATAGAGGGAGAACGAACACGGCAGTTCGTAAAACTATATATAATGAGCTAAACACCGACCGGTCAAGGAGAACCGGCAACACGATTGATTTTCTCATAGTTTCCACCCCCCCCCCCCCCCCCGACAGGCCAACGACGTGCACAGCCATACCGATTCACTCATCGACGATGTCCGAAATCAAACCCATTCAAGTCTGGGGCAAAGGAGGCCCAAACCCGCCCAAAGTAGCCGCCGTGCTAGAGGAACTGAGCCTCCCCTACGAGGTGGTCGCCGTTCCACTGTCGGACGTGAAGAAACCCCCCTACCTGGCCATCAACCCCAATGGCCGTCTGCCCGCCATCCACGACCCGAATGCGGACCTGACGCTCTGGGAATCCGGGGCCATCGTTGAATACCTGGTGGAGCGGTACGACGCCGAGCATCGATTGAGCTTTCCTCGGGGCTCCAACGAGGCCGCGCAAGCCAAGCAGTGGCTCTTCTTCCAGGCCACAGGACAAGGACCGTATTTTGGCCAAGCGGTCTGGTTCAAAAAGTACCATCCGGATCGCGTTCCCAGCGCGGTGTCCCGGTACGTCGGCGAGATCAATCGAGTGACGGGCGTCCTGGAAGGCCAATTGGCACGACAGGCGGGCCAAGGGGGAGACGGGCCCTGGCTGGTAGGAGGGCGATATTCCTATGCCGACCTCGCCTTCCATTGCTGGCAGACTCTCGTGACATATGTCATCCAACCCGAAGACGGCTACACGGTGGAGGATTATCCGCACGTCAAGGACTGGCTGGCTCGCATCTCGGCTCGTCCGGCGGTGAACAAGGCGATGGGCGATGCCCAGCCCTTGAAGTAAAGCGGGCATTGTGGGGTGTACCTCAAGGGGCTGGTTGTTGGGGTTGTTCTTCCTTCTGTATCCTTCATAGTTCTGAAAAGCCTCATCTTCACTGCGAGCCAGGCAGTGGGTACAATGGTTGCTGTAGATGTAATGTCAAATAATAAGTGCTCAAACATCAATCGCTCGCATGGCTTAGTTGGTAAAGCGCATGACTAGTAATCATGAGATCCTCGGTTCGAATCCGAGTGTGAGCATATCTTTTTGTTATTTTTCTCTCCATTCTCTTTACGTGTCAAGGATCATCCATTATCATTTTTGCATTGAACTGGAAATTCTGAAAACCCCTATATACAACCATCTACCTGGTGTTGGGCTTGTTCCATTGATCCCTGGGCGACCCATCCGGGCGTCCTTTTCGATCCCTACTACCAGCATGGAAACCTTTACAGTAACACTGGGCAAAACCAACAGAACTGAGTTGATGGATATAAAACTCCCAGCATTGCAGCAAGATGCCCGTCAAAGCTTTTCCAATGGCTCGTTCGACGACAGGACAGCGTCCCTCACCCACTGCACCTCCGCCGCCAGCAAGTCGGGACGGATTAAATGGACGTGATGGCCACAGTCTGGCACGTCCACAAAACGATGAGTAGATGACAGCTGTAATTGCGCCATTTGCATCCTGCGGTCCACCGAGTCCCAGCGATCTAGCAATTGGCGAAACGAGCTGCGTTGAGCTTCTGTGCCGTGGCCGGCCGCTACCCCGGCCTCGTAGATGCGTTCGTAGTCATGCGAGCTTCGGGCTCGGAGAACGACCAAAGGCTTCGTTCCCAAGACTTGCCGGCGATATTGATCTTTCCGCCCCAGGGTCTCACATATCTCTCGGGCGGAGCCGGCCTCTGCCTCGGCCATTGACTGGCCGCGTGCGATGCTGGCCGCTCGTGTGCGCCATTCGTCGCGCGATAGCCGGGCCCTGTCGCGCAAGCCGGTGACCCGGGCGAAGTTTAAGTCTCCCTGGACGGCGTTGATGGCCCGGCGATGCTCGTCATCGACCAGCATGATCTGTTCTTCCGTCGCCGCGTCCACCAGCACCAGGCCGGCCACCAGGCCGGGGTACCGCTCCAGGTACTCGCGTGCGACGATGCCGCCGTATGAGTGGGCCACTAGGAGAAACGGAGGCTCGAGCCCGGCTCGGACTTGCAGCAGGCGTAGTTCCTGGGCTGCGGTCGTCGCGCGTGGGGGACCAGGGCCGTCCTGGCTGCGACCCAGCCCCGAGCGGTCGTACAACATCGTGGGTGCGAATGCGCCTACGAGTCGCGCCACGGCCACAAACGAGGCACACACGTCCCCGGCGCCGGCTATAAAGACAACCAGCGGGCCGCCGGGAGCGCGGGTGATCCCCTGGAGTGAAAGAAAGAGACTGTGGGTTCCGATATCCACCAGCGATTCCGTAGGCTCCATGGTTGGGATGTGAGGAAAAAGCGAGAGGGTTCGTCGCCTGCGTGAGTCCTGAGGAGACGTTGGGCGACTTGGGTATCCCTTTCGCCAAGTCGCCAATCAGACACCACGCCGCGTTAACTAGTTAGTGTTGGGCGACGAAGATGACTAACATCGTCAACCTGCTGGTATATTTCTATCACTACTTTCTGCATGGCGAAGGGGGTGCTGATTGATCGAAGAGGCCATGTGACTGCAATTGCCCTAGGATGGCGCGCCTCCCCCGACCCAAAAACCCGGCATTGCAGGAGAATTACGGCACCCATCGAAAGAAATTAATGATAGGGGTAATGGCTGTGGCTTCTGGTCTAGTCACAAGCGAAAATCATGCGTCCGAATCCACGGATAGACAACGTGGACGAGTGAGCACAAAATCCCATACGTAAAGTGAGTCATTTCCCCCTTTAGGCAATTGTGAAACAGTAAGTGCCTCCCCAAGACTACGAGGACAAGGTTCTCCTTCTGTGCATGCATTTGTCGGCTTCCTGAGCCCTTTCCCTGGTTGTGACGGTGCCAATGGACACGGCGCGCCGGATACGAAGAGTATAAGGTCTCCATGGCCATGGCATCATACAAACACCTTTTGAGTCACTGCTTATAAATAATGAGCGGGGTGGTTGCCTCTCAAAATTCCTGTTGAAGGGTTTATAAACATGCGCGCACAACGAGGATAGGCGTCTCAGACTCGCTCATCCTAAGCCCACAGTTTCCTCCTTCGGTATCTCTTCAGTGAATATTCAACCAGACCACAAAGTTCCCATTCATCTCATCACCCATTGGGGCCCTATTCTGGCAAGAGAGTCATCATAGTCGGCGGTAGTCATGGCATTGGTCTGTCAACTGCTCAGCTTGTTGACCGAGGTGCTTAAGTGCTGGTAACTGGCCGCGGTCCCGGCCCCATCCACACAGCTCAAGAGCAACTCGGCCCTCAGGCTCACCTTGTGGCCTGTGATTTCACCTCCACCGCGGCAATCGCGCAGCTAAACCCTGCGACAGACGCCTTCTTCGGCCCCGGAACTCAGGTGGACCTGATCTTCGTCAACGCCGGATACGCGGCGCTGGAACCATTCAACGCAGTCACGGAAGACTCTTTCCGACGAAGCTTTGACACAAACGTCTTTGGCCCCTTCTTTGCTGCGCAAAAGCTGACGCCAATTCTGAATGATGGTGGCGCTTTGGTCTTCACGACCTCCGTGGCAAACCAAGTCGGTATACCGGGCATGGCCACCTATGTGACCGCAAAGGCTGCAGTGCAATCCCTGGTACAAACACTGGCAGCCGAGCTGATGGGACGCCGCATTCGCGTGAACGCTGTGTCCCCGGTGTTTGTCCGCACGCCGACTATGGGCGTAGCTAACGCGTCCGCCGACGATCGGACAACTTTTAAGGGCGAGGAGGTCAAGGCGACCCCGCTGGGACGCATTTGGGACCCGGAGGAAATTGCCCGTGCCGTCGTCTTCTTGGGCTTCGAAGCCACCTTCACGACGGGCTCACAGTTGGTTTTGAATGGCGGTTTAGCGTCACTGCAGGTGCATTGATTATGAACGGATGATGTAAATAGTGTAAAACCCGATAGTTCGAGTACTCTGAATACGGAGATGAGTTTGGCTTTGCCGTGTGATGTCGGTAGTTGTGGCTAGGACGACACAATTGTTTCTTTTTGGCGTAGAAGGCGTCAACTGTGACGACCAATGTAGACATGCTAAGATATGCTGGTGAATTGTCAACCGTGGTCTGATCACTGGTCGGGACATGACGCTGGTGGTGTCAGGTCCCTAAATCGCTTTCGGCAAACGAATTCTCGCCATTGACTGCAAGGAATGGATCCCAGGTAGGAAAGTCTAAATATGATGCACTGCCATCTTTGGCCGGTGTCGTCATGGCGGTAGGGAATACCATGCCGCCTCCACCCCAGTATGAACAGGAGGGCCAGCCGCGAGCATCTTCTGAAGGCGCGTGGGACGACATCGTGGCGGCCGTGGAGGAGCCGATGTCGTCTGCGATCGACCGACGACCCCCGGGGAGGAAACACTGAGCCAGCGAGACCAGTTTGCAAAAGAGACTCTGGAGCTGCGCGATCGGCGGACTGATCGAGCCGCTGTGTGCCAAACAGTCGGCAATGGTGCTCAGAAGTTGAAAGTCCGCAAGATTGGCCGTTGTTACGACATTGCAGAACAACACAAAATATGCCGTGAGAGGATAGTACAATAAGGTCCTGAAACCCACAGTCAGCCCTTTTGCCCTCAAGCATGATAAGAAAACTAGCATACCAATGTAGAAAGGCCACCGTGCTTTGCTTGTCACAGGACAAACACATTGACACCAATGCCGACAGGGGCTGACGCGCTGACTGCAGATAAAGCTCTATAGAGGTGGCGGTTTGGCTAGACGTGACCTGTCTTAGATGAAAGATCGCAGTCATGACCGAGTGAAAGGCGAATTGAAGCGCTGCAACTTCGCTGTTCATGTCTAAACCTTTCCAGAGAGGTGATGGAGATGCAATCTATTCCAAGTCATTAGCTGTTGCGAGGAAGAGAGGTACATCGTATCGCTAAGCCTTACTTGCTCAATCTTCGAATGAATCTGGTTCATCTTCGATAGCAATTCGTCGCCCACACCGTCAAAAGCAGGTCCTTCACGGGAATCTGCCGATGAGCTCTCCAGGTGTGGTAGCAGCACGGCTTGGATACGCGCTAGGTCGATGTAAATCTCGAGGAGGCCGGACAGGGGCACACCGGACGGGCGCAAGGCGGGTAGGTCTGTCCCCAGGGACGTGCTGAGTGAGGATCGACATTGACCAGTCTTGCAGGCGTAGTTCTTTTCGAGCATATAGCACCAGATGACACAGTAATAGACCTCCGAGCTGACGCCGGCGTCCTGCGCGACGGCTACGTCCAGACCCATGTCCACACAAGCCCGACAAGCAGCCTTCGTCAGACCCCAGCATAACGCCGTATCACCAGAGCCTTGATGAAGGAATATCTGCCATCCAGTTAGTCCAACCAAATGCGTATACAAAGATATACGGAAGAAAAGGAAAGACAAGAGAAGACAAGACAAACTTACACCACATAGCAAGGCCTGCAAGAGGGCCAAAGACGGTGGAGTCACCAAGGGAATTTGCTTCAGCGCGGCCTGCGCGCTAGCCCGGTATTCCTGGGCACTGACACGAAGATTTTCGGTCAGGTCATCGGCGCCGTCGATGGTCAGCACGGTAGTCAAAAATTTGTATGCCATAGCATTGACGCAGACCGTGTAGATGGTCGAAATTGGCGCTGATACCTCCCGCCGCAACAGAGCTAGGCCCATCTTCTTGAGAGAGGGGAGGGAGACATGTCGGAAATAGTCTTGTACGAAAGCGCCAAAGCGATCACATTCGATGTCTACACCAGCGTTAGCCCTGCCACGGATAGAACAAGTGATCGAGCGAGTACCTCGTAGCATCCAGGAGAGAAATTCCGCGCCGGGTATCTTTGGAAGGCCGTCTCCTGTAGCAATAGCGATACTGCTCACTTGGCCCGCGCTATCGACAATGCCCGAGACGTGACTGGCCACGCGCAGGGCCGATTCAAGAGCCTCACGCCGATCGAGTGTCAGTCCGGGTACGTAATCAAATTGATACAACGTGCCGGAGATCTGAGCGTCAGTTAAGGGCACGAGCGAGATCCAACCTCGCGGCTCCCGATGCCCGTCCGACGGATTCCGTCGCTTGTCCATGCGGGGCGAATGGGATAGTCGCGAGTCCAGCGATGGTCCCTGGGCTTGCTGCAGAGCCGGCTGGATGGGTCTTGACTGCCGAGAGGAACGGGTGTGGGGGTTGGGACTGCGTCGGACTAATTCCTTACGATGCCGGCGAGGTGGTCGCTGATGAAGACAAGCCGTGTTGGCATCCTGGCAGTTCCCACAGGGATCCTGTCGATCGCAACGTACCTGCAGGAGACATCAGTTTCTTCATCTGATCATACCACGAGCGGGTTTGCTCTTCTCCTTTAATACCTTTCGCGCATGGCACAGATCGCACTGCAAGTATTGAGTTAGCTGTGAGCACCCATCTGGGTCGAACTTCGGGATTCAAATCAAGCAGGCCGAGCAAAAGACGTGCAGAAGATTGTGACTTACTGCAGGATGTTGGGGTCGCGAGTCCACCGACGAAGGCGTGGACATGGCAGATGTGGCGTGCATATCAACGAGGCCGGCCAACACATCTCATTTATTCTCGAGGCAGGTTTCAACACTACGCGTGTCTCCTCGTCTCCTTCAGCCGCGGAGTTTGCGCAGGCCCGGCTTCTGGCGGACAAATGCAACGATGCAACGATGGCGATGAAGATGTCGGCTAGACGAATCTGCCGCCAAGAGCCGCTAGAATTAGGGCTGTCTCGGTCACGGATCAATCACGAGCCCTCATTCCTCCTCGTCCGACGACTTATGGGTCCTAGTGGATTCTCCTCGTGGGCCCAACGGCCATGAATTGGGAGTTAATTATAGTCGGTCAACCCAATCTCTCTGGTCATTGGTCCAGGATCTCCGAGCAGAATGGGTTAAGGGGAAGATCCGGGGTCAACCTATCAAGGCCATCGTTGGCATCCGTCATGAACCGGTGAGCAGGTAGATACTTCTCCGTCGACTACAATATCACACTAGTACCGAATATTAAGGGCCATGGTGAGGCCTACCGGTCAAAAATAGTCGTGGTCTGCTGCCAATGTTGCCTCACGTTGACCACGAGAATTTGAAGGCTGAGCTGAGACAAATCATGCTTTCGATTCTCCGACCATGGTTTGTCCCTATTTTTCCCTTCTCTCTTTTTATATTTTCCTTTCTTAGCGATCAGAAGATGCTTGTTCATAAGAATGTCAGAAACGAAGAGCAAGTTGCAGGGATCCAAGAGAGGTACATTTGAGAGCTTCACCTCCACTGCCTACTACAAACAACCTGGGAGATACGAACCAATGTACTCATCAATTCTCGACGTTTTTTCGATGCCTTTGACTCCCGCCATGCAGCTTCAACTTCAACTGAGCGCAGACAAGTCAGCCTATAGCAATCATGAGGCCGTGTCCGGCGAACTGGTTCTGCGTAGCGCCATCCCTGTACAGATATCTGGAATCGTTATCACTCTGAAAGGCACCACAAGGTCATCGCTGAAAGACGGACGACTTGTCGAGCGGCATGAGGTCTGTACCGAGCATTCAATCTTCACTGATCTGAGCAGATACTAACTCGAACCAGCTCTTTCGCCGACGGCAACGAGTGTTTCCTCCCCCAGTCATTGCCCAGCTTCCTGGTCATTCCGGCTCAACGGTCGGCGCAGGTACTCATCGCTTTCCGTTTTCAATTCCCGTGAGTTTGTGACCTGGAAGGTTCTGCGAGGAAACTGGGCAGTTTATCCAAAACTGACGAGTATCCAGTTCTCTCAAGTCTCAGAATGTTACAAAACGGAGAATGGCGAGGAGCCGGAGGTGACCTGTGCCGGCATCCGGTGCCCTCAACATCCAACCATGCACCTTCTGCGACGGCTCCCTCCATCAACGGGTACGATTGGAACTTCTGGTGAGATAGAATATAGCCTGGACGCAGAAGTGACACCCGCAGGACGTTTCCAGCGGCGTGAGAGAACAGTTGAGTGGAAGCCCTACAAGCGGAAACGCCTTCGATCTTCGAATTCTGACCTTGTCGCCAGAGCTGTACTATCGTTCTCCAGCCTCTTTCTGAATCTCTTCCTCTGCAGCCACCTTCTAAACAGATCCAATCAGCAACACTAGGCCCAGAGATCCTAGGATCAGCTCAGCCCGTCTCGTTTCACGTCGAGGCGCGTTTAGCACAAGGCCCGGGCCTACTGCGTGGGCATCCCATCCCACTTCAAGTCGCCCTTACACGCGTCAGTCCCACGTGGTGCTCCGTGCAACTACTTGACTTTCAAACCATGCTCGTCGAGACGACACAGGTACGAGTGCAGGAGAGCGTCGAGCACTTGGCGCAGGTCTGGGTGGTGCAAACCGTGGCCAATCTGGAGCGATCAATACCAATCGAGCACAGCCACCGACCCGTGTGGGTGTCGAGCGACCTCTGGAAACATCACACTCTGCCGGAGGGGGCGACATCCAGCTTTGAGACCTGCAACTTGCGCCGCACGCATCGGTTGGAGGTTCGGCTTGGTTTTCGCTTCCAAGTATCCCCGGTAAGAAACGACTCCGCGGCGGAGTAGCATGGTTACTAACTCTCTCAACGGATTTAGATGTTACCTTCACGGTTAGTCGTCTTTGTCTTCTGGTTTCCCATCTACCTAATCTCTGCACCTTCGATTCAATCACCGGGGCCCCGGGAAAAGATGGGTTTCTCAGCGCCCGAGGACGCTGTGTACAAAGAGGGTTTGTTAGAGAAATCGGCAGCCCTAAGTCGAGCAGTGGAAGTGGAAGATAATCGGCGTCATTCCTATAAATCCTGAATGCTACTTTCTTACACTTTCACACTTGTCTGTAATTACAAGTATTCATATAACCCGGGAAGGGAATTTGTGGTCTCCAACGATTGAATTTGCAGTGGAAAATGTTACCATAGGCGTTACTGACTCAAACAAATTTTTGGTGTGCAGCCAGGCCTTCAGGTCTAAATGGGCTGTGTCGATACGGCTGACGATAATACTAGCTTTGATCGTGCGTCATGTGGAACTATCCACCCTCTAAACCTCGTTAATGGAGGTATTGCGGTGGTAAAGAGGGTTCCAAGCACAGATGGACAAATGGGACCCCGCAGAACATGATGATATTAAGAGCTTATTGTACAGAAAAAGGGAGGAACAGCATAAAAGAAGCATGGGCGCCCCCTAGTCCCTCAGCAGGACAATGTGAATCAATGCAGACCAAACAGGGCAGCAGATACGAGAAGGGTCGAGAGGACCACCACGGACGGAAGGCTCATGGGACCTTTGGAGAGTTGCACTGTCGTGGCCGCCGATGTTTCCGTGGAGCTGGCAGAGGAAGAGCTGGCGGTGCGCGTCTTGCTGTTGGTGCTCGTCTTGCTGGAGGTCGCCGTGGCTGTCGGAAAGGAAGTGGCCGTGGCCGTGGCATTGGTGTCTCCGTAGCACCAGACGTCTTTCCAGGCTACGCCGGCGTCATACAAACAGTCGGTAAGATCCTGGACGGACTGATCTACCGCCAGTCCGTACAAGGCGCAATCGTAGTCGTAGGGGAGAACCCCGGCCGGTTTGGCGCACTGCTCGAGGAGGCTTTTATATTTGTTCGTGTTGGGGACACCACAAGCAGCGTCTTTCACGGGCAGCTCAAACTGCGCGGACGATCCACAAGTCGTGCTGCTGGCGGCGGCGCCGGTGGTGGTGGCTGTAGAGACCATGATGGAAAGGAGGAAATGCAAGACGCAATGAAATGAGAAGCGACAGGAAGAACTAATAACGAACGACTGAGGTGCTGGACGGCCAGTGACCAGAGTGCGTAGTTTTACTTCTTTATAGCCGAAACCATAGCCAGCGTCTGCGCTGCCGGTTATTTTTAGCCGGTGCCGTGTTGGTTGATGTCTCACCTTGTGTGGGAGGCTCGGCTCCTCGCGGGTACAAACCGCGGCAATGCTCAGCGCGAAGTGGTTAAATCCGAGCGAAGTCAGCTCATCGTGGGTCAAAGACTCAAAACCTCCCTCCCCACGCCGAGGCCTGCCGATCGCCGAAGCTCAGCGTGGGGAATCTCTATCCACGCCGAGCGACAGGTCACATTGCGTGTATCGCGAGTTGTTAGGGTTGAAAGAAAGAGAACACGGCATTCGTCACCATTGCCTTTGCCAGTAGGATGTTAAGCCCACGAGCTTGGGGTGTGAGTCGAAGGTCGCTTTCGAACTGGAGCCACAGTCGGAGAAAAGGATGGGCCAAGTAATATTCAGTTCGCTAACATGAGCAGAGACCGAGGTCAAAGGCCCCCAGCCTTGAAGTCACCCCTGTACCTCACCCAAGAGAAGGAATTCCTGTGAGCCGTCCAGGAGACAGAAGCGACCGGCTTCGCGATTCAATGTGCTTCGGCTCTCCCATCGCGCCAGGCGCCGGCGTACCCTCCATTCACTTAGTGACGGAATGGCCACGCTCCGCCGCAGGCGACTTTCCCACAGCGACCCCAGGACATGCCAAAAGGACAGCCAGCTCTGGATGGGCTGCACGGCTGCGTACGCCACCCCTCCGTAGGCTACACGCACGCGAGGGTTCACATACAGGCCCCGAGTAGCTGACAGAGGGTTGTCGGCGTGCAGCAGGCAGCGCTCAGAGCCTTCAAGCCGAGCAGCGGCCAGTTGGTCGGCAATGCCTCGGAATTGCAGTGGCGGATTGGCCATGAAGGGATGTGCTGATATGGCGACTGCAAACCGAAGAAAATGTTAGCAAGTGCCTTTGGAGAGCGATGAAAGAGGCGCCTACCCATTCCATTCCAGCAGCTCGCTACCGGAACGGGTGACAAGGTTTGCATGGCGCGTCTCGAGTCGGCGGCGCGGAATAGAGGCCATGTGGACATGATCGGTCGATGGCCCTGCGAGTCTCTCAAGGCGCCACTGTCGTGGTATCGTGGGGGCTGGGAGAAGTCAAGGGCGCACGCTGCCGCATAATCGCCATTGTTCGTGTCCAAAAGACGAAGGACATCCGTCGTCTGCATCTGCGCGTAAGCGAGAGCACGAGGCAGTAGCAATGGGAGCCGGATACGACATCGCTTACCGTGAAGACCACGTCCTCCAGAAACAATATCCGGTCGAAAGTGATTCCATCTGCTAGCAGGTTGTAGAACGGCTGCAATGAGGCATTGCGCCGGCGGGCCAAGTAGGGGATGTGTCTCTGCTTTCTGATCTGCCGAGTGCCGGCCATCCAACCGTGCTCTTTCGCCGCCGTTTGCGAGTCCTCCTCAACGGTTGGAAATCCCAGTGTGATATTTCGCGGGACCCCGAATCGATCCAGGCCGCGATCGAGGTCATGTAGCGCATCCTGGGTCTCATCCTCGCTGCCGCTCTCCCACACGCTCACAAACACGTTCTCGGGGCCCAGCGTTCGTGCCAGTTCCACCACGGCATGATTCCAATGACGACGCAAGATGTCCTCCGTGTTGCTCTGGATGCTGGCAATATAGATGCGACCGCGTGGGGAGGGTTGATTCAAGGGGATGGCCGGCGATGGCCGGACTTGTTGATGAACGCGCAGCGCTTCCCAGAGGCTCTCGACGATGACCAGCACCGCCAGAAACTGGATCAGACGACGCCAGAAAGTCGGGCACCGAGCGAAGCGGTGCGACAGAGAGGCAGACCAAGACATGAGGACGTCGTGAGACGGTCCGTTGACGAGGACATCTCACATCGCGGGTTGGGCAGGAAGAGGATAGGTCAGGCTGACATGTTCCAGGGGGTGGAGGGGCCAAAGCAAAGTCAAAGAACAGGGACCCAAGGTTGACGTAGGAGTGTCTCTCTTGGCCCGTCTTGTCCTGACGCCATTGCACGCTCTCATTAGTCGGCGCTTTGCTGGCAGGACTGAGTCATCTCCAGTCGTCGCCATCGCCGACGATCCTTTCCTGTCGATCGCCCGTCCGATGCTGTAGGGCGGTGCTGCCAGGAATGAAGGAATATTAATAAAAAGGATCTTCTACAGCAGATCCTCTTCCACCAGTTTCACCTGCACCTTCATGCCCCAGCCGTCGCGTCCCCCGATCCAGTGTTTCCGCTTGCCTACCTTCTGGATCTTCCGCAGGTCCTGCGCCAACTCCTGCTTCAGCCGCGTCGGATCGAAGGCCACCTTTTGCACGGCGAACGTCAGGGCAATGCCGGCACGATCGCTGTGCGAGCCCAAATCGTTGGCCCATTCCGCTAGGGGTAGCAGCCGGGGTCGCGCGGTGTCGACAACGCCTAGCGGATAGACGCGCGCCAGCACCAGCGCCACCTTGCCTACGTACCGCATCCACCAGGCCTCCTCCGGCGTCAACAAATCGCGCAGACGCTCCCGAAAGGCTTGTTCGCGTCGCGGCAGCTCGCCGCCGTAGCGTTCCTGCAGCATCAGCGCCAGGCGCGCCCGGTCGGCGTGCGGTACCCCGTGTGCGTCCGACAGCACGCCCGTGCCGGTACTATACAAGGCGGCCGCTGACGAGAGCTCGGTTGACAGGGCGGCATGCACGTAGAGGGCGTTCGCCAGCGCCTGCAGCACCTGATCGGACACGGACGGCGGAAAGCGTCGGTCGGCAGTCGGTCGGGGAATGCAGGCGATGAGCAAGCCGGCGAGAGCCTGCGCTGAGGGCCGCGCAAAGGGCCGGGTCGCTACGGTCAACGGATCCTGCTGGCGCACCATGGGAGGAATCGTGCGGAAGAGCAGGCCCTCGCGCACGCCGCCTTGACAGAAGTGGGCCTCGCGAATCCCGTACGGCACGGCCTCGGCCAAGGCGTTAATCAAGAAGGCCACCGAGGGAACCTGTTTGCGCCGGCGGTCCGACACGCGGAAGATCTTGCGAGCGGTGCGCGCGATCTCCTTCAAGGCCCGGGTGTTCTCGAAGTCCTCCTTGGGTGCTGTGTATCCGTTGATGATGGACAGGGGATAGTCCTCGCCGCGCGCCTGGTGCCGGTACAACAGCAGATATCCCCAGCCCCGGAATCCGCCGCCCGACAGGTAGACCTGGAAGCCGCCGTCTCGCCGCGCGCGATCGAGGAGCCACTGGGGGATATCCAACGCTGTCCAGGCCCGTCGAAAGTTCTCCTCCATGGTACGGCGGAAGGCCTGCTTGGCCCGACGAGCGTCTTCCTTGCTGCGGCCTTTTTCTAGCTCTGCCAGCGTCCGGGTGAGGGCAGCGGCGCCGTAAGGGAAGCTCACGGCGCCCTGCGGGCTCGTCACCACCTGGCCGGCGTTCGACACGATCCAGGTCATTTGCATGCTGCCGCCACCCAGGTCCAGCGCCAGACCGGCCAGCTGCGAAAATCCGCTGGCGATTCCCCATGCGCCCACGACGCCCTCCTCAGCCTTGCTCAGTGTCTCGACGGCAATCCCCGTAGCTCCGTGCAGCGCGCGCATGAACTCGGCGGCGTTGGAGGCGGTGCGCGTCGCTTCCGTGGCCACGATGCGAGTATTTCGGGCGGGAACGCCCATTTCCAGGCAGACAATCTGGAAGCGCAGGATGGCACCGATGACGGCTTGAATAACGGGTTGCGGGATAGGAATGCGGTCGCCACGGTCGTCGAATTGGGCCTCGTAAAGTGAGATATTGACGCGATGGGCGTAGACTGTGGGCAGGATTCGCGCGGTCGGCGCGGAGAGATCGGTAATTGAACATCGAATGCCATTGCTATCATCGCGAGGTCATCATGGGCGTGACAGATCATTTGAGAGAGAGAGAGAGAGAACTCACCTGCCCATATCAACCACCGCATGCAAACGTTTGGCCTTTACGGCGTCCACGGGGGAGTCCTGCCCGGTAGAGGGGGGAAATTGAAGTCCGCCTCCCATTACGCCCGGTTAACATCGATTCTCCATGAGGGGACGGAATGGTACTTGCGACAGAGAGTTGGGGACGGAAGGGAAGAATGAGGAATGAATGAAGCAGCACGACGGAAGGGTGAGTCATGACGTCATCTGCAGGACATCGCGCATTAATTATGTCCACAATTTATGCCATCAACGCTGTAAATCTCCGTGCTCATGAAAGCCTTCACAGAGAGTCTACAGTCTCCTCGATGACGATTCCAAGAAAATCCTGTCAAATGGTTCAGTTCTTGTATTCTTCAAGCCAGACCAATCGGCAGATGGAAAATATATAGAGAGCCGACTCAGAACCCGTTTGAAGCCTCAATTGCGAACCAGATTCTTCGGAATATCAACTCTGAACACGAAGTTGTCTATACACATTGACCGTCACAGAAAGACGCTACCGCCCATTTCCCAGCCCATGCCCATCTGCATGACTTCGGTGGGGAGTTCGCCGTTCTGCGCAATCCGCAGACGTTCATCTTCACCTTTAGCGAGACCAACCACAACGTCGGCCTTGCAGGTCCTGAGTGCCAAGGTGCGCACGCCCGAGCTAGTCCCTAGAGGCCCTATAGCGGTCGTAAATGGCGTCGTCGTGTCCCATTTGACCTGTGAGCCCGAGGTTAGCCGTTGTTGCTGTTGTGTGTGGAGTTCTCGATCGGGGAGAGAAATTGAGGAAGGACTTACATCACCGGTAAGCTTCCGGTACCTAATTCAGATCGCCCTTGAAAATGACCAGGCTACTCTTTTTCAGCTCGTCAGAGAGACCGGGGGTCATGTAAGGTAGTCGCCAGTAGCAACCTGCCGTCGTCCAGAACGGATCTTCTTTCACAGTCAACCGCCCTGACTCCTGGAACGTGTGCCACTGCTCGGACAAAAAAGGAAAATTCTATCGCTCGTCATCACTCAGTGGAGTCGGTGAATTGGGCCCGCCCTGGTGGTGAGTTCCGAAAAAGTCTCTTTCCGGCTCAGACAAGGCCAGCAGTAAATCCGTGAAGTCCGCGGGCATGGCATCAGAGACAACCGCGGGATGGATTTCGGCTGAAGGACAAGGTTGGCTGCGAGTCCGGTTGACAAGAGGAAACCGGCCAGGAGAAGGTCAACGTACAGCTCGAAACCAGAATTGTCCAATACAATGTCAACTGTTGCTCCGACCCCTTTTTGCCGGCGCGCGTTTTCTAACGCATCCAATGCAGCGGGAATTTCATCGATCAGAACGTTTTTCGCTTGAGTCTTCCTAGCTCCAGATCCCTGCAACTTTTAAATGTCCTCGTAGGTGAGAGAGGTGAGGAGCGACAGATCGGTGGCGTTGCCCCAAAGGCATATTTCACACATTTCCTGGAATAGAAGTGCCTTCGACTCCTTGTCTTTAACTAGGGCGCTCTGAACGACCCGTCTTGTACCTCGCTGCAAGCTCGAAAATTGCCAGTTTGGAGGCCTGGAATGTGGAGGTCTGTTGCCGTGCAAAGACATCGTAATCTTTCCACCTGGCAGACAGCAAGAAGAGAAAATGAATCCTCCGGTCTGTCAGATCAGTAAATCAACCAGGATAGAAGACATTGGATCACTTACACAGAAAACACTCCCCGTACAGCCAAAATACGTTCAGCCAGCTGGAATTCCTTTGGCCCAGCTCATTGTTGTAATCAGCGATTTCAGCGGAGCCATCATCGTGCAAAGGCCTTCAATTTCGGAGCTAGATGGATTGTTCGGGGATGGGAAATCGCGTACGTCAGCTTCGCATCTGACCGGATCTCTGATTGCAAAGTCCGCAAGCCCTCGATAATTGTTTCGCCTTCCGTCCTGGCTTCTAGACCCTTGAGATCGCTCCGACCCGAACAAAATGCCATAAGTTAGGATACCTTCTGGCCTGCTTTAGAAGTCTGAGCGCATACCAAGATGATGGACCATCGATCGCGAGCCGAAGCATAAGCAAAACCCGACTCGTCCGAGGTGCAAAATCCCTCTATTCACAACGTGGTTAGTCCGCTCGTTTTGACACTATAGAAAGAGAAACAAACCAATGCTAGGGTCATATTCCATGATGGCTAGTTTTGTGAACAGAAGATGAAAAGACGGACAGTGGTAGGCGTTAAAATCTGTTTAGACGTTACTGGTTGAATCGAATAAAAGCAAGGATATAGGTGAAGAGGAGCGAAATATCCTATTTAGTTGTCCAGAACATTCTGGTCAAAAAGTCACCAAACGTGGGGATGATTCCAAGGAAATAATGCGAGACGAAAGGCGAAAAGGCGAAAGGCGAGAAACTATGATTCGTCATCTGAGCGAACAATATGCCATTCGCATTTCGCATTCCCTATTCTTAACAAGAAAGTCGTGATACCAGTTATTCTTTATCATCTAGTATACAGAGTAAGTCTACGTATCCTATCGGCATAATCGGCTGATCAAGGGACAAGGGGTTTGAGCAGCCGGAGAGCGCACATCAAGCGGGATCTGGATATAGAGTAACATAAATTGCACTGATTAGATGAGATCAATTACAAAGTCCAACGAACTAGGATTCCGGAGACACTCATCCCTCCACCTGATGCTTCGTGGACTGCGGCTGCCCCTGTTGAGCTGCACTCCGTAGCATCGCCTCGACCTAGATCTCATTGGTGAGTATTCTTCAGGCGGGAATCTCGAGAGACTCACCAGTTCCAAATCTGCCAGCCCCTGCTCTGGCCTTTGCTGGGCGTTCGGCGCTCCCTTGGCCAAGGCCTCGCCCCAGGCACGCACCTCCGACGGCACGGCGAGAAGATCGGCCGTGAACTCCTTGGTCTCTTCGCAGCCACGGATCTTCGACGTGACGCTGACGTCGGTAACGGTAATATAGCCGTGCTCGCCCACCACCGTCCATCCCGAGCCTGGCAGTGGAGAGCTCAAGGCGATCTGCACGCTGCCCTGGAGACCAGATTCTGCTTGTAGGGCGGCGTCCAGCGTGTCCAGCGGCGGCAGCGAGGGACTCACGCCGCGGGTGAAGGCAGCGACGCGAGCGATGCGTTCGTTGCCGAGTAGGTATCGGGTGCCGGCAAGAAAGTGGATGCCCATATCCAGTAACCATCCGCCCTGATAATTGGCTTCGTGCCGCCAGGTCGTGTCTGTTGTCGACCCGTCAGGGTCCTTCTAGATTCCCGGGGAAGAAAGGAGCGCTTACCAAAGTACCGAGCGAACACCCACTCAGGACCGACAGTGGCATAGACCAGCGTACGGAACTGGGAAAGGCGTCCTAGCCGAGGCACGAGCTGTCGCGCGTAGTTCAGGCTATCGAAATATCGCCAGTTCTCACCCACAGCCCAGCTCACCGTCGGGCTGATCTCCGTCCGATACCACCGGATCAGCTCCACAGCCTCGGCCACATTCTCCGTGACGGGTTTCTCGGACAGAACATGTTTCCCGGCGGCCAAGGCAGCGCGAATGTAAGGGGTCTGGGTTCCGATGGCAAGTCTATTGAATCAGCAAACGAAAGCCGGCAGCGGGAGACGCCCTCGAGACATACGCAATGATAACCGCTTGAATGTCGGAGCGGGCCAAGAGTTGCTGGAGTCCCTTATCGATGTCGTCGGCGTAACGGTCGAGAGGCCGGTCGGGGGCCAGTTTTTGGGCGGTTCTCAGAGAACGCGAGTAGACAGCCTTGAGCTCGAGATGGGGAGAGGCTTCGATGGAGGGCTATCCCAGGGTTAGCTAGGGTTAGGCAGGGCTCGCCGATGGAGGAAGTACGTACGAAATGCGCCTCGCGGGCAAAAAGACCTGCAAGAATGACATCAGCTCGACAAAACGAACTGAGGGAATGATGGCCTTACCAGCACCGATGAGAGCGACGCCGAATGCCATGATGTTTGCCGGTGCAGTCGAAGGGAGGGAGAAAGAGGAGAGGGGAGGGGAGGGGAGGATGAATGACGCGGGAGTGTCCTGGACACGTCACTCTGCAGCTTTGTCATCTCCTCCATCCCCTCATGACCGAAGGTACTTCTACTTGTTCTTTATACTTGTATACTTAGTCCTGGTGTTGGACATTGAAGCAGTCATACAACTACCTTCTTCTGACAGGAATCTCAACAAAACCAGAGTATTATCATTAGATCATTAAGTAGTTACCTATCAAAACATTCAAACACGCTATGCTAATAGAATCGCGATAGAAAGCTGCGCTGCGTCGACAGCTGCCGATACTCGTTCATGGCCGGACTGATCGCCTTGGGATCCTCGACCTCCATCGACGCCATCGAGATCGCCGTCGCCGATCGCTTGGGGGGTCCTAGGGGATCTTCGCCTGGCGTTCGCAGGTAATAATGCTCGTGGTCCTCCTCCATGGCCACCACCCACCGCTCCTTGAGTTGCGGCCCCTGAGGACCAGCACCGCAGGCCCCCTGCAGACGCGGTGTGGCCGGGCTGTTCATGGCCAGCGTGAAGAGATTCTGCGGGTCGGTGAAGTCGGTCACCTGGCGTCCGCGCACCTCAAACAGCATGAAGGCTAGGCAGATGGCGCTGGTGATGAAGGCGAAGATCAGAATGACGTAGAAGACCCCTTGCCAGCGCTGCGAGCTGCCCGACGCGTATCCAATTGACCGGACATTCGCCGAGAACGACTGCGGCACGGGCGTCGCCAATGATGCCTCGGACGAGTTCCATCCAGGCTCGAAGGGCGCGCTGGTGGAACTCATGATCAGCGTGCTGCCCGCCATCACCGCCAGTGCCTCGGCCACCGATGGCAGCGTGGGATCCAGCGTCATGTCCGTAGGCACCAGCTGCATCAGCAGTCGCGAGTTGCTAGCCCGACTGTCGGTAATGCCGGTCCCCAGGCTCAGCGAGGTCGCCCACTCGGACGCGATGTTCTTCCAGTCGGGCTCCCACTGCGCGTCGGGGGCGCTGGGACGGCGTTGATCGAGCTGCAACGGGTTAGACGAGTCCTCGCAGCGCGTGCTCAGCTGCGATCCGCTCGCCGTGGCGTTGTACTGCGTGACGCAGCGCGGGCTCTGCTTGGCCTTCAGGGCACAGAGCACGTAGGGGGGATTGGTATCGGCGGCGGTAGCGCCCAGTAGGTAGATACTGTCGGCGGGATAGCGACCGGTGGTATTCAGCAGTGTGTTGTACGGGCGAGGCAGCTTGCCAAACACCGGCGGACGCTGGCCGTACTTGGGGCCCCAGCCAAACAGGTCGTCAACAACGGTGCGGTTGAGCCAGCTGGGATAGACGGGGATGTCGTCCGGCGGATCATTGGTCCATTTGACGGCGTCGAACTTGTCGCCCACGTCGGGCCATTCGGTGTAGACCAGCGGCGCAAGTTCCGATTTGTTCATACCAACGCAGAGAACGTTGACTGCCGGCGCCAGCACCGACGCCTCCAACTCGAAGTTGCCCTCGCCCGAGAGCGACTGTGGATCGGGCAGCTTGTTGGCCGTGTACGACGTGACGCTGAGAATGCCCCCGTGCGGCATTGCCGCCGTGATGTTATTGACCAGTCGGCCGTGCTTCTGCGAGAGCTCCGTCAGGTTCGTCCGTTCGATCCAGCTGCCCGTTAGTGTCGTGTTGTCGTGCAGCGACCCGGTCGGTAGGGGACGGGGGGCAGTGCTGGTGCTGCTGCGTTCGCCCCATTCACCCAGATACATCTGGTAGTTGTGGTAGGCTTGGCCGACGTGCTGCATGTCCAGACACGTCGTTCCCTGGTAGTCAGGGTCTTGGTCTTTGTGGATGAGGGCCGGACAGTTGTCGGCCAGGTAGTAGGGATTGGCAAATGTGGTCGATACGTTGCCAGCCAGCAGACGCTGCTGCATCGGTCCCATGCGGAGCTTGGGGGAGACTGGAAGATGAGAGATCCCGTCAGACTGAACGTCAAGGGTTTCCAACAGAATACACAAAGAGAACGAAAACACTTACCGAGGGCTTCCGCAGCCGTGGTATACAGCATCGCTACTACGGTGGCCGTCAACGTGATAGCCCCCAGGACGGTGGCCGCCGAGTAGCGAAGCGTCTCCCAGTGCACGATCAAGGCACCCGGCTGCATGATCCATGAGCGCATGCTCATGTCCGAGATAGTGATGCCGCGTGAGCCCTGCGTCAGCGCCCGCCGACTGAGCACCTGGCCGAGAAACGCGACGCACACCGTCACATAGGACAGCTCCACGGTTTTAGCGAACAGGGCGCTCAACAACGTTGCCGTCGCCGGTACCACTGCGCCGTCTGCTCCGATGGCTCGCCCGTATCGCGGTCGCACCAGAGCGATCACGAGGTAGATGCCCGACACGATGGTGGCATAGATAGCTAGGGTGAGGATGGTCAGCGGCACCCACGACAGACGACGCTGCTGGATCCCTTTCTGCGTGGGACATCGCATCATCGGCGATACCAGTGTCGCCTGCGAGGCGTGTCGACCCCCGGCCTCGTCGTCGGGGGTCGGCGGCGTCGGGTCTCGCGCCGTCGAGGTGACCGGTGGCGGCGCGGGTGAGGCATCCCGCGACGGAGCAGCGGATGGAGTCGTCGAGGGAGCATGCGAGGTGATTCCCAGTCCGATGGCCGGTTGCGAGGCCGGATCGTGCGGCGACTCGTGTAGGTATCCCCGGTCGACGGAGGGATGGCGGCCCAACGGGCTCCAGAAGGCGGCGGGTCCTTCGTTCTCGGGCGAGGTCAATTCGGGGGCGGGCGAGTCGGACCTCGAAGAGTCTGGCAGCAAATGCTGGCTCTGACGATGTGAGTCGGTCATTGCTGATTCGAATCTGAACTGCAATGGACGGCGCACGTTGGAGGACCGACAGGGGCCTGGGGGGAAGGGAAGGGAAAGGGACGAAAAGAAAAGAAACGAAAACAAACGAAACGAATCGGGCGACAAGAGGCCCCAGAAACACAGCTAGCAGGGGGCCGGGACTTTTATTACTATGATCAATCCAGTCAGTATCGAGGTGTGGCGCAGTTCTCGATCCTTTGTCTCTTGGGGACTGCGAGAATCCGATGTCGTTGTTTAGCATCGACTTAGGGCTGATGTCTAGGGCCAATGCAGTTTAGAGCCAACGCCGGTGCTACCATCGAACCAATAATGCAGCTTGCGGTGCGTTGCTCCCCCGGTTCAGCCAAGACGCCGGTCGGTCTGGAATATTAATTATTATTAGTAGGCAAGTGGGTTCATTATCAACTGCTGGGGGCCACTGGATCGTCGGTGATTCCCGGCGAGTCGATGCCTGCCTTCTGGCCCGACGGTGGAACGTTCCATCTGCGCTGTCATCAGGTAATTTCCACGAAGGAGACGTGCAGCCGTCGATCGCTGCAGCCGTCCCCGTCCCCTGATTACTTTTTAAATAATTTATCGACGACTGACGGGGTTTCAGTGAGAGGGAAAAGCTTGATGATCTCCGGGCTGCCGCCGCACTGCACCGCCACGGGTCATTCTGCGAGACTATAGAGAAACTGTGATCAATGATTTAAGGCAGATGGGATAGCGAGCATGGACATGCATCGTATGCACCCTGCATCGCTTGGATCAAAAATAGAAACAAAGAGAAGTCCGGGCGCTTGCGTGAGCCTGTCAAAACGCCTCCCTGCCCGTCTTCACAGCCTCCACGATACCAGCCGTCGCCAGCTCGTCGATTAGATTAAACAACACCAGGTCGCAGCCTCGTCGCACGGCTAGATTGATGCTGACCGGCAGCTGCTCCGTCACCCGGGTGACCGGCGAATAGTAGGGCACTGCGCCCAGGGGAATTGTGTAGTCGGCGCATCTACTCCGGACGAAAGCCGTGATTAGTCGGTGAGTCGGGGACGAAGGCACAAACGAGATCCACTTACCCAAACAATGCACAGACCAAGTCGCAAGGCATGGCGGTCGGATCCGGAGCCACCCCGAGAAGCGTCGCATTGGGTCCTTGATTAAGCTCCTGTTCGCGAAAGCTGGGAAGACCGCCGTTGGCCGCATGGCAGAGCATCACCGACTGCGAGCACGAGGCCCCGGTCTGCCGCAACACGTTCCGCTCAAACCACTCGACGGACCGGGCCTTGTCGCGCAGGGCTCGATCGTAGGCCGTCTGATTGATGATTCTGGGGTCGAATAACTGCGTCCATTCGCGTCGCCACTGCGCGTCTACCGGCGGAAATCGACCGTCCTCCAGCTGGGACCACGCCGTTAGGAGCGGTGCTGCCACGGCCACATGCTGCGACCAGAGCGTGAGCACCGACGACGCGTTGAAGATGCGATCCCAGTTATTGCTTCCCTCAAAGATCGACCCGTCGGCCACCGTCTGCGTCAAGTTGATGCGACGCGTGGTGAGATGGAGATGCTGTGACATCTGGGCCACGAACTGGTCCACCACCGCCTGAGCGGCCGGGTTGGCCAGGGGAAAGTACTCGTCGGGATACAGGATCTGCGTGGGAAACGTCCGGTCGTCCGACACGATCAACGGCGACAGGCCCGTAACATTCAAGTCCTGGTGCAAGTCCGGGGTATACCATGCTTTGGCAAACCGAGTCCACAGCCGAGGATCGCGAGCAAAGACGCCCGCCGTGTCCTGCGCCCAATTCTGCGCCACGACGCCGTCCAGTGCCATCATGCCTTGACTTGGTCGATTGCCGTACGTCCCCGACACCGCTGCCGGTCGTCGCATCGAGACGGCCGTGTCGGTGCCCACAGCGGCGTCGAGCCAGTCGTACGCGGCCACCGCACATCCGCCGCCCGTCGAGGACGCTGCACAGGTGAGATAGCCGTCGCCGCGCGGGTTGAAGGGCGACTGGCTGTCAATCCAGGTCCAAGGACTGCCACCGCCGGCAAATTGCGCCAGCTTGTATTTGCCCACCAGCACGGCGCCTTGGTCGAGCAGTCGCTGCAGCGCCGGCGCCGTCGTGGCCGCCACGGGGGTGATCCGGACCCAGGCTAGACTGCCCGCCGACGTCTGCAGTCCGCGCATGTCGAACAGATCCTTGACGGCCACTCGGACGCCGGCCAACGGTCGGGGGTCGTGGCGGAAGGGGATGTGACTGGGCACGGGGATCAGCGGCGCCCAGCGTCGCGGACACGCCAGGGACAGAGCTTGGAAGGTGCCGCTACCGTCCTGCGTGTCATACGAACCAGTGACGAAGGTGCGATACAGGTCAGGATAGAGTCGATAGGTGTCCAGCACCTCCAAAACATTGGGTGTGACCACCGCCGTATAGGGACCGGGCATGAGCTCCCCGAGCGACGCGTCCTCAGCGGTGACGAATCCCGTCGGAATGGACTCAAAAGTATGAAGATCGAGGTAGACGGTTTCCATCCCTAGCGCACGGAGGTATGGAAGAGCGGTCGCATCGATCGTGGCGTTGGAGACCGACGAGGTGATGTAGACAGCGCGCAGGAAGCCCGGCGACAGCACGTCGTCGTCGGCCAGATAGCTTGAGACGATCGTCTGCACGTCTTCGCCGGTGACGACGCTCTGGTTGGTGAGTACGACTGTCAAGGGCATCACTTGGATCTCCTCGTCGCATTCTGAAACCGCCAGCGAGGTGCGTGGGTGGGCGGCGTTGGCGAAGTAGGTGACATTCAGCAGCTCGTAGGACAGACCGCCACTTGTTTGCTCGAGAATGTCGAGAGCCGAGATGTATCCAACCAAGGTGGCCAGGGTCCATGCCTGTAAATTTACGAAAGGTCTCATTCTGACGTGATATCGCGTTGTGATCTCGTCTGGTGTGGGCTCAACCCGGGGCCTGGAGAGTAGAAGGATATAAGGAAGAGAACACAAACACAAGTAGAGCACAACAGGCGCTGAAACGCCCCTGACAGGACCGGAAATAGACCACGCGCAACTCAGCCAACGCCCCTCCCTGCTTATTCCGTTTCCTGGGGAATATGCGATTCCTATTGGAGCGCACGAGGCTATTCCCACGGCCCGGTGAATCAGGAGGCGACGCTTCACCGGGCTGATATTGTCCTTCACGTTGCACAGAAACGGTTCCATGCATTCACCGGGGGGCTATGTGCTGGATCATTTCGGTCTGGCTGCCCAATGAAGGCGCTCGTGTCTAATGAAGGTCTCAGGGGGGTTGGCTGGGAGGGCATCGAGTGAATGAGCCAGCATGTCGAGGTGAGTGAATGGTCTGAAAACACCACAGAAAGCCAGTGAAGTACGATGGAGGAGCAAACATTGGATAGCCCTTGAGCTGAAGCGTATCAAAGTCCATCGTCCCCAGATGGGATCCCATTTACTACATATTTCATTCGTTACATTATGGCATTCGTTCCCTCGTAACTGTTGTTCGTCTGGGACATTTCCAAGACACAATGCTTCAATATCCCACAGCCACAGCCACATCCACTCTACCACCCTTTCTCGCTGGTCGGAGTCGGCGTCGCCATAGCCACGGCTGAATGGGGCACGGCTTGCATCTGCAAGTCCAGAAAGTCCGTGGGATCTGGCGGCGCCGGAGTCCAGCTGGCGGTGCCGTCAACCAGAGGCACCAGGGTCACCGGCGGAATGTACCAGCTGCGATGACAGACGCTCCACGACGGATCGATCTGGCGCACTGCCTCCGGCAGCTGCATCCAGGGCACGTAGTCGTCGCGCACCATCGTGCAGGTGTTGCCGTCGGCCAGGGGACACTGCGAGCCGCCGCGGTACTGCGGCCAGGGCACAACCGTCTGTGTGTACTCGCCAAGCGTCTGCGGCACAAATTCGGCGAAGTTGAAGGGATATTCTTCACCGATGGCAGGATATTTGGCGTTGCGATGTCCGCGCATCGACACCACGTCCGTAGGGTGCACCGCGATCAATTCGTTCGAGTGATATTCGCCGCACTGATGGCCCGGGTGCCCTCGCCGGTTGCTCCAGGCATAGATCGAGGTGAAGGAGATGTACACGCTGGGTGACTCCATCGTGTGGCCGTCCACCACCGCCGTGTTGGCGGCCGGAGGCGCAGTGCGCGTGGCCTCGATCGTGGTCCCGTTCTGCAGGCACAGGTCGCCACCGGCCGTCTCGACCGGCCAGTAGAAGACAGTAGCCGTGTCGGGCAGGAAATGGCAGGCCGAACAGGGATTTTCTTCGGGATACTCCCTCGCCGGCGTCGGGCAAGACCACGGCGGGATGGGGCTGCGCGTGTCGCCGGTGCTCGACGTGCTGACGGATTCGCGCCAGGCACTGGAGCTACTACTGTACGTCTCCCAGATGGCCACGCAGTCCTCTTCTTGCAGAGTGCAGGTTGGCACGGGGGAAGGGGATCGATACAGCGTACTCTTTTCGCTGTAGGTGACGTCGAACGAGCTGCAGGGTCCGGTGCCGGGATAGTAGCCCGTGGCCGTCTCGCGCGCGCCCAAGGCGCGCGGAAACCCATCGCACAGGGTTGTCAAGGGCCCGGTATGTGTGTCGGACCAACGTTCAGCTGATCTGGAGGTGCGACAGGCGCCGGAGCTACTGGGGTAAGAGCCGAAGGACGTCGTCGTGGCCGTCGGACCCAGAGATCTCAGCTCGCTGGAGCGAGCGTCATATTCAATCCACTCGGCATTGCAAGTCACGATCGAAGCCCCAGGACCGTCGGTGGGCCCGTAGAAGTAATCAGTGGACGTGGGCCAGAATATAGACGTGTTGGCCGTGATCAGCCATTGATTGCTAGTGGAGGCGCTGAGCACTATGCGATACAGGTCTAAAAGTCAATATCCAGACCGAGGAAGAGTGAGGGGAGCAAGAGAACGGAACTACTGACCAGGGGAGCCCTGCACTCCCAGCAAAAGGGATAAAATAAGAAGGATTCGCATGCTGGCGATGTGCGATGACCGTCTCAATGGGGATTTGACCCGGATGGGATGATTTCGATTTTATATCTTCCTACGGGATTTGGACAAACCCTCGCCCAAATTCGTCCAGCAGATCTTTTCTTTTCTTCTCTTTTTACTGGGATCGGGACTTGTCTCGGAAGGGCGGATCAACCGCCAACTAAAATCTGACCAGCTCAATTCCCCGTCCTTGACGAAGCCATCCATTGGCCGCGATTCAGATTCATGCAGGAGAAATGGGGAAATACGAGCCACAAATGATCCTCCATCACACTGACCGGCTAGGTCAGCCCACTGCCAGGTCCATAGCAATTGCAACCGACCGTTCTGGCCGCTGATTTGCCTTTATACAAGCCCGTCCGCCTCAGTCGCATCGATCGAGAGGGGACAGGTTACACTGGAGGGTCATTCGTCGGTCTGCGCGACGTCAATGGAGGGGAGACTCCCCTGAAGCAGTCTCATTTGAGTCTTTATACTGTACGGGGTAGTCTCTGGATCATTCCACCGGGAATAGGGAATGGATGCGCAAGAGCCTCATTGCCGGACTTAGGCTTGCATTGCTGCGTGACTCTCGAATTAAACGCCTTGAATCAAGGATACGAGGCCAAGAGTACGAAGTCTACGCTATTTCCATCTCTCCCACGAGTCAAAGAAGCGAAGAATAAGAAATATCCTGAAAGGTAAAAGAACAAGCAAGTCAAGGCTGATAATTCAACGCCACCCAAAACCCCCGACTCCCGCTCCCTGCACGAAATCGAACATGCCATGATAATCAGAAATCTCAGACAATAAGCAACTGAATAACTAATCATACAGACCCATTTCTTATCCTTCCACCAATGGCTTGTGCTCCCCCAGGTCCGGAGATGCCGGCGACCCCTCGTCCCAGTCACATCGACAGTGTTTAGCGCGATAAACCAGGATGGAGATGAGACTGGCCACCGTGCCCAGGGATTGAAATCCCATCGCCGCCCAGGAGAGCGCCAGAAAGGCCTTGCCGTGGTCGGCCGAGATGCCCTGATTTTGTCCGGATTTATTGATGAGGTTGACAAACTGTGCGGAGATGACGTTCGCAATGATAGACGCGATACCGAGACTGATCATACTCGTCTGCCCGAATTAGCTGTCATTCGCACCGTGCTGCCGTAGGGACCCGAAAAGATAAGACTCACCAACAGCACGAGGAACTGGATCGTCGACGGCGGCGAGAGTGGCGACGCGCTCCACATCGTCCACAGACTCACCGCGATAGACACGCCAGCCCCTGTCGTCCCGATCACGTAGAGCACCGACATGGCCTGGCCGGTCGTACCCAGCGCGTCGAAGTCGTCGTCGACCCAGCCGGGCCAGTCCATGCCTGTCAAAGGGTCATCCGGCCCGAGGCCCAGCGCCGTGGCAATGGCCTCTCCCGGATTGAAGGTGAAGAGGAGATCGCGGTCCGAGCAGTCGGTCAGTTTCGTCACGATGCTGGTCGTGTTGGTGTCTTCTGTAACGCACTCCTCGTTGACTCCTTGGCAATAGGAGAGGAGGTACACCTTGAAGAAATCGGGAACCCCATCCGGAAGCTCCGTATCAGGCAGATTCAACTAGAATAAAAAAGCCATCAGCCATGAGTGACGGATGGGAAGCCCTGGGAGAGCCGTACCGTGAGCAAATCTGCTTGAGGCAAAAACTTGCGCTGCGTGCCGGCAAAAAGGAGAAGCATCCCCAGAATGAAGGTAATAAATGAGGCGACGCTAGGCAACAGGCGAGGCAGGCTGACCTGCGCCGGGGCATATCGCGGAGGGGACATTGTGGCGTAGAGACAGAAAATACAAGATTACATCGAAGCTCAACAAGGAACGTCAAGAAGGACATCCGCCAGGGCTCGTTACGATCTTTATTGCAGTGCATTGGGGAGGCATCGCCATCGCGAAGCATCGCCCGATCTGCTTGCGGCTGTGGGACTTGGGAGCTCTCGCGGTAGCATTCCTATGGCTACGGATCCCATCTCCGCATTGAGCGTTCTCTCCATTGGTCTTTGCGACTGGAATGAAGGGGTACCAAGCTGGCGGGTCTACCGGGCGGCCCGAAGGTGGAGGGAAGGGGATGGACCGAGAGATCGAGCAGGCGATTGAGGCGATTGAGCAATCGAAAGAGAGATGTACGAGCCGGGACAGTGAGTTGGAAGTTTGCCACTATCGGGCATGTGCGCAGGCAAGGGATTGTGTCCGTTATAGGGTTTGATTAGGGCTTATATTATTACTTCAGGTGATTCCGGCGTCGATCCGAGGAGACTGGGGTTGCACGGTATGCTAACCAGCCTCCCTTCCCTCTCTGTGGGCCTTTCTCGTCCTCGACTGAGATCATTTCAAGGGCAGTCCGGGCCCCTTGCAACCGTCGGCCTTCTCAAAATACCAGTGATGGGCGTGGAAATCTGTGAGCAACGGCAGGCCCGTACCCGTATTGCCCTTCCAATTCACAGTGCCCTCCAGCACCTGCACGTCCGAGGCGGCCACCGTTGTGTTGTCGCCCGAGGTAATCCAGTACTCAGGGCTGACGTGCTTATAGCCCATTCCCACCAGCGGCAGCTTGGGAACAGGGTCATGCTGGTGCGTGAAGCGGTAGTTGTTCTCCTGCTTCGTGATAAACTCGGCCAGCTTGTCGTTGCCCACGCGCGGCGAGGCGTAGGCATACAGCGCGGCCTGGTAGCCCTGCGTACGTAGATCAGCCGCCGCCACGGTGGCCACGGCGGCGCCGAGACTATGACCGACGACGACGACGCGGTAGTCGGCGTGTTCCTCTGTCAACCGCTTCAGACTTGCCACGATGTCATTCTTCACGAAGGCCCAGGAGCTCCAGAAGCCCGCCTCAGCCAGACAGCCGGTGCAGAGACCCGGATCCACGAAGGGGAAGTTGACATCGGCTAACCAATTGCGCACCGAGTAGGAGCCGCGGAAAGAGACGACGATGCTGGAGTGCGAGTGGTCGACAGTGACGAATCCGGCCGTGTCACTGAGAGTCGTACTGTGGCAGATGCGTCAGCTTCAGTTCTCTGGCCCAGCGACAGTCTCCCTTCCTCCGGCTGCCTCTTACTTGGAAAACTCAATGTCGGTGACAGCGCCAGCCGCCTCCACGTCGGGGCAGTTTCCGGCCCAGCAAGTCAGCTTCGTGCCAGCCGGCGGGGAGTAGTTGTCCTGACAGTAGGCGGCGGCGGCGTACTGCACCCAGAGGGCAAACTCGCCCAGCTGAGACGAGGGCACATCTACACCCTATCAGCAAGTCGGTTCAGAGAACCTTCACGGACGAAGGGGTGTTCGTTCATGTACCTCTGGCGGTGATTGTCGGATATGCGTAGCTCAGGGTAGCCGCAGACAGCACGGTCAACAGGCGCGAAACGAAGTACATGATGCCGGACAAGATGGAAGATTACAAGCGCCCTGTCAGAGTAAAGTTAAGCGGCCGATATCTTCACGACAGGCCGCCCTTTCAATTTAAGACTTTTGCTTCGGGCTCGGAGCCGGAGAAGAGAAAACAAGACATCTCAGCGCCATCTGGGGATCAACGGACTCCACCGTCAGCTAACCTCGGCATCACGCAGGGAAACGACGTGTCTGGAAGGATTCCAGCTCCCAATTGAGTCTGGGATCGTCGGGTGAAGCCTTGACTGAATGGAGTTTACTACTAATTTCGATCGGTCGGTCGATCAGACGATAGGGCGAACCATGGACACACCCGTCATGGATTCAGGAACCAAAAGTAAAGTACCAATCTGCAATTATCATACATCAGTACTCACCTAGGTCTCAAGAATTGGCCTTCACAACCCTCCACACAAGATCTCAGTATGGAGTTAATCTGCAGCTGAGAAACCGGAAACTGGGGACGAGGACGGACCAAGGCTTCTCCCAGGAACCATCGATCGACGGGCTTAACTTATGTGTACGGAGTAGGGCTCGTCTCCACCAGTTCCCATGGACAGCGCCAATTACAAGACTGCTGCACGACGATCCCTTCTACTCTTGCGGGCTGGAATGGAGTCGGAGAATCCTGCATTCCACCGACACTCCGCCTGGTCTCGGACTCTTGCCTCTGTTTGGACTTGGGTGCGCTGACCGCATGGGTTTATTGTGAATAATAATAACGCATCGTGAAGTCTTCACATGCAGGCCAGCCTCCGTCCGTGTCCGACGGTCCGGCCATTTCTTGATGTTGTCTGCCTTCTACCGTGTATTATCATTGTCTACCTTGTCGTCTATTGCCGATTATCGATCATGTAGTTCGAGATTTTAATCCGATCCCGGAGAGTCCTCGGCCTCCTCGATCGATGGAACCTTCTTTTCATGCCCGCTTGACGCCGTCATCCCCGGATGGTGCCAGCCGGCTCTTCCGGCGCAGACGCGGCCCAAAGATGAGGAAGAGCACTGGAATAGGAATCATCAGCACGGCGATGCAACCCAACAGTGTCCCGGCCCACTGCACGCCCAGATTATTGAACATCTGACGCGTGAAGAGTGGAAAGCAGGCGCCGACCATCGATCGCATCATTGTATTCGCGGCGAACGCCGAGGCGGCGCTATTGGAATGTTAGCTGCGTCCGCTGCGTTCTTTTTTGCTTTTTCCCTCTCTCTTTTTTTGTCTCCCGCCTCCATCCTCTCTTTTCGTTTCTTTCTTCTCAGAGGGTGAAGACTCACAAGTTCAGATACGAATCCAGTAGGTAATTAAACCCCTGCATGAAAATTGATGTGATACCGAAGCCCACCAGCACGCCGGCAGCCGTGGGCGCCATCCAGTGAATGGACGGATCATAGCCCGTCCAGCCAAACCTGAATGTAGTCCATGAGTATGGGTTTGCTCTTTGCAGGGAACAGGGGAGATCTTACCAGAACAAGCCGCCGGCAAACGCCACGCCACCCACGATGCAAGGCGGAAGACGCCATTCAGGCACGGGCACGTTGTTGTTCGCCTCCAGTTTGCGCGCGTACGAGGGCTGCAGCGACAGCACGAACGTGCTGCCGGCGATCTCGCCCAGGACCAGGCCGATGAATGGCAACCCGCCAACTCCGAGGCCCATGCCGTGGACATCTTGGAAAATGATAGGGTAGGCCGAGAGCAGGGCATACGCCAGTCCGTAAATAAACGACCTAAGGAATCAGAGTCAGCTTGGGGCAACCCAGATTGATACCGGGCCAAGGTAACCGCACATATACAAAGTCAGGAGAAAGGCGATCGGCTCGGTGAAGAGGATACGAAAAGGACGAGCCAAGTTTTTAGTGACCAACTCGCGGAAATCGATCTCCAACTCGTCCTGCCGGGCGTGGATGCCCCAGTTGCGCGTTTGACGACGCAGGATGGACGCTTTGTGCGACAAGACCACCGGAGCGTATGTCTCCTGCGCGAAGAGCACCATCAGGGCCAGGCTGAAGAATCCTACCAAAGCGGGCACGTACAGCGTCCAGCGCCAGCCCAGGTAGCTTTCCGCCGTGAAACCGCCTACGAAGGGCGCGGTGAAGGGACCAGTGAAGACGCTCATGGTGTACATGGCGATGGCAATCCCGCGATGGTGGTTGTTGAACAGGTCCGACAGACTAGCCGGCACCAGCGCGATGACGCTGGCGGCAAAGAAGCCCGAGAAGAACCGACTCAGCATGATTGTTTGCGTGTCCTTGGCCGTGGCGCAGGCGATGGTGAAGATGTCGAAGCCCAGCATGCCGATGATCAACGGCCAACGCCGTCCGATCAGCTCCGAGGCCGGCGCCCAGATGGTCGGACCGCCCGAGAAGCCCAGCACGTACAGCGTCGTGCCCAACGCTGCGACTTCCTGACCGAACCCGAACTCTTTCATGACGCCGGGGCCGGCCGTAGCGAACACGGCGCTGGCATACGCGGTTGCCAGGGCACAAAAGGTCAAGAGCGAGGCTATCGTTACTCTGCGGACAAGCTCAGTTCACAGCTCCACGATCAGTCCCCCAATCCCCTCCTCTCGGGCTGAGGGAGTCTGCCGGTTGACATACCGTTTCTTCATGGGCCAATTCTGCGGGTGCATGGGGTCGTCGGCGCCCTCGAACTCGACGACGAATCCCTCCGACTCGGGCAGCGAAGGCGGATACGGCTTGCCGGCGCCCATAGGCAGCCATCGGTCGCGCGGCGTGCGACTCCGACTCGATCCCACGGTCAATTGCTGCTGTAACCGATATGTATGGATGCGCTCCAACTCGAGCTCATGCGCGGTATCGCCTGGCCGATCGTCGACGGCGTCAACCGACGATCGCTCGACATCGGGATCGGACTTTTCGGAGGATGGTCTCATGATGCCGACCGAGATAGCTTGTCGAGGACGATGGATGACCGAGCAGCGAAGAAAATCGTAGGAAACAACAGCGTCCTTCTGAGATTAATAAGACGACGATGGCGTCTTCACCCGACCCTCATGACGGAAGGCAGTCAAGCTTATGACTGGTTCTGCCGGCATAGCGTCTTCCCCAAGACGCGCCGTCAAGACTGAAGAAAGAAAAAAAGAAAGGACAAAAAGCAGGCAACACATCGGGGTTCGGGTTAACAGAGCCAATCAATCCCTCGGACAGGCAGTCCACCGTGGCTCAATTCCGCGCTTTCGACGCCGGTGGATCTCTCCAGTCGGATAGTCGGCATGTTCAGACTCGGGGAGGAGCCAGAGAAAAGAGAACAAAGCTTGGGTCGGGGTGCTAAATGCTTATGTTGGGGATGGGTCGGGGAATTGCGAGGAATTGGGAGGATTTGGTGCTTGGTTGTTGCATATCTGTCGCGGGTCTCCTGACTTTGCGAGCCCTATCTCAGAGTCGCGGACAGGGCGATTTCTCACGTACACCGTACTTCAGGAGCACTGTCCCTCGGTGTACTCTTGTCTCTCCAGCTTGCTCCAAGCGAGCTGTCCGACGGAAAGCATTCCGAGCCATCCAGTATGTGACGCCACTGCGACCCACCAGATCCTCTTTTTCTGTTTGCGTCGGTTTTGGGGCCAAATTATTCAGACTTTTTTTTTAATGGAAAGAATGCTGACCTGCCTGGTCCTGTCCAGTTACGCCCTGGCTACTCCGTAGTCTCTATTCTTTTGCGCTTTCTTGCCATTCTCCCTCCATCTTCACCACCAATCGCCCTCGAAATGCCCTCAATCGATATCGCTCCGGTACCCCAAGAATCTCCGCCCGACCGACGACCGTCAGCTGCGACCGAATGCCATGACGATGCACCGTCCGCATCATCTCCTCCACCTCCTCGCAACCGGCCACATAGCTGCCTCGAATCACCAGCTCGCGGAATACGATGGTGAAAGAGTCGAACTGCCACCGCTGCGCCGGCAGTCCCAGCAGGACCGCCACGCCACCGACCCGTAGCAGCTCCAGGCTCCAGGAGTTGACGGCCAGCGAGTCCACGCAGTTGATCACCGCCGCCAGTCCTTCATTTTCCGTGTGGGCGAGGATTTGGTCGCGTGCATTGTCCTGTGAGGAATTTACAAGAAGATCTGGTTGCAGGGATACGGACGCATGGCTTGTCAGCTGCAGGCTCTCGTCGCTATTGTCGATGGCCACCGTGCGATACCCCAGCGCTTTGGCAAACTGCACGCCCAATTGGCCCAGTCCTCCGATTCCCAGGATGCCTACGGTGTCCCCCGGTTGAAGAAACGGTCGCACCTTGATCAGTGCGCCCCAGACGGTCGCCTACGTCGCGTAGATAGCGCTAGTGTTAGCCATCCTCGTAGCCGTAGACCTGAACACTCTCGTAGAGATCTTGAACAATCATCAGGGGAGACAGGGAAAGAGGGCGTTAAGACTTACTCCGGCACACAACAACGGTGCGCCCTGCTCAAAGGAGACTGAGTCCGGCAGGGCGACGGTGGTGGCCGCGTCGGCCGCCATGTATTCCGCAAAGGCGCCGTCGTGCTGGAATCCCGCCGTCTCGCGACGCTCGCAAAACCGCGCATCCAGTCGGTGCCATCGTTGCCGGGCGGCGCGACAGCCGGCACATTGGTCGCAGGCGTTTTTGAAGTTCAAGATACCCACGCGATCGCCGACCGTCCAGCGACCCGCCGCGTCGCCCGTCGCCACGACCACGCCGACGGGCTCGTGCGAGGGGGTCATGGGAAGTGCGCTCTGCATCTCGCCGTGCAACACTTGGGCGTCGGAATGGCAGTATCCTGCAGCTTCGATCTTGACCAGTAGCTCGTTGGGTCGAATGCGAGGGACTGGGACGCGGGTGATCGTGTACGGTTGATCGAACTGGAGCCGTTAGCTCGCCGGTCTCGTCACCGACGCAATAACCACGTACTTGGCTGATTTGAGCTGCCCACATAGTCTCGGGAATGGACTCCATCTTGCTTGCAGTGCCTGCCAATTTTACTCGAGAGAGATGGTAACAGGAGAGAGAAACGACGCAGTGAAGCCTTGTGAAGGCTTGCGATGCCGCCCCCAGTTGGAGAAGTTGGAGATTGGAGCAAGCAGCGTTACCCCAACACCGTCATCGATCGTTCCCCGTAGGCATCTAAGACTTTCTTCCAGTCGATCTGCAGGCCCGATCGAGACGGATCCTATGACTATTGGAATAGATTCTGTAGCTGGAGGGCAGGGATCCACCGGGGCTGAGAGCAGAATCAATAGTTCGTCGCCCTTGCATCGGGTCGTCCATTTCTCCATCTGAACCTATCTATATCAGCGGTAAGAGGTCGCCCGGGAGAAGGGCTGTTCGCGGGATTCGAAATCCAAGTGTGTCTACTTCCCTCGCCTCGATCACTCCCCGTCATGGCCATCCTCTCGCGCGTGCGGCAGTTTGCCGGCTACACCGTCGCTCTGCTGCTCGCCACGACTGTCTCAGCCTCCCCAGTTCTCTCGCGCGATCCAGAAACAACCACGGTCTTCCAGTTCGAAACCAACGGCACTTGGATCGAAAATATCGCCATCCGTCCCGGCGGCGACCTGCTGCTGACGCGCATGGACGAGCCTGAGCTCTGGACGGCTAATCCGGTCGACGGCTCGTGGTCACTGGTGCATCGGTTCGACCACGCCACCGCGCTGATGGGCATCACGCACATGCACGATGATCGCTACGCCGTCGTGGTGGGAAACGTCACCATCGCTGACATCGGCCAGCCCATGCCGGGTTCCTTCTCGCTGTGGGCCGTGAATATGGCTGCCGACAGGCCGCAGATCAGTCCGATCGTAGCCATTCCCGAAGCTGGCTGGTTGAACGGAATGACACGCCTAGACAACGAGTCAGGTACGCTGCTGGTGGCGGACTCCGTCAATGGGGTCATCTGGAAGGTCGACCCCTTGTCTGGACAATATGAAGTCGCGCTCTCTGGTCACTCACTTGAGCAGAATGGTCAGGCCCTGGGGGTGAACGGCGTCCATGCGGCAGGAGGCATGGTGTACTATACCTCCAGCTCGCTCGACTCGCTCTTCCGAGTGGCCGTGAATGCTCAGGGGCTGGCCGCAGGTCCGGTGGAAACCGTGGCTGCCAGTGACTCCTTGCCTGACGACTTCGCTCTGGCGTCTGACGGGACCGCATATCTCATGGCCAATGTGGACAACCAGGTTCAACGCGTTTCCTTGAGTGGGGAATTGTCCACGCTGGCCGGAAGCAAAGACTCCTCGCTTGTGGCAGGTCCGAGTGCCGGTCAGATCAGCGCCGATGGGAGCGTTCTGTACGTGGTGACTTGTGGCGGACATATCGCTCCTCCGCAGGGAAAGCTGGAACCAGCCAAAGTGGTGGCCATCAAATTGTGATCCAGGAAAAACTACAAGACTGTTGTCGATTCAATATATAATAAGACTATTCTCGATGTATGAGACAATTTCTGTCCTTGGCGCTGGACGATGTACTCATGTTCTGCTGTAACCTAAACGCATTGGGACTGATATGACCTGTGTATTTCTAGATGTTCACAAAAGCCATCCGGCTGTTGATCAATGTAACGATCAAGTCTAGCGCTCGAGCGGAGCAATATCGTCCTTCAGATGGTCGTAGGTTACGCTCGAATCGACGGCCATGAGTTCAATCGACCACCAATCACCGAGGTCAAGGTGCCTACAGCCTCCGATCCCAGGTATGAGATGGCCTTGCCCTTGAGGTCCATCAGCGGCACGGTCGTCGTACGACAAGAGTCGGGGTTAGCGACCGCGTGACCGGCCAATCGATCGGAGAGCCACTGTAACGCGTTGACCGATCCGAACACGGCCGTGGTCAAATGCTCTGCAGCTAGGATGCGGTGGTACTCGATGCTGACGGACTCATTACAGTAGCCGTGCACCAGCTCGTCCGTGTCGGCGATTGGGCTGATCTCATCCAACGCGCCCTTGTAAACGTACATCGGCATCCGGGGCACGCCCGCCGAGCCCATCTGTCCGGCGGAATCCAGGATGGAAGAGGGCACGGGGTCGGCAAACGAGGCCTTGCCGCGCGAGAAGTAGCGGAAGATATCGTTCAACATACCGCCCGCGAATTCACCCAGCACGCAGCTGTCGGCAGAGCCGTAGAACTGGTGTCGGCTGGCCTCGATCAGATTCTCGCCGAGCCATCCGTGCAGCTCCTCGTAGGCCTTGGCGACGCCGATCATGATGACGAAGGCGGCGCCCGAGAATGGACCCATGTTGATGGTTTCGATGGCCGAAGTGAGATTGGGCAACAGACCGCCGATCGCCGCGCCTTCGAAGCGCAACTCGGGTGCGTACGAGGGTTGCAGTTCGGCCGCCCACTCGCAGGCCAACGCGCCTCCGGAGTATCCCCACATGGCATATCGAGCGTCGTGCGAGAGTCCCAGCGCTGGTGCTTCGCGCAGGGCGACGCGCACCGAATCCAGCGTCGCGTATCCCGCCAGGTATCCCGCCGCAAATTGTGCGTCCAGACCTTCGTAATCGGAGGTGATTACCCACCAGCCCTGTTCTAGGGCGGCCGATAGCTACGTGAAGACAGTAATTGTTAACCGATATGTCAGGGGAAGGAAGGTAGTTTGACCGTTTGCGCGGCCGGAGAAAACTTACAAAGGCAAGGTCCATGGGCTGCGTCATGTTGGGCATTAGATCGCCATTGCCGTGGGATGAACCGTGACGAAGAGTGTAGGAGGGACTGCAATCCGGGTTGTTCGCATCGTAGAACGTCTCGTAGGCCAGCAATTTGCTGGGGTCCGAATTATGCGGCACGATCAGGGTGGCTGCGGCGGCAATGGGTTTGCCCACGCTGTCGGTCGTGCGATAAAGATACTGATGCACCGATTCCACGGAGATGGGCATGCCCACCGGCGTGTAGGGCTCCAGCTCGTTGGCAACCTGGCGAGCACGGATCGTGTCGCCGGGTGCGTATGCGCTGATGTTTTTCGGTTGTTGGTACCAGGGATCTTGACTAGGAGGCACAAGGGCCGTGGTCATCGACGTCAGGCATACTGCCCACAGCCCTGCACGAAGTAGACGGGCGATCATTGTAGGCGAATAAAAAGAAAAGAGCGACGAAGGTGAGATTTGAATGAAAGACTATGGGTGAGAAAGCCACGCGATTGCCGAAGAACCAGGAAGGTCTACAGGGTCATTATGAACAAAAGGAAAAGTGAGTGCAGGGCACAGGAGCCTCAGGGAGAGCAAAAGTCTTGGACATAGGCGAGCGTGGAGCCTATAAGCAGATCGATCAGGTAGTAGTCGAACTTAAACAGGCTGGTTTCGTTGAGGTCTTCAAAAGGCTTCCAAGTTGTTGTCTCCACAAAGGGCCATATTTTGATATTCTGCATTAGGTGTGACCTGTATATGTCCGTCTCGCTGGATCAGATATTCCATTGTTGGTCCTAATGACAGTGGTGATTGACCGTCAATGCCCAGTCAATCCAAGCCAGAAGACGACTCTTGCAACGTCTCAAACTCCAAAGTCATCGCCAACCCGGTCCACTCGGGAACTGACCGAGTGGATCTTATTTTAGATTGCGTTCCGCAACTGTCCACGATCTTCATGCCACTAAACGCGTTGCAGGAAGTGATCGTCTTCACCCGTGCTGATCTGTGCATTGGCTGGGCTCGTGTCCCTGACTTGAAGGGTTGAACAACCTGGACTCGATCGATAGATGTTCAATAGTCAGTTTGGAGCCTTTGGGTGGTCGATTTTCATCTCTTCGACTCCACTTAGTCTTTCCAAAGCAGAAATAGAAAGAAACAAAAAGAAGGCAGAGAGATCCGATCAGGAGTTTGTTGTACAAGTGAAACACATTGTGTAAATATGTACAAGGACCACATGGTGTTGTCGGCTGAGATATATGCGATTTAACACCACGGTCATGCCAACCTTGTAGTAGATCGCTTTTCCCATCAGATCAGGGCCAGGGGATAGAGCATCTGACCGGGAATTACTGAGCCTGGTCGGTCGCTGTGCCAAGGATATGGTTCACAATGCTGATCTTTTTGGCCCTTGGCTTGGTTATATATTCCCGGCCCGACGTGGAAATCGCCGGAACGGTTTCACACTACGCAGTGAACACAACCCCATTGACAGTCCCTTCATCACTGATGAAGGCAATATGCTCATGAAGCCGGAATATTTTCCGGACGGGACGGTACGATATGTGAACGACCTGGTGTCGCTCTAGACGAATGACTCAGCGTCCGAATCTACATATTTGTCTTCGAATAAATTATTCATTTCCGTGATTGCAATCCTTGGTTCAGTCTTCGATTTATTGTTGATTATGAACATTTCAGACGGCGTTAGGTATGCGTGTTTTCTTGGGTCGCTTTTTGATCTCAATATCAGATCTGGGTCCGCGTTATCTGTGTCGCCAGCTAGAGATTTGACAAGGCGTCGTACTGCTCTTGCGTTACGGCGAGCACAGATCCATGCCTCATGAAGGTCAAGTCGCTCGACGAGTCTCTGGCGAACTCGCCCGAGGTGACGTCAGTTGATTCCCACGCGGCGATTCCAGGGGTCTCGCCCACGCGATCGCAGAGCAGATATGCCTTGCCCTCTTCCTTGTTGTCCCAAAAGGCATACGGCCCTTCGTAGCTGGCGCTGTCTCGCACGCTGCCCGTTGGCACCGTCCATTCGCCAAAGAGACCGTCGTTGCTGACTTCCACGACGGGACTTGTCGTGTTGCCGTCGACGTAGAAGCGCACAAAGGTGTCATCGTCCACGGACAGGAAGGCCAGGTCAATCACCGTGCTAGTCTGATGGTTGATATAAGTCTTCGGCTCGCCGAAGGTGCGGAAATCACTGGTATAGGCGTAGCGAATGATCTGGGAGGTCGTCGGATCGCCGGAGTGGTCCGAATCATCGGTCGCATACTGTCAATTACCGTCATCAGTGAGAAATCATCTCGCAAGTGCGGAGGGGGGACTTTACAAACTGAGAGGCCCAGTGCACCAGGTATTGTTCTGTCATCGTCAGCCGTTGTCAGCCCCAGCCGACGTCACGCCTTTCCCATCTGCCGGGCATTACCTTGAGAAGCATCCCACACGGCGTCCGGAGCCCACACCATGCCGGCCGTTTCGTCCTCAACTGTCACCAGTCTCTCGTCGGTCCAGTTCACCAGATCAGTGCTCTCCCAGACGAAGATGCCGCGCGACCCGGTGCGGACGGCGTCGCCCCAGTTGGTCTGCTTTGATTAGCCGCCGTTCACCTCGGCCGATCCTCTGCCAGGCGGGGGAGGCTTACCGATCCAATGTCCAGGTCCGTGCCGATTATGTAGTACTTGCCGGCATCATCGCCAACCCCGGCGATGATAGAAGCGTCGCGAATGGCCTTGCTACCCAGCGTCGGCGATAGGACGGACTTGCCGCCGTTGGCAGTCTCGAAGGCCAAGGGGTTGTCATTGTCGCTCAGGGCGAAGTAGACACTCTCGTCATCGGTGGTCCAGTAAACCCCCAGGTAGCCCACCTTCTCGGCGTCGGCCTTCTTCCGAAGGGAGCTCACCGAAGGCCGGGGAATGGCCAGGGTGAGGGGGGCCGTCGCCATGAGGGCCGTTATCCAAGTAGCAAAGTTCTTCATCGTGGCAATGGGGAGATGTCTGGGCTCGTGATGCAGATGGACGAGAGGATGAGAGATGTCGAGCACTTTATAGCGACCTTTCCAGGGTATCGACTCGTGGCATGATGCAATCGCCAAGCGAACGAGGTATCAAATTGTCCGGCGTTCCCCTCAGGGACGGAGAGTCATTGGCGGGGAGAGAGATGGTAGCGCTGTCGATCCCTGACTAGGCATCTTGATATCGCAATTCTCCGACGGGGGTGTGGAGGGAGAAGACTTTAATATGAGACAAGAAGCGAGAAATCTGAAGAACCGGGAAGGCAGACAGACAGAGAGGGAGAGAGAGAGAGAGGAAGAAAGAGGAAGACTTGTCCGGGGAGATCTTGGCACCCCCCGCATGGAGCACGTGCGGGGTACACAGGAGAAGGACCGAGACAATGAACAGAGAGAGAGAGAGAGAGGGTGGCTAGACAATTATATAGAGGGACAATGCTATGCTCCCATCTGCCGTACCCGAAAGGCCGGGAGTTCAAGGATTGACCACGAATAAATGTACAGTGCAATGTCTTCGGAGGCATGGCTGACTGCCTGATATTCATGCCTGGATGCCTGGATGCCGTGTTGTCTGACTGCCTGAGTGCCTTGGTGCCCGTCTTCTCAGGCAGAACAGTTCAGGCATCAAGCGTCTGCAGTACCTGGCAGGTACCGCCGGGGTACACGACAGCCGCGGGCGGCAGCATGGCGGAGCAAGTCGCTCGCTAGTCCCGACCAAGTTCCTGCCTGACACGTGCCGTGGATGCCTGAATCGGGGGCTTTTGCGACAACAAAGAAAAGAAAGCCGTAAGAAAGAGAAAGAGAGGAAGACAAAAGCAAGAAAGGACGAGACTGTGGATGGTGACGGGTGTCATTGCATAGACATTAATCCTACCTGGACACGGTGCGGCTCTGCCACTTCCTCCTGACTCGACTTCCTCCTCTCGTCCCCTTCTTCTTCCACCCCCCCCCCATCCACTTTCTCTCTCTCCCTTACCCTCTTCCTCTCTCTCTCTCTCTCTCTCTCTCTCTCTCTCTCTCTCTCTCTCTCTCTCTTCGTCTCTTTCTCTCTCCCTCCTCCTTTTCTTCCACCTCCCCTTCTCTCTCCTGCTTCATCTCCCACCTCTCGGATGACGCTCTTTACCCCCTCGACGTGACTCGCTCTCTCGCCCTTTTTTTGCCATCTCCACTTTATTATTATTGATTTCCCCACTGTGGAATGAAGTGAACGTGGGCTTTTTTGACCCTGGCAGCTGAGCCTCGTCTTCGTCTTCTCCCTCCTCCGTCGACGCCGCCTTTCTCTCCCTGAGCCTCCGCCTGCCGACCGTCAGCATGGCTCACTATCAGAATGGCCATCCGGTCTATGGCCAGCCAAACAGTCCCCCCTCATCCGCCGCCCAAACCGCTCGTTACGCCGGCACCTCGAACCACAATCAGCCGCTGCGCCGGATGCCCAGTTACGACGTGGGCGACGACGCCGCCCTCTCGGCTCGCACCACCGATGCCAACGGTCGATACGGGGGCTGGTCCGGCGAGGGTTATACCCAGGCTGACCCCCGGTACTCGCACCTCCCTGCGACCAATTCTCCCCAGATCCCTCGCAGCCGGGGCTCCTCGCACTCGACCTACCAGTATCAATACACCTCCTCCTCGCTCGCCTCGCCCACCCAGCCGGCCTACAATCCCCAGCAATACGCCGTCCCGCCGACCCCGTCGCAGCTGAGCTACAATTCGCCCGTCTACTCGGGCTCCGGCAGTGCCTATACCGGCGGTTCCGGTGCCGGCAGCGTTGCGGGCCATCAGCCTTACAATCCCGCCGCCTACCAGTCCGCCGCTGCCTATCCGCAGACTCCTCCGACACCGCTGGGCTACCCGCCACCCCATCCACACCTGCCGCCGCCGCCTCCGCCGCCCCGCGGCTCCGATCACCCGTACGGAGGACGTCCTCCTCCGGCCGGCTCCTATGGATTCCCCGCGCCCCAATCAACCCTGTCGTCCGCGTATCCCCTGGTGTCGCCGTCCACTCCCAGCGCCGCGTACGCGGTCGGGGGACCCCTGAGCGCGAGCGGTGTCGGCTCGACGGCCCTCTCCACCGGGCACTCCTCTCCCTACCTACCGCAATCGCCTCGTCGCTCCGAGGCCTCGATCGCTGCCGCCGTCGCGGACGACCAGCCTCCTGCACCACCCGCCCATTCGATTGCCGGAGACGACCCCTTTCGCAAGCGATTGAGCTTCACGCGTCCGGGGTCCGGTCGCTCGCTCCCCACGCCGCCCACGCAGCATAGTCAGTCGCCGCACTCGCCCCGTCGCGCCGAGACCTTGACCCGACATCCGCAGGCCCGGCCCTTGCCCGGACCCCCTGTCGACGCGGACGGCCCTGGAGCCAATGACGTGGGAGGCTCGCCATACGACGAACGGTTGGAAGATTTCGAGACCGCGGGAGTGGATCGTCAACCGTCCGGGGGCACGCGGTCGAGGTTTGGACCGTTGCACGTGGACACGCAGCACAATCACTTCCGGGACAACGGCGACGCGGCGCAGAGCAACCCGGCTGGGCTGCGCCTATCGCCCGACGAACGTCACACGCACACGAACGGCAATATGGCCACGGGTACGGGCCAATACGTCAACTACGACGCTTATAGCGATGACAGCGACGCCGAGGCGGCCGCCGGATTGGCCATGCTGCAGATGGCCGAGGAGGAGGACAAGGCGCAGGCCGAGCGGCTGCAGGAACGATCCCGCCGTGAGACCAACGCCTCGATTATCAGTGCCTACGCATCGCACCCCTCGGGCGGTGCCGCCTCCCCCCACCCGGACGACGGCGTCCTGTACGGCGGCGGCAGCTATCGCGGGCGCTCCCTGTACGGCGACGTGGCATATCCTCGGGAGGAAGAGGCGGCGACGGCAAATGGACTCGACCGGGACCGACTGATGGCCACGTCGGGCTCGCTGCGCAGCTCCAACGTGTCGTCCGACGATCGGGCAGAGTACTCGGACGACTACGACTATCCGCCCGTTGCCAACGACGACCTCGCCACCTACCCGTTCCAGCCGTTGCCCTCGCACGCGCGCGTGGATGCCGGCGGCACGGGCGGGCTGTCCGAACCGGGGGCGTACGGGCGCCGCATGAGCTTCGATTACGGCGAGGAGGCGGAGACGCCGCCCATCCACCACGCGCATCATTCGGACAGCGAGGGGTCGGAGCGTGGCGACGAGCCCGAAGATCTGTTCTTCCACCCGGGCATGCGCCCGTTGCCGCCGGCCCCCGTGGAACCGGCGAACAACGCCAGCGTGATCCCCCATTTGATGCCGGCCGGCACATACCACCGGCCCGCGGAGCAAGAGGACTGGCAGACAGCTTCACAGTATACTCCCTCCTACCCAGTTGCTGCAAACTCGTACAGGCCGACCGTGCCCGCCTCCTCTCAAGTCCCACGGTCGACCTCCTTGTCGAGTCATCCGATAGGACCGCGTACTGACCCCCCTATCAGGTCCAAAACCGATGCCGACCGGGCCAAGTATCGTCAGCAGCAACAGCAGGAGCTGCTGTCGCTGCGCCCCGAGTCCGGCTCGCTGCAGCTGGACGCGCAGACGGCGGCCGCCATGGCCCTGGACCTACCTACCATCCCCGCTGGCCGTCGCAAAAAGTTCAATCCGGCCAAACTGTCCTCGGAGCAGTTCCGTCGCTGCGTCGAGCCCTGGGCCCTGAGCGCCGTCCTGGCCTGGATCCGCGAGTTGAGCGAGGACGAGACCGACCTCAAGGAGCAGGCCATCGTCGACGCCCTTGTCGCCCTCTTCACCCACAAGGTGCCGACCATGAACATCGCCGACGCCGAGACGCTGGCCGCCCGCGTCGTCGCCAACATGCTGGCCGAGGGGGCCCTGGTGAAGGAGGAGGAGTGGGTCAAGTTCAGCTCCGGCTCGCTCTCCGGTGTGCTCTTCCAGATCACCGGCACCGGCTGCTACTCGTCCTTGTTGCACGAGCAGGAGGGCGAGGCCTTTGGCCGCTGCTACTCCTACCACTGCATGCGCACTCTCAAGAAGGTGAATCTGAAGGAGCAGATGATGGAGCCGCAGAAGAAGGCCGAGGACTGGGTGACGTTTTACAAGGTCCCCAAGTCTCTCTGGGAGTCGTACCCGAAGAAGGAGATCGACCGCCAGAACAACCTGCACGAGGTGGTGACGACCGAAGACTCCTTTATCGGCCAGCTGGACGTGCTGCGCGACCTCTACCGCGACCAGCTGCTGGCCATGCAGCCCTCCATCATCCCGCCCAAGCGTTTGAACAAGTTCCTACTCGACGTGTTCGGCAAGGTCGACTCGGTCAAGCGCGTGAACGAGGACCACCTGCTGGCGCAGCTCAAGTACCGCCAGAAGGAGCAGGGTCCCTTCATCGTCGGCTTCAGCGACATCTTCCGCGAGTGGATCCGCAAGGCGAAATCTGTCTACATTGACTACGCCGCCACGTTCCCCTACGCCAACTACCTGGTGCGCAAGGAGGCCGAACGGAATATCCACTTCCGCCAGTTCCTAAACCAGGTCCGCGACCACAAGCTCTCGAACCGGCTCAGCTGGGACACCTACCTTAAGGCCCCCATCACGCGCATCCAGCGCTACACCCTGCTGCTCTCCACCGTTCACAAGAACATGCTGAAGGACAGTGAGGAGAAGATCAACGTGGCCCAGGCCATCGAGGAGATCAAACTGGTCGCGCTGGAGTGTGACAACAAGGTCGGCGAGATGAGCAAGAAGGTCGATCTGATGGAGTTGTCGTCCAAGCTGCAGCTGCGGCCGGAGATGAAAAAGGAGGTCGAGCTGAACCTGGAGCATCTGGGCCGCGAGATTATCTTCCGCGGCGACCTGCAGCGACCGGGCACGCGCACCCGCTTCCTCGTAGACACTCATGCCATCCTCCTCGATCACTACTTGGTCCTGGCCAAGGCAGTCACGGCCCGGGACCCCTCGCGCACCGTCAAGTACGAGAGCTACGACGTCTCCAAGCTGCCCATCCCCATGGATCTTCTGGCCCTGGAGAGCACCAACGACGACCCAGTGGTCAAATCGTCGGTGCGCGGAGTCGCGACGGTGACGCCGCCCCAGGCCGTCACGCGTGGCACCGGTGCCGTGCCTTCGAACTTCGCCCCCGGCGGCGGCACGTCGGCGCTGGTGCCGACCACCGTCCTGGAGAGCTCCAAGGACGACAAGATCCTCTACCCCTTCAAGATCAAGCACCTAGGCACCGCGGGGACCTATACCCTTTACGCCTTTTCTGCCCAGAGTCGGCAGGATTGGTGCGACAAGATCACCGAGGCGAAGACGAAGCATGCCGCCGCTCTCTTCACTCAGAATGCCGAGCCGTTCAGACTCCGTGTGCTGGCGGACACTGCCTTTGCGAACTCGGACTTCTCGGCCTCCAGTTCGGTCACCATCGATGGCACGCCCTTGGATCGAGCCATCAAAGAGGTAGAACTGCGGTACCCTGCCTCCAGCCCACGGCCCCAGCCGGTCTGTCGGACCGCCGTCCACTGTGCTACTGTCTTCCAACAACCTGCCGGTCGAATGATGTGTGCCATCGGCACCGATTATGGCGTCTACATATCCGATTACAATGACCCTCGAGGTTGGACTCGGGTATGGATCCCTTTGGAATAATGACCCCTCAGAAAAACCATGCTAACGAAACTTAGGCGATTCCTATCGTGCGCGTGACTCAGGTTGCCGTCTTCGAGGAATTCAACGTATTCCTTCTCATTGCTGACAAGTCCCTGATCGCCTACCACTTGGACGTTGTGTGCCCAGCCAGCGGGATCCAAAATCAAACCACGAGTGACTCTGCTCGCCGTGCACCCCAAAAGCTCTCCGGGAGCCGAGAAGTGGGCTTCTTTGCCGCAGGACATATGAAGGATCGTACTTTGGTCATGTACAAGAAACGGGACGGGCTGTCGTCCACATTCAAGGTATGTCGGGTGCCGTTTTGGCATGTTCCAAGAAATTCAAGTCACTGACGCAGACCTTTTCTTCATACATAGGTTTTGGAACCAGTCCTGCAGAAATCATCCTCCAGCAAGACGCGCTTCTTCCACTCTCGTCGCTCGCAGACAGAGTTTTTCCGCGAATTCGATGAGTTTTACATCCCGGCCGAAAGTTACGGCATCAACATGTTTCACTCCTCGCTGGCAATTTCCACCCAGCGCGGCATTGAGATCCTCACGCTTGACAAGAAACAGACCTGGTCGGTTCCGGATTTCCGATCGGAGGCCCCGGAGGCGCAGGCCCAACTGTCAAGCATTGCCAACCGGATCGGCAACCTCCGCCCGCTGGGCATGTTCCGTTTGAGCGACAGCGAGTTCCTCGTGGTCTACACCGAATGCGCCGTCTACGTGAACAAACATGGCGACGTTTCCCGGAGCGTGGTCATGGAATTCGTAGGACGCGCCCATTCCGCCTGCCTGTACGGGAAATTCTTGATACTTTTCAACGAGGACTTTGTTGAGGTACGCAACGCAATGAATGGGCGTCTCCGTCAGGTAATCCCGGGTCACAATGTCGTCCTCCTCGACGACGGTAGCAGCATGCCTGGATCCGGAGCCAACAGCGTTCCTACTTCTGCAGGCGGTGCCGTGAATCTATCCAGCGGACTGTCCAATGGTGGTTTGGCCAGTAGCGGGCGAACGGTCAAGATCTGCATGCAACACCCTGAGCACGAACGAAGTTTGATAGTTCTCGAATTGATTGAGAACGAAGGGCAAAAGGATTGATTCTGAGGATCACTCCTGCAATCATCTAGATCCCTCAATTTCCTTGTTCTTGCTTTTCCTTTCCTTGCCTCGAAATCCCTCTATACCCAGGCCCTTGATGCCGCAATTATTCGACGGAGTCCCTCTACTTCCCCCCTCGGGTCTCTTCTAGTTGGCTTGTCACTCTATGTCCCTTATTCTCAGCCTACTGAGGTTTTTCGCCAGAGAGAACACTCCATTGAACTATCATCTTTCTCTTCCATTTTTTCCCTTACTCTTTCTTGGAATTTTATACCCCCCTTTCATTTTCCGGCTTCCTTACTTTTTCTTTTTATTTTCTTGGTCTCTTTTACTTACCTCCTTGCATTATCTTTCATTTTGTCTATATTGGATTGTACTTGTCTCTCATCCCATATAGATCATGTTTAAACATGGCTGATGCCTCCTTGTACATACATTTTATTGGACGGACAGTAATATATTTTATTTCATCCCTCGTCTTCTGACGGTTATGTACAGCCTCATGCCTTTCCAACAATTGCATATGAAACATTTCGAGTCCGTAAACTGCATTCCGTATCGGGGTCGGTTGTATTCAAGCTAGCGTAATACATACATACATTGATCGGTCTTCCGTACACAACGGAAAACAAGGCTAAGCGGCAAAAGAAAAAAAGAAAGGAGAGAAATAAATGATTCTAGAAAAGGAAATACAACGGTGTACGTGCAGTGTGACGGAGGTTGGGGCGATGATATCACAAAAAAAGAGAAAAGAAAGGACAGAAAAAAGGAGAGTAAGATGTGAAGATATAGATTGGGACGAGTGACGATTGAGCACGAAAAATGCCGGACAGCATTTTATGACTCGAACTCAACTTTGCTGACGTTGTCATGGGCATGTTGATCCGGGTTTTGTGATTGTTGCTGCCGCTGTGCATCGCTGCTATTGCCAGCCTCCGAGGTACCGGGGTGCTGTCCCTCCTTGTCATCCAGTAGGGATGCCTCGTCTTTTTTGTGAATGCTGACAACTTCCGCTCCTTCAAGGAGATCACGGTCCGCGTCGCGGACGCTACGGCGTTCAGGGTCTGCGCCGTACGCGCCGGCTCCCCAGCTTGAAATGCCGCCCACAATGGCTGGAGTAGACGAACTGTTACGGGGGTCGTAGTCGTCATCATCCTCCTCATCCTCGTCTTCGCGGCTGAGCGCGTTGCGCTCCAATTCACGCTGCGCTTCGTCCATTCGTTTCTTGACCTCGGCGGCCATGCGGATCCCGTCCGTAACTATGTTGTCCAGAACACCGCGGAGACCCTTGCCCGGGGGTACGATGCCTCCCGATGCGCCTGCAACGGAGGCGCCCGAAGCGGCGCTGGCGTGTGGCTTGGCGGTGTTGATATTGGAGAAGGTCGTAAGGTTCGACGAGAGAGAAGTGGCGACAGAGGCAGGATGCGGGTGGTCGGAAAGACGGAAAGACTGGGGGAAAAAGGAGTCGAAGAATTGTTCGAGCAATTCGTCGGCCAAGATGACCATCCGGAAGGTGGGAAGGGTGATATGTAGAGGGTTGTTGGGATCCAGGGCAGGGTTTGCCGATTCGGATGTGCTTTGAGTAGGGGTTTCGGGGGCCTCCGCGGCATTTTGGGCCAGGGATCTGTTGTTCTCTGAGGTTGTGGGGGGCGACTTGGTCTTTTCCTCGCCCACATCGATCAGGTCCTCCTCATCTTCCCCAATGCTGAATTCGCCCAACTTGTCCGCCGTTTCTTCTGCGTCTTTGGAATCCTCCGGCTTTGCCTCCTCCGGTTTGCTGGGATCGGCATACTCGAAGCACCGGCGGATGAATGAGCTGACACTTCCCAAGAATTTCTCATCCGTACTCAGCCGGTCATGATCGGGGTGCCCACGGTCATTTGCAGCGCCAAGCTCCTCGATGGATTGCGTTGGCGTAATAGTGCCGTCAAAGCCGCGACGAGAAAGAAAAAGCAATGCCTCGGAGATCCTCAGAATGCCTTCGCGATCAACCTGGCCATTGCCGTGGTCGTCATATAAGTCAAAGAAGTAGTTGATATTATTCATGATATCTCGCGGGCCTTTCAGACGCGCCAGCCCGTTGACCACATTCTGCAAACTGAGTCCCTCAGACGGATCTGTAGCCCATTTGCGGAATAAGCGTTGCATGAATTCGTGGTCGGCAGGTTCCGATTGCTTGTTCCACGACGCGGCGGACTTTCCATACGCTCTAAGGCTGCTCAAACTGAGATCACCCGACGATTGCTTGCGGGAAGGCCCAGGGGTGTCACCTACGGCCCACTTGGCTGTAGCAGCGAGGAAGTCGCGGAACGCGTCGTAGTCCATGTGAGTCGGACTGGGGCCAAGACCAACGCGACCTACTTCACGGTCGACTGGTGGCCCTAAAATCGAAGTTCGCTCGATTCGCTTCTTCTCCTGGCGCTTCTTTTCCTCGTCTAGAAGCTTTTGTCTTTGTTGTCGGTCATAGAGGACCTCGTAGAACCGGTCGTAGATCACGCCCAAATCGTCCATGCTCAGCTTTTTGCTTTCTGGCCCAAGGTTGCGGATGGAGGTGCGCTTGGCGAAGCTTTCGATGTTTTCCAGCACCGCATCCTTATGCTTCTCCCGTTGTTCCGTGATGGTTTGATGCGTGATACCAGAAAATTCCTTAAAAGCCACTACCATTAATTCCTGGAATCGGGTGATCGCCCGCAGCTTGGGATTCTCGGATCTCGGGTGAGCAGACTCGTCCAGGCGGGAGAAGTATGATTTCAACACGGAGATAAATGACCCGTCATCCTGTATATCTAACAGCTCCTCGCCGTTGACTCGTAGAATGGCAAGGCCGACCTGGAAAAGAACCTTGGGCCCTTCCAGGAAGAACACATCCAAGACCCTAAATGCAAATACTAGCGGCATCGAGTTGATGTAGAGGGAGAGGAACCAGGGTAAGGAGACGACCGAAAGCTGAACGTCGGATTTGGCAAGATGTTCCCACAGAACTGGCATGGTCTTTTCCACAAGGGACTCAAAAACCTTCTGGTCAAGTAACGTGCCGTACATGGTCGTCGAATAATAACCTGGGAGGAGACGGTCGCATAACACCGAAAGAAGGAAGAAGGCTTGCGCCTCCGACATATATCTGGAACAGGTCAGCTCCGTTATTCAGACACATGGTGTAAACAAACTGAATCATACATCAATAAAGCGGCCACGACGATATTCATGGCCTGGCAGTAACCGATCTCGGCGTTGATCCAGCTGTAGGCCGTGAGCACTCGTCGAAGCCGTCCGATCCCTTCCTCGCTCTGGAATCCGGCATACTCCGGCAAACTTCGATTGAGGTCTTTTTCGATCTCGTCGATCGCGAGAGATTCTTGTCCGGAGAATTTGGAAAGCGTATCGGTGTACAACTTGGGCGACCGCAGGCGCAGGTACAACGAACCGGAAGCAATCTCCCATATTTCACCGCGGAGACGGTTGGGGAGTCCCACGCGTATTAGTTTGTGAAAGGTGGGCTGCCGAATAAGAGTCGCATTACGGCCATTTTCTACCGGTGAAATCAAGAGAGTCAACGCAGGCTCTGAACGTAAAGGGATCAGCGGGCCGTACCTCGGAAATATTCCCCCCACAATCTCATTTTACTCCGATCCCGTAGCTTGCGGGCATCGCCGGGGTAGCGGAAGATCATTCCCAGCCCGGCATCGGGTGGCTGGTGCACCTCGGAGCCGTCCCCTTCCTGGCCCTTGGATTTAGCTCCGGAAAGGAGGTATTCCGAGTAGCAATCGTTGACTACTACTCGCAGGTTTTCGATCTCCTTCATACCCTCGCGCAGTCCTTTTTTCAGGCCATCGCAGAAACGTTCACAGGCCTGCCTGCTTCCGACCAGCTGGATGGTGAATCGTTGGGGGATGAAGCCGGAGCTTTGCTGCTTCCCCAGCGCACCATTCCACGTTGTCAGAGCCAGTGAGAATACATGGCTCAGGCTGTTGAGCCGCTCCACTCGGCGGATGCAACACAGCGGAATGGTGAAGCCATTCCCGGACGGGCCCGTACCGTTAGTCTGGCCGGCCCAGTGGGTAGATGCCCCCAACGTGGCAGAGGGCGCAAAGCTCGTCGGCTGTGTGGAGAAGCAGATATATCGTTCGCTCAGGTGAAGTCGGCCGGCATAGCGGTTGCCGGCGCGTTCGAGATTGCGCGAGGCGGCCCCTTGGCTGGTCGGAGAAGAGGTATGGGGAATGGGAAGAACCAGTTCTGCGGTGATTTCCTGCAACGGATTTTGAGAGTCGGGAAGGCGAAATTGCTGGCGAAACAAGGAGGCTTTAGAGGGATTGCGATCGGAGGAGGAGAGAGTAGGAAGGTTGAAGTTGGCCGGGTCAATGAATGACTGGGCTTTCTGAACGAAGGACGACCACTGCATCATGGTGCCGGTCGCGGAAGATGAAAAGACGGCCTCCACCGGGGGGGCACCGATAGGGTATGAGAAGGAATGATGGGAAGAGAGGTTGAGGGGGGCAGTCACGTCTTGCCCGATCTCTTTTGCGGGAATGGGGGCCTCTTGGGTGGTGTAAGGCTGATTTGATGGCCAAGCCCAGCCCGGCAGAAGCTGGGGAGCTCAGACGGAGCGAATCAGGATCGGGCGAGGAGCATGTACGGAAGCGCACGGGTAAAGAACGACAGAGACAAGAATCATCGTAAAGACAGAGACAACATAATGGATAGAGGGGTATGTGGATGGTGGGAGAGAGAAAGAGAAGGTGAGAGAGAGGAGAGAGAAAGAGAGGGAGAGAGAGAGGGGAATCGGAATGGCCGCATGAGGCGCGGAGGATGGGATGCCTGAAGGCGGTCGCGCCTCGTGCCTGGGGCCGCACGTGACGGACCGGCGGCTCGGAGAGATCGTGACGTCGTTTGCCCTACGGAGTACAGGAACCCCAGGAACTACGGAGTACAACCTACAGACTTAGGAACACTGGAATATGGGGTAAAGAGAAAATGCAGGCCCCGGAATGCATTGTAAAGGAAGGTAGGTAGAATTATTGAGTTAGGTCATTCAACCTTAAAACAACAAAGAATAGAAAAAAATACCAGTATACAATCTTTCCCAAACCCTTGTTTACGTGGTCCGTTCGGACGGACCCCAACGGTACCTTGAGCCAATTCCATCCGTTCTCAGGTGCAAAAGGTCAGTATGCGGCAACTTAGGACTTGTCCGCGGGCATCGCCTCGGCCGCCATTTCCTCGTCGCTGTAAGCGGGAGGCAGCTCGTCCGCAGCCTCGGTCATCAAGCCCTGCTTCTCACCCACGGTGCCTCGTTCCTCCGAGGGCTTGGAGCCGGAGCGGCGATAGCGTTGCCAGATGAAGACGACGATCTGACCGACCAGCATACCCAGAGCGCTAGCAGCCAGTCCGGCCAACACGCCCAGGATGGCCGGCACAACGATGAAGCGCACGACCCGGGAGAAAGTGCGCTCCCAGTGGCCGTGGTGCATGTGATGGTGGTGGTGAGGACGAGGCGGGCGCTCCATGTCACCCTCCGCCCAGGAACCTTCCGGGCCAGGACCATGGTGAGGCGGGAAAGGAGGGTGTCCCAATCCGTGAGGCCGGCCTCCACAGTGCGGTCGAGGGCCGCCGAGTCCCAGAACGCGGGCCCGGGCGGCGTGGAAGAGGGCGCGGATGCGATCGAACAAGAGCCGTTTCAGACACTTGGGCTTGCCCCGGCACTGCCTCCAAGACACACGAGACGGAGCGGTTTCTTCGATAGTGGCCTTGGCCAAGAACAGGTTGGCGGCGGAGTCGTGGACCAGGTGGAGGGCCACGGTGTCGAGGGGAACGGGGTGGCCATCCAGGTCGAGTACGGTAAAACGGACGGCGACCATGTCCATCGGCTCGTCGGGCGGTGTCTGTAGCGGCATCATTTCAACCGCGTATCCCAGCTGAATAGGTTCCGACTCTTGGCCGTCGGACAGGCGACGCTGGACGGCGGTCAAGTGAGTCGGCGGCGGGGGAGGGAAGATGGGGCGGTCGTTGGCCAGCAAGAACCCATTTTCCACCGAGAAGTTCAACGACTAGAGCGCATCAGTGAGGTTCCTCTTTTCCATTCAAAGCCAAGGGGAGACCGCCATCTTATTCCCAGGCAAGGGACACCTACCAGAGATGTTTCGAAGCCGTCAGTCCAGCTGACTTTGCCACTCTCGTCAACCTCCCGGAATGGACATTCGGTACAGCCCAGAATGACTTCCTGCTGGCTGGCCGTCAAGGACTCCAACGGACGAAGAGTCAGCTCGTCGAGAGAGGCGACGGCGTCGACTTCAGTTTCGGGGACGACAAGCAAAGCATTGGCGCCTAGAGCGATAGCGCTCCCGACCAGGAACGGACGGACGATCATGGCGGCGAGAGATAAGGTACGGATCCCACGGCGACAGGCAGGATCGCGAGAAACAAACGAGGGACCAGGGTAGATGAGATCGATGGTTTGAAAAGGGGTCAGAGGGTGACGATGACGATGACAAGGACGATGAAGATGAAGATGAAGATGCAATAAGACGGAGGCGGGCGGAAGAAGGGCGGCAACAAAGGAAGGGATGGCAGAGGTCCCGCGCTGATTGGCCGACGAGAGCGGCGGAGCAGGTGACGCAGCAGCTAGTCCTGATCTAGATTAGTGGACGCATCACGCGTGGGGCCTGATCCAGGTGGTCACGTGAGAGTCCCGAAATAGCCACTGCAGAATTCGCTCAGGCACTCAGGCAGCCCTGCTCATCTTCCGGATGGCTTTAAGGGACAGAGCTGAAGAGCGAGAGAAAGAGGGAAAGGCACCCTTTCCGGTACAGGGCAGAGCAGTCTTCCTCTCTCTCACAGCAACTACGCGCTATAACCTCCTTTCCGGATAGTCCGGACTCTCCAACACACATCGTTTCAACTGGCCCTAGGGCCACCCCCGTACTTCGTACTTCGTACTCGCTCTCGGCTCTCAGGCTTCCAGGCTTCCAGGCATAAATCGGGTACCCACAGCCGGCCTTCCGCTGAGTCAGCGGAAGATCGCCCGGGATCGGCTCCCGCGCTAGTCCGTGGCGAGACTAGCGTGGTCTCCGGGTTCTTTAATCCATTGGGATCTCATTCTATCATGCAATCTTCATCGATCATCATTCAAAAATTCAGAAAAAGTCTTGAGAGGTGGGTCGTTAAGGCTACACACAGTACTATATTATCTCCACCACCGTGGTCGGTATTCGGCCTCCGGTATGCCGACAATCCCCTACTCCGAGAGTACTATATATTGAGTTATTCACACCAAAAAATATATAACTATGTCTCCCTCATACCCCTCTATGATAGCTTCATCAAACAAGCGTCTACACCGGCTTGACCTGAGTGATATCCAACATGGGGTTCCGCAAGCAGTTTACTCTGGCTGTGGCGGGCAGCTTTGTTCTTCTCCAAATTCTGTTCCTCGCCAATATGTCCTATCTCTATGCGACGCAGTTCCGCAGCTCAACTCGCTTCCACAACATGAAGATTTTATATGTGGACTATGACGGCGGTGTCGTGGGCCAGTCCGTGCTCGATGCATACGCCACCCTTCGAGGCGACAGTTTCCCTACGCTGCAACGCTCCGACGTCAAAACGTTTCCGACGCCTCGCGAGGTAAGAGCGGCGGTCTGCAGCGGAGATTACTGGGGCGCCGTGTATGCCAATTCACAGGCGTCGACGAACCTAACCTCGGCCTTGGAAGGGGGCCCAGGCCCGTACGACAGTGCGAACGCGCTCACCTACGTCTGGAATGGGGCCCGGTATCCCGCCATGTCGATGAGTGCCGTCTACTCCAGCCTACAAACGCTGTTCGCCGTCACCCGCTCGATGTACTACGCAAAGAATGCCTCGGACGTGCTTCCCTTTGCCAACCTGACGAGTCCGACTGCGTTGCAAGCCTTCCTAGACCCGATCCAGGCCACGGAGATCAATCTCAAAGTGACCGAGCAAGGGACGCGAGTGCTCTACAATACGGTGTCCTTTGTCATGCCCGTCATTCAGCAGTTTTTCTTCATGATGGCCCTGAATGGCATCTCCGCCCAGTTCAAGATCTTGACCAAGCTGGACTGGCACGCCAACGGGTTGCTACGCATGTGTATTTCAGCCGCATACACCTTCGTTGGGGCCCTGTTCATGGTCGCCTACATCTGGTCCTTCCGGGAGTCCTGGGAGGTGAATGGAAACCAGTTCGCCCTGTCGTGGATGGCTATCTGGCTCTACATGCATATCAACTTCCTCATCATGGACATCCTCACCACCTTCGTCCCCATGCAATTCATGCCTTTCTGCGTCCTCACCTGGGCCATCGTGAACGTGGCCAGTACCATCAGCCCCTTCGAACTGAGCCCGGGATTCTTCCGCTGGGGATACGTCCTCCCCGCACACGAGACCTACCAGGTCCTCATCCAAATCTGGAGTAACGGCTGTGATGATCAATTGTACCGCGCCCTCCCCGTCATGTTCTCCTGGTGGGTTGTGGCCTTGGGCACCGCCATCTTCTCCGTCCGTCGCCGATGCAACGCGGCCGTGGCGGCGGAACGCGCCGCCCTGCAACCGGCATCCAGACGGGCCTCCAAGGAATCCGAGTTATCGGCTCCAAGCAAGCTTGACGGGGAGGCAGGGCGGCAGCCCGGGACTCGCAATTCCAGCGTCGATCAGATCTTGCCGCAGCGCCGGCGCGACACGGCCGAATCGATTCGTTTGGAGCAGCTGGCCTACGGTCCCAGCTTTCCAACGGCCCTAGGCCGAGAAAATCACCCATAACGCTTGGGGACTTGATCTCGGCTGCGGTGTTCGGTGTATAGGATGACTTGCCGGTGTTTTTATTCCGTCGACGGCTTACCGATGTGTTGCGGCAAAGCGATCATATTATGTATCCTTAATTGTAATTTAGAGCTTTGATCATTAGACATCAATATGGCCAACTCGCAGCCTACTCCAATCCTCCTCAACGCCCGACTCTACGTTGGGAATCGGTCCCATCGGGGTGATAGCCTTGGGGTTGATGTCGCCGTGGCTTTTCGTGTCTACTCCGCATTAGTCACAAGTTCCCGGCTGGGAAATCCAATCCTAGTCTTACAATTTTCTTTGATATGCCTGAAGTCAGTCGACTCCCGGAAGCCGCGGACATTCCAGTAAAGGTTCTTCAGCCAATTGCGGATCACCGGATAGTCGTGACGAATGATGCCCAGATTACATTTGAAATGCTGGACGTAGATGGCGTCGAACCGGATGATCGTCGCATAGGCCCTCAGATCCAACTCCGTCAACTGTTGTCCTAGGATGAAGGGTCCTCCGTTCTGGCTGATCAGGACTTCGAGTTTATTTAGAGCGCGAAAGACTACGGGGACCGCCCGGTCGTAGCTATCCTGCGAATCCGCGAACCCAGCCTTGTACACTCCGGCGTTCAGATCCGACTGCAGCCACGGCGAAAGCTCGTCGATCTCCGGCGTCAGCGCCTTCGGATACAGATTGAAAGCAGGGTCTGGTGGCAGGATAGAATCAAACGCCGTTGGAAGCCAGCGTAGTAATTCTGCCGACTCGTTGTTCACGATCGTCTCGGTCTCCTTATCCCACAGCATGGGGACCGAGTACCGGCCTTTGTAATTGGGGTCGGCTTTGAAGTAGATCTCGTGCATAAAGGTGCTGCCATACAAGTGGTCGACCGTGGCGCCCTCGTATTCGTCGTCGGTCTGAGGGAATCGCCAGCCCGGCCAGCCGTTGGCGTCGCCCTTGGGATACGGTTTGACGATGGACACAGGAAGGATGTCCGTGAGGCCTCGCAGGTGCCGCACCAAGTTGACCCGGTGGGCGAAGGGACAGAAAAGACCTGGATACTCAGCGATGAGGGATATTTAAATACTCGGTTAGGTGCTCGTACCTATGTAGAGATGGTAGCGCCCCGCGGCCGGCTTGAAGGGGCCACTCTCCGAGATGACTCCGTGCCATCCATCAGTGGTGCCGGCCTGGTGAATTGCGGAGTCGGAAGGGGTCGTCGCCGTCATCCTGATCTGATGACTCCTGTATGGGAGGAGGAGAGAAGGGGAAAAATAAAAGAAGAAAGAGACACGGAGCCGGACGAGGGCGAGATTTATGTATGGTCAGTCGACTGCCCCGCGGATGACGCCATGCGGATGCTGGAGCCCTAATTGCCCGGGAGCATCAATTCTTGAGAATCCATCACCCCAGAGCCACTCGGTCGATTCCGGACCAGCGCACCATCTCGTAATCCAGAATGTCCATCCATCTATAATTCAGCCTCGGCTGGCCGCGCATATGCCTTAGAACCGATCGTGGTACGTCGTTGACCTCCATCCACCTGTCCCGGTCGTTGATGCTTACTTCACTGTGAGTAAATAACCAGAGAAGAAATAGCAGCACAATGCCCACAAATACGATGCGCCATTTCAGTAAGACCCTCCGTTGCTCCGGCAGTAAATCCGCGCTGCCCGCGCCCTGCTGGAAGACGTCGAAGTCCCAGCCCTCCCAGCCGGTCTGCGCCAGCGCGCCGGCTGCTGCGCTCGACGCCTGCTTCTTCTCGCCACGAATCTTCGTCATCCATGCCGCCCAGGGAAGGTCCAGGCGAGTAGCGCCCTGTCCGTACGGTGTCGGGCGGTAGATGGCGCCGGGGTAGTTGTGTCGCACGATCCGGGGCAATCTGGGGCTGTCCTTGGGCGGGCCGAGGGGTTTGTACTTCCGCAGCGGCTGAGCAATAGGCTGTGGCTTCGGCGGCGACGCCCATGGTCCCGAGTGCTGGAGAGGTGCATTGCTGTTGGCGACGTTGGCGGTGCTGGTAGTCGTTACTTGAGAAACGGGTACGGGGGGAGCGAGCACCTCGGGGGCGAACATATTCCCATGGATGCCGCTGGAATTGCCTGCGACGGTCTGCGTAGACTGACGAGCCGACTGGTTGGCCGGGACTTGATCGCCAAACATATTCGTGTCCTGCGCCATGGCCGGATCAACGACGACCGTATATTCGACGGCAGCCGAGTCCCTGACCGACGGCTTTTCGCGTTTGGACCGTTTAAAACGATCTGGCCGGAGATGCTTGAATCTGTCGGTATGCGAGTTGCCCGGCAGCTGCTTCACGAAGGACATGACCTGCTTCGCACTTGGCTTGGTCGGCTTCTTGTCCGACTTGCCCTGCAACGTCAAGCGCGAGAGGTCTTTCACCAGATTCACCGGAAGGCGAGACTTCTGGCCGCCTTTCCACGGGTTGGGCTCTTTCACCAGGGCCTTGTCCTGAATTTCGCGAATGCGAGCTCGCTTCCGAGGTCCACTCTGCTCCAAAAGATCCAGGCGGAACTCAGGATGCTCCTGCTTCTTGGGCTCAGGCGGGCTGGACTCAGAGCTGGGAACGTGGTCAGGCGTATTGTTCAGATAATCCCACGCCGGCTGTGAAGCCAGTTCTACTGACTTCGTCCGAGACAGGTCAACTTTCTCGTCGTCATCGTCATCATCGTCGTCGTCTGACTGATCTGTGGGTGGGGAGCCATCTCGAGTCCTATCTGCATCGAATAGACTTGTGCCCTGAGAAGATACGGACTCGTCGCTGGACAGTCTTGGGCTGTCGTTGTCGAAGCCTCGTCTTTGATCGCAATTCTCCAGTTCATCGTCCAAAGACAGTCCCAGAAAACCGCTCTCCTCGGCCTGCTCCCACTCGGGAGGAACACGACTGGATGCTGTCTCTTCTGCACTTCCCTCTTGATCTCCCGTCCCCATTTCTGTCGTAAGTTCGTTCTCCAGCTGGTTGTCGAGCTGCCGCAATTTCTTCATTTTTTGTACTAGCATCCTTGCAGTGTCCACTTTGTCGCCATTTCCATGTTTCACTCGATCGGCGACTTTCGAGAAGGCAATTTTCAACTCGCCTAGCTCGCTCTCGAGAGTCTGCGAGACCCCCACGGAGGTAGACAAGTCCGTCTGCAGGCCCGTTATTTCTTTTTCACGTCGCTCAGCCTGGCTCTTGTATTGCATGGTCTTCTCCTTTGCCTCTTGAGCCACCGCGAGATGTTGTTGACTCTCCTCGTAATATCGTTCCTTTTCCTCCTCGGCCCTGGTGCAGCGGTTTTCGCTGATAACCATTCTGCCCTTATAGTGGTCCGCTTCCTTCCTCGCCTGGTTCATCGCCTCTAAATAGGATTGGGATTCCCCTCGGACGCGTTCAAGCTCCTCAGCCAGCGCATTGAACTGCTCTTCGAGGTCCTCCTCGTTCCGCCCCCGAGATGCCATGATGCGATCAATACTATACCGGGCTTTTAGGGTGAATGGTTTGCGTGTTTTTGCCTTTCTTGGGTGCTGACGAATCTCTGTTGACTTTGGGGGTTAGGGTAGAAGAGGGCTTATAGATACGGTATGATGCTTAGAAGATGTAGTGTAGATGCAATGAAAGTTAAAAGGTTGTAGAAAGGTGTATGGTGTATATAGTGTTGGTTATTGTAGATACTCGAGTATGTTGAATTGATTGGTTGTGGTATATAGTTCTCGAGTGAATTGTCTAGGAAAAGGTCCAGGACGTGGATCCCCGTTATTTATAGCGAGCCCAGCCTTATGTACGCACATTACAAAGGCTTGGTTGAAGCACAGTCTTGCACAAGTGATGCACAATAGACCCTGAAGGGAGCTCGGTCTATTTGGAGGTAAGATTCCAAGGCCCTCAACGGAGCAGGGCGAGCTGGCGGGGAACAGGATATTTGAGGCCACTTCATCATTGTTTGGTATCCGGTGCCTTCCACCTGGGTCACAAGGTCATTGTCCTAAGATATGGAATCTTTGTCCAATTGCCTCAACGATGGCTGCCGCGGGTAGAACTGAGGATCCAACAAAGACGAAAGAACGAAACAAAGAACGAAAAGGCGGGGAAATCCGAACAGCAACAGCAGTATGTACAAAGGATATTCACAACACGAACGCTAAGGTGGCTACTTACAACTTCGACTTCTGTCCCTTGACGTTGGGAACCGCATCCCCCGATAGGAGAAAGTCGGGGTAGTTCAACTTTCCGTATGCTGCACCTCCGGCAGACATGCGCCAGGATGCTCCATCCACTGTAGGGCCAATGTCAGCTCCCATATGGCACCGCAGAGCAAGAGAATTGCTTACCAACGAGCGTCTGCCCGGATACATAGCTTCCGCTGTCGGCGAAGAGATACACCGTGGCATCCGCGATATCACGGATGGAGCCAAATCGGCCGAGCGGCTGGGATTTGGTATATTCTTCCAGAGAATCAGAGGGAAGCAGGCGGTCCAGACCCTGCGCGACATTAACGAGGGAATTCAAGGAGGTCGACTCTCTCCCGGCGACAAGCTTACCTCGGTTGATGCGATGGGGCCCGGGGCGATGATGTTTGAGGTCACGCCAAGCGGACCAAACTCGATGGCAACGCTGTGCGACAAGGCGTCAACACCGGCCTTGGCCACAGACACGTGGGTTTGGAAGGGCATGGTCCTGTAATGAATAGTTGCGCTGACAAAGATGATTCTCCCACCGGTACCGGCTGGCGACGGGTTCACTAGCGAGGGGGAATAGATGAGTATATGATGACTCGCTAGAGGATCTACAGAGAGGGTCAGGAGGCAAACTTACGAGTCTTCGAGTCTACCTTGTGCTTGTGGGCAGACTCCACTAGGTAGGGCAGCGTGGTCTTGAGCGTGTTGTAAGAACCCAACACATCGATATCCATGACGGACTTGAAGGCATTGGGCGACAGTTGGTTAATTGAGGCGAGAAAGTTGCCCGCCGCACCGGCACTATACGAGATATGTCATGTCAGACGAAAAGCGCCCAGGATATCGAGGGCCCCGTTGGATCGACATACATCACAAAGTCAATGGCTCCGAGTTCCTTGACGCAGCGGTCCACGGCGCTCTGGACGCTTTCGAGCTTGCGCACGTCGACAGCACCAATGCCGATGACCTTGGCCCCCGGGCGAGCCGTGGCAATGTCTCGTGCGGCCTTTTCGGTCTTCTCGACATTGCGGCCTACAATACAGGCATCGGCGCCTAGGTGGACCAGGCCGCGCACTTGGGCACTGCAGATAGTGCCCGCCCCGCCGGTGCAGAAGACCACTTTATTCGCTGGGTTGGGAGGGTCAGCATCGATAACTCGGTTGGCCATAGTAAGGAGATGACTTACTGAATAGACCGTCCTTCCAGGTATTGCTGAGGTATTGGGACTTGGGAAGAGACATGGCGGCGGCAATTGAAGGGATGAAATGGGATGAAATGGGATGAGAGAGAAAGAGGGAATAGTATGGAGATTAGGAAGCGCAGGTGAACAAAGAGCGATCGGCTCCTTTAGGCAGTTACCTCGGCTGCCACGGGCCGACTGCGGTTGGCCTGAGTGCCTGAAAAGCTATGCACGGGCCATGACTCATCAGTGCATAACTCCCGTCATGCCCTCTGTTCAGGACCACCGTAGTAGGGACTCGAGGAGGATCTCTTTAGTCCTGAGTCGAGACACGTCTAAGAGTAGTAAAAATAGCCATTAACTACCTACTCACCACCTTAGTACTCTGTATGTATGTACTCCCTAGAACGAACTCCTGGTGAACAATAATAAATAATGGCCCGGCGGTGATTGGCGGCGTCGGGCGCGCCTCAGGCCGGGGACGTCACCTTTTCTTTTCTTTTCTTTCTTTCTTTCTTCATCTTCATCTTCATCTTTCTTCTTCCCGAGGAACTCATCCATCGGGGTTGGCTTTTTCATCTCGCACTTGCCTGCTTGCCTCCTTGATTGCCTGTTCTAGTGTTGTTCGAAGCCTCCGCTATCATAATGGCGTGTCCCATCACCGTCAGCAAATTTGTCGGCACCGTGTCTCTGGGTCTGTTGACAGTACGTCCCACGTCCAACCAACGTCCCCAATGATTCCGTCGTGCTGGCTAACGCGTTGGTTGGAACTGTTAGGGTCTTTCCTACTCCGCCTCAGCCGTCACCGTGCCCTCTCTTAGTCTCCTGCCGACCTCCGCCAACGCCGCCCGGTCGCTGCACGAGGTCAAGCGCCTCAACCGGAAACACGGCCTGCGGCTATCGAACCTGGCCAATGGTTGTCTGCTCTTTGCCTACAGCGTCTCCCCTCAACACCGCAAGCACCCGTACTTGGTCTGGATGTGCGTGACGTCGGCCCTCGGCACCTACGCTCTCGACTACTGGTTCCATCGCGCCGCCGGATTCAAGCCCTGGCTGCAGAGCTTCATCCAGGACACGGGGTTCTTGTTCCTCTCCGGCAAGTCGGCGCCCAAGAAGGAGGAGGATCTTGTGGTCGTGGAGGCCGATGAGAATGTGAACGGCGAGAGCGTGCGGAGGGAGCTGGAGACCGAGCGACGCTTTCAGCGAGTGCGCGCCGTTTTCTCCGGACTGGCTCTGGCGATGGGCATTGTCGGACTATGGGGCGATCGGTCGTTTTAGGGTGTGAACTTGGATGATGCGGAGGCTGGTTTCCTACCACTTACGATTCACTACGGGTGGCCAGGACAACACTGATACCGGGTACCGTTGTGGGCAATCTTCTCTATTCTTTTCCCTATGTTATTGTTATATTTATTTTGTAATATCTACCCTCTCTGCTCTTTCTGTCTGGTTGCCATGCGGGGGGTTCTCTCGTCCAATGGAAGGCTGTGCAATGTATATTCGTGATTAAAGGAGTAAATCTGGAGTCTTATAGTGTTATAGCTTTGAATCATCCCCCATGTCCAGTAGTTACTTACTATTCAGTTAAGGGAAATCCGATCTCCGCTCTCCGCTCTCCGCAGTGGCGGCGGGGGCGGGGGCGGGGGCGGACCCCAGTCGATCACTTGACTTGTTCTTCGTCCCCAACAAGTCTCGGTGTAGACGCCGGACGGTGAGATCACAGTCTACTTAACAGTTCATATAATAGGAAGCCATGATTCACTCCTCTCGGTTCCTTTCACATCTTTCGTTCTTGTCCCCCTGAACACCCCCCCCCCCCCCCCCGATTGTCCTCTTTCCCAACATGTATCTCATTCTTCTCCTCCCTTCCCTCTGGATCCTCTACTATCTACTTCATCTCCTCTATACAACCTTCATTTTGCGCTCTCTTTCCTCCGTCCCCGGGCCCTTTCTCACTCGGTTGACCAAGCTCTGGTACTTTGATCGCGTACGACGGGGTCACTTCGAAGAAGACAACGTGCGTCTCCATCGCCGATACGGCCCCGTCGTGCGCATCGCCCCGGACCACTACAGTATCAGCGACCGGTCCGCCATCAAGACAGTCTACGGAACGGGCAGCAAATTCGCCAAGGCAGCCTGGTACGAGGGCTGGAAGCACCCCGATCCCGACCGGTGGGCCTTGTTTCCCGACCGTAATGTAAAGCGACACGGTGGGTTGTCTGTCCAATGTAACCAAAGTATGGGAAAAGCTGATGTGCAATGCAGCCGAAACGCGCAAGAGATTCTCCAGCCTCTATTCGATGACCTCGTTGGTTCACTATGAGCAATTCGTCGATCATTGTGCCGATATCTTCACCCAGCGATTGACCGAGTTCACAGCGCGCGGGGAGGTTCTCAACCTCGGGCATTGGTTCCAATGTTACGCCTTTGACGTGATTGGCGAGATCACCTTCGGGAAGAGATTTGGTGAGTTCCTCCGGGCTATTTAGAGGATCACAAAGACTGACGCCCATGTAGGTTTTCTAGATCAAGGACACGATATCGAAGGCACTATGGATGCGCTCCAGAAGCTGATGGCGTACAGCACGCTGGTCGGAATCTATCCCGAATGGCATCCCCGACTATTCGGCCCGCTGAGTCGCTTCAGCTGGTCTGGAGCCGGTGGTCGAGCCTATATAATGCGGTACGTGGGGGAGAGAATCCAACAGCATAACGCACAGCCGAAGCGAAATCCCGGGAGCGATACTCTCCAAACGCAGGACTTCTTGGAGAAAATGACTTTAGCGCGAGACAAAGACCCCGAAAAGGTCACCGACTATCATCTCTTCATGATGGGTCAATCCAACGTCATTGCCGGCTCGGATACCACGGCCATCAGCCTGTCGGCCATCATGTACTACTTGCTGCATTCGCCGATCGTGCTGGCAAGATTGCGCAACGAAATCGATGATTTCACCACACAAGGTCGCTGCAGCGCTCGCGTCACGTTCAAAGAAAGCCAAGAGATGCCGTACTTCCAGGCTGTCATCAAAGAAGCTCTTCGCATACACAGCGCCACAGGCTTGCCCCTGTGGCGCGAAGTTCCGGTGGGCGGAGCAGAGATTGGCGGCTACTTCTTCCCTGGCGGCTCGGTGGTGGGCGTAAACACCTGGGTGGCACACTATGACGAGGAGGTCTTTCCCGACGCAAAGGCTTTCAAACCGGAGAGATGGATAGAAGCGGAGAATGACCCGGAGAGACTGAAGATCATGAACGACATGTATATGCCGGTGAGTTTGACTTCTCTTGCTGCGCTCTTTGAGTCTCGAATGCATCGCACTGACACCTAATAGTTTGGCCTTGGGTCCCGAACGTGCATTGGAAAACATATCTCGATCCTCGAGATGTCCAAGCTGATACCGCGAATCGTTCGCGATTTTGAATTCGGCGTGAAGAGCCAAAAGTGGAATACGGAGAATTTTTGGTTTGTCAAACCAACTGATTTTGAGGTCACCGTCACCAAGCGAAGGCTAGACCGGACATCCATTTAGATTGAAGGTCCCCGCGGGAGATAGCGGGCTAGTCCCCTCCAAATTGAGCCGTTGATATTCCATGATCAACTCGTTCACCCCCTTCATATCGGTATGATCGTATCTTGATAGGCCTGCCTCGGCGCTCGAAAGCGTATGCTGCTCATCAGCTGCGGGATTCGAGCGAACCCTAGCGACGATAATCCGGGCTAGGTGCCAAAATTCCGGTGCATGATGCACGAACCCAATCTTCTTCCATATCTCATCGGGACTGTCCGGCACGTCCTTGTCTTCTGGTTGGCGCTTGTTCCAGATGCGTCTCCAATTTTCCAACCCAGTTTGCACTGGCTGCAAGGATGACTCGAAGACCAACGAATTCTGTAGATGAAAAGTGAGGGAATGTAACGCTGGGTAGAGAGTTCATTAGCGATAGCGACGTGATCAAGGCAGAGAGAGCGCACATTGCACGGTAGTGAATAGATTCAACGTTCCCATACTAGCCAGTTCGTGCACCTGCCAGTCTTCTAAATCCCGTTGGCAAATCTTCCGAAGCATATTCGATACCGAAAGTCTTTCGCTCCAGACAATGGATCCCTCCCATTCCGTTAGGCGTGCAGAGCATTCTTCGGCTGAATCGGCTTGAAAACATGCTTCTGGGCAAGCCAGGTCCATCTTCAACTCGGAAACTACCATGCGTGGAGGAGAGTTGTGGAATATGGTGAGAGCTGCATCAAACAGGAAGACGTACGTGAGGGTTCTAGATCCGGTATCAGCACACCACCGGCTTTGCTCTTTCATTCGACTTAATGCCTACCGGATCTGTTCTTCTTGCGCAATAAAGCCTCGCCACCACGTATCAGAAGGATAGTCCGTGTTGAGAACCTCGTGGGTGGCAGATTCGAACCTAATCGTCCTTGCCAGCTGCTCTCCGTTAGCTCTACTGTCTTCGTGGGGGGAAGCCGGCCCGCTAGGTAACTCACCGTAACCATCATCGCATGTCGGTGCCTTCGCACGCGTGCCTGTGCTTCCGTAGAGCCTTCTCTTTTCTGTAGCGAGCAAACCAAATAGGTCATCTGGATGCATTCTAAGCGTCCTTTCGTCCACTCATTTGTGTCCTCGGCGACGGCGGATTCTATGCTGTCTCCGGGGCTCTCGCGATGATAGGTGTTGCTAAAAACAAGCTCTTCTGCACTATCCATCCACATTCTGGCATTCCGGGCATCATCATCACACGGCGACAGGCACGCTCCGATGATGACCATCACGCAAATTAGAGTGGGCTGCGCCGTCTGAGGATCAAATAATGGTCGGTGCACAATGGGGCAGTTGGGATACCACAGGGACCAGAAGTATTCTAGAAAGCGGCGGATGTTTTGAGGGGCGAAGAAATTAGAACAGTTCTCGTTTACCACTGGGGTCCAATTGAGTTTGATGACGTGTGTATCCTGCTTCTTGGAGATGATAGAACGGAGAAGTTGCACGATCTTTTCGGTTATTGGAAGAAAGGGATCAGATTCCTCTGAAGCTGGTCGGAGGAAGTCAAACTCGACAGTATTAAAGAAGTCGTCGGTCGAGCTCCCTAGGCCGTGCAACAGATCCAGATAGGAAGGCTCCCGCGGACGTTTCTGTTCCCCAAGGCCCTGCGCACAGGCATGCACCGTATGATCCAAGACCAGATTCTGCCTCTGCTCGAGCGTATTTCTATCCAGAAATGCAACCATGCCCCTTACACTGGTAAAGTACGCCAGGTACTCTAGTCTCTCGGCAACCTCGATGCTGCTCGGGGTTTGCGGGGTATACAACCAGTCGAGAGCGGTGAAGTCCAGTGATGAAGGGAACACGAGATGGTCGTCGATGTTGCCAGTGCCGTGAGCCGGTATAGTTTCGTCGTCCGTGCGACTCTGCTGAGCAGGGAGGTTCACCTTGAACTTGCAGCCTCGTTCATGACGCTTCATCACATCCCTACGGCAATATCAGTGTGCGGAGTGACGGAATTGGGGGCGATCGATAAACCTACTTTCGAGTAAAGAACTTCCGGCAGAAACAGCATTCAAATGGTCTCTTCTTATCATCTGTCTCGGTCAGCGACGCGATGGAGGCTCAGATTGATCTGCATACGGGACCTGAGATGCCGTCGAAGATGTTCTAGACGACTGAGCCGAGCCAGGCAGACGTTGCATTGCCATTGACCGGGCTCCATGATTACTCCTGCGCCCACAATGATTCGTATCTCTGCACATTCACCGAAGAACCGCGGGAAGTTGACGGAGGACGAAGCTTTGTGGGGGGATGAAAACGCGGGTTTGCTGATCGTGCGGGGAAAGCGTGGAAGTGGAGCCGATCATCTTCTTCTTCCGTCTTTCATCCTTCCGTGATCTGTTCTACTGCCTACTGTACTACACGGTGTATGTTCGACTATTAGTGTCGTTCAATAGCAGGGTGTGTTGTCGCGTTTTGACCAGTCATCCTGTTCTTGTCGGGTATGTGCTATTATATATACATCTACTGTCCTCTCTCCACTTCAGAGCCACAGCAGTCCGCCCACCAGCAGTGCAAACAGTCCCCATTGCCTAAGACCGGGCTGCGTCTGACTGGCACGACTGTTCGCATCATCGTCTTGATCGTCATTACCCTGGCTGCTGCTTGCTCCCCCGTTGATCCACGGCTGACCGGGTAAGGAAGCGTTGCTGGCAGCCACCTCCTGGGGTTCGAGCAGGTCATTCTCCACCAACTTGCAGTCTACCCGATCGTCCGACTTCTCGATGCTGTTGGACACCGAGATGGGCAGGTCGAACACCGTGTAGTAGTCCGTCCCATTCCACCGGAAGGACTGGTGCATGGAGATGTTGTATTTGCCTCGCGCGGAACCGGAGCCCCCTTGACCATCACCCACGAGACAGTCCGGCCACGTCCAGTCGACATGTTTCACGGTGGACGAAGGCTCCAAGTCGAGGACTGGGCCGACGTAGGCATCCGAGTCCGTCGAGGTGCCATTGGAGATGGTGAAGTTCTTAGAGGTGTCGGTAGATGTGAGGAAGAGGTTGATGTGGTGGAATTCGGTGCCCGACGAGGAGTCGGACGAGAGCTGACCGTTGCCGGAGACGTCGATGGCGACGTGAAGCGTATCTACTCCCACTGAGTCAGAGAGGTAAAGCAACGGACTGGGACGAAGCGGTACTTGCCTCCGCCCAGCGGAGTGTTGGGCTGCGGCGCGTCGACAATCGCCAACCCGGGGGTATAGATCTGCCCGTTGACGACGGTGAAGGCCATGATGGGCATGAAACAACGACGAACGACGGTGAATTCCGCGCGAGATAGAGCTGGGAGGCTATTTCACCTCGGACGAAGCCCTAAAAGCCACGGCCAAAGAGCGCGCCAAGGCGTAATCTCCGGATCTCCACTTCTTGGGGCCAATTTCCATCGACGTTTTCCCTAGTCTGACTGGTGGAGATTCGCGTATCTCATTTAATGGCCCCCCTGGCTAATCTCCGACTGAGTCTAGACTTTCAGACGGGGTCAATCGTTCTCTGTTGGTTGGTGTCGGCTATGCAGTTCATATCCAGTTTTAATATCATTATATTGTCGACCAAGGGGGCAGCGCTATGCTTCGGCTTCATCATTATTGTCAACACTCAACACTCAACACTCAACGACCTCCACCGGCTCCCCTATAAACGTTGCAACGACGCCTCTTCCAAAGGACACCCCCACCGCGATGACGGCTTCCTGAATCCCAAGAGTCCAAGATGTGATGGCTGCGCCGTAATCATCCACCCCCTTGGCGGGTGGGGACCGGCCACCATGCCTTTACCCCTGTGTTCATCCCTTCAAGGCGATCATCTTCACGATGGATGCCAATCGCGACACCCCCATTTTGATCGTCCATCTCCTTTGATTCTCCTTCAGATCCATGCGCTTGATCTCCCGGCCGGGTCCGGACCCTCTCCGTCGCCCTCGACTCTACCGACGTGTCCTGCAGACCGTGCTCGTCCTCTTTCTCATCTGGACCGCTGCCGAAATCACCACCGTCCAGCGCCGCCTCGACCCCTTGGTCTCCGTCGACGAGCGCATCTCGCGCAAATCCCAGCAACACTCCGAGCGCGTGTTCGTCGTCGGCATCCACTGGAACAACGAATGGATTCTGCGGAATTACTGGAACCAAGCTGTCACGGACTTGGTTCAGGCTCTGGGCCCGGAGAATGTCTACCTCAGCATCTACGAGAGCGGAAGCTACGACAACACGAAGGGAGCCCTCGTTGAGCTGGATCGCATGCTGGACCCCCTCGGCGTCCCACGAAACGTTACGCTCTCCGAGGTGACGCATCAGGATGAGATCGTTCAGCCTCCGATTGGCGACGGATGGCTGCAGTCGGAACAAACGGGCACTGAACTCCGGCGCATCCCGTATCTATCGCGATTGCGGAATCTGAGCCTTCAGCCGCTAGTAGTCCTAGCGAAGCAGGGCATCTACTTTGACCGTGTTCTCTTCCTGAACGACGTAGTATTCACGGTACGTTGGACCCGTTGGGGACCCACCACCGATGACACTGGAGGAAAAAGAGCGACACAACTGACCACGACGGAGTAGACACAAGATGTTCTTGAGCTCCTTCAAACCCGGGACGGCAAGTATGCCGCCGCTTGTTCGCTAGACTTCTCGCATCCACCGGCCTACTATGACACTTTCGCGCTGCGCGATCTCCAAGGCCACGAGCCCATCATGCAGACGTGGCCGTACTTTGACTCGTCCATGGCTCGGCAGGCCCTGAAGCGCATGGAGCCCATCCCCGTGGCAAGCTGCTGGAATGGAATTGGTAAATTGATTTTCCCCCTCCTGCCCCTGTCGGAACCCCGACTTACCTGTTCAGTTGCGATGCGCGCATCCCCGTTCGTCGCACACGAGAACCCTCTACGCTTCCGAGGAATTCCCGATTCCCTAGCTCAAAAGCATCTCGAAGGCTCGGAATGCTGTCTCATCCACGCAGACAATCCCCTATCCACCTTGTCAGGCGTCTACTTGAATCCCCGAGTGCGCGTGGGATACCACGGCGCAGCATACGAGGCAGTTCACCCCGGGGAGCAATGGCTCACGACGTGGAACATCTGGATAGGCCTGTGGTCGAATCGACTGCGACGATGGAGCGGCGTGAATCGAAGCAGGAAAGAGATTCAAAAGCGTGTGGCGCAATGGGAATTGCAACACGGGCAGGAAGAACGGGGCGCGTTCTGCTTGATCGACGAGATGCAGGTTTTGAGGCCCTGGGGTTGGGCCCATGTATAGATTGCTGTCTAACGGAGTCTCTTCGTATATATAGTTTGTAATGTATTTTTTTAATGAAATGCCATTTAATGCTGGTGGACTGGCAAGAAACTCTGCTTTCACAGCGCAGGTCGTACTTATATAAAATGATATAAGAAGGTAAGGGGAAATTGCTTCACGCTCTATGATCTTGTGACTCGGGTGTACACATGTAGTTACTGTGTTCAAGTTGGAGTTTAATCACAAGTCAGATCAGCTAGGCGAACACCGGATGAATCTTCCCTGTTGCCCGATTCTCCAGCCTCTCTGGGATCATGCTCTCATACACATGGCGCGCCCACGAGCAGCACACTCGTCGAGTATCCTTGGGGTCAATAATCTCTTCCACTCCAAACGCGTTCGCCGTACGCACGGGATTCATCAACCGTCGATATTCTTCCTCCAGCTCCTCGTACCGGGCTGCCTTCTGACCCGTTTTCTCGGCTTCTCGCAGCTCATGTCGGTGTGCGACTTCAATGCCCCCTTCCAAAGGCAAAGATCCCCACTGACCCGACGGCCAGGCGACCTGCATGACCGGATCGCGTGCGCCTAACATGAGACCGCCTGCCACGCCGTACGCCCGTCGAGTAATCACGTTGAATAAGGGCGTGGTGGTGCTAAAGTACGCCTTGCCCAATTCAACCCCCCAGCGCATTGTCGCGGCACGTTCGGCCGCGGTGCCAATAGCGTAACCGGCTGTGAACACGGATTAGTGCATCTGTATTGAAAGACACCGGGGTCCAACCCAACTTACGGATGTCGATAAATTGCAGAATGGGCAAGTTCATCACATCGCACAATTTCAATAGCCGCGTCAGTTTCTGGCTTCCAGCAGCATCTAATGCCCCTCCGTTGACCTCACAGTTCAACGAGATCACCCCTATCGGTCGTCCTCCCAGTCTCGCCAGGCCCCCGATGGCAGTCCGACCCCAGAGTGGCCCAATCTCGAACCAGGAGTCCCTATCCACCACGGTCATGATGATCACGCGCGGATTGTACATCCTCGTCGGTCGACGGGGGATAATGCGCCGGAGCGCCTCGTCTTCGCGATCTTCTGGATCCTCACTGGTGATTGTCGGGGGCGCTTCTCGGCCGCTGTTGGGGAGAAAGCCGAGCACCGTGCGGATCTGCTCGTAGCATTCAGCTTCGTTGGCAGCAAGATTGTCGATCGTGCCATTTGTGCAATGAATCATGGGCCCGCCTAGAGCCTGGAAGTCCAAGTCTTCCTCGAAGGTTGCTTCCTTCACGACTTCCGGTCCGGCGTTGAAAAGAGCACCGACGTCGGCCGCCATGACCGAGAAATGGCACGAGACGACGCGTGCGGCCCCGAGGCCAATCTAGCACAGGTCAGCTTCACCTAGCAGGTGGTTGGAGGCGAAAGAAACTGCGACGAGCGAGGAAGGGGAGCACATACGGCGGGTCCAACAACCGCGCCTAGATTAGGGATCCCCTGATTCAACTGATCCACGACGTGTTTATACATGCTAACGTACGGCAGATAGCTCCAGCCTGCCGTGCGAATTGTCGTCACGCTGCCGCCGCCAGAGCTGCCGTCTACCAGTTTCACGACGGGCAACTTCAATGCCAGCGCGAGTTTCTCCAGATAGATGGTCTTCCCCGCGGTCGCGCCATCTGCATGTCCGCTGCGAAGGGAAAAATCATCGGCAGTGAGCAACACTTGGCGACCACGCAGTTTTCCCATTCCCTGGACATTGTTGCTGGGAATAAACGACGCAGGCTTCTCTCGCATAGGCCCCGTCTTCTCCCATATCACCGTGCCGGACACCGAACCAATTTCTCGGAAACTATCGCGATCGAGCAGCAGATCAAGACGCTCCCGAACCCAAAGTTTGCCGGCTTGCTTTTGGCGGATAAACCCCCTTCGAGTGGGATCCGGGGTAGCTGCGATCGTGCGGAGAGTGTGGATCTGGTCCAGCACGTCGGAGTAGTCAGGCGGTAATTTGGGGGACGTAAGGTGCGAATTGACCTGATCCAAGCGTTTCTTCGCCGAAGATGACTTGTTGTCCGGCATCTTCGCGCAATTATCCTGACCAGAGTGAAGTCAAGAATTAGGAACGTAGCCCCAAATGCTGATCGGGTCTTGCATCCTTTCGCGCTTTGAGGGGGTGTCAGTTAGTGTTCGTTCCCCGAGGTCCGAGGGATTTCCCCACAGACATAAGAGTTGGTAGGCTTCACCTATCTAGGACCAGTCCAGACTCCCCCTTTCTTTGCGCCGATTGACAATGGCCGTTCAGCCCATTCGGCGTCTTTTGATTGCCAACAGGTATTTTGCGCATTGTTGACTCCCGACATGGATACTGACGAGCCAGAGGCGAGATTGCCGTCCGAATCATCCAAGCTGCGCGCGAATTCTCTCCATCCATCGAGACATTCGCTCTCTATACGGAAGATGATCGCTCTCATTGCGATATTGCTGCCCCCAATCATGTTGTGCCATTGCCTTCACCGGCAGCATATCTAGATATTTCACTTCTCGTCAGGCTGGCCTGCAAACATGGCATCGACACAGTTCATCCGGGCTACGGCTTCCTAAGCGAAAGCGCCGACTTTGCCAGCCGTATGAAAGATGCTGACATTACGGTTATAGGGCCTGGGGCCGATATCTTGCTGCGCACGGGTGATAAACTGCAGGCAAAACAATTGGCAGGGCAATGCAGCGTGCCTGTCTTACCTGCCCTTCCACACGCTACTTCCGACATGGCAGAGATCCAGGCCTTCGCAAGCCAAGCCCATTATCCCGTTATGATCAAGGCAGTGGATGGCGGTGGAGGACGAGGGATTCGGTTAGTGCGTCAAGAGAGTGAACTGGAGAACGCCGTTCGCGGAGCCACGAAGGAATCGCCGTCCCAAACAGTCTTTGTGGAAAAGGCCGCCGTCGACGGGTTTCATCACATTGAGGTGCAAGTAATTGGCGATGGTACTGACGTCCGCCATTTATGGGAGCGCGACTGTAGCGTACAGCGTCGCTTCCAGAAGAGCGTCGAAATCGCCCCGTCGTTGATCTCGAATCGAGAATTTCTTCAGCAGGTCATCGACGCAGCATTGCGCATCGCAAAGACCATCGGCTATCGATCTCTTGGGACGGTTGAATTTCTGGTCCACGAACAGCGCAGTGAATTTTACTTCCTTGAGATCAACCCCCGTCTACAGGTGGAGCACACCATCACCGAGGCTATCACCGGGTTTGATTTAGTGCAGGCTCAGTTACAACTCGCTCAAGGGCGTTCCCTTGTCGAGATTGGCCTGGAGACCAATCCTTCGACGCCGAAACACACGCATTCCATCCAACTGCGACTGTGTGCCGAGGACGTTCGCAGGGGATTTTCCCTCGGTATGGGCAAGATCACCGAGTTTCTTGTGCCTACTGGACATGGCGTCCGTGTCGATACGCATGTAGACATGACTGGATCGAGCCCGGTGGTTGTGGGTGCGCATTTCGATAACCTCCTCGCCAAGATCATCGTCACCGCGTTCAGCTGGGAGGCAGCAGTTGCGAAGGCTCGCCGAGTGTTGGCCGACACAAGGGTTTCCGGCGTACAAACAAACCTTGACCTATTGCGAGGAGTCGTGGAGCACGGCGACTTTCCAGCAGGCAATATTGATACGCAGTGGCTCGAAAGACAGCTCCACCCAGCTCTTGAACTGGGGCAAAACATATCCCACACAATCAGCCGTGGAACCTCTCAACCATCATCGTCACTGTCTACTGCGGGCTCTTTCGTTCCCACTTCGACCCCGCTATTCCGACGCGGAGATGCCTGGTCTCTTGTCCTCGAGCCTCTGAACCGGAGTGTCGAACAGAAAGAGCAGCAGCATCTTCGACTCACTCGCGTTCTCCAGAATGAGTTTCCCACCTCCATGGCTGCGGAGGTCGAGTACACAACGGCATCCTCGGTCGCGGCCTACCGACTCCAACTTAATGCGACCTCCACGGCAGCGTCGGCCTTGGTGTCGTCTCATCGACGCGGAGACACGCAAAACCCGCGACACATTGTGCTGCCGTTGTCAGGGAAACTGATCGAGGTGCTGGTTGAGCCTGGACAGATAATTGCCGAAAATCAGGTCGTAGCCTTTGTCAAGCAGATGAAAATGGAGCTCGAAGTACGCAGTCCGCGAACGGGGCGAGCCCGATGGGTTCATGAGATGGAAGACGAGGAAGAAGATGTGGCGGAGGGGATGTTGCTGGTAGAGTTGGAGGACGAGGAGTTGCGGGGAAAGTTGTAGTATAAGCCAGTATGAAATCCAGGTACTTCGATGTCACTCTGAGAATGCCAATGCGAATGAAGCATGATGATTGAGGCAAAACACAAAGACAAGTAAAGTAGAAGAGGAAGTGGACCCGCCGATCGTCACATGGGCGGCAAAGGCCACCGCCGCCTTTGATATCATCGCCGCCTTCGTCGTCTTCGGCTTCAACGTCATCTCCTGCTTCTGCTCACCGCAGACCAACCTCGGACATTTATCTGAATTTACGATCGACCAAAATGATAGACTCCCTTTCCCTTTATATCCTCACATTCAACTGCGCTCGAAACCCTATCGATGTCGACCGGTTTGCGCCCCATTTCTTCGACGCTCTACCTCCGACCGACGACGCCAGCTCTCCCCCACCGCCCGACCTCATCGTGCTCAGCCTTCAGGAGATCGCTCCTATCGCTTATGCCTTCCTTGGCAATACCTTTTTGGCCCCTTATCTGAGTGCTTTTTCCCAGCTGGTGGATGCTGCGGTAGCCCGGCGCTGGGCGTGTCATTACGTCACGGTCGCGACGGAGAATGTTGGCATGACAGGCCTCCTGGTGTTTGCCCGGTCGGACGTGGCAGACGGCGTCGCATCGATCGAGACTGCCCGGGTCGGTCTGGGGGTCCAGCAAATGGGCAACAAAGGCGCCGTTGGCGCACGGCTGGCCGTCACGATGCCCAACGCACCCGACGACACCGCCGACCTCACCTTCGTCGCCGCTCATCTGGCGCCCATGGAGCATGCGGTGGAACGCAGGAACAGGGATTGGCGTAGTATAGTGGAAAGACTGGTCTTTGGTCCCGAGTCTTGCCCGACGAGGGGCAATCACGAGAGCGCAGACGACGAGTCGGAGAGGGAGACGTTGCTCCATGGTCCTACGTCGAGTCGGCGCGCCGCTGAGCATCGCGGGCTCTTTGCGCCTACAAGCTATCTCTTTTTGGCAGGAGACTTGAATTACCGCACGGCCAACATCTCGCCGCGGCAGGAGGACCAGGGCCGATTTCCGCGGAACGACGTGGAACCCACGAGCCCCCGGCACTACTCGCATCTCCTGCAGCAGGATCAGCTCACGCGGGAGATGAAACAATCCCGATGTTTCCACGGCCTGTCAGAGGCACCCATCACCTTTGCGCCCACGTACAAGTACACCCATGCTGCGCGCCGGGCGGCGGCGCGGGTCGGAACGGAGGAGGACGACGACTCGCCGGACGGGCTGTGGACGAGTACGCGATGGCCCAGCTGGTGCGACCGCATCTTGTACTTGGAAACGCCGCCGGGCACGGGCAGGGAGGAAGCTCGGGTCCAAACAGGCGAGTATCGGGCGTTACCGCTCTTTCCCACCTCTGACCATCGCGCCGTCGCGCTCTCGGTGTCGGTACCCCTGACGTCGGTGCGACCGGGCGATAACACCGCGCCGACCGCGCCGTTCCCGATCGATCCGGCTTGGGAGAGCAAACGCGATGCGGCGCGCAGGAAGGAATTGGCGGTCGGCGGTCTAGCGTATCTGGCCTTGACCTGGGAGGGTAACGGGCTGCTGGTCGCGTCGGCCATCGGCGTTTTTGGGGCCTGGCTCGTGCTTCGATCGCTGTTTAATGCCTGAAAATCAGAAGCCACCGTTACATGCATTGTCAGATCGAAGGGAGGGGGTCCTCGAAACGCCTGCCCCATGTCGATCATACTGATCTCCGACCCCAATCTAGGCACGAACCGTAGATGCTGGGGTTTCACAGTCAAACCTTGGGAGCTGCCATCTGCCGAGCGTCTGGCATGGGTCCGACGAAATGGCCAGGCCTGGCTAGCTGGCGTGCCTAGGAGTCGGTGTCCGTCTGCCTGTGTGGTCTGCTTGCTTGCTTGCTTGCATGCTTGCATGCATAACGGTTTCCGATCCTGCTGCCGGGATCGTGGGTCTGCACCGATTCCAGTCCCGACTCTAGTGGCCTAGTACGATTTCTAGGCCCTCCCATCGCTGCTCTCTTCGTGGTTCGCTTGTGGAGCGGCGACGTGAACAATTCGCGACCAGGAAATGCCATTCAGGGAGACAGACCAGACAGCATCTGGAGTCTCGACCGTCGCCCGACTTTGGGTTGCCTCAAAAAACGAGAGACGGCAATCGACATCCAATAGTGCTCCATGGGCCGGGTCAGCCGGACTCGAAACGGATCTAGAATGGTCTGGAAACGGCGGTGTCGATCCAAGAATGCCCGACGAGGCGGCTCAACTACGAAGGATTCCCTCGCCAAGCAACGTCGGACAACGGGAGGGAAAGATGAAGGTGAAAGGAGGAAGGGCAAGGAGGTGATCTGGTCGGACCCGGCTGGCTCGTATCTCCTCCTTCTTCCCTTCCACCCTCCTCCCAAGCCCCAACCTCAATCTCAGATCGATTTCAGCTCCGCCCATGGCCCGACTTGTTAGCTGTTACAGAAGAGAGTTTACCGGGATGGGAATGTCTGGCTGATGCGGTGGAGCCCGGCCGCGACGTCGGTTATCGTGGTCGCGGCGGTGATTGGCACATGCACCGAGGCAGACTTGTCAGGTTCAGATTAAATCGTTCAATCTTACGGCGTACGTCGCGACTAGAAGAGATCAATATTAATTGATCCGAATTCCTTTCGTCTCCGTCACCGCATCGAGTTAGAGGATGGGTGCCTTTCACCCTCTCCCACTAGGGCGCCCCGCTTGGGTGAAACAAAGGGATTTCCTTTTGGCCCTCAATTGACTGTGAGGGTGGGAGGGAGAGTGCCTGATTCCGGATTAATTAAGCGTAAATATGTATTCCAAGAGGAGTGCATGCCTAGGGTGTAGGACATGTCGGACACAAGAGTACACAAGAGTACAGAGTCGAAGGGCACCTGACGGGGTCAAGTGACTTCCTCCGCAGCCGATGACGGCAGGGCGTTGCCTCGACTCGAGAAGTGCTATCCAGGCAGCAAGCCAAGCGATCGGATCTCCGGAGAGCCGTTCAACCAGAATCCAGATCCAACAAAGGCGAAGCAAGCGTTGGCCGTTGATTCCGCGCCTTCCGAGGATCTGACGGAGTTGGTAGGAGATTACTGGCTTCTACCTAGTGAGAGTAACAGTACTGAGTACATCTACAGAGTCAATCAAATAATATTAACAGAAAGACGGACCGACCCAACGGGCGGCAGGCGGCAGGTCAACGGAAATATTATTATAATAATAATTTTATTATTATTATTATTATTATTATAATATTATTTACTTTAGTTCTTTGAGAACTAACTAGACTAGACTAGAAAAAAATGGAAAATAAATAAATAAAAATTGACGTTCCAGAAAGAGTGGAAACCTTCGTGGTGCGACGGTTCGCGGCCCAAAGATCCAGAAGCTCAATCAATCCGAAACCTCCCCAGTGGCAGGCGAAGCGAGCAGGTACTAATTGTTAATTGTGAATTGTGAATTGTTTGCCGTAGTCGCGCAACCTCAGAAGAATCACGAAAATAATTCAGCATGACGGGCCCACGGCCGCCCTGCAATCCCGTTTACAGAAAATCGGAAATCCTACGCTGTACTCCGTCCTCCTCTCAGGGGGCCAAACCGAGTCATTCAGGCCGCCAACTGCAGGCCGACCAGGTAGCCCTAAAAAGTGGATAGGGAAAAGAAGAATCCAGAATGAATTAATTTCTGGGTGATCAGGCCGTGCCGTGTGCCCGTTGGATCAGAAATAAATATAATATACAGAATTAATCAAAAGGGCCACTGGAGGCTCCCGGCATTCTAGATTTCTCATTCGAGCGCCTGCCATTGGCCCTGACGGCCCTGCAGTTGATATTATTATTATTTTATAAACTTTGTTCTGTTGGATTTTTATTTTTTTTATTTTTTTATTTCTTTTTTCCTCCCTCCGCGGGATGATTTCTCCTCTCGCTTGGATATAAATCCTCGTCCCTTCTCCCCCCGGCACTTTGGACGCCTTCGGATTCTTGTTCTTTTCTCCCCAATCTTCCATTCTCTTTCATCGTGATCAGTGATCATCGTGATCCTCTGCCTTTGCCTTCGTTGACCCGAACCCGGCGGTGGCGCAGTGACAGTCAGCGCTAGAACGTCGCCGGACTTCGACCGGCGCCTTAGTTCGCTTCCTTGCAGCTGCAGGCCAAACGGTTGCCCAAACCTCCTGACGTAATTGCCGTTCTTTTTGGCTTTCTTCCTTTTCTTTTATTTTTATTTCCCCCCTCCGGCCCCTTCGGTTTCAGTTGGGATTCCCCAGTCAAGAAAAATCGGGAAAAAAATAAAAAAATAAAATCCAGCGCGAACGAGACAGGGGGAAATTTTCCAACTATTTTATCCTCGTCGACCGATTTTCTGTCCATCCGCCAAGTTTCTGCCACTGTCCTCCATACCGAACCAACGTCGAGAAAGAAAAAAAAAAAGCAAAAGAGCAGTTCATCATGTACTCCTGCGCCAACTATCCTCGCGGCTGCCGTGGCCGTGTGAACATTCAAGGAGGCAAATGCCCCGACTGCGTGGTATGTCATGGTCCTCAGACTCCCTCTGGCGCATACCACCATCCAGAAATCCCTCTTAACGTGCCACCCGTATAGCAATTGAAGCTCCGTCGTCCGACCTCGCCGTCGCCCTTCGCCCAGCCCCGAGATTACCGCCGCGCGTTGCCCTCGGAAATCCTGAATGACTCGCCCTTCAAGGCCGTCGTCCGCGATCTGTGATTACGCTGCTATGATGCATGGCCCGAAGACGCAGACGACGCCGGAGGACCGCCGCGACTGCAATCCGGCGCTGTTCACCGTCCCGCGGGTTGGGACCGGGTGGTCTACTCGTCTCCGCAGGTCTCTTTGAACCTCATTCTTGTTCATGTTCTTTTACTTTCACTTTTTCCCTTTTATTTTCTCTTTGAAGCTCTAGCTTGATGCATTGTTGGGAGTTGATCGATCACGGGCATATACCATTTGGAGGGCGGCTTTTGTTGATTTCGTCGGGACCCCGGCATTTTCTCTCTTTTGCTTCTCCTTTTTTTCTTTTCCTTTTTTCTTTTCCTTTTTTCTTTTCCTTTTTTCTTTTCCTTTTTTCTTTTCCTTTTTTCTTTTCCTTTTTTCTTTTCCTTTTTTCTTTCCTGGTTTCTTCTCATAGGGAGCATCTCCGCATCTGGCAGGGGTGGGTCCTCTTGTTTTATTTTCTGGTTGTCATCCCCCGGTGACTCGGGTTTCGGAGGGACTTCAGATGGCCAAAAAGTCCCTGTCATCGCATCTGCTAGCAGGCTGGTGGGCTGTGATGCGGCTGCACTTGTCTCGCCTTGAGGTCCCGGTTACCACTGTTTCTCTTGATGTCATCTTGGTTTCTGTTGTCATGTATACGTCACTGTTTAATCTCGGTCGATATTACCCATACCCTCTCGACTGATGCTACGAATTGGTTACTGAATTAATACCCTTGCTGGACTACCATATCTCTTGTTTCTTCTATTAAATCTTCGTTCTATATCTTCTAGCAGGTGGCCGATGTCGTCGGGTTAGGGCTGTAGAAAGATAGATTCAGATCCTCCGGAATGTCCCTCGCGCTTCACTCCTCCAGCATCTCCCGGCACACCCATTGCGCCGTCAACGTGTGCAAACTCCAGTATCGCTCGTCCTCACTCTGCTCGTCTCCGGGTTTCCCTCCCAGCGCCTCGAACACCACCAACTGGTCGCGCATCTTCTCGTCTACGCAAGGCTGGCGCAGGGCCGCCACGGGATCGGCTTGCAGCTGGGGATCGTGCAGCTCGCGAATGAACCCGTCGACGCACGCATCCACCAGACTCTGGGCCGCCGTGGCAGCTCGGTTTGCGCCGTCTCGTCGCTTCGACCGGGGGCCGCCGGTCTTCATTGCTCCTGACAGTGCGTCATACCCGATCTTGAACCCCGTCGACGTGTGCGCCACGAGAAGCAGGTAGATCTGCGACGGATGACTGGTTGACTCGGACGCGTGCGTTCTGACGGGTATGGCAGACTCGACGGTCGTGGAGAAGGCCTCTGATCGACAAGTGTAGAGCCACGGAGGTAACCGTCTGAGCCTCGTCCGGAGCTGTCGATGCGCTTCACACTCGATGAAACCCCGAACGGTTTGTGAGTGATCCGGCGGCCGGTCCTGGTGGTCTCCTGCAGGCCTCTCGGCACGCCAACCTGAGCGTCGGTTCGTCGTTCGCTCAGGCCCTCCTTCCAGCGGATCGTCCGGGGCAAGAATGGTGATATCCACCCGGGTCACTTGTCCGCGTTGAAACTGAGCGAAGTCAATCCGGGGGAAACGAGGACACTGCCGGTCCTGCGCGCTGAGAGGGTCGATCACCAACGCAACTCTCCCCAGGCTGGTCGGGCCTGTGGCCCAACCCCTTTTCTCCAGATGGACTGCCAGTGGAGGGAGTCCGAGCCTCGCGAAATTGGGTATCAGGACCTGGGAAACGTAATCGAACGACGGAGAGAAGGGCACGTTGGTGCCTCCCGTGATGGTCAGGCGTGTTGGACTCTCGCAGGCATACAAGAGATAGGGATAGACGGCCTGGAAGACGAGAAAGATCGAGCCGGCCGTTGGCAGCTCAATCTCTACGTCACGTTGGACTGCTGGCGATCCGCCATCCTGACGAGACAAGGGCTGCGCAGGATAGAAGCTGAGTATGGACGATCCGACCTCCGCACCAGAAACTGAGCCCCCCGTCAGCTGCGCCAGGAACTGAACGGCGGCCACATGGGACCTCTTGAGGCCTTTCCGACCCTGGCGGTTGCCGCGAATGTTCGTGACGTTGACCGGTTTGCCGGTGAGGACAGAGAGCGCAACTGCGATACGAACGAGCTGGCCACCTCCTTCGAGAGTGCTGCCATCCAGGTGGATCATGGCTGGTGCTGGAGTGACGGTCATGGCCACTTGGTGAGACTGATGGATGTTTGGAGATGAGATGGGGATTCTTTTACGGCTTATACAATTTTGGCAAGACAGGATTTCCTTTATATCTACTCTTCAGATCTATTCTAAAAAGAAGGGTCTGTCTGACGTGGTGCTTCTGAGACAAGAATGACTCTCTCGGCTGCCGCGTGACTCACCGTGACTCCTTCCTTCCTTCCTTCGTCCATCTCTCTTTCCTCTTCCTTCTTCCTCCCTTTTTTTTTTTTTTTTCCTCTTCCAGGAGGGACGTCCAACGACCGCTCCTCGTTCTTTCCCTGAATCCGAATCGCCAGAATGCCCAGCAGACGATGTCGCCCTCTCGATGGATTCGCCCACGGGCCAGTCCTTCCATCCTTCTCCTATACTGGTTCACAGATCTATCACAACATTCTTTTCTCTCCTGAACGCGATGCTCTCTTCCACATCTCTGGGACAAAAGGACCGTCTTCGGAGAACCAAATCAACTCGCTCCATCCGCAGACCGCGTCAAGATTCGGTGTCGGCCGAACCGTTTGACTTGGAGACTGCGAGACAGCATGCCACCGCGGCCGCGTCTCTAGCCATGCGACGTTCGACCGAGAGATCCTCCCTAGACTCCCAGCGCTCCTACGATCGTCTGGGAGGCCCGGGAAGCATGGCTGTGCCTCGACGAAGACATCGCCCCGACGCTTATCCTCACTCTTCTGCCGATGGTCTAGATGCTACTCATACTTGTTCGCAGCCAACCGACGAGTCTTCCGGGGACTACGATCCCATGTCGCTAGCAATGCTGCCCCCTATCAGTGAATTCGGGGGCTTAGATGGCCGCGACTCCTCCCTGCCTTCGTCGTATCGGCGGCTTCGTAAGACGCGGTCGATGTTTGCCACCGGCCAACGCTTCTCCCGCAGAAGCACTGGAGTGTCTTCTCATTCCTACGCACATCCTGCAAGCGATGGGCTATCGCCATCCGAGGTACCACGCGCGCCCGGGACCTTAAGGCGCTCATTGTCCTTCTTCAGAGGCGATCAAGGTGCATCCGATTCAATGGACCATGCGGCGAGTCATAACGCCGCAATCCAGATGGCCCGCAGCCAGTTTCAGAAGCAGTCCGTGCCCGACCTGGACCGATACAGACATCCCTCCTTCCTTGCAGGTAGACCAAAACGAGAGCACAAGCCGTTAAGAAAGACGTTTCGCGACATCAGCACGGCCGACGGTGCCCTGGTTAGCACACCTTCTCCGCGCGGCTCGTTCAATAGCGGTTCATCTCATGCAAGGACCCGGTCCTTTTCATCCTCCATCAAAAGGGGAATCAAGCGCGCTCTGGGCCTGTCGAAGCATGTCGCGGTACCCGAACATGCACAGGACTCGCAATCTTCCTCCAATTACCACCCTGCCGATCCCTGTCTGATCAAGTCGGCAGCAGAAAACTCTTCTTCGAACGAGAACGCGCCACCGTACCCTGCCGACGGCCTGCGTGAGTTAACCAGTCCAAGTGCGAGTCGATCGGCCACTATTCGAAGCGCTCGCAGTATTGACAGCTTTGCCACTACGCGATCGCGCGTGACCAGTTGGGCCGACTCGTCCGCAGCCAACACCATCACCACCATGAAGGCAGGCGATCGGGGCTCATTGTCCGTCATCGACGAGAAAGGCGTCTTGAGTCGGAAATTTGATGCGACCACTCCGGACCTGCCGTCGCCGGCTCCCGACACCATTTCCGGCCGCCTGAAGCCAGACGGCACCGTTGATAGTCGACGATTGTATGCGGCGTTGATGAAGCGGATCCGCGGCAGCGGCGCAAACGACTCAACCGAAGAGGTTGTGTTTGGCCAGGTCAAAGAGCATCGCGCTGTTCCGACGCGAGCATCTTCTCTGCGCCCGCGTCGCAGTAGACAAACAATTCGCCACATCCCCAGCGAGGACTCGGTCACTTCTCCCAAATCGTTTGCGACAGCCCGCGATGCGCCGACTCCCCAGGTCCAGGTGCACCGGCGGCCTCAGGACCCTATCTCGCTACGAGACCTCCGATATCTGGAAGCCAGCAATCGAAAATCGGCCGATCTCAAAGATGGACTCTTTGAATCGACAAAGAGCCTGGAGGATGATACGAGCGGTATTATCATGGCCAGTGTGCAACCACGGGGCAGCCCTTCCGATTCCTCCAGCATTTATTCACGCACAACGAGTGGAAACACACCCCCGAAGAAAGATCAGCGAGCCAACTCGCACTCCTCGGGACCGGAAGACGAGCCGGGAGTCGCAACGATATATGCCAGCCAGCGGTCGGCTTACAGCTCTCCGAACCGAGATTCCGTGTCTCCTCGACGAGTACCTTCCTTGCAACCCAGCGCCGATTGGCAGCAATGGATGCGGTCTCAGATGGAGAGGATCGAGGACTTCCCGGCGCGGAGAGATCATTACCGAGAGGACGCGCAGATCTATGGCGAAGACGATTTCCCGCTGAGAGCCTTGTCACGGCGGATGAGAGCTCCCGAAGACGGCATGACCAGGCAGGAGGACTCCGCGCGACCGTCTTATAATTACTCTCGACCGTTTAGCCGATCGTCTAGTGTCCGCACTATCGTAAACGTTCCCAGGGAGCAGGCTGGCAGCACGGCCGTGCCTTCTCCGTCCGCCATCCCGATCCTTTACAAACCATCGGGCAGCACGCCGGAGAAGACCTTCTCGCCTGTTCGAGGTCGGAAGAGAGACGGCAATCCCGCATCAGCACCGATGCAGCTGCGGCCGAGCAATCGAATTCGTTACTCCATTTCTCCGACTCCCAAGCGAGACGCGAGCGAGACCCAACAGAAAATGGCCGTCGGCGGACTGTACGACAGATATCAGACGAAACGGTCCCCAGTTCCTCACGACGGTAAAACCCTCTACGTGCGATCCGTCCGCGGCCATCGCGACGCGGCCAGGGTGACCAACGAGAACCTGAAGGCCAACCAGGAGCAGGGCGACTTCAAAGATCCCTGGCATCAACCTCCAGGCATGGGATCCCCCGTTTCCAGCAAGCGCATGGTGGAAATGTTCTTGAATAGCCGTCGTCAACAGATGGGCACGGGTATGTTGGACGAGGACAAGACTTCCGACGGGGCTTTTGTTTGAGAAACATTCACAATGTTCCTGGCAGAGAAAGGCTGTATTCTTATCCCGGTGGCTTTCTGCGTTCTTTTTCCAGCATGGGCCGCTACAGTGGGTGGTGGTCATTCAGTAGTATATTGCAGACATAATATTATAGCGTTACTAGCCTCTCTATCAAAGACTCACGCAATCAAAAACAGACGTTTCATTGGTTTCCGGCTTGATTGGATTGTGACTTCTACATTTTGATTAGGTTAATGACTGTAGTAGGCAATGCCTGAGCCGGCTCGAGCACAAAGCACAGCAGAAAGGAACAGAAGCAACGGGCACAGCCCAACCCAATATGCTCTTCTTCACCCCCCGGCCTTAGACCCACACTGTAGGCAACGTTATCAACCATCCGACACTAATTACTTGTGCACCATTACGGACATATCGGAAGACTCATTCCACATAGTTGGCCGGGAAACTCCCCTTCACCCCGCGCAGCTCGCCCTCCCACCAATCGTCCGTGCTGTCGGTCTTCTCAATAACGCGAATACGATCCCCTTCCTGGAAGGCCAGGTCCCCGGCGCTCTGGCCGCCGAAATCATACAGAGCCGTCACATACATGGCCTGGTTCGAGGCGGCGCGGGGCTTGGGCGGCGGCGGCGGCTTCTTCTTGCCCACCGCGGCTGCTAGGACGCTGTAGCCCGGGGAAGTGGCCCCGCTGCCGGACGGGGTGGGATTGCGACCAAAGTAGTCAGTTCGGGCACTCGCGGGCGAGAGGCCCGCGGAGGACGAGGGACGACGCTCGGACGCCGGCGTGTGATAGCTGTTCGGGGAGAGGTGGGTAGAAGGGGTGTTGAGGGAAGACGAAAGAGAGCCTACGTCGTTCAACCGGGGCTTCGTATCGAATGCTGGCGACGGGGCAGCAGGGATCTTGGGGGCCGGGGAAGTCGCGCGTTGCTGCGTATTGCGTGACGAGAGTTGACCGCTGGAGCGACGCCGAGACATGGCTCCATTGGATGCGCTGCCGGGGCGATGGCTACTGCCGTTGCGGCTATCATCGGTACCTTGTTGTCGGACGACTTTGCCATTGGCGAGGCAGCCGAAGCCCTCGACTTCTTCTTGGACCGGCAGCAGAACCCGCTGCCAGTCCAGCACAATCTGCTCCATGGGCAGGGGCGGCGAGGGAAACTTCTCCTCCTGGCTGTAGTTGTAGATGGCGGTATAATAGTGCGCCAGCATCGAGTTCTGGATTTCGACCTGCGTGGCCAGCAGGCGAGGGAGCATTGAGAAGGCCGCGGTGATCAACGGGGGGAGGTTCTGTCGCAGATGTTCATCCGCGGCGTGATATTCCTGGGTGCGTTAGAACCAGCATTGTCAAAGCAACGCACGGTCTTGTGTGCATACCTCGGTCGCTTTGGTGAGCTCGGTCTCTGCTTTGGCCAGGCTCTGGTTATCTCGGTCCGATCGCTTCGTCTTTTTGGCATAGCTGTCGACGCGGCTTTGGTAGCGCTCGTAGTCCAACTAGACCGAGGGACACGACGTTAGTACTCTGGTTAACCTCCTCCAGCTACAAGATCGCATGGCATACCTTCTTGTCATCGCGCTTCTTGATTGTTTTCTTCACGGGGATGAAGCATTCCCGGGCCTGCGACGCTGGCTGGATCATGCGTTGATCCACGGCACTGAGCTCCGTGAGAAGCTCCTTCTGCAGGTCCTCATACTCCCCGCGAAGCTTGTTTGTTCGGGCCAGGGTCGCTTCAGGGGTGGTGGCAGCATTGTGCGGGGATGGATCCGAGCCGACGATGGGAGCGTAGAGGTCCTCGAATTCGCCGATCATTCGACTCTGATGTGTCAGGAGCCCGGACCAGGCATCGCGCCAGGCACTGGTCGAATCGATAATCTACGGCTCATGCCGATCAGTTGATGGGCGACGCAACGGCAGGCAGGGAGAAGAGGTTCCTTACGCGGCCCAGAAGCTTGTCCGCTTCGTCGAAGTCCTTTAAAAGAATGGCCACCTGGCTGTCGTCGGCCGACCGCTTCATAAATTTCCCGAAGTGTCTTTGTACGCTCTGCATTGTGTCACGGGGAAGGAAGAAAGTGTTCAATCAACCAACAAGGGAAGGCGGGGAGAAAGGCCAGTGGGGAGTTAACAGGCAAAGACGATCGATGAGAGCTCAGGGGGGAAAGAGAAGATTGGGGATTGGAGAAAGCGATGAATGGGAAAGGAAGAAGAGGGGCAGATTCTAAGGAGGAGGGAGAATAGGAGCCTCGATCTGATGACGCAGCCTGTCTCCTTGTCCGACCTTTCGCTGGGGTCCAGTTTGTCAAACGGCGTTTCAGCCGGGCTTCTGCCCTATGCTGGTCGTTTCGATCGACAGAGGGAAAGAACCGGTGTAGATCCCTGGCCCCATCGGGGTTGGACCCTCGAAGTCTCGACCGAAGAGCCCCAGTGGTGCCACGATTGCTTTCCTGTCAGTCATCCCAGCGAAGTGCGGCGTGTTTCTGTTTGTATAGTTCGGGCGGTAATTGGTTCCTGCATTGGCAGCGGCTTGCTACCATGGTCCAGCCAGGTCTCGGTCGGCTGTCTGGAATCGGCCATGGGGGCAATGGCTGTGATTCTATTGCTGACGAGGAAGACGTGAGGATTCAGTCAATTAGCAGTACAGCGATGAGAACTAGGGTGTGACGGTTGATGGAGAAAAAGTAGAAGAAGGTAAGAAACGAGAAGTAGAAGTAGAAGCAGAAGTAGAAGAAGATCGCGACACCCTTCCCGCGCAGTGCGGCCTCAGGCAGCCACACCTAACCCGCGCCAACGTCTTCTCTTCCGCTTCACCTTCACTTCTTCACTGCACTTTTTTATCCTTTGACCCGCCCTCCCCCCGTCCTCCATCTCGCCCAGATGGTCTTCAGTCCGAGGGTCGCCAAACCTTGGCCCTCGTCCCCTCGATAATATGATGTCGACTCCCGTCTCATCCAGCTTAAACGTCCCGACCACGCAGAACACCGCGCCCGTGATCAAGTTCCGATGCCTGTTCACCCATGATCTGCGGCGCAAAGCCAAACGCTGGCAAGATGGGTACCTCCGATTTCACACATTCAACAAGCGGGTCATGGTCTACGATACTACTGGAAACTTTGTCGGGGACCTACATTGGCGACATGACGAAAGCATTCAGGATGGCGACGAGCTGGAGCTGGACCGAGGCCTGATAATTCAAGTGTGCGAGTCGATGGAGAAGACAGAGACCGATATCTCGGCCCTCTATGCGAAAAAGTCCAGTCAAGGGTCTCCATCACGTCCGGCAGATCCGGCGACTCCCTCCGTCCGCTCGTCAACCCCCTTACGATCATCGCTTTCCTCCCAGCCGTCGCGGTCGTTAAACGATCTCTTAGGGATCAAAAAGACTCCGATCGGACATCTGGTTTCTCCCCACACAGACAAGGCCTCGCCTCGGTCAGCAAAGGTCGATCAGCAAGAATCCCAGCGGGCCACCAAGCGCCAGAAGACGGCTTCCGACAGTCAACCGCGCCCGTCACTGCCCAGCCGTTCAAGCCGAGCTCAGCCCGAGGTCATTGACTTGTCCGAGTCACTCGATTCTACAGAACAGCGCGCGTCGAAAACCGCCCCTGGTCGTATTGAAAAACCCCGAGCAGATCCGGTTCCCTCACGAATCACGTCTAGCTCTTTGTCTACTCCTGGTACAAAGCCGAAAACCGCTACTGAGAACCTCGGGATTGACAAACCTCGGTCTGCCACCAATAATGTTCCAAGGCCATCGTCACGTATACCCCCGGACAGACCTGTTAATACGCTACGACTTTCAAATGAAAAACCGCGTAAAAAGTTGATGTACAGTGCGCTTTTGCCTAGCCAGGCGCCATCGAAAGCGTCCACGGCGCCGTTGTCGGAAAAGACCAATAGGCTCGTAAGGGACAAGTCGCAGTTAGTATGTGCTATATAACAGTGACGGATGCTGGGGCTGACTCTTTTAGGGATGCGCCGACGGTAACTCCCAATCGTCTACCGCCAAATCCTGACTTCACACCCTCCGCTTCCACGCAATTTGCCCTAGATGAAATGATCGATGACCCCATACATCCCAAGACAACGGTTCCCTCAAAATCTATATCCTCTCGACCGTCGGCGCCGTCTCCGTTGCTATCAGCGGCCATCCGTCACAATGCCCAGGCGCAGGCGCAGGGTCTTCCGACGAGCAGATCCTCGACAGGTCTTCGCAAATCGTACTCAGATCCGACCGCGTTGACAAGCGCAAATAGTCTTCAAAATCGAACGGCTCCTTTCACAAGCCCGTTGAACAGGGATGACGATGATACCAATCGCGAGCAAGGACCATGGACGACCGAAGCTCTCGATCTCTTCGATTTTTGGCCGCCAGGACGTCCCAAACCCGGCTAGCTCCAACGTTTAGATACCCCCGGGCATGTTCCGTTTCGGGCTTCGTATATCATGGCTATGGAACCAATGCTGTTTATATATGAATTATTATCTCCACAAATAAGCAATGACATTAATACCCTTTCACATTCACGTCCTCAACTTTTTCTTAGCACCGCTCAACATAGTAAAGCACCCCAAAGAAGCTATCGGGAACCACCCAACCGGAGCACCAACAATGTCTCCTCTCCACCAGCGTACGTGCAAACGTATTCGTAGTTCCTTACGCCTTCTTGACCAGAACCCCCGAGATATACGGAAACACCGTGCGGCCGAACCACCGGTCCAGCTCGACGGATTCCCACTCGCCGGCTTGCCGCAGCGCCTTTTCCGTATCACGATTTAGGCAGCAATCACCGATGTAGAAGCTCCAGCCCAAAGCACCGTACAGCGCCTGCACGACCCTCGCCACGACGGACCCCTTCGACGTTCGCCACGGGTTCACAACGTGCTCTGTGATGAGCAGCTTACCGCCGGGCCGCAGCAGCGCGTACAGCTCATTGAGAGACTGCTGCATGTTCGGCAAGGAGCACAGGACGCGCACGCAGACGATGGTGTCGAAAACCCCCTCGTTGGTGCGGGTCAGGCCGTGCTTCTGCAGGGCGGGGGCCAGCTCCGACCCCTCGACGCTGCAGGGGAGAACGAAGTACTTGTCGCCGAGGCCGTTGGCGTCGGCTCGCGCGCGCAGCTCCTCGTGCAGGCCGTGGCAGGGCTCGGCGCCGTAGATGGCTTTGATGGCGGGGGAGCGCAGCAGAGGCATCTGAGTCCCGGTGCCGGGTCCCACGTCCAGCACCAGACCAGAGGCCTGTGCCAGAACAGGCGGAATCAGGTCCGAGGAGGTTTGGACTTCCGGCGGCGTGAGGGGCGTGGATTGATCGGGAGGCGGTTGGGCGGATTCAATGGCTCCTTCTCGGTTAGCTAGATTGGGAGAACATGAGCTTTGAAAGGTTTAGACGGGGTGGGCCCAAGTAGCCAAGGGGAAGTAAGGAGTCAAAGAAAGAACTGACAGCTGAACTTAATCCAGAACTTGCCGAATGCTTCGTCGCGTAGTCGACGAGTCTCCAGCAGGGGAGCGAGGATCTGGCCGCGTTGAAAGACGGCTGCCAGACTAGTTTTCACATAGTCTTCGTCTTGTGTCAGTTCGAGTAAGGGGCATTGGTATGTGGGGGGATGCTGCACACGATCACTACGGTGTACAGATCCCCATATGACACTTACAAGACATGGCCCAAGCCAGAAGGAATCCTGGTTCCAGCAGCGAAAGCAGCCATTGTCCAGTTGTGGGTTCGTCCACAGACGCCATTTGGAAGGAAATGTTGGATGAAGAGGAAAGAGTAGAAGATGTTTTGCACCACGGGGTTGCAGCCCGACTTTAAATGGGTTTAGCGGACCCGCCTCTGGTACAATCGCGGGCCTGCATTTTCCGAATGCTCCAGTAGCTGGTTTATTGCCAGGGTACGCAGACAGTGTCGACCTGTTTGTCTTCAAGAATTCGATTGCCTCGATCAATACTGGCGCCTAGACCAAAATCCTGGCACACCAAAACTAGATAAGATAAACCCAAATAGCGAACGCGGTCAACGACGCGGATGCAACCCCGATAATCAGTCAATCTCGCTCATTACAGTGTAGAATTCAAGATCAGAGACAAATCAAAAATACAAGATGCTCGAGCAGGCGAGAATAATCGCACAGGAGATAGGAGGGAGAAGAGAGAAAGATGCCAAGCCGATGCGAATGAATGACCCAGGTGTATGCGGGGGCTGACAATGAGTATTGACAAAGGAAATCACTAAATCATGCTTTGATATAGGCAGGAAGGAATGACGGGAATTGAAAGATCCAGGCACCAGAGTGGCGAGAAATGCCCAAGAAAAGAAAAGGACTCGCCTCCCCCGGGATTAAAAACATAGCGGGCGGTATAAAAGAAGGGTAAAAAAAAAGGTCAGCTATACGATGAGTACAAACACCGGACACCAGACAATGGGGGCCGAGGCAACCACGCTCGAGAAAGGACACTAATGATGCGAGTGGATGCGGTTGACACGCGGGCTATACCGACTCATCCGGGAGAGCGAACTGACGTCGTGTTTGCCTGCAGAGAAACAGTGATTAGCAAGAGGTTCTTGACACTCAGGAAGATGTGGGTTGAGGGCATCTACATACCATCGCAGCAAGCGCGGACATTCTCCAGCCGATCATTCTGCTCTTGTTGCTCCATCATATGACGTAGGTCTTCTTCGCTGTCATGATCATGGACACTGCCGTCATGGAGACTGGAGCTGGCGTAGCCCGGGCCCCTTCGGCCGAGCGATCCCTTGATCGTCGAGTTCAGAATCGTACTCAGCCGGGACGTAGAGCTGTGTCGGACCTGATCCGAGTACTGCGAAGGTGTGCTGAGGGCGGGAGAAACACGGCCTGGTGTCAGGTTGTTGTTGTTGTTGTTGTTGCGTATGGACATGGCGGATGCCGCCCGCTGTTTGGGCGGATTTCGGAGAGGACGGCTCTGGGAGGAAGAAATTGACATGCGTGCCGTTTGTTGAGAACGTGAGCGGAATCCCGGGTTGAACTCATCAATATCTTCCAGAGTCACGTTGTTCTCCTCTTCCCCTTCCTCCGCCGGGTTTCGCAGCAAAAGATACGAGAGCGCGTTGAACCAGGTCTCGTGTCTTTGGCTTGTGGTGGCCGTGAACCGGATCCGACGACCCGGGCTAACAACTTCCAAACTCCTGCAGTGAAGACCGGGGGGGTATGGGTTATCATCCGCCACAACTCGAACGGCCTCAATAGGAACGCTCTTTGTCCGACCTTCGGTCTTGCCGGCAGTTTGCGGGTCGTGCTCACTCCAGTACAACGTGCGGGTATACGGATGAACCCAGAAGTATCGGCGGTGTCGCGTGTTCGAGATCTCCCCGGAAACAGCCTTGCGGGTGTACTTCCAAAGGAATTCTCCAATCATTGTCTGGGTGATCGCCTGGATCATGCGCGCATCTGTACCCGCGGGATATCCGTAGGGGAAGGCAGCCGCGTTGGGATGCCCATTGAACCGTTCATCAATTTCGGAAGCAAAAGATGAAACGGACGATCGTCGCGACACCTGGCTCTCGCGCCTGCCTTTGGCACGCGAAGAAGCTGTTTTCGTTGAGCCAACATAGGCATGGCCCTCGTTCGGAGTTCGCGGGCGTTGGGGAGCGGCCGACTTGTAAGCGGAGGCAGGGGCAAGAGGAGGGCCCATGAGGGCAGGGGATGCGGGTCGCTGCTCTGTCGACTTCTTTTCGGCAGCCATGATGGCTTCCTTGTGATCGACCGGTAACGGCGGGTGGCTATGCACACTTGAGGATAGGCTGGTGGCACTGCCTGGTCGCCGATGAAGAGAGGTTGTTGACGCCTGGTGAGCGGGTCGAGGTCGCGCCTTGGGCGTGGCCAACGGAGAGTTACTTAGCTCCTTAGCCTTATCGCTGTCTGGGGGAGATAAGGGGCGGGAAGTGACGCGGTCAAGAAGCAGCTGGTCAATTTGCTTAGAGGAAAGAATGGTCTGAGCGCCCTGGTCTGCCAACTGAGAAGAGGACAGGCGCCTTGCATGGCGCGGGCCGGCGTTTCCAGAAATGGAGCCCAAAGGCAGTCCGCTTTCCGTTTCCTGATCCTTCGTGCCATTGACGGAATCCTCCGCTTCAGAGTCCTCAGCAACCACCACAGTTGGGGTTTGGGGAATCGGCATGTCAGGTCCGGCGCCCCGATCTTGCGTGGAATACGTGATACTGTCGGGGAGGGCTGCCGGAAGGGTGACTGTGGCTGGCGTGCACTGGACAGGAAGCGTCTCCAGCGCATGGATTGTGGAAAGCGACAGTTCGGGCACTGAGGCCGAAATATCGGGCACTGGAACAACCTCCGGCAGTTGAGGAGCGGCCGGCTCGATAGACTCTGGAGTGAGGATCGAGATGGCCAACTCCGGTACTGGAGCAGCCTCCGGAACTCGAGGCGTGACTGGCTCGGTTGATTCTGGGGTGATGAGGGAAAGAGCCAATTCTGGCACTGGAGCAGGCTCCGGCGTTTGTGGCACCATTGGCTCGGTTGATTCTGGCGTGAGAAGCGAAACAACCAGATCTGGCACTGGGGTAGCCTCGGGCACTCGTGGAGCCATCGGCTCGGTCGATTCCGGTGTGAGAATCGAAACGCTCAAGTCTGGCAGGTCGCATTGGGCAGCGCGCTCGGCAACGGCGACTTCCGGCGTAGGTTCTGGAATTGGCACCGGGATCGGTTCAGGCAGAGTAGCCACCACTGGTTCTGTATGCTCAGAAAAGATGGTCGAAACCTCCAACGGTTGGAAGTCTGTGCTAGTGGCACGCTCTGAGACCGACACTGGGGGTACAACCACGGGCTCGACAGGCGTCGCCACAATTGGGAGAGTATGCTCCGCAAAAATCGAAGAGACATTCATGTTTGGCTCATACACCGGCTCGGGGGTGGGGAGTCTGGCCACTACCGGCTCTGTGGATTGCGACGAGATCGCCGAATACTTCATTTCTGCAGGGTCGGGGGTGGGGAGCGCAATTGGCTCAGTCAGGCCTCCAACAAGATAGGCCGTGCTCAAATCAGGCCGAGTGGGCGCAACTGGCGCAGTCTCCTGGGTGGAAATAGAGGAGATATCCAATTGTGGCAGGACAGGCTCAGCATTTCCATCGCGCTGGGCGTCCGGCGCATCGTCATCCCAGGCCATTTTAGGCGGAGTTGGCACGTTAGAGACGGGGTCACCATTGCGGTCGAGAGATGCTTTCAACGGCGTCCATTGGGTTGCCGAATGAGCCACCTGGGGAGATTCTGGCGCGTCGGTAGCAGTACCGGCGTCGGATGTCGCCGATTTCTTTGGCGTTACCGAGGCGCTAGAGATGGTCTCTTCGCCAGCCAGTGCCTGGCCAATGGACGTTGCGGGCTCCCAGGGTTCGGTCATGACGCCAGAGTCAACCATGGTAGGTCTTGGTGGAGCTTCCAATGGAGCTTCCGATGGCCTTCTCGAATCGGACATGGGCATCATTCGCGGGGTGGAAGACGAGGAAGGCATCGAAGGACCAAACTCTCCTTCGTCGTCCTCGCCATCCAGTTCAGCAAGCTCTGCAAAGAGACTCTGACCTTCGGGTGACTCGGACTCTTCGTTAAAGCTCGTCGCCGGGGATTCCCGAGCACTTGACGGCCGGCTAGTAGAGGCCATGGGAGCCTCCCCGGAAGGACGAATTCTCCGTTGTACGCTTCGTTTCTTCCGGAGGCGGTAGCGAGGCGTCGACACTTGACTGGGGGAGGGGAATTCTTCGGGTTCAGTATCATCTTCATCGCCAGAAGTTGAAGCGGTGCTCTGATACGACGTGCGCTCCCGAGTCTTGGTCAGCGTCAAAGACGACACGCGGCCGCGAGGGGTTCTCTGCAGGCGATCCTCGGTTTCCGTAGCATCGCCGGAGTCGCTGCTAGAGTCGGCCATACTTTCCATGCCGGTCTGGAACGCGTCGCTCTCCGTCGCGGTCTCGCGCTCGTTGGCGGTCTCGAAGGCATCGTCCGCCTCGGTGGCGGTGTGATACGCATCGCTAGGTTCGTCAGACGACTGGGCGCCTGGAGGACCCCGAGAAGACTTCAGAGCAGCCTTGTGCGAGGGACTGGAATCAGCGCCGTTGTCTTCCCAGTCGGACTCATGGACCTCAATCTCCGTCGTTCCTCGCCGACCGGCGCCAAGCAGATCCGGGCGTGCCGGTTTTCTTTGGGCTTCGGCTTTGGTTTTTTGGCGCTTGTTAGACGGTCCGGTAGGTCCGGCAGCTTCACGGCGACGCTGCTCAACTTCATCCCGGGCCTCTTGCAGCATCCGCTTCAGCTCAATCTTTTCGGTCTTCTCGCGGTGAATGGTGCTCTTGAGGTTCTGGATCATTCGGTGGGCATGACCCAGCGAGCTTCGCAACGTCTCCGTCTCGAGATGGTTGTGACGAGGGGTAAACTTGTTGGGAGATGGCGGGGGAGAATTGTCCGGGGTCGCTCGGCCTTGGTCATCGGAGTCGTCATCCCGCGGAGCATCGCGAGTGGCCTCGGCCTCGTGCTGCCGCAGTCGCATGGCCACCGCTTTCGCCAGCTCTTGGTTCTGCGAGTTCAATTCCTCCAGCTTCTGTTGCATCGACTGCCGTTCTAGGTCGCCCGCATTGAGGTTCCTGCGCAAGAGGTGTAGTTCGGCATCGTTGGCTTTCTGGGCGGCGGTCTGATCCTCAAGCAGTTTGGAATTGGTCTGTTTCAAGTCCTCGAGTTCGCGCTCCACGGCGTTCTTTTCGGTGGTGACGGTGCCCAGGCTGCTGTTCAGTCGGCTTTCTCGATCGGCGGCCTCCTTAATCGTGGCCATCAACTCGTGCGTTCGAGTTTCCAGGGCCCAGTTCTCATCCTTGTAGCGCTCCTCGCTCTCGTCTAGGGCGCGAATCCGTTGGGCGTAGCCCTCCGCCTCGAGCTCCAACCTCGACTTCTCTAGATTGACGATCTTCAACGCCTCCTCCCGCTCAGCAAGGAGAGCCTGCAGCTGACGAACCTGGGCCAGGAGGGACGTGGAAATCTCGGTGGCAAATTCGATGTCGTGAACGCGGCTTGAGGGCTGGTTTCGCTGTTTCCGGGACGGCACGCTCACTTTACTGGGGGAGTTGGTTGCCTGGCCGGCGAACAAGGCGGGACTGAGGGGCGACTGCATAATTCAAGGGAGTTAGTTACGTCGAAGAGGCCGAGTAGGTATGCGAGACATGTACCTTCTGGTCCATTGACGGGGTACCCAGGTGCGCCTCGTCGCCGCCCGCCAGACGTTTCGGGGCAAGAAAAGCCCTGGCAGTCTCGCGGCCAATCTCGTTGTATTCCCGCTCCAGGTCCGCCAGTTTCCGACGCAAGTCCGGCCCAATCTGGCCCTCCTCCTGCTGCTGCTCCACCTCTTTCAATTTATCCTCGAGCTCCCTCTGCTGTTCGATCAGCGCGGTGCCTAGTTTCGACGCCTCCTCGAGTCTGCGCTCGGTCTCGGCCAGGTGGGCCTCGAGGGCCCGCTTTGCCTGCGCCGGGGACGATGCATCCAGACTGAACAACTGAGTGTCGAAGGATGAATACCTATGGGTTTCGCGGGGCACCGCTTGGCCCTCGGACGGGGAAACGAAGGGATCCTCGATCGTCGACATGCTCCGGTCCTGATCGGTCGCGCCGTTACCTGTTGAATCTGACAAAGATGTAGTCATGGTTGGATGGGATAGCCTGCGGGTGGTATCTGGTCCTCTGGGGAGAGGACGCAGCTGCCGATCTAAACCCGCAAAGCTCGTCGCCTCGTGCCTCTCGAAATCCTTCTCAGGCCTCAGTCATCATCCGACGAGCCAGTCGACCCTTAGCAGTATGAACGAATTTGCGTCGGTTCGGGAATCCTCGGGCGTTGGATAAGCCGACCAGCGACCAGGTTTCTGCGATCCTCAAAGCCTCAAGTCGAATGCGACGGCGCCAAGCGAAGAGCACCGTCTGTCGGGTAGTTGGGTGGAAAGGCCGTGACCGTCGGTTGCAAGTAAGCGTAAAACTAATGAATTGACAAAGACAAGAGACGAGAGAGAGAGTTGAAAGGGTCGAGGGTCGAGAATTGAGGATCAAGGGAGGCTACTGCGCCTTCCAGACGGTCAGAGAGGAAGTTGAAGGGCGACGGGGGGGAAGAGTGGAGCGGAGTTCCCGACGTACCGCCAGAAATCGAGACAACACAAACGCGTTGTGGACGTCAGGTCGACAAGGATTGCGGACCAACCACAAGCAACAGCCACTCGCGCGACGATCGGAGGGGATCACCGCGAGACAATTAATTACAGTAAACAAAAACACGAAAAAAGAAAAAAAAAGAACAGAAAAAAAAATAAAGATACCACGGAGGTTGATTGGACGGATGCGGCTGACACCTACGTCCGAACAACCGGTATACCAATTGATATAGGTGGGACAATCGAATCGAATTGAAAAAAAAAAAAAAAAAAAAGGATCAGTTGGGAGAGAAGAAAGGAAAATTAATCAGGATAAGGAAAGACACAAGGGTAGGGAAGGTGAAGAAAGAAGAAAAGAAGAAGAAACGAGTTGAAAGGAAGGAAGGGGTGGTGAGAGGGGAGGGGGAAAAGGGAAGAGGAAAGAGAGGGACAAATGAGGGATTCCAAAGTGGTGCCGAGGGGGGGGTGGACAACGAGACGAGACCGACTCGTTGGGAAGAAAGGAAGAAGGGAAGAAGAAGGGAAGAAGAAGAAGAGCGCAGGGGTGGCTTCAGCTGGAGAACTGCCGGCGGTACGTAATAAATCAGATTGTTTCAAGAGAGAGAATCAGGGGCCTCCTCCCCGGGTGTATCTATGGAATAAATATAATGAACCTGAATGAGGTTGACAATGTGATATAAGAAGATCTACTGCGTCCAGAGAATCATAATAAGGTTTCTCTCAACCAAACATTCGAACAATAAATGGAATAAACAACCCAAAAGGTGTGACTTGTCAATCGTCGCCTTACTTACCAGGCCCCGTCCGACGCGTACCGAACTTGTCAGGCACTTCAGGCACTTCAGGCACCCGCTTGGCTGTTTGTCTCGTTTGCATCGCCTCGGTTATGAACGTCACCTGTCTTGACGCTAGTCTGTCTCGGGACAGGCGCCATCGCTGACCGATCGATCACGTGAGCTCTCCGAGTCCGGCCAAGCCAGCGCAAGCCGTCGCCACTCAACTAATCAGTTTCATCATCTCGCCGGGAATTTTCAAGCGCACTTCACAATGGCCGACGAAACCAAAGTCGCCGACGACGTTCCTCAATTCTCCTTCAAAAAACGATCCGCCAAGGCCAAATCCAATTTTCGCAAGAAGCCCGCTACCCCGCCGCCCGCCTCCGACTCAGACTCCGGCTTTACATCCTCCGATGATGACGAGGGCCGTAGAATCAAACGACGCCGGAAGACCGCAGCCGTGACTGCTTCGTCGGCTGGTAATGCCCCTCGGAGGGACGCCCCGCAAGATGAACAAGCTACCGCCGCCGCACCGGCTCCCCTGGCGTCGACCAACGACGCAACCAAACAGTCCAACTGGTATGATGAGGGTATGGATGAGAAGAACCTCCTGGGCACGACGCGAGCTCGTCCCGCCACGGACGTATCATCTACGGCCGACGGAACGTACAAGGGGGCGGCCAACTATCAATCCTTCATACAGAAAAATCCCGACGCCCCGAGCAAAAAGTTCGGTCCCATGAAAGCCCCCACCAACGTCCGAACCATCACGTTCACCGACTACATGCCAAATGTCTGCAAGGATTACAAGCTCACGGGATACTGCGGTTTTGGCGACGGCTGCATCTATCTGCATGCTCGCGAGGATTACAAGCAAGGCTGGGAGCTTGACCGAGATTGGGAGGTCAACACCAAGGGCAAGACTCTGAGCGGGAAGGTGACGTCGCAGAGAAGCGGTGGCAACGCGTCCAAGGACGAAGATGACGACGAGGAGGAGCTCCTCGAAAATATCCCGTTTGCCTGCATCATCTGCAAGAAGCCCTATCAAAACCCGATCATCACCAAGTGCGGTCACTATTTCTGTGAATCATGCGCGTTGCAGCGTTATCGAAAAAATCCGTCCTGTGCGGCTTGTGGAGCCGGCACCGGAGGCGTTTTCAACACGGCCAAGAAGCTGAACCATCTACTGGAGAAGAAACGGGAGCGAGCCCGCAAGCGGCGAGAGCAGGCCATCGCAGAGGGCGAGGAAGTCAGCAGCGAAGATGATGATGCTGCCGAGAGCTCCTGATGCAGGTCGTCCTTTCGCCTAGCGCAGGATGCCGTGGTAGAAAACCAAGGAAGGCTAACGTCGCAGCCGGTCTGCAGTCCTGTAATGTATTATATATTTTCAGATACCTTGAATGAATGTCCGGACAGAATTTTGGGCTATCAGTCGCCCTTAGTTATTTTGTAGCTGGCAGTATGATAAGTCCCGGTTAGCTTAGAGACCTTGAGTGCAAACATGGTAAACCTTCAGGTCCGTTGTCGATCCTTATTGTCTTCCACATCGAGGGCTTCTCTGGCGTTTTTCGACCTACCCATCTACACTATATATTCCGTAGAATGTGGGATGAGAAAGTAGGAACAGGAGAAGAGGAAATAAACAAAATTACTTTGGAATACTTTCGTAACTATCAAGGACAAACCCTTCGATCACTCCAACCGATTTGAACTCGACCCATTCCCTCATCACGGTGGTTGGACCCGTTGACCCGTTGACCCGTTGAAGGGAGCGACGTCATGCCGCTCGCTTAACCCTCCTAATTCGGTGCGGCAAATCGAAGCGCCACGTGCAGCCCGTGGTTCACCCCTTCTTCCATCCTTCTCTCTTTTCCTATTTCTCTTTGTTACAGTCAATCCTTCTTGATTCCCAGTGATATCTATCTGATGGAAGGAAACAATATCTCTTGGATCTGTTCAGCTATTTCTGCTACCGTAGACACCATCTATTTACCAGTTACTCCGTACCTGGCAACCTGCTCTGGAGATGAATTCCTTCACCGAGAAAACGGCTGGAGCTAACGCTGCTAGCGGGGGGCCCCGAGGATGCACTAAAACCCGGTCGGGGTCGCCAAAAGCTTCCCCGCTAGAGACCCTAAATCCACGGGCAGCACCCCTTAAAGTTCGCGCTGCACGGCATCATCCACAGACCCTGTCGAGCCTATGACGGGCCTCATCAGGGCCACAGAATCGGGTCCTTCAAGCTTAACCGGGGCCTAAGTTCCTTAACGCGTCCCTGGCCACGCACCGAGTGGACCCTCGCACTTTTGGAGGACGCTCGATCCCGGCCACAGTCCAATGATGTGCAAGATGTTGCGACCCTTTCTGGGTCGTCCGTGGGATTGACTTGTACAGCCATGCTTCGCCCTCGACAATCTTGCTGTCTCTGACATGCGCACTCTTTCCCACCGCTCGGGCCTTTGTTGCCTATGTTTCGCTTTTCGTCCATGATTCTATCTACGGCCACCAGCCATGATCGGCTTCCTCAAAGAGTCTATGCGAGACCCTCCTTTTACCTCCTTAATCTACGTTTGAGTTGATCTCGATCTGCTTCTCCCGTTCCTCCTTCTGATCCTTCGTTGTACTTATTGATCTTTCAGTGCTGCCATTATACCAGCCATCTTCTCAAACCTTTTTACCCCCGTGTTTTTCTTCCTCCCAGCCTTTCAATCACCGCCTTTCATCTCTGTAAACACCTGCTTGTCTTTACACCACGCGGTTTTTTGACTGGATACCTTGTTCGTGGGGCCTGGGTGGTCTCGTTCCCCGTGCATTCTCCCCATTCATGATGAGATGCGGTTTTCGCCTTGCCCTATGCATATTACTGGTGCTCTTGGTCCCCTTGTATCTCATCAAGGCCCATCTAGAAGATCTGTGTGACCAGTACCGCGCAGGCGCATACTTGGTCAACTGGCTTGATATCGAATCCCCTGAATACGAAGATGTGCTGCCTAAACACCACCTGTCTAGCGACAAGGTCATCGTAATGGCGAAGTTGGAGGAGGAGCCGACGGAGTGGGTCGAGGCAGAACTTCCAGAGTATGTGGTTGCCTTGACACTGTCCCCCTCCTAACATGTCACGATGCTTATTAGATTTTGTCTCAAGCTGGAAACGTGCGATTTACGTTGTCAACCCGTCGCGAGCAACGGCCGCCAATGAGCACAAGCTTAAGACGCCCCTAAATAAAGGCCATGAGTCCATGGCCTACCTTACCTACTTGATCGATTATTACGACCGTCTCCCTTCGATCATTGCATTTCTCCATGCGCATCGCGGAGGATTTTTCATGGCCTGGCACGTGGACGCGCCTTTACATGACAACGTAGCGGCCATGAGATCGTTGCAGCTCGACTTCGTCCGGCAAAACGGATACGTCAACCTCCGGTGCAATTGGAATCCTGGCTGTAAGGCAGCGCATCGCATTAATCGGCATGTCACCGACATCGTGTGGCAGGAAGTATTTGAAGGCACAAGCACGCCGCCCCTGAATGCCACGATATCGGCAAGCCTGGCGGAAAACGGAGCGATGGATGCGGCGCGAAACCAGAGGTTCCTGCCAAAGCCCAAGGAAATTGGGGCCGCCTGTTGTGCGCAGTTCGCCGTGTCGCGAGAGCAGGTACTTCAACGACCACGAGAGGACTACGTTAAGTTCCGACAATGGATTATGGACACGGACCGGGACGATGCCAGCAGCGGGCGGGTCATGGAATTTCTGTGGCACGTCATATTTGGCAAAGAATCTGTATAGTAAGTTACTTCTCCGTTCAGCTAGCGGTACCAGGATGAACCAAGACAATTAACAGTCGACGGCCATTAGTTGTCCAGATGAAGAAGTCTGTCACTGCCAGGTCTACGGAAGATGCTGAGTGATTTTGAAGCGCTTGACGACGGGCCTTTGTGCCTTTGTATATATTGTCACGACCTCTGTATATATGTATCTATACATACTTGATTTTCTAGGACAATCATAGACTTCCACGCATGCTGCAACAAAGATCCAAAAACAAATTATATTTCAATCTACAAAGAAACTTAATAAAAGATAAATTTGTTTATGACTTATAGTTAAGCAATTTTTCTATAAAAAGAAAAGAAATTATCTAATCGAAGATTTTAAAATCCTTATATATTAATAAAATTTAATTAAATATAAAAATCTTTTATCTTTTATTTAAGATTATTTATAAAGATATTGAAGTCTTTTTTCAGATTTATTAAATCATTTTCTTGCTTAATCAGAACCTTCCCTGAGACTCTTCTAGACAGGCAGTCAATCATGTCATATGCTTAGCCGAGCCATGATAGTAGACTTGGGCAGAACTCATGGGCTGGGTAATGGGTCCAGACCCATTGATGAGTTTCGCTGAAGTCTAGCAGTATCAGATATTCTCATGGTATCTATTCGATGCAAAGGTTATTCCTTGTCGCAAATAGTATGTGGTTATGATGCAATCTAAATTTCCGATACTGGATCACTACTATGAAACAACATTTGAACAAGAAATATATAGGCAACCCTGTCCAGCAGTGGTTGTTTGTGCTAGAGTTAGGTGACCGAATTACGGAAGTATCCTCCGCCCCGATAGTAAATGTAATCTTTCATCTTTTGTTTTATCTTTTTTATTCTAATATTCTCCAAGTCCCCGTATTCCCCATGGGGACTGCCCTTGTTCCAAAGAAGCATATATCTCAAGCACACTATATGAATCTATTATCTGTTTTATCGAGCCTCAATTTACAACACCTCTAATTCCTGGACGTGGAGAATGATCTACTTACCCGCATCAAGTTCGTTTGGCTCCAGCCTCTCCTTTTTACGGAATTGTTACCGCGAGATCATCCCAACCTAATCCTCCTGTTGGAACTTCCGAAGTACATTCTTCCGGAATACAACAGCAACCTCAGTAAGGATCGGAGTATGAATCACCATCATCATCAGCTGTATCAGTTTCGGTCATTATTAATCAAAATGGCCGGGTACAACATAAGATAAAGTGGATTATTGGATGAGTGCAATAAAAACAGAACATCATGACATGTTTGTATAGTTCAGTCTATGACGTGACATTTCCGGTTACGGTTTTGACACTTTCGGTTGCGGCCGTTGTGAATGATATATACAAATAGCCGGATAAAACACAAAAGGACATTATTAGGTGTACATAGTATCCTATGAGAGATTCAGTACCCATATTGTAACAATGTGTCTTCCATTCACAGTACGTTACTTTTAGCGTGAATGGGCAAAATCATCGTATTCAAACATATATGAGAATGCAAAAATAAGTCAGCTATTAACTATAATAGTATCATTTCGATCCACTGGCATAATCAATGATGCAATTATTCATGATGTCCACATCAACCAAGTATTCTTCAGAACGTTCTCGGAAAAGTCATATACGTATCAATGACGATCGCTTTAGATCTACGCTTATGGGGGGCAAAGTAGACCTTACCCTGGTGCATGATTTAAGAAACCGTTGGCTTCATTCTTTATCACAAGTGCCAGCAGTTCAACGATAAATGATTATATTTTTCAGAATATTTTTCCGTGAAGATAAAGGAACTGTAAGTATTAGTCCCCTTCTAATATAGTAATTGAGAAAGGGCTGATGAAGTACAGCTACCAAGGAGAACAAGATGACCAAACTAACAGCAACTCTTGTCACTCTCTTTGCACTCGCATCCACAGCAATAGGCTCTGAATGCACTCTGCATAGCAATGGTCAAAACTGCGCGAACCAAGGAGAAATCCGACAGGCTGGATATCGGTATTGCAGCCGACACTGGGATCAGCCAGGCAATGGAGTGTTTACGGATGAATCAATTGGCCCAGGGAAGGTCTATATTGGTCAGATCGGCAAATTCTACGCTGAGCATGAGTGTAGAGGATCGGTGGACGACATTATTGGACGTTGTGTGGGGCACACTGATGGCGGAAGTGTGACATGGAGAGCGAGACACTTGAATATCAATTACTGCGAATGGGTGTAAAGACATGTATTTAGTGTGCTTGTTACGTGTCACCTCGACATGGGTTTTTCCCTATCCTTATCATCATAGGTTTTCCCCATGTTATTATGCGAATGCGGAGGTTAGTACGGAGTACAAACAAGTGATCCACCTCGCACATTTTGACCCCGGTCGAAAAACTCATTTCATTTAATTACTACCTAAACATGCCTCCAAAAGCGCGTCAAAAATCAAGAAATTCACCTGAGCAGGAGGAGAGAGTCCTACTTGCTATTTCTTTACCGGTGGATCAGATGCCGTGAATTCACTGGGAGACTCAGGAGACCGGTCAGGCGTGAGGCAAAGAAAGGGATTCAGGATTGGATATTGGGAGGAGAAGCAGATCGAAGTCGAAGTCGAAGTCGGAGCCTGACGACCCATGAGTATAGCCTACAAGCTCCTATACTATATGAGCGTAGACATTCTATGTAAGTGAGAGTTAGCATACTGGACTGTGAATATCAGTACCGTCGTAATCGGCTGAGGCACGAATTCAACCCTGATATGCGGTAGCACCCCGTTAAGTTCCGTACAATGCCAGAGGAAGACCCCCCTAAATAGACGAGTGAGGCGCAAGATCCCACGATTCCAATCAGAGATTGCTAAAATGTTTGGAAATTCCCCGGGCCTATGGCGGGCCAGGCCTGGCTACCAAGTCCAGGAGAGTACCGTTAGGTGACCATCTTGGCCTTTTATAGAGGATACTTGCCCTCACAGCAGGTCATTGTTCAGCACCCCAACCCTTCCTGTCCTAGTCTTCAAAGCAATCAATTGCCATGGCGACTACTTGGTTCTGTGAAAACTGCATGAAGTCCTTCAAAGTCTTTGTGAAGGATATGTTCTCGGTGCGTGTGATGACTTCCACACAGTCCACCCAGGCTCGCGTACTGCATGACGCACGCTCAGTCATCTCAGAGCAAGAAGTAACTGGCATTGTTCCGTGCATGGTAAGTTGCCCATCGTCCATCCACGCCTCCACATGCTAACAAGACCAGTTGAACTGTCTAGACTTGGAGGGTTGGGAGTACGGCCGTCTCTGCGCTGAGCTGGAGGATCCAGACGCCAAATCATGCAGTAGCCAGTGCTCTGATATCCAGAATGAGCATTGTAAACAGCATACTCTGGACCCGTCGGCCTGTCAGTTAGACCCTCCACAGGTGCTCGCCAGCTTATGCCAGCTCATTGATGCTTCAGACGTGAGTCCAGACAAGGGTGAACTCCAACGCAGGGACCTCAAGACTCCACCAACAGATGACCCAACGAGCAAAGAGCCTACACGAACGCGCACTCCGCCCAAAATCACCAGCGCCTCGCCCACCCACAAGATCCTAACGCTGACAGAGCTTACGGACGTCTCCAGCACCCGCTCTACCACAGAGTCTGTGCCCACGACAACAAACAGCCCCATACCCACCACATTCAACACGTTGACATCTTCCTCGACATCCATGGAGCCCAGCGCCACTGTCAGTTCCGCCTCACCACTACCGTCACTAACGACGCCAGTTTCGCTCAGTCTCTCCACGGGATCGATAGTAGGAATAGCCATTGGCGCTGCGGTGCTTTGCGGGGTGCTCTGGCTTGTAATACGATGTTGTTTCAAGCACGGAGGAAAGCTGGACGCGGCGAAGGATGGCCTGCACGCAGAGACATTGATACCCCTGGAGTTCGTTACAGTTCCGGAGAAATATGGAAACACGGTCTGTGAAATTGATAGTCGAGTGACTGCAAATCCCCCCAGACCGGTCCAAGAGGGCATCCATAAATTGGGCGGCGAGCCTGTGGTTGCTCCTCGTTCTGAGGACACGGAGACATCCAAGATTGTAGCCACAGTCTCGGAGGGAATCAGGCCAAAGGAGCAGACAGAAACTGTAGCTGCCAATGAGGCTGGCGGAGAGGGTTCAGGGACTACCAGAGACGGTCATCCCTGATCATACAAAAGGTCGCGGGTCAGCGAAATCTTGAACAAATTATCACCCTCGCTTTATTCTCCCTCATCTTGATTTTTTTTTTTTTTTTTTTCAAGCCTTGATCCAAGGAATATTGAATGAATAGTAATCCAAATGTGTTTCATCTGATTTCCCCAAATGAATCTCAAGTGAGATGTTGCAGAGCCGAAAGAAAACGCCGTTAAGCTTTGTAGAACCTCTGGATATCATACAGGCTTTCATCAGATAAAAGAGTCACGTTCATCTACCTCGTTACGTCCAAAAGACCAATCCTTATCCCTTGGCCTTTCACTTTTGCTCCAGGTACTCCTCTACCCGTTCAACAAGGTCTGCTTTCTTCCCGGCAGCCGAGCGACCGTGAGAAGTGAGGAAGTCTTTGAGGATGGCCACCGTAAGCTGTGCAGAACTGTATGTTAGCTGATCGTTTGGAGTATATCTGACCAGGCAAAGCTTACCTTAGAGAGAGTTCCCTTCTGATGATGAAGACGCACGTCACTTTCAATCCCTTCCGATGAATTTTCAGTCTTCACTTTCTTGGGTGCATGTCCACCTCCATCCGCAGAGTCAGAGGCACGATCTTTGGCGCTTCGTTTGACAAGCGTGCTCTTGGGACCGGAGGGCGCTATTTGTGCATACTGCTTCTCGAGTTCGTCGGCCCAGGACAGCACATAGTCACCGGCTCGCTAGGAAGATGGATGTTAGACTTCCTTCCGAAAGATGACATCAAGTGAGTTCCTACCTTGTCGATCTGGCGATATTTCGGTATCGTCTTATCCTCCGGTTTCTCGGGGAGGTCTTCATCCAAAGCAAGTGCCTGCAGGATGCGGTAATGCCATTGAAGCGCTGCATGGTAAGTAAGTATAGTCCTCGACAACCGAGAAAGGAGTACAGCCTACAAGGATTGGGGTATTTCAGAGGCTCGTAAGATGCCTTTGGGAGTTGAAGTTGCTGGACGACCATTCGCATTTGGTCAATCAGTGGCTCCGGTGCCACGTTCAAACTGGTCTCCGGATTCTGTCGAACGTCATCGGCAAATGGCAGGGGAACAATCCACATCCCGGGAGGAAACTTCTGCACTCCGGTCTCGTCCAGCTTTTCCTCCCCCGCTAACATGGCACCCAAGACGGGCCCTGCGTTCTTGCGTGGAATGAACCAAACAAGTGCCATCTTTTTGTTTCGCAAGAGGCTTTGGTGTAAGGCTGAAAATACCCTCGTCGAGCCCACAAAGTCCTCCTCCGACGGGTAGATGAAATACGGATGCTTGACGTTGGCCCAGAATGGGAGGGCCGAAAGAGGCTTGAATCCAACAATCCGAATCACCGGCTCCCCAAAGTCTCTCAAAGCTTTCTGCTCCTCGGGCGTAAAAGAAACTTGGTCACCGCCAAACTTGTAAGCTTTCTTGATTTCCCATTTTTCGATTGTCCGAGCCGTATTTTCTGCGATCTGGGTCGTAGTCCCTTTGACAATCTGAGGCTTTTCACCCCCTAGCCAGACGTAGGAGTTCCTGGCTGACTCCTGACGTCGGAAGAGAAGATAACCCGACACTGAAATCTTGAAGTCTGGCCCTATCTCGAGCGGCATGTTCGAGAAATGAGCCCGGCGGGGGACAGATCGCGAGTTGATACTGGAGAGCAAAGTGTTGAGTAACGCTATCCCGTCACTGTTGGCGGTAAGGGTTTTGGAGTCGGTTTGTAGATAGGTAGGCGCCTCTGGATCATTCGGAGAGGACTTGTAAATGATGTCCTACTCGAAATGTCAGTCGGGTTCTCATAGATATGTGAGAAGATGGGTCCGACTTACATCATAGAACTTGGAGCCATCAAACTCATGGTCCGGCTGGGAAATCGGGAATATCTCAATGGTGACACCAAGGTCGTACAAGTCTTTGGCTCGCACCGTGGCGGCGGAGCGAAGGCTCTTGTTGTCGCCGTGGGGGTTATCGTTATCGGTTACTATGAACAGTCGTCGAGAAAGAAAGTTGGGTGCCTTTGATGTGAAGATTTGGTTGGCGCAGAAGAGCACGTTAGCCATGGAAACGCGCTCCTCCCCGGGGACCAATATCTCTCGAGCCTTTCCTTCATCCTCCGCGAGCGCTCGAAGCTCCTTGACCTCCCGCGCCGAAGGAATATCTAGATCCGTGAAAAGATAGCAATGCGGATAAGAGAGATCACCGCGACTATTCTCGTCTTCGTCGTAGAACTTGGACGCCTGCGTCCCGTATAGTAAGACTCCCATCATGTCGTGCGGGTTCGAAATGATCCGTTGTTGCATCAGGTGGTAGGCGCATTTCAGCGCTGCGGTCGTGGGAGATTCCTCTTGGAACTTTTTGGGATCCGGAGATGAACGAGGGGTGAGCATCGAATCGCTCACTTCGATGGCAAAGAGCACGGCATCTTTGACCGATTTGTAGCCCTAGAGAAGGTGTGAGCCACTTGTCTCTATCAATGGAACTCGCGATGACGTACGGTCTCGTCAATCTCCTCTTCCTCCTCCAACTGGTCGTCTTCTCGAGAAGGGTTATCGTCCGCCATGTTAAATCTGCGAGTTTGAAGGAAATGGGCTGTCACTGGCGAAGTGGGATTGATGTGACATGAATTAAATGGGGAGGAAGTAGAAGGTAACAAGCATGGTGGACTTGGTGCCTGCTGCGGTCGGCGGTGCTGCCTGGGGGGTGCCTGAGACGCGAGGCACCCAGGCCGACTGACGCGCGGGGAACACGAACATCATGTGACGGCGCCAAGACTTGATGACGCTCGGTCTGCCCTGATTGGCGTTCGGTCATTGTTCCAGCTGGACTCCGGAAGTCTCCCGGCACCGTCCATCCCTCCATCCTCACCACTTCTCTCTCCCTGAAGGCTCTTCCATCTTGCATTGATCAGTGTGTCTGGGTATCTCCGACTCCCGACATGGCGCTTCGACATTTTACTCTGCCCCGGCAGTTAATGCGACCGGTGGTTCGCAGTCCGCTTGGCTACAGCAAAGACCTGAGAGCTGGCCTGGCAACAGCAGTGCCTCCTGTGACGCAAGATTCAACTGGCTCGAAGGGACCGACCGCCATGGTTTTCCTGAACATGGGAGGGCCTTCGACAACGGACGAAGTGGAAGATTTTCTTAGCAGGTTATTTGTACGCCGCCGACGTCTCATGAGCAACCTTCCACAACATTTCCTGGTTACTCAATGCTAACTTTTTTGATCGGTTTGTAGGCGGATGGCGATTTGATTCCCCTGGGACGACTACAATCCTACATTGGCCCCCTCATTGCTCGGCGGCGAACCCCCAAGATCGTCAAGCAATACTCGGATATCGGAGGCGGCTCGCCGATCAGAAAATGGTCGGAGTATCAATGCGAGGAGATGTGCAAGATCCTAGATAAACTGAACCCCGAAACTGCGCCACACAAACCTTACGTGGCATTCCGCTACGCGCAACCGTTAACGGAACAAATGTATACCAGACTACTAGAGGACGGGTTTGGAAACGGGAAGGGCGGTCGTGCCGTCGCCTTTTCGCAATATCCCCAGTATTCGTGCTCTACAACGGGAAGCTCGCTCAACGAGTTGTGGAAATGGAGAAACCGCCTCGAGGGTGTCAGGGCAAATGGCAACGCGGACCCGGCGGGATCCATTCAGTGGAGTGTCATCGATCGGTGGCCAACTCATCCCGGTCTGGTGGAAGCGTTCGCAAGGAACATTGAAGACCAACTGAAGACTTATCCCGAGGACAAACGAAGCGGTGTGGTTTTGCTGTTCTCTGCGCATAGCTTGCCCATGAGCGTGGTGAACCGAGGTACGCCCACAATAGTCTCCGGAAATCGCACCTGACCGCTAACAGCCCACCAGGCGATCCGTACCCGGCCGAGGTTGCGGCAACCGTTCATGCAGTAATGCAACGACTCAACTTTAGCAACCCTTACCGACTCTGCTGGCAGTCCCAGGTGGGACCCAAGGCTTGGCTAGGAGCGCAGACGAGCGACACGGTTCAGGAATACGTCAAGCGGGGACAGACAGACATTGTCCTGGTGCCGATTGCCTTCACCAGCGACCATATCGAGACCCTGTATGAACTGGACCTCGAGGTGATGGAAGAGGCGAACCACCCCGGCGTCAAACGAGCCGAGAGTTTGAACGGGAACCCGGTTTTCATCGAGGCCCTTGCAGATCTGGCTCAGAAGCACCTCCAAAAGGATGAGAAGTGCTCGTTACAGATGACTTTGCGGTGCCAGGGGTGCAGAAGCGAGCGGTGCTTGGAGCAGAAGAAATTCTTTGCCGGTGACAAAACCGCGTCCCTGGTCGTATAAAAGTTGTTTCTCTCCTTGTGATTGTGTGTATATAGAGGGGATCTCGGGGGTTATGTTTGGCGTTTGTGGTTTCTGTCATTATCTTAGACTAGGTCACGGTGGTCTGTAAAGCCCCGACTCTGTACAATAGGTAGCCATTTTCTTGGATTACAAAATGCATCCATTCACTCTCTGCAGATCAATGATTCCCATGGATCAGGGAAAACCGGGGGACATTGACTACATGATCAGTTGGGGGGTGTACACAGGAGGTGGTCGATAACCAAGACTAACTATCTTCTATAGAAGATCAAGATTCCTTGGGCAGGTTCCGAAAATCTATCAATCTCTATACGAAGCGGAAGGTTCCACGAAAGTGAGCGGAATTCTCCATGAAATCGGCCATGAAGATCATGTGAAGTTGAGGATAGAAAAAAGGAGATAGTTGTTGTTGTCATCAATCAATTTCTTCATTTCGTTTGGCCGCCTACCTCCCTGGCACCCAGTATTCCTCCCAACAACTGATACTACGACTGTATGCACTGTGCGGTTTTTGGCAACTGTATATATTATTGGCGACCGACATCTACCAACTGGACCAAAAGCCTAGGCTAGGTAGGTGAGTCCTTGCAGTATGTCTGTCTATTAGCGCTTAGTTCCAGGGCGCATAAATACTACTGCTTATTTACTTACTACTACACCTAGAATAATCGAAATAGCAGCCAGTTAGTCAAGACGTGCGTGGGTGGCTGCTCTCTTATCTTTCACACACACACACCACCACCACCAACAAACAAAACAACTAATCTATCTATCTATCTATCTATCCATCCATCATCATCATCATCCTCCTCCCTCCATTCATATGGCCCTCCCAAGGGAAAAAAAGAAGAAAACAAAGGTCCTACTGGGGTTCGAACCCAGGCCGTCCGGACACGAAACCAACCACCTCGGATGGTGGAAAGTGGAATTTTTTAGTCAAAACCGGAAGTCCTAACCACTAGACTATAGGACCAACTTGTGTGTTCGGAGGCGGTAGACTGACTTAGACTCGGTAAAACCAAACTCTAGTGTTACTGCAACGTCATCGTCCGGGAGGAAATCACCATCGGTTCTATCCCTGATAACAGGGATTTATCCCAGCTACCTTAACTATCGCCGAAAATCTTGCCAAGCAATCCGTCGCAGGATTCGAAATCCGAATTCCGATAAGGACTGAGCCAACTCAGCACTTTAAATAGCCGCTGGATCTACACCCTATCCCTTGCTTTCATCCTGTACTGCCTTTCATCGGAGACAGCCTGCCAATGCTGGCCATGACAAACCGTTCCTGCAAACTCAACAGCCTCGACTATGGATTCCCAGGCCCCTATGTCTGGGGGCGCTGAAGCCGATGCGGAATTGCGAGCCAGATCGTTCTCTGCTGACCGAATCAAAAATGCGGTGCAATCGCGCGCCCACGAGCAAACACCCCTACTTGCACCAGCAGATCCTACTAGATCAGACCGCGACGGTTCTATCTACCGGAGCAGTGCCGATGGCTTTCTCAGCCGATGGCGGCAACCAAGCGTGAGTACTAAATGGCGCTGCATCAGTCAAATGGGGTGTTTTGTTCTAAATTATGCTAGATCCTATGGTTGCTCCCGTTCCTTCTGCTATTTATGCTTGCATTCGGTGGCATAGTTGTTCCCAGGATCAACTTGACTCTTACCCTGGTCTGCAGAGACTATTTGAACAACAAGGCGGCTCAGGACCCTAATTTCACCTTTACGCCGGTGATATTTGGCGGTCAAGATCCCCAATGCCGGGTGCCGGAGGTTCAATCGCAAGTTGCTCGATTCCAACTGTATCTCAATTTGATTTCTGCCATCCTGTCAGCACTGGTTAGTCCTCATCTTGGCCACATCTCAGATCGTCATGGCCGAACGCGCATCATGGCTATTACGGCTCTGGGGATGATACTGGCCGAATCGGTTGTCGTCATCGTCGCAGCCAGCACGGAAACCATTCCTACTAACGTTTTGTTCCTATTTGCCTTGTTCGACGGACTCGGAGGCTCCTTCACCAGCATGAATGCCCTTACCTCCTCCTATGTGTCCGATTGCACGGTACCACAGAAGCGCAGCGTGGCATTCGGATATATTCACGGCTGTATCTTCATCGGCACTGCGACCGGGCCGCTTCTTGTGGCCTTCATCCTGAAAATGGCTGGAAGTATCTTTTTTGTATTTTGTTTCATGTTGGCCCTCCATGTGCTCTTTTTCTTGGCCGTGTTGTTCGTGATTCCCGAATCCCTCTCCGAGGAACGGCAGCAATCCGCCCGAGAAAAGCATCGGATGAAACTCGCCGACAGAGACGCCCTCGGTTGGCTTTCTCTCCAGCGGTGGAACCCAAAGAATATCTTCACTCCTCTACTGATCTTATTCCCGCCCGTTGGACGGCCTAGCTCGCTGTTTCCTAATCGGCGGGGCGCGAGTCCGGCTCTACGAAGAAACATCGTTCTCCTGGCCGGCCTTGACACCGTTGGGTTTGGCGTGACCCTGGGGGTCTCTCAAATTTTCATCATCTATGCCGGCTACATGTTCAACTGGGGGAATGTCGAGTCCAGCTTCTTCATCTTCGTCCTCAGCACCTGTCGGGTCATCACTCTGTTTGCCGTCTTCCCCGCCGTTAGTTGGCTCTTTCCCGGTAAACCTAGACCGGAGGGCACTATTTCGGGCTCCAGTCCACTTGAGATCAATTTAATCCGCATTTCGCTGTTTATAGACATGCTGGGATATTGCGGGTTCGCGTTGGCAAACAACGGCTCGTTCATGATCCTCTGCGGAGCCTTCACGGCCCTTGGAGGGATGGGCATCCCGACGTTGCAATCATCCATCACTCACCATGTGCCTCCGGATCGAATCGGGCAGATTCTGGGAGCCAAAGGCCTTCTACATGCGCTCTCTCGAGTCATCGCCCCGACGGTCTTCAGCCTCATATACAGTCTGACGGTGGGCAAGTATACGCCGGCGATCTTCGTTTGTCTAGTCGGTATTTGGGGCATCGCGTTATGCACTAGCTTTTACCTCAAACCCAACAGTATGTGTTCTCTCCATTCCTTTTATCCGGATGTCTGGCTTACATATCCTGTTCGAGCAGTTGGTCTCGAAACAGACGGTCGAGACTGTCATGGGGAGGCTAATGAAGAGGGTGCAGAAGAGGACGAGAGCCTCTTGCATTCATGACCAGATCGGGTCTTACGAGGAGCTTGAATTGAAATAATTTATAGAGGATCATGATTCCGCCTTCTAGTAGTTAGTGCAGCGCATTCATTAAGGTCTGGAGCGTAGTCACCCGGAACAGACCACGCCAAGTCCGGCGGCGCACAGCGACCAAGAGTGCCGGCCTGCAAACCTTCCCGCGGCCAAAAAAAACCCGTCCCGAATCCTCCCTCTTTGCAACGATCCGCTTCAATTGCTCCCGCTGGACGTGAGGACCGGTGCTCCTGAGGTCGACTTGGAAATCCTCATGTCCTTTCCTCGATCTCATGATCTATAGGACATTCTCCATATCATCCACCGGCGATGCAGACGTTTCACTACCATGATATCTAAATCAACAACAAGCGGCACCCCAGCCGTTCCCTCTCGAAATGCCCTGCGTGTCCTTCGCAGGTTGGCCCTCGCCGGGTCGACTGTCGGTAGTTTCTGCACCGTCGCAGCCATCACCTACGATGTCCATCGCAGAGTTCGAGTTGCCGAGCGAATTGTCGAGAATAAACGCGCCTTGCAAACCTCCGCACCCAACTACGATGCGACTTCCGCGGCGAATAGGCTTTCGCGGATGATGGAGGCAGCCGAAGCAGGGGAGTTCAACGGAATGGATACCTTCAAAGAGGAGGAGTATCGCAGATTTCAACGCATGGGTACTTCACATAACAATGAAATGGCGCCGGAAACGCTTGGTGACGGGCTGTCGGTAAAGATCGGGCCAAAACCCACGAAGGAGGAGACACAGGCAGAGTCTTTCTTGGGAACTGCACGTTCGTCCTTGATGAGTCCAACTAATCGGGGCCCGCCCCCCGGCTCTCGTGATGGAAGGGCGGACCCTATTCCCCGCGAACACTTGCGAGGAACGAGAAATATCAGCCAACCCCATGTTACGGCAGCAGGCGACATTGGTGTTGATAAGTCAAGGGAGGGCCATGGACTCCCCGAGAAGAACTCGGTTGCGGAACGAATGCAAGACCTTCTCGACCGCGGTCGGCCTATTGACGCAGCGCAGGTCTTTTTAGATGGACATTCTGCGTCACTGAAGGGCATATCATCGGACAGGCGGGAGCTCGCTGTGCAGGCATTCTACGTCAATTGCAAGGAAGGGAACGTGTTTGTTGCCAGGAGCATCTTTGAGCGTCTAGAAGAGGTGGATAAGATCTCTCCGAGCATGTGGAAAGTTTTGATGTTTGCGTTGGCGAAGAAAGGCAGCATCGAATCGACCGCTACTATCTACACCCGCTATATGCATAAATTTCAAGTCTCGCCGGATATGGTGGATGTTGTGCTCCGCTGCCTGCTGGAATCCCATCGACTTACAACCGCCAAGTGGTTTTTTCTGCGGAACATTCAGGTGGACCGAGATTGTGGCCTGTGTGGCGCCTATCTGACGGGGCTTTGGAAGAAGACGAGGAGTATTGAACTGCTCAACGGACAAATGAAGAAGATACTGTCAATGCTGCCGCGGCTGGGGAAGACTCCCAGCGACAAGCTTTTCAACCCGGTGGTCAAGGCATATATTGAATTCGGTAGAATTGGGGATGCCGAAGCTTTGGTGCGCGACATGACAACGACCTATGAACTTCCACTTCGCTGCCGCACCAAAGGCCTTTTGTTGTATGGCAAGGCTCTGGCATGCGACTGGGAGGGAGTGGAAGCGGGCCTCCAAGAGATGCATGATCTCAAGCTGACGTCGCGACGGCGAGATTTCATCCCTATCTTCGACCGTATCTTCCTCGAATACTGGGTTTCCCACCGAGGATCCGAAATTCGCGATTTTGTCTTCCGCTACATCGACAAATTCAATATCGTTCCCGATCGAGTGTTGTACAAGCACATCTTGGAGGCATTTGTGGAGAAGGGTGATAACAACATGATCGCCGAGTTTACCGCAATGGCTCGCGAGCGCTCCTGGAAGGTCCCTATCAAAGAACAAGAGTTCCTGGAGATACTGCGTCATCGCCGTCTGGCCCTCGAAGGGGCCCCGGTGGGCTTCTGGCAAATGCTCCAAGCAGCTCGCGTTAAATATGGAAATGCCGCTACGTCACAGCAGATCCTTGGTTATGACCAGCGTTCATTCCCCATTGCGGAAGTCAACAACATGCCTCACACCCAGGAACCCATGTCCTGGTATCAACGCACCCTACAGGCAGTGACCCCTTCGCGACCCGTGGATCAGTATCAAAAGCTCCACAAGCAAATGGCACACTACCTGCACGTTGGCAAGATGACCGAGGCTTTGAAGTGCTTCAACAATGCTAAGAATGCGAAATTCGAGATGAGACAGCTTCATGTTGAGTTAGCTGTGGTGGCTACGCTCCTTGAAGACGGACTTAGTGCCGCGCGCACGCTGATAGAGACAGAATGGCGCAATATTCGACACTTGGTCCGCTTCATGCCGCTCTTCTTCCGTCAGATCACGCAGCTTGAACCCTCCTCCGAAGGTGAGATTGTCAAGTTGGCTGTCCTTCGGTTTTACGAACTTTGCTGGTCCAACAAGAAGATGACCGTCAAGCATCATATCACCACGGCCACCAGCAAGCGCCTGATCGCCTGCGGCAAGCCCGACTGGGCCTTGGATCTACTAGCCACAGTGTATACCTCTCGCTACCGGCGCTCTACTCCCTTTGACGGGGTTTGCATGAAGATGTTTGCGCGCGCGTTCGCGGCAGTGGGTAATATTCCCGGCATCCGATGGTGCATTCTGACGGGACTTGCTCGTGGGTGTGCCGTCAATCGTGATTTTGTGGTTGAGGTCCGTCGGATCCTAGGTGTCCTGGAGCGCGATCTCAAATCCAACTCTTCCTCGGCAAGAGAGGCGTCCAAAAAGGAGGAACAGCTTGCATACCTAGGCCGCCTAGCTGACCTACTAGAAAAGAAAGCCGAGGGGGATCCTACGGTTTGGGAGGTGAAATCAATCCCGACGCTCAAACGGGCTTATCGTCGACGGTTGAAGCGACCGTTAGACCCGAGGAACCTATACAAAGAGAGTGACATCCGACAAACAATCGAATCCTGGGACGAGGAATACGAATTGGAGGCTGCGTTGGGTCGGATTGAATCCCATCCCAAGTCCGTGGCGGCACAACGCACTGAAGCGCAGTATTTAGGATTGACTCAGGAACAGAAGGATGAGTGAGAGAGGACGTCTTTTCTCCCTTTCAAATTTCATTCCATTCGATTTCTTTATCAGTTTATTCTTTTCCTTTTTTTGATTATACTTTGGGGTTCTGTACCATTAAATCTTGCACTCCGTTGTTTAATTAGTGTTGTATGTGTATATAGAGAGAGAGAGAGAGGGCGCGCGCTTGTCTGAATAGTGTATAGTTAGCGAAGACCATAACTTGAGCAAAGCCAATCGAGAAGAATCCGTTAATAACCCCAGACCCCCTGCGTCGGAGGGAATGCGCCATCCTACCCAGAATCAGTCCACGATCGTACGGTGTCTTCGCTGCCTTAGCGCCCAGGCGGAGGCGGAAGGCTTTCACATGTCACGCCACTGGCAAACTTCCACCAACTTTTTCCCTCCCTTTCCCTTGCTTCCTACTCTCTCCCCCTTTCTCTTTCCCTTCGCCTCATATCTCGCCCCGGTCAACCCACCTTTCTCTCCGCAATCAATCCGGGAGCGGAATATGCTCTGTCGCCCTCGACCCTCTACCGACCGCCGTTGACCTCCCTCGTTCCTCTCCTCCCCGCACAATGGCCACCTCCGCCGCTCTCCCCAACGGCCATGCCACAGCCTCCTCTATTGCGGCCGAAGAGCGCAGACGGCTTCACCACCATGGCGACGTTGTAATCGTAGGCGCAGGAGTTTTGGGGTGTGCCCTCGCTGTCACACTAGGAAGACAAGGACGGAGTGTCATCCTGCTGGAAGCGTCCATGAAAGAGCCCGATCGCATCGTGGGTGAACTGTTACAACCGGGCGGTGTCCAGGCCCTCGAACAGCTCGGTCTTCGGGACTGTCTGGAGGGCATTGATGCCATTCCGGCGGAGGGTTACTACGTTTCCTACCTCGGAGAGCCTGTGGTCATCCCCTACCCCAAACCCTCGCCGTCCTCGCCGGCACCGGAGGGTCGCTGCTTTCACCACGGACGCTTCGTGATGAAGCTGCGGGAGGCGGTTCTGGCTTGCCCCAATGTCACGGTCGTGGAGACTAAGGCCACCGACCTGGTCACCGACCCGCACACTAAGCAGGTTCTTGGTGTGGAGTGTATGACCAAGGAGACCCAGGATTGTTACTTTGGTCATCTCACGGTGGTCGCCGACGGCTACGCCTCCAAATTTCGGAAACAGTATCACAACCGCACCCCCAAGGTACGGTCCAGGTTCTGGGGCCTAGAGCTGATAGACACCAAACTACCTGTTCGCCACTACGGACATGTCCTGTTGAGTGAACATCCACCGATTCTGCTCTACCAGATCGGAACTCACGAGACTCGGATTCTCGTCGATATTCCGGAGAACCTCCCCTCTGCGTCGGTGAAAAACGGCGGCGTCAAGAATCACCTTCGCAACGTAACACTTCCTTCCCTCCCTGAATCTGTCCAGCCCGCTTTCCTCGCAGCCCTGGAGAAGGGTCAGCTGAGGTCCATGCCGAACTCCTACCTCCCAGCAGCGCAAAACCAGACTCCGGGGCTGGTCATACTAGGGGATGCGTTAAACATGCGTCATCCGTTGACTGGCGGAGGCATGACAGTCGCTTTCAGCGACGTGGTAATTCTGCGCGACCTGCTGAGTCCCGAAAAGGTCCCCAGTTTCGAAGACACTGACCGAGTCCTGCGTCAGTTGTCGTCTTTCCACTGGCAAAGGAAGAAGGGCTCGTCGGTCATCAATATCCTGGCGCAGGCTCTCTACTCCCTTTTCGCCGCCGACGGTGAGTGGTTTCCATTTGCTGCAGTTTCCCCGAACCCCCCATTTGCTGACAAGTTCCCCTCTCGCCACAGATGAACACCTCAGAGCTCTACAACGGGGCTGCTTCCGTTACTTCCAAATGGGAAGGGTTGCAGGCCCTGTTAGTCTTCTAGGCGGGATAATCAAGAAGCCTGTCGTCCTCTTCAACCATTTCTTCACCGTCGCGTTCCTTTCTCTCTGGATGCTCATCCAGGAAGCGCCTCTGTATAAACTTCCCATGGTGCTATGGCAATGTATCATGGTGTTCTGGACTGCTTGCGTTGTTATATTCCCATACATGTTGATCGAAGCGTTTTGCTAAACCTTCCATTGCTTACGACCTCTTCGGAGGAGAGATGTCTTACTTACCCTTCTTGTCTACTACCTTTTCAGGGGCACCCCCTATCCCGGTTACTCACTTTAATCTTCTCATATTGTAATAGTATTATTTGTCTCTTTTTCTCCTCCACGACCTCGCTCCTTTTCTATATCTGTACACTCCATTACTTTAGCATGTTTGCTTTTACAGAGAAGACGCTCCTCAAATTTCACCTCGAAAATTGCGCGGAATTCCCTCCTCGTGTTCTTTGTTATACCCTATTCAGAAGCCCTTGATAGAAGATAGAAATATGTTCCAAACCCAGCGGCAAAAGAAAAAAAAAAGTCCTCCTTCAGCATCTCAGAAACACTTCCCTCATTCAATCACGTCTCACACATCACAGTATCCAACAATACGATATACGATATATAATTAATTCCCTACTTACAGCCCGATACCAGACAGACCGACCCCATGGTTACAGAGAGAGAAACGAGAAAACAGAAAGGAACCTGGAAATCTCAAGTCAATATTTTTCATTTCAGGTTTTTATCTTTATTCTTTGTAAACACGCCCCTATGTAAATTCCCAATTCTACATCCGCAGAACCAGTCAATCTCGGCCGACCCGATTGACAAGACATGATATTTAACAGAGAAAAAAAAAAAGAAAAAAAAAAAAAAGAAAAGAAAAGTCAAAAAAAGGGTAGTACAAACGATGCAACAATGCAAGAGACGAAACAAAACATTAGAAAAAACACAATGCACAATGAACCCACTCGCCTGGCTCCCTGCTATGATGGTATATTGACAATGATAATGATGATGAGTATGAGTATGTTGGTGATACCGATGGGGATATAAACGTTGAAAGAAATCCATAGCCTGCGCAAAGTAAACAAAGGGGGTGGAAAAAAGGAGAATGCTCGGGTTGACGTTGAGAGTCCACACACACTATCACCCTGTGAAAAGTGTCTTCGTCTTTCTCTCTCTCTCTCTCTCTCTCTCTCTCTCTCTCTCTCTTTTTTCTTTTTCTTTCGATAGACCTGCTGGCTCCTGGCCACAACATTTGGTGCGGAAGACTTTTTTTGACCACCGTGGTCATGTAGTAAAAGCCAGTAGAATAAGAGGCGCGGGGACAAGCAAGGCGAGTAAGACAATCCCGTATGCAAGACAGAAACAGACACAAACCAGTGACGAAGTATGGTAACAATTTCAAAGGCGAGCAGGCAGTCTGACGAAAGACAGCCAAAGTCGAGACTCAACATATCAAAGGAAGAAAATATAAGGGCCGAGACACACATGCCATTCTCACAGATAACCGGTAACGTTCCTTCCAAACCTGCCAGAACCTTCAACTGCCAAGCTCCGTTATGGGGTCCTGTAAACGCCAATGTTGAACATGTAAAATAAGACCAAAAGATAGATGGGAAAAGAGGTTGGATAAGGGAGGGAAGAAAGCGAAATCATATACCTTCCATTCAAGAACAGGCAAAAGAAAACACAATAAAAGAACCTTTGTCGGACTCATGTCATTTTAAATCTCAAGAGGATGCCGCCTCGTTTATACAAAACCAAGTAGCCCAGAACGCCGTGTAGTAACTTGGTTTGAACCTGAGAGGAACAAAATAGAACATCTCAAAAGCCTGTTTTATAAACTGTACAATGTCATACAAGCCTCAGCATCGGGGCTTGGTGAATCCCAGCGGTGATGCTAGGAGGGGAAAATGGAGAAAAAAATGTTTGCGCAAAATATCGGAAACCCGGAAGCATCGTGTAATACGGTACGGCGTGCACCAGTCGTTCAGTATTCGTCGGAATATCATGGCCAACAATGGGACACGAAATAGAAGAAACACGTGAGATGCGATGGAGGATTATTATCATCCGCCCTTTCTCAAGGACTCGTCCGCAGGAAGCGGCTCCGCACCGGCGTGGGCACCTTGTCGGTGATGGTCCATGGAAGACTTGGCATTCTTGCGATGTTTCTTCTTGGTCGTCTGCCAACCGCCACCGGTATGCGTGGCATGGGAGTCTTGTGCTGTCGAAGTCGTGCCGTTTGACTTTCGCGATTGATGGTTATTCCGTTCTTTATTATCGCCGGGTCCAGCAGAGGTGTGGGAGGCATCCGAGCGACCCTTGGGCCGTGGTTTGTGGCCATGGCCGTGACCGTGACCGTGACCATTCGACTTCTCAGAGGAATCGACGCCATTGGGTCGGCGTTTCCCGGACGATGAGGGCGGATGCGACTCAGTCACCGATGATGGTCCAGGACCGGACGTGCCTTTGTCCCCGGCGCCAAAAGGTCTCTGACGCGAGTTGTCTTTGCCCGAGGGTTCGTGGTGGGAGTGGGCAGGTCTTGGCTTCTCCGGACCGGCCTTTGACGAAGTTGGGGGCTCGGAGGCATTCTCGCTGTTCGAGAGGTGCAGGTTCTGCAATCGACTTGACAGCAGGCTTGGCTTGCCGCCATGGCCGTTCACAAAGACGTCCGAGTGGCCGGGCTTATGAATGTCGATTCCTGATCGGCCCCCGTAGTACGGCGGCTGGTCGATATCCACTGAGCTGTTGTCTTGAAGATCTTGAGAGAACGAATCGGAGACGCTGGCGGGCGTATCCGTGTTGTGGTCATCGGAATTTGACGTACAATGGCTCATGGTGGCGTAAGGATCATAGCCCTCGACCGAGAGCGAAGTCCGATGCTCGCTCGGCGGCACCGACCCATCCACAATCAAGGGACCGCCGCGATCAGCGGAAGCAGCATGCCGTGAAGTAGTACGGGGTTGCGTTGAAATCGACTGAGAATTCTGTGCCGTGCCAGTCTCCGGTGACAGTCCGGTCCCCTCATGTTGGGCCATTGACGACAGGTATTCCTGAGGATTCGTGACGAACGGCACGACACCGCCATTCTGCAGCGCCAACCCGACCGGTGCTGACAAGGGTGACAGCATGGCGTTCTGATGGTACGCTTGCAATTGCGGAGAAGTGGCCAGATAGTATCCCATATACTCGGCCGGTCGGTTCTCCTCAAAGTACGCGGCACGGGATCCATTGGGCAGACTGCTCGGCATGAAAGGGTTGTCCTCCTCGCTTTGTGTGTCGTCGGGGGAGCCAGGGACGTTACGCGACTTGGAATGCTGGGAACCCTCTACATGTTGCGCAATGGAATAGATCGGGGCGTAAGTGGGAAGCGAGTTCACGGACCGTGCCGGCTGCGAGTGCGCGCGCAATGACCCGCCTGGGGAACCATTCGCAACGGACGACCGACGGGGGGTACGACGAAGATCCGGCATGGCAGCGGCAGCCGAGGGGGACGGAGGGTTTGTCGTACTTCCCGGGACACTGGTAACGGCTACCGGAAGGTACTGAGAACCGTAGTACATCTGCTGGCGCACGGGAGTGGTGTGGGCACTTTGGTTCGTCGTTCCTGATCTCGTGCGAGAGGTATCGTCACCCGTAGATTCTTGTTGCTGGGGCATCGGGAATTGCATGAAGGGCTGGCGAATCAGCACGGGAGGAGGCCTTCCAGTAAGAAGGGCCTGGTTTTGCAGCTGCAACCGCAGTTCTTGCTCTTGGGCCTGGAGGATCTGGATTTGTTGGTAGAGGTGGTCATGTAATAGGTATTGTGCCTGCTGGGCCTGAAGGGAGAGTTCGGACGCACTCATGCCGCTATTGGGCTGACGAAAATTATTCGACTTGTTCGGAGTATTGGACGAACGTCGACCACCGGCATGGCCGCCGCGATGGTACTGATTCGAGTGCCGTCCGCCACGGCCACCTCCACGGCCGCCCCGAGACGACGGTGGCGGAGGCGCGATGATGGGTCGCGGTTGCGGTTGGGGCCTCTCCCATGACCGCTCTTCCTCGGGGGGATATTCGTACTGTTCGCAGGCATGCTCCAGGTTTCCCTCCGACACGGCCTTGAACGCGCGACGAATTTCCAGATGAACGCCTCGGAAGGACGTATCATCGGCAGTGTTCCCCAGGTTCCGGGACGTGTTGAACGGCTCCTCGACGCAGAGGCGATTGTTCATAAGCAGGTGCCAGCCCTTGGCTTCCTTGGAAATCAATTTGGCCTCTCGGACGGAGATGACGTATTTTTCATAGTCGAGCTCGTGGCCATAGTATCGAAAAAATTGGAACAGCAGATCTCCCAAAGACTGCTTGTTCTTCCGTCCGTACCCGGTCAGATTCCGGAGATTGTCGTCGAACGAACACACGAAGCCTTCCGCTGATATCTTCTTCTCGTGAGGGCGAGCCTGCAGACTGGGCAGAACCGGGGGGTCTCGCGTTTGAAGGAAGTTGATGATCAAGCATATCCAGGTGTAGGAGCTGAGCGTGCCTCCGAGTCCTATCACGAGTGGTCAACATCCAAGGGAGAACAAGGCGAGTTCACATCCTCTGCGTAGGGTCATGAACCTACCAGCGTCGTTGAGGATCCTTCGTTTCGTCCAATGTTTTATAATCATCGCCAACGGTCGTATGCGCTCGTCAATTTCCATATACGTACGAATCATGCGCGTATTTTCCAGGGCCAGGGTGTTGTTCACGTTCATGTCACACGCCAGGCGCAACTCCGGGTCCCAGATTTTCACGATGGGAACTTTTGCATGTGAGACACAAACCACACGCTCCATGCCATCTGCGATATGGGAGGGGAAACCCCCGAGATGTCAGCGATTGGTCGGGATTGGGAAATTGGGAGTCCCTTACGTCGCGCAAGCACCTCTGCCAGCAGGCAGACGTGTTCCAACTCTTTATCTGTTGTCGTTATACAGATGTCCACTATCTCGCAATCAGTACCTCTGCCCGCCACCTACATGCGACGACCACCTACCATCCGAGTCACTCGAGCAGAGCTTATTCCCTGACGACCCAAAGACATTCACTTTGATGTCACGCCCTGGCCATTGATCATTGAAAAGTTTCTCTAACTTGCGAACAAGCTGACGTCGCCGATCGTCACTCTCCGCCGACGGCAATAACCGATCGTACACCTCCAGCATATCTGCACTCAGCTTCTCCTCCTCTTCCGGATCTAAGCGTTCCTTGAGTCCCTCCTTCTCTTCAGGCAGCAAGTCGGCGCCCAGCGAGTAGGGCATTCGACGTCGAAAAAAGGCCATGGCGGTTTCATATTTGCAACCCGAGAACGGTTTCCGCAGGGAGGGCGGGATGTGCGTCGTCTCCGAGTGCGTGGACCGAGGGGAGGTGCTCCCATGCTGCGGGGAAGGCGACCGGGAGTGAAAGGAGAGGTTTCGCGCATGCTGATACGGCGTCGAGGGGAGGGAGTTCGATTGTTGCGAAGTCAACGGCGGACGAGCGGTTGCCTCGGAGGACGTATCGGTGGACAGGTTCCACGGCATCTTCGAGGCCTTTTCCGACGTTATCGGTGACTTTTCACCTGGAACGGAGGACAATTTAGCATTCCCATGGGGTTCGGAGAGCATATAGCGAATTCAACGTTGTTCGCCAACGTTGGCCTCCACGACGGGAAATAGGATGAAGAAAAAATTGCCGTTCCGGTTTGATAATATAAACGAGGGCTCTGGTGTGCAGAATCCACCCAGAAACTCGGCTCTCCCAGCTGCCCTTTTTTTCCTAACCCTGATTTGTTCGTTTCTTTAGTTTTCCTTTTTTTTTTTTTCTGTTTCCTTTCGAGTTCCTCAATGACCGTGCAAGACACAGTATCCTGAGAGCCAATGTATAAACCACAGAATGACGCAGCCAACGAGTTTTACCCGGCTAGGACGAGAGTGCGATAGAGGAGGCGAAAAGCCGCGAGAGGAGGGGGCAACCAGGGGACGCAACGCAGAATCGGCCGGCGAATGGGTCAGCAAAATTGAGTCTCCGCTCCACCTCAAGGGAACAAAAAAAAAGAAATAGATAAAAACCGTCTTTCGGTTTGAACGACCGTCCTCAAAAATTGAAAGGGGAAAAATAAAAACAAGAAAAAAAAATTCCGGTCCAACAGGAGGAGAGAAATCAACGAAGTGTTTGTGGTGATTCTGGAATGTCGGGGGGGACTTGTCGATCGTTAAGCCGATTAGAAGCGGTTTTAAGGGGAGAGAGCGATAGACTCTAGCCGGGAAGGGCACACTTCCACGACCACACAAGTTTTGATGGAACCCAAGAGCACAATGGGAAGGACCAGCCAGAGTAGAGACGGAGTGAGGACAGAGGAGGTTGACGGAGGGAGAAGTAGAGCAGAGAAGCGCAGTGAATCACAAACAATGGGAGAGGGAAAGGGTGTGGCAGCCTGAGCCAGGGGGCCATCCATTCGGGGGCGTGGGCGGTAAGTGAAAGTCACTCACTGCTTGGTGAGAGAGAGTGCTGTGTTTGGCCCCGTCTTCTGATTCTGATGATTTTTGATTACTTAGGATGATTCCAGGTCTCAACGTGAGGTAATGAAAGGATGACAGGATTGACTGTACACAGTACTTCCGTAGTTTGTTCGCGTCTCCTACACCGAGTACTGATTTGACTACGGAGGACTCGAGAGAGCCATACTGATAGCCAATTGGGGGTTACGATCAGAGACTGAGACCTAATCGGAGGCAGAAAGTAAACGGGGTCTAATTATACTCAGGGGAAATTAATGACAGGTATTATTGTTCGCCTAAACGCCGCCTGTCACCCATCGGAGGCAGCGAATCTGATGCATCTGGAATGCAATATGAAGCACCGGCTGCTGCACGCAATTCAAGCTCCAAACAGGAACCCGCCAGAGTTGATAGAGTTCCCATGTCAATAATCGCTTGACTATTGAGGAAGAGTCACGATGGATCTGCGTGGTCGGGGCTTATCTTCCGTCGAGAAGAAGGTATACTTCCAGTCTTCCACTCTTCCACCCTTCCACTCTTCCTGTTCTTTGTGCCGGCCGAGGTCAGTCTCAACCAGACCCGATGCAACTGCCAAGCCCAGCCGTTCATTGTTCTCTCTCCTGAACAGTCTGAACTAGATTATAGATTATAAAGTCCCCTTTCGCTGCCCCGCGTTTTGCAGTCGAGGGCGCGTCTCGGCCCCCTCGCCCGCCCTGGCCGGGGCACGTGCCCGCCAGTGAGACGGCGATCCTCTTCTTCACTTCTCGCGCTTTCCGCCAGTGTCTACGATGGCATCTACAGATTGCCTTTTCCCCATGCCTAACGAGCATGGCTAGACGAATTCTCCCGAACCCCCACTCGACACGCTTTTCTCTTTGATGCTATTCCCTGTAAACTAAACTCAGTTGATCTCCTCAGACCTGTCACTCTTCATTGAACCATGGCATCGCGTAAGCTCTAGCCAAATCCGGGGAAGCAACAACGGTTGCAAGAGCGGTTCCCAATAAACAATCGACTGGGGGAATCAAGCCACGGGCGTGGACGGTTCCCTATTCTCCATTCCCTCTAGATCTCTTTCACAATTCAAAACGTCCCGTCAGTCTGCATGTCTGGTGCATGTCCGATGGATGTGCTGCATCTGCCGTGGTTGGGTACGCCCACTGCATCGATTGTATCACGTCTAAAGCACTTGGGCTGGGCGGCGCTGCTCCAGCGAACCAATGTCAATCCGGTTTCCGAGGAACAGACTGGTACTGTGTAAATCGGTAACTACGAGAAACTCACTCGGACGGGGTGTACACTGTACACATACATACAGAATATGCACCCGACAGCGACTGCCTAGATCCAGACCGTCTGCCTGATGACTTGCTGAAAGCCACCAGCAGCACAATGACGACGGCGAGAAACACCTTGTGATGTGAAAGGTCCGAGTGCCATCCCCGTCATCTCGACGATTCTCTCCACTGGGCAGCCATGCCCCACCTCCTTGGTGAACGGCGCTTGCAGGTAACGCCGGATCATTAGTTGATCCCGGCGAACGATGTGTGATCAGTTCATATCCTTAGGGAAAATGATGAAGTAGATGCACTGTACATCTCGCAGTAGCACACTAGGATTGTCAGTCGGTGGTGTGTGCGCCTGCGTGGCCAAGGCGCCATCGGGAGGGTGGGGGAAAACCTGTTTAGCGGTGCAATTTCCAATGCGAAAGTCAGCACGCTTATTAGAAATACTAGAAAGGGAAGAGGTATCCCTAAGGTACTGGAAGGGCCGACGTAGGAAGGACCCTGCTGGAGACCGACTCCTGCGTGTACGGTGTACGGAGTAACTGTATAGTACTCCGCAGGTCATGAATATGCCTCATATTGGATAGGAGGGCAACCAAGAACAATGGCCGGACAGTCCAAGCACAGTTCAGCTTACCGGCGTCTCTACAGCACCTTTAATACAATTGAGATGGTCAATCAGTCAGATCAAGATACACAACCATCGCCATCGCCGTCGGTTTATCAGTTGTTATTATCATTATTAACTGGTTTTACTCCGTAAAAGTATTGAGGATTCTTCCTTTTCGGGTGTCTGCGACCCGCCGGGAGACGACGGCGGCATGACGCTAAGCCCGAAGGAGCGAGGGCGGATGGAGTCCCCACGAGGGACCCGCGTACCGTACGATTACCCTCGCTGTTAGATTACCCGCGTCTCCGTGGCCCAGAGGGGTGTCATTTTGGTATGGATTCTTACCCGCAGCAGGAGCGAAGGAAACCCGGACCGATGCCGGGATTGAAATGAAAAATATAAATAAACAGTACGGAGTAAACAACTAAACACACTGCTCAGGGTGGATGCGCCGCGCTAGGAAATCTACGGTGTAGGAAACATTCATTAATCACGATCATAATCTCATTAGGAGTACTCCAGTTCAAGGACTCCTAGAGAAGTACGGAATACACCGTAGTCAGCCAGAAGCAGTAACTAGTCATACTCCCCTTTTCTCCTCGGTGCGCAGGACGTACCACGGTCTATCTGGGGACACTGCGGCATAAGAATTAAGAACCGGGACACACGGAGCAAGTCCATACTTGGAGTGGGACCCCTGACCATACTGTACAAGGAATACTTGATTAGTGGTACTCCGTAGTTGGAGTACACCGTGTATGCTCCTTTGGATGATATTTCCATCTCCCCTCCCTACAAGGTGGCTAGTGAGATACTCCGTACTTTGGCACTCCGGAAGTGGGACGTTCTTCGCTAGGAGTTGATTAGATGGGATGAGAAATATCGATATTCAATTCGAAATTACCGGGAGGTGAGAGGCCCCATGAGATAAAATTATTGAAAGTAATAAAAAAAGGAGATTGGAGAATGATTATTATTATTATTCATCCAGAGGGTTAAAAAAAAAAAAAAAAAAAAACGGGCCGGAAGGAAGCGAAAGTTGAGCAGCGACAAGGCCACCGCCAACCAGAAGAGGCAGACCTTTTTTTTTTTTTCTTTTTTTTTCTCCTCTCTTTAATTTTGCCTTTGGGTGTACAGGTACATTGTGTGTTCTGATTGATTTTAAATCTCATTCAAAATCATTAGATTCAATCTTTTCATCTGTACTCGACACTGTCTGTCTGTAGATTCCTGTGAACCTGTTCATTGACCTGGTAGTTAGCAGATTCCGTAGCCCCAAGACTTTTTTTTTTTTATCTTCCTGACCGGCCGAAGTACTCCATTTCTTACCTTAACGGGACCCAGTGCAGTGCTATAGACACTCACTTTCTTTTTCGTCTTCTACTTTCTTATCCCCGGTCAAAAAAAAAATAATAATCCACGCTTCTTCTCGCTTCTCTCTTCTCGCCCCCCCTCCTCTGCCTCCTCCCTCTCCCTCTTCCCTTCTCCCCTCACACCCCCCCGGTCCGTTCAGTCCAGTCCAGTTCGGTCTCTCGACGGTTGCACCTCTGCTACCCGACCCTTTTACCCTCCCTCTTCCCTCGCCCTCTCTCTTCTTCCCTTTCCCACCCCTCCTCTTCCTCTCTCTCCCCCTGTTGCTTCTATCCTTCCCTCATCCCGCCTTCTCCGTCCCCATTTAATTTTCACACGCCAGACCCAGTCTGTCGTGCCTCGAGGGTGAGAAGTTGCTATTCTTTCCTCTGATATCTGCCTCGTTCGCTCGTGGTAGAGCCGCCAGGATTTTTTGTTGGGAAGGCAATCACTCCTTTTCTTGTAAGTTACCTCCATTACCGAACAACGCATTGCTTTCTTTCTGCGCCCTCGACCCACATTCGAAGGAGAGAAAAAAAAAATAAAACAAGAATAAAACATGATAAAAAAAATAAGGACGGTTGTCAAGTCGCCTTGTCCGTTCCCTTAGTCTTGTTTTCTCTTTTTGTTTTGAGATCATAATCCCAATTCGATTTTCTGCTGGAACGAACCCCCCCGTGCCCGCAAACCTTCGGACGAGAGAGACAGGTCTCTCAAGTTGCCCTACCAGTTGAAGTGTCAATTCGGACAAGTCGGGGTTCACCGGTTGATGTCGCTAGTCGACGTCGGTATTCTGCTGCTCACTTGGACACCTAACCAACTGGGATCTTCCGCCTTTGTCCGTCGAATTTGGCATTGACTTTCTTTTGGCTGTGCTATACATCTTTGATTTCTTAACCTTCTTGGAATTAGCAACTTACGCTTTCTCTTTCTGGACACCAACAGGTCTCCCCTAATACCTTGCGATCGGAACCAAGTTCGTCGGCGTCTCCTTCGGTCCGCCCGGTCACTTTTCTCAGTCGGTGAAAATGTCTTACTACGAGCCCCAGGGCTGGCAAGCGCCTGCTGCGCGCCAGGTGTCGTGGGAACAGCCTGCTCCCCCGTCGCGATCCGGTACGATTACAATATAAACTTTCGATTTGCTGGTCAATTGGTGCAGTCGAGCTGATGTTATCTCTGTAGGATCTAGCTCCGTCTCTCAGCGCGACGAGATCCCGGCCTTTTCCTCCCAGTTCGACGGTATGGATATCTTGACTGCCCCATTCCGCGTTCCTCATTCGTCTATGGATCTTGCCGATTTCTTCACTCGCCGGACATGGAAAATATATGATCATCATATCTGTGAAGCGGGGATTTGAAGCGGCCTGTGTTCTCGATGATGGATATAGCCTGGCGCCGTCGATGGGCTAGCCGGTACTGAGCAATTGCTGACGTTCTGCTATAGAGGTTGATCGTGCAATCGATAATCTTGTCAAGAGTGGAAAGCTGTGGACCACTCCGCGAAGGGATTCGATGCCTATGATGATGGGTCGCCCCTACCCCGACTATGGTATGAAACATCCCGGGTCCTTTGCTTCGACCGGGCCGAACTCTAACAAGGCCCTCTTTAGCCGATCCTCGCGCTATGGGCGGTAACCAACGTCACCATTCGATTAGCGACTTCGACGGGTCTCGTATGCACCCGAACCCGAACGTGCAGGGCTTCTATGCCTCCCAGCGTTTTCAGGGACGCCCGAATGAAGTAGAACAGATGATGCAAGCAAAGCGTCGGATGGCAGCGCAGCGTGAGAGGGAGCTCCGCAACTATCACCAGGAGCAACAGTACAACCGAAGTACGTGGTAGCATTTGTCTCCGGATATTCTTTTTTTTTTTTTTTTTTCTTTTCTGTTTTTGCAATCTTTCTTGCCAAGATTCCCCGTGATCTTTTTTGCCCACCTGTATCTGTTGCATTGTATAATACATTGGGACAACGTTCCATTTTTTTTTGCCCTCTCATTTTTTCCTTCCCTTTCTTTTGTTGTCTGTTCTTTCATTGAACAAGGTTTTTAATATTTTTCATTTCTGAAAGGCCTCCTTGCCGAGATGTCTGGAAACAAATCCGACCGTTCGCTCAGCCCTGCCGCCATGAGTGAGGAAAGCCGTCGCGATCTCCTAGCCCGTCAGCACAGGGCTTTGTACGGCAACGAAAGCCCGGCGTTTTTCCCTCCCGGCACCCTGGATGATCACTCGCGACCAGAGAGCCAGGCCGGGGGCACTCCTTCCTCTGCGACTGGCGTCCGCGGCCCATCTCCCCGCGGCGTTGATCCCTTTGGTCTCGCCCAAACCCCGGTCCAAGGTAGCAGCGACGGGGCTGTCCAGGCTGCTGCCACCGCCTCGACTCTTCAGTCTCCGACCCGCGCCAACAGCGCCTCCTCGCCCAGCTCCGGCATCAACCCCGTATTCGGTGCCGACCAGCCAGTGACCTCCACCTCCTCTCCCGGCGGAGCTGACTCCCCGTCCTCCCGGTCTGCCCCGTCCAAGTCCGCTGCCGGATTCATTGGCTCTGTGGGACCTATTGGCTCTCGTCCCATCCAACAAGCAGGCCCCGTGCAGATGCCCAACCCGGCTCTGAACAAGCGCTCCACCACCCCTCTGCCATCTCCTTTGGGATTCGGCTTCACCTCCGGTGAAGGAGTGACTCCTGGAGCAAGCAACGAGCGCTCGGCTTCGACGGCTTCCAACCCTCCCAGCACCGCTTCCTCGCTGAACCCCGGCGTCAAGGACTCCACCGGTGGAGTTGGCCTTGGGTGGGGCAACGGAAGTGGTGTCTGGGGCTCCAAGAATGGACTGGGTGTGCAGGCTTCTGTCTGGGGTTAAAAAAACAAGACACTTATAACCTTTGATTGCTTCGATTAACACTTGGTACATTCAACGCGCGTTCGCTTCTACACTGGCGTTTCAGAGAGAAGGTTTTCCATTTTTTTTTTCTTTTCAAATATTGGGAAAGAGCATGGTACATATATGGGAAAGTGGTGCAAGATTATGCTCTGTTTAGCGCTTCGTCATATGTTGACAGTTAATTAGTACATGGTTGGTTTACTGACTGGGGAACTTGGTTGGCCTGTTGGTTTCTGGAGTCGGTATTTCCCTCTTTCATTTGGTTTTGATTTTGTGGCTCATCTGCGTTTGCATTCTGTGCCTGTGGTGTTTTTGATTTTTGGTGTTGGGTTACTCCCCCTGCGTTGTGTCTACACACTTTCTGGGGGCTTTGCACTGCCTGTCATTTTTGGTTGATTTTGGGGGAAGGGGTTGTATTTACATGCTTGTCGGTGTATGTCTCGGGCTCTTGTTTTCACCTTGTCCAGGGAGAGTTTCAGGTGTTTTTCTGTGTTTGTTCGGGTCCGGTTGTGATTTTGGCTGAAGGCATGCGGTTTCTGGTTCAGCAACGGTTCGGGGCACCAAAAGGTTGACGTATTGTTTTTTTTTTTTCTCATGTTCTTCTGTCTTGGTTGATTCTCTTTCCTTTCCTTTTCTTTTCTTTTCATCCGGGGACATTTGGCAACGGAACACCAGGAGCAAGAAGGTAAACATAAAAGAGTTCTTGGAGTCTGATTTGCACTGAATTTCCGGCACATCAGGTTTGGATATGGTTTTGGATTTGGATTGGTCTTGAATCTTCTTGTCTATGATCATTTCTTCGCTTCTGTTATTACATATGCTTTTTCTTTTCTTCTTTTTGCCATTTTCCTAAATTCATTGACTTCCTTTTGTCCTATACTGCGTGTGTATACTGTATAGTCTCATTGAATCACGGCTTTTTTCCTGGCACTCTAGGTATCCTGACTGTCTCCTGTAATTTGAGTAATTCAAGTGACATGGCGCATGTATACCACACTGATTTACACCAGGGTTTACAATCAGAATTGGTGATTACTAGATAGACCAGGTAGATTATATATCATAATTTTTCGAAAGAGAAACAACCTAGAATATATGTGTAAAACTAGTATTAAACATCATTATCAAAACATCAAAACTTTTCCAAGAATTATGCAGGTAACAAGAACATCATCTTTACCATCTTCCACATGCCGTCCGTGTATGTATGTATGTATATATATGATATCATATCCGTCCACGCAATCAATCAATCAATCATTAGTCAATGTGAAGATCAACAAGAATTATAGCAAGAAACAAAAACTGAACAACAGGCAAAATGCCTCCAAAAAAAAAAAAGAGCTCCTCAACGCCATAACGCTAAACGACACTGGTATTGGTTCGTCGAGGGTCGTTATCTACCGCAGCCGCGGGATCGTCATGAGCGGTGGAATTAGGATGATGAGAAGAGGCGACGGTGTTGTCGATCTTCTTCTTCGCGGTGGCGAAGCCGGAGACGCCGCGTTCCTGGTTCCGACCGAGCCAGGGCTTTCGCGCCTCGCCGAGCACCCTGCGGCCCAGGAAGTAGATGAGCTGGCCGAGGATGATGAGCACGAAGGCGATGGGGTACAGGTAGTGGATGTTGTAGTGGAAGACCTTAACGCCGATGATGACACCCCAGAAGTTCATGGTCAACATGGAGATGTTGAAGAAAGCAGCCGACGACAGACGGAACAGGAGCGGCGCCATGCAGTAAAAGAGAGTGAGACACAGCGTGTATCCGGTCAGGTACCCGCCGACCTTGCCGTTCCAGACGGCGATTTTGAAAGAGTGCCGGTCAAAAATACCAGCCTGGGCACCGTTGATGATCATGCCCCAGAAGGCCATCTGGCCCAGGACTTCGTACACGGGCTGCATGCTGACAAAGTATTCCTCACCGGTGTTGGCGAGACCGTAGAAGGTGGCACCCAGCAGGGCAAAGAGGTCGCCTTTGATCTGGTCGCCGCGCGAGATGTCCCCGCCGTTGGTGCCGGTGAGGTGGTCGGAACCGATCAGAACGCCCATGCCGCCGATACAGATCAGAATACCAAGGACCTGTGTGATGTGATACCGGACGCGCAGAAAGAGGAAGGAAATGACAACGACGACGGCGATGGCCCAGAAGTTGATCAGCTGGGCGCTCAGCATGGTTGTATAACGGTAAGCCAGCACGATGAAGTAGTTGCCCTCCACGTCGCAGAAAGCCAATATAATATCTAGTTGGGGTATCACCGGTCAGCGATTACGTTCATAAAAGCGGAAACGACAGCCACCGAAGGATCAGGGAGCACTCACATTTCCAGCCGTTGCGCAACACCATTTTGCCCCAACCCTTGAAGCCGTACCGGTACATCGTATACGGCGTGAAGATAATGTTCAGCAACACATAGTTGAAGAAGGTCTGGAAAGCCGGGATCGAAGTTCCCTCGTCCGAGAGAAGGGTGCTGAAGGTACTGGTGGCCGTGTTCGTGATCGCAAGCACCTGACTGCCGACAAAATTCGAGTTAGCGAGTGCCCGGGGGCTGCAACGGACAACCCCATCCGCACGAGACCACTTACCCAAGAACCAGGATGATGTAAAATTCCTTAGTCCTGAGAAAGGCAAAGCGACCATTTTTCTGCTGATCGAGTTGATCGGCGGGCACCTCAGAACCGGAGTCCGTATCTTGGTTGTTCGCATTGACGGTCACGGAGGTATACTGCTTGGCAGACTCAGACGACGGCCCTTCGTCGTTGGGGCTGACGGCCGTTTGCACGGCAACCTGATCTTTGGTATCTGACATGACGGCGGTCCTGGAATTCGCGAGGTCTTCGAGGGAATCGAGCACGACGACAGCTGGAAGCGGGGAAGCGATCTGCGGTGTAGATAATGATATAACTCTATACCTCTATAGATCGAGGGAAACGGAACCGGGAGTTTTATGACCTAAACGAGCGCAAAACTCCCTGAAGTCGCTCGCCTGAGGTCTGAGAAGAGATGAACTCTGAGGAGAAGAGGGAGAGAGAGAAAGCGATGCGATAAGAAAGTCGAACCAAGAAAAAAAAAGCCAGAAACGAGTCCAAGGCGGGCGGAGAGCGAGACCTTTCCTGTTTGAGCTTTTTTCGCCTCGTGGGGCCATCGTGCCAATCACATGACCTGAACGTTGTTATATAATCCCGTCAGGATCGGAAGCGCCCGCCAGAGCTGTCTAGCTCAGCCAATCAGAGATGACAGTTTGTTGCACTCGGACCCACCTCCCGATCCAGCGATAACGATAACCGCCCAGGTGTCTAGACTCTCGACACCTTACAGTCCTCCAGTGCTGGTGCTGACATGCTTCTAGTTTATCTAGAAGGTACCTACCTACACATACAATATGCACAACCCATGATCCCTCAATGTCCACGGCTACCTTTTCAACAGAGAATCGAGCTGTCTTGGCAGCACGTCGGTTGAGATATCAACTGTGTCGAACTGCAGAGTAGGCAGTAGTAGGTAGTCTCTACTCTGTGCTCCGTACATCCAAACAGGTATACCTACTCGTTTACTCCCTACCGGACTGTCGACAACGACAGCATCACCTGACCCGGGCCCTCGCTGCCCCAGGCTCCGAGTCATGATGCCGATGATATCATCGCCTGCAATCTGATCTTTCTGGAACAACGTTGGACGACCGATTTCTGGCTGACGCTGCATCAGCTGTTCAAGTTCCAGGATGGCACATTGTAGGCGTAGGGGTTTACCTGCCGTCTGGAATAAAAGGTACGTTCTACTCTTGCTGTGTATGTATAGTTCACCGATGGATGTTCCGGTGGCATAGATACACCCACATATATTTATATACCGGCTGGTACAAGACAAGAGCGACTTGCGCTAGTATCTGTGACGTGTTGAACTCAACCAGAGTCGTCATGGATCTAAACTGACCGAATGGATGCCCAACGTCCGTGCCAGGCACCCCGAGGCCTTGGAGTGTTCAAACTTCAGACAATGGGGAAGAAACAAGGGACCAAGCTTCCCGAAGTCCATCCGCCGTTCCATGGATTAGGTTGGGGAACTCTAAGTGTTCGGCTATTCTTAGGCCTGCAGGATTCCTGCTCAGGTGCACTCGGTAAGGTGGAAGCTTCCATTCCATGCGTCGGGACTTCTCAGAATAATCATAACAATAGTTAGTACGGAGTACTAGAGACCCTTTCCCTGCCGGTGCACGTCATTCCACGGTCGGAACCGATTACCTCGACCATTCTCAGTAAAGGAATGCTCTTCTAATATAACTACGATTACTCCGTACAATTCCAGTAATAACAATGAGAATGATAATGACCCCGCGCCAAACTGGTCCAAGTGTTTGTGAGACTTAGTTTATTTACGCTTCCTTTTCCCTTCCTTTCCTCGGCCGGTCGCGTGTGCCTCGAACTGCCTTTGCATTGCGCGCAGAACATTCGAAGAAAGAAAGAAAGTAACGAAAAATAGAAGAAAATAAGGAAAAAATCCCCTTAGCGCCGACCGCTGCCGAGGCCGTCAGGTGGCCCGACCCCCCCAAAGTCAGGATCATCTATCGTTCATTATTATTCATTATTCTCCATCCCATTCCATCATCGCCGGCTTTCCCTCTTCTCCCTCTTCTTCCCTCTTCTCTTCTCAACCCGCCATTCCCGCCTCCACCCTACAACGAACTCCTCGCCTCCCTCCGTCCTGCCGATTTCCCTCCCTCCCTCCGTCCCGGACAAGGCCGTGGCCACCCTTGATCTTTCCCGACGTCTTGGGGCTCTCCGCGCGCCGGTTCACTCGTTCCTGAGTTGTCCCGGAGTGACGAGACGCCACCTCTCCTGACTGCCGGATCATGGCGTTGGAGGTGCAACCGCCTAGCGACCGCAAGCGGGTGAAAGTCTACGAACTGAAGGATAATGACTGGTTCGATCGCGGTACTGGTTTCTGTACGGGTCAGATCCTCGATGTGAGTCTCGCCGCGCAAGCTGTCTTCCGCCGCGACTCTGCTCGGGCGCAAACCTCGACGGACCCGCGGATGCGCTTATTTGTCTTCGTTCTGGCGTCGCTAACGCCCCAATTCCCTCCCACAGGATGAACCGCGAATTTTCGTCGAATCTGAAGATGAACCCGATCGGGTGCTGCTGGAGACGAAGATCTCCAAGGATGATGGGTACCAAAAACAACAAGGTGCCACCGCCCGCCCAGGTCGCATCGCATATTCAGGAGACAGGAATTGCTAACGCATGTGCGACCCCTCGCTAGAAACGTTGATCGTCTGGACTGAGCCCAATGGAACGGACATGGCATTGAGCTTTCAGGAAGCGGAGGGATGCGCAGTTATCTGGTGAGCTCGAATCTCTGCGATCGCACTCGGTCCCTTTTTCCGTCGATCATTTCTTCTTCTCGGGAATCATCAAACGTTCGTACTGACGCCGATGCGAAGGAATTTCGTCAGTACTGTGCAGCAACATCTGCTGAATCTGGCGACGGCAGGTGAGCACACCCTTTCCCGCTATCCCCTGCTCTCGTGTTTCGGTACTGATCGGGTTGCCTTTGTTTCTCCCCAGATGATGCGTTGTCGGACGACCTCGAAAGCTTCCAGTCAATCATGCTCCCTCCGCCCGAACTTGGGAACCTGCCCGAAATTGATCATATCATGCGAGCCGCGAGTATCACCCAGGCCGGTCGAGACGCTTTGTCGAAATTTGTCATTCGAGACGAGTATATACCGAAACTTATCCCGCTAGTCACCATGGCAGAGGATCTTGAAAGCCTGGTCGATCTACACCGACTTTGCAACATTATGAAATCCCTGATCTTGCTCAACGATAACACCATTATCGAGACAGTCGTCACCGATCCGATCATCCTCGGAGTTGTCGGAGCTTTGGAATGTGCGTGGCCTCGTGTATACTTTCTAGAAAACGGGGGTGCTGACGGATTCTAGATGATCCTGAATTTCCTACACATAAAGCGAACCATCGCCAATACCTCGCGGACCAGTCGCGCTATAAAGAAGTGGTTCCCATCAAGGATGCCCTTATTCGACGCAAAATCCGCTACACATGGCGCCTACAATACCTGAAGGACGTTGTTTTGGCTAGGATCTTGGATGATCCCACATTTTCGGTGCTGAACTCTTTGATTTTCTACAACCAGGTTGAGATCGTAAACCATATTCAATCGAACGCCGCCTTCCTTAAGGACCTTTTCCTGGTTTTTGACCCGAGGAACGCGGATGCGAAACGCAAGGAGGATGCAGTGCAGTTCCTCCACCAGTGTGCTGCGATTGCGAAGAATCTGCAGGCCCCGGCGCGCGCCAATCTGTTTGCGAATTTCATCAGCCACGGACTGTTCGCCGTGATCGCTTTCGCCATCAAACACCCGAACCCCGCCTTGCGCACGACCGGTATCGATATTCTAGTCGCCCTACTGGACCACGATCCGATAATGATGCGGAGCTATATGCTCAAGGCCGTGAACGAAAAGAAGACGCCGCTTACCGACACGCTCATCGATTTGCTCCACACCGAGTCCGACCTGGGTGTTAAGAATCAACTAGCCGATGCGGTCAAAGTCTTGCTGGATCCCCAAATCCCGTTGCCGGACACGATGGGTCGGGCTGGACCCGAGCACTATTCGAAATTGCGTCCGAACATTCTCTCCGATGCCTTTGTCCAGAATCACTTCGACGAATCCGCCAGAAGGCTGTTCCAGCCGCTAAAGCGGTTGGAAAACCGGGCCAGCCGTAAGTCCTCGTGCCCAGCATGCTATGGTCTCCAACTAACCTGTTTTGCAAGTGAACGACCTCACGTTCCAAGAGGTTGCTCTCCATTCGCATCTCGTGGACATTCTTACCTTTTTCGTTCGCCAGCATCTATATAGGAGTCGGAATGTCATCCACAACGAGGCGCTTGCCCCTCGGATCGCCCAGCTCCTCAAAGTTCCTCAAAAACACCTCAAACTCAGTGAGTACTACCGTTGCGTGCTTGGTCAACCTGGCTAACCCTGGCTTTAGCTGCCTTGAAATTCTTCCGCACCCTGATTAGCCTCCAGGACACCTTCTACCAAGCTCTAATGACGCATAATAACACTTTTGGGTTGATTCTTGATATCGTCTATGAAACGATGCCGCGCGACAACCTTCTCAATTCAGCCTGCCTTGAACTTTTTGAGTTTATTAAACGGGAAAATATCAAATCGATTGTCCTGCATATCGTTGAAAAGTACGGCGAGAAGCTAAAAACCATCACTTACGTCGACACATTCCGCGATCTGGTCATCCGCTATGAACAGATGCAGGGCTATGGGACAGCGGTAGACTCCACTCTCTTCTCGCAAGATGACGGAACCTCCGCTCGGAGAATGCAAGCCAACGGCCAGCGATGGCAAGGGGTTAAGGAGATGGATGCGGCTGAAGAGGAATATTTCAACACATCTGATGATGAGGAAGAGGTGAATAGCCCAGTCATGCACAATGAACCCGCTCCGTATGCTGATAATGGTTTTCAGTGGCAACAACAAGGTCCTGCAACGGTCCAAGCGACGGCTATTCAGGCGCAGAATGGTGGCATTTCCCCAGTTGTTAAACCATTGGTCGACTACCCGGACGATGACGAGGATGACGATGCCATGGATACCAAATCGGAGTCGGGCCCTGAACAACAGCAGTTGCACGATGAAGATCCTCCCCAGCAGGGATCTGGTGCAAACTCTGACGAGGAGCCTCCGTCTACACCGGTTTCCCTGACGATACAAACACCACCGGAGCGACTATCGGAAAAGCGCCGACGCGAGGAAGAGGACGACGACGAGCTTATCAAACTCACCTCTGGACCCAAACGGAGAAGTTCTACCAGCAGCGGGCCCGGAAGTGCCGGGCTCTTGCGGAAGAAGCGGAGCACATCCATCGGATCGATGTCACCTAGCGATAAAGCAAATGCCCAGGGTGGCTTAGGAAGTCTGGCTGGCGGCACAGCGCCTAAAAAGATCGCCATCAACCTGGGCTCCTCAACGAACAAGTCGTCGCAACCGGCTGCTGATCTTTCGGCTCCGACGGCAAACGAGAGCAGCGAAAAGGAGAATCGCAGCGACGACCATGGTAATAATGGTTGATGATTGCACCCCTTATACCTTTCTGTTCATGCATTGATGGTACTGGTCGCATAAGTTTCTTTTCACCCTTCTTTCTTTCTGCGTGCATCGATCTCTTGTCAGAGTACCAGGAGCGCTTCTGTGTTTTTTCCTTTGCTATGACAGCTTCCTAGATACCAGATGAAGTGACTTTCTCTTTTTCTATTTCTGTCTTTCGAATTTACAGTATTTCCCTGTACGATTCCCTCCGTGTTTTTCTATACATTCACACATCTCATCGCTGTTTCTGGCCATTTTTCCTTTTCTTTTCTAGAAATCATGTATTAGGAGCCTGGTCTCTAGAGACCTAGTTTTCCCGGTTATTGTCTTCCCGATGAGTCCTTGATTTGGGGTCCCTGGTGTATATCTATCTTGTCTCCTTGCCTCTCATTTTCCTTCTGTTGTCTTATCTTTCATTTCATCTCTTTTCCACTGCGAGATTAAGGGGAGTGATTACATTGTTCAATGTTTGGCGAAAAAGGGGGTCTACAGAAATCAGGATGGGATGTTATGGCCTGTGCGATGCACGCCTTCCACATACGGTTATCGGCGAGGCTTTGCCATTGCCTGGATCTTTTGCATCGAGTGGCCTGCTGTTATGCTATTTGCTTTTTCCATTATTCGCCTCGGGGTTTGAGGAGCTTTGGTTGATAGGAACGGAGTCGGGTAGGATGAGACGCAATACGATGAAGCTATATTTGCCTATATCTTCAGGAATTTGCTTGATCGAACTCTTTTATTTCAGTTTCAAGCCGAGTGCCCAACACTTGATTATTTTGACTCCGTACGCGTGTTGGTATAGTACATCCAGGTCTTAGACTTGGACGAACCCGAGTAGATTGAAGCATACAACCTAGGCTGCTTTATCGACAGTTGGGCCATCGTATCGATTGCACCATAACAAAAGCTCTACCCAATGAATCGTAGATCGCAAACAGGATCGGTTCTGCATTCTGAAAGACGAGGGACGTCGTGACTTTCCTTGCCCTAGTGAGTTGCTGAGTCTGGACCGAGGAACTTCATCCGCTCCAACCCCGACGTCGTTTCAACACCCCCAACCTCCTGCAGCAAGTACTCGTTCTCTAGGAGTGTCAGACACAGAGGCTATTTACAAGACACAACTTGTTTTCGCTTCAAGTTTTCCTCAGCATGTTCTCCGATAAACAACCACATATAACTCCCAACAGCTTCTTCCACGCGTTCACCACCGCTCCGTCCGAACCGTCGGAGCCACCTGTAACCATTTACTTTATCACAGGGAATCCGGGATTGATCGGCTACTACCACACCTTTCTCTCCGTTCTTTCAGAGAAAATCAAAGCATTAACTAAACACGAGGACCAGAGCCGAGCATTCCAGATCTACGGACACAGTCTCGCCGGATTCGAGCTCCCCGAACCAGGACAGAAGGAACAAGAGCCTCAGTCCGCAACACACTACTATGACCTGGAAGAGCAGATTCAATTCGTCCAAAGAAAGCTGTACAACTTCACCGCCGATAAACCAGATGACATCGATAAGCTATCGTCTCAATCCAACACCGCGCCCTCCACCACCACACGCCCTTGTGTCATTCTCATCGGCCATTCCGTAGGCGCCTACATCGCGATGGAAGTCCTGCGACGGCACCGCGAAGGCTCGCAAGGCGATCGTCCCGTCGACTTCGATATCATCGGAGGTACCTTGCTCTTCCCTACAGTCGTGGACATCGCAAAGTCTCCGTCGGGGCAGAAGTTGACCGTACGTCCCCCCCCCTTCTCAGTCCCTTTGTGTCTGATAGCTAACGAGACCCCTACACCGGGAGAGAAGAGGCTGCTCTCGATCATCCCCCAACTCGCGCTGGTCGCTGGTATGCTAGTCCGTATTCTCACTGCTTTGGTACCCGCTTCGATCCTGTGGTCCCTGATCAGAATCTACATGCCATCGGCACCGGATACCATGGTCGACACCACGGCCGGGTTCCTGAAGAGCAAGCGAGGCGTGCAGCAAGCATTGTACGTTCCAACTTCACATAGATAATGGCAATATCATCAAGCCATCACCGAAAGGTACTGGGAAGAGGGAGAGAGAGCTAACAGAACCACTCCCCTAGACACATGGCATCTGACGAAATGCAAACCATCACGGCCGATAAATGGACCGACGACGTCTGGGGCATCTCAACCAGTCAAGACCCCGTGTCGCGACTATACTTCTACTTCGGACGCAACGACCACTGGGTCGCAGAGCGCACAAGAGACGAGATCATTGAACTGCGAGGGCAAAAGCCCCAGGGACCGAAGATGACTGTGTGTGAGGAGGGGGTTCCGCATGCGTTTTGTCTGAGTGAGTGTTTCCTTTATCTTGGTTTCTCCCCTATCTTTAACCTGGAGGAAGCTGTACTAATTTTGATGACGTTTTTATAGGACATAGCGATCTCATGGCGAGCAAAGTGGCAGATATGATTTTGGAGATAGCTAGAACTTGAGGTTTGGGGAGACTAGAGATTGGAGTTTGTACGCTCTGAGATATATAGAACGGCGATCTACACAGACTAATAATTGATGTTTGACATACCTACGTAAGCATAAACGGTCCCTTCAGTATATTGTTCACAATCGTTACTCCTGCTTCAATTCACCATGCTGTCAGAACTATGTAGAGGTCATGGGTATCTTAACGTCATCATATTACGCCTTTAGCAGATGCACATTGGAAAAGAGAAAAAAAAGCCAAAATCTAGCTCGGTTGACCGCACTCAAGGAGCTTGATTCTGGTAAGCAAACCCTGCCCTCCGGAACAGATCTCCCAGGACATCCGGCTGCGGTGGTGCTTGCATGGGTGGTGCATGTGCTCCCGCCATCCCTAGATGTTGCTGCTGCTGCTGCTGCTGCTGCTGCTGCCATTCTTCAGGACCCAGGCTGTGCGCCCTGACACTCCAGCCATCGTCTTGTGCCCTCTGCTGTCCGAAGAGATCCTTGAGCGATATTTGACGACCCATCGGGACACTGGACGGCTCTTCATCTAGCGGAGCTCCGGCGGTAGTGGCGGCAGCAGTAGCGGCTGCGACATGCAACCCGTTCTGGCGTGTAGCTTCCAGACGCTCGCGCGCCAATTTCAAACTGTGACCGGCATGCACAGCGCACTCGCGAATCATCTGGGCATTGATGCTGCGCGTTTCGGCCGTCGAGTTCGGCGGGGGCTCGGAATAGACCCAAAGGCCGTAGATCCGAAGGTCGGTGCCGTCGAGGCTCTTGCCAGGACCATTGGCGTTGGAGGTGCCGGGCGGATTGGCGCCAGGGACGTGGGTGCTACTCGTGACCTCCGTGTCGGCATTATAGTCAGCCTTCAGGATGACGTATTCCTCCGTAAGCTCGACATTCTCGCCGTCGGTCAGTTGGAGGTTGAAGTTGTTCAGGCCGCGCCGATTGAGGACGAAGGCGCTGTATCGCTCCTCGCCGAGTCTGCCCTGCGTGAGTTGGCAGACAAACAGGGTCCCCTCGACGCCGTTCTTTTCCCACTGGCGCGTGGTTGGACTGAATATATAGACGACGGCGTAAGGCGCCAGCGACAGGATCGTTTGCACGGAGGGATTGTGGCGGCGGAGGACGGCGAGGTTCAGCTCCTCGTTGGTGCGCAGGGGTGGAGCAGGCATGGATGCTTCTTGCTGGAGTTGTTGTGTATCGGACAGGTAGGTTTGAAAGTCTGATTCGTAGTCGGAGGGCTGGGCGATGCTGTTAGGATTGTTGTGCCGGTGATGGTTGTTGTTCGGTCGTCGGGGTTTTCGGGACGTCATCGTGGAGGGGACTGAGGGAGACGAAGAAACCGGGGTTGGAGTGACTAGTGAATGTAGAAGTAAGAAAAGAGATAGTGCTGAGGATAAGCTAGAAGATCTAGTACGGGTTTGAGGGAGGGGGAAACAGAAGAGAGAGAAGAGGGCGGCGTCTCAGGTGATGAAAGCTCTCCATTCCGGGAAGCGGTCGGACCCCGCCTGTCCTGTCGAAGCTTCGGAATAGCCTCAACCTCCTCTTCTCATCCTCCGCTCTCACCCCTCCTTACCACCCCTCGTCCCTTGTCTGAGATTCTGACTCGACCGTTCCCATTTCAGTCGAGTTGGATCATACGTTGGGGTTATCCTTGCCATCAATTGGTGCCACTTACGTCGGGCCCTCATTAGCTTCCTTTCACCTGCTGTCTTTTATACTTCCGGCCAGTGCTGCGCGTGATGCTTGCACCGTCGCTTGGCGTCTGAATGATCGCAGCCTCTTTTCTCCCCTTCTCGTGACCACTCTGGCAGTGGCAACTCTTGTTGGTAGCTCACCTTGCTTTCTTCACTGACCCAGCTTGTTCCGGTGCTACAGGGCAGGCCGAACTGCCAGCAAGTCACAAAAAACATATTCGGATAAGGGCTTATGGACAATAGTTTATACAGCTAGCCGTCTTATATATACGAACGTCATTCCATCATGAGCGCCAACACCGATCGGCCCGCGTCGCAGGCTCAGCCCCCGGCGACTCCAGGCGACTTTCCAAGTGATGACGACAATCGCGAACCGTCCCCGGATGCCTCTCTCGACCCGTCGTCGCTCCCCCGAGCCATTAAAGCGAGAAGATCCGAATATACTCGTCAGCGCTCGATTCGTATCAAAGTCGGATCGTGGAATGTGGCCGCCATCCCTGGCACCGAACAGGACATTGGGAATTGGTTCGCAGATGAGAATGGAATAAGTGAAGAGCTATCCGAGGTTCGGGTCTCAGACCCCGAACCGGACTCTGAAGGCGTTGGCGATGGCGATGGCGACACCGAGAAGACGGCACCTTCTGAGACTCAGCCTAACGAAGTCGGGCTCTACGTACTAGGGTTGCAGGAAATCGTCGATGTGTCTTCTCCGGCAGAAGCGTTGCGACCATACGTCGACCCGGCCCCGGCCAATAAATGGAAAGCTTCTGTGCAGAAGGCTCTTCCATCGGGGTACCAGCTGGTGGCAGAGACCCAGCTGGTTGGGCTGCTGCTGTTGATATACGCCGCACCATCGGTCGTTGACAGTGTGTCGTCGGTCAGCTGTAGCAATGTAGGTACGGGACTATTGGGATACATGGGTAATAAGGGCGGTGTGGCGGCGCGCCTGTTGCTGGGAGAAACAACAACTCTTGTGTTTGTCAACAGCCATCTCGCGGCCGGAGCCGACAAGGGCAGCTTGGACAGGCGGAATTGGGATGCGTCTCAGATCATTGGACGAGCAAAGTTTGATGCAATTGACTCAGAGCTCACGCTCCGGGATGAACCAACGGAAAGCATTGGTAAAGAAGACTATGCGTTCTGGTTCGGCGATCTCAATTACCGACTCGAGGATATACCGGGCGACGACGTGCGACAGGTGCTTGCCAGACATGCAGAAGACGAAAACAACAGGGGACGGTCCAGAACATCCTCGCCGGACTCTGATGAGGATATTGACCCTCATTCCGACCCTGCGTCTCTCCAAACCACTATCTCTTCTCTTCTGCCTCATGATCAACTTCGCCTGCAACAGACCAAGGAAAAGGCCTTCCATGAAGGATGGCGGGAGGGAGACATATCATTCCTGCCGACATATAAATACGATGTAGGAAGTGTGGCTAGATTTGATTCGAGCGAAAAACAGCGAGGCCCTAGTTGGTGTGACCGCATTCTCTATCGGTCGCAACAAGACAGAGCACGGTACGAGAGATTGGTCGCCGAGACCGCCGATTCCAGAAAACGGGACGATGAAATGAAGGCCCGAGGCCTCGATACAGCTGCCGCTGATGACAATGTGCTATTCGACTACGACCCCGACGTCGATGGGGCTGATGATGCCGATGATTATGACCCAACTAAGGATCAGACAAGCGATGGTGCTTCATTCGAGTCACAGCCGGATACCGAGGATCCTCTGCAACTTGAGTATTACGCATCTCATCAAAGAATCCTCTCGTCTGACCACAAGCCTCTGGCTGCTGGGTTCACCTTGACTTTCGAATCGGTCATCCCGCACCTGAAAGCGAAGGTACATCAAGAGGTGGTCCGCGAGTTAGACAGGGCCGAGAATGAATCCAGACCCGGCCTAACCGTTGTTGTGGACAGACACGGTATCGAGACAGCTGAGGATGGAGACCCCAACGCAGTCGACTTTGGCGACATTCCTTTTGACGTGCCGGTCAGGCGATCTCTGACAGTAGCCAATACCAGCGGCGTTCCCGCAACATTTACGCTTGAAAAGCCAGAAGGGGCCGACGGATGGATGGTGTCGTGGCTCGAGTACCAGGTCGAATTGCCACACCGGGATGATTCCGAGGAAGGGAAGTATGTCGCGGCGGCGCAGGAATGCGTTTTACATCCAGGAGAGCTTGCCAATGTTGAGCTCACAGCTAATGTTCGTGATATCGAGCTGGCGCGTGCCTTGAACGACGGCAAAACACAACTCGAAGAGATTCTAGTGCTCCGGGTGGTCAGTGGCCGTGATCATTTTATCTCGGCCTATGGCAAATGGCTGCCTACTTGTTTCGGGCGCAGCTTGGAGGACCTCACCCTGATGCCAGAGGCAGGAGCGCGTACCATGTCGCCTGCTGGGATGTCAGCCGCGGAACGTGGCAAGCAAAACAAGGATGTTCCTCTCTCCGCGCCTCGGGAGCTCTTTCGGCTGACCGAGGCGATATCCGAGTTGACAGAGCGTGCCGTGGCAGAATGGAGTATGACGAGACATGATTCAGATGAGGATACGTCTCCGTGGCTCAGAGAGCCCCATGGGGCTGGTTGGCCTTTCGCACCGGAGACTTGGACCTTGAAGGACAAGGATGAGCGGCTGCCTCTGCTCGCATCCGCCCGCGAGGCGTTGGACACCAGCCAACCCTTCAATGACGTGTTTGCACCGGAAGTGTCCTCCCTTCATCGCCTGGAGATCTTGAGCGAGACGTTGATAGTGTTCTTGGGTTCCTTGAAGGACGGCATCGTCACAGCCTCGGTCTGGAAAGACTTGGACCAGCAGATTCTGACGCGGGAGAAATCCAAAGCACCCCCGTTAACCTGGGAAGAATCACAAGCCTGGGTCCTAGAAAGCCTGGCATATTCACCCGCCCACAGTGTCTCGTTTACCTTTGTCACGTTCATGCTTGCTCGCATCGCCAACGAAGTGGCACCAGCGACATCAATACCTTCTCGAGACTCGTCCAACAAACCCACCGAAGAAGAATCGAAGCCCAACACTCAAGCATTCAACAACAACACACAGCCCTCAACCCCAACATCACCGTCCGCCGCATCTTTCATCTCAAGAGATAATCTTCGCCGGAGAACCCGCACGTTCACCTCATCTAGCACTACCGAGACCACAATCCACCCCCTTGCCCTCCGTCGTCAAACCGTCGAAACCGTGCTTTCGGGCATCTTCTCCTCGCTTCTGATCTCCTCCGATATCCCCGTACCAACGAAGGATAAAGAACGAAGAGCACTAGAAGATCGCAAACGAAGCATTGTGGAGCCGTTCTTGAAGGCCATGGGAGTTGACAACAAGGGACCCTCTGGAGGAGTCCCGTGAAGATATTCATGTGTACATGTGTCTGCTTTTTGTTGAGTTCGAAAAGGGTCGAAGACCACGCATATCTTGGAATCATTCTTTCTCATAGACTTGGGATTTCTGTATATTATATATTGTATTTTGTTCTCGGCGGGGTTTGGCTATGATTAGAATTCATGTATATCCAGCTATATAAGACCGATTCATTCACTGTTCTCTAACTTCTTCCCAATGAAATCATCACCTAGAAAGATCTCCCAAACAAAGGAGCGGCTCGAGCGCATCCCGGCAACTTGGTCCACCAATGTTCTGCTGCTGACGGTGAAGGGAAACCAAACCCCTCTTTGATGCGATGGACTTCGCACATTGCCAACTTCCCATGCCTATCCCCGCCCTGCGAGAGAAGAGACAGGTACGCGATAAAGCCTACCTCCAGGCACCAATCGAACCAAAACCACTCGGGACGAATATCGTCTACACTTTCTCGCTAATCCCTGCCCACAGTCCCAAATTCCAGCCTTTGCACCAAAAACAATGGGTGTACGATTCTGCAGCGCCTGCGGCAACCTCCTCGAAGACTCCCCGAACGAGATCCTAGAATGCGAACAATGTGGAAAAAGCGAGCAGAGTAGTCCCCCTTTCCCCCCCCAAACCTAACCCAACCTGCCCTAACCCACGAACATGGTAATAGACAAAGCACTACACCAAACGGAAACCAGAACCTCCGAAAACTTCCCCTCGAAGCTGCGAAACAGACTGAAATCACACACCCAGACACCTCAGAAAGCCCCCTCCGGACCCACCATGGACATCGAGTGTCCGAAATGCCCGTCCAAGGAGGTGTATTATGCGCAGGTGCAGCTGAGGAGCGCGGATGAGGGGAGTACGATTTTTTATACCTGCGTTGGGTGTGCGCATAGGTGAGTTTTCTTGGTCGGGTTTTCTAGCTGAAGACAGGAGCTAATACCAAACGATTCTGTTAGGTGGCAAGAAAATAATTAGTTGAGATATCTCTGTCTGATTGACTGGCGAGTTCAACGAAGAGAAGCTGTGGGTGGTACGTTTGAAAGACCATCGAGTATGATGGAGGTCACTATTGGCTTTGTTTCCAGGGGTTTTCTCATTCTAGTTGTGAAAATGTCTATTGACACTAGGCAGATTATCAGAAGAGTGTGACATGCTGCGAGATGTTTCTGGAAGAATTGATTCGTCGAATAGGTGATTGATGAACAGGCAGATCTATTGACAAAAGAAACAACATAGAACCCATTCAAAAAGTTGTTGTCGAACACACAACGGGACAAGATATAAAAACAACAACTGAACTGAAAGATCACAAAGTTCAAGTTCAATCCTCAAGCAGACAACAACACAGCGTCTAACTAATTGTACATAAACAAAGGTTCTTCACCATGAATGGCAGAGAATCAATTGCTACAGAGTAAGTCACCATCTAAACGCCAAGCATTAATCATGATGCTGATCATTTTCCCTTCCTTTACAAGGTCTATGAACGCTTCTCCCTCAGGAAAAATCTGCGTTGCAGGTTGCGAAGATTCATCACCAGCATCGCAGCGACGACACCACTGCCTGCACGGACGACCTCCTCGTTCGAGGTGCTCTTCCAATAGATCTCATGACGCTCCGGGTCGTAGTTCAGAGGGCGCAGCATTTCCTGGAACATATCGAAGCGGATATTTTCAATAGGGACGCGGGTTTCGGGGTCAGGTACCGGGGAGGCAATCTGGCTGATGTAAAACTGGGTGTTTTCAGAGTTGTTCTCCGGGGCATAGACGGTGATGGCTGCGTCGTAGAAGGAGTTCATGTCGTCGAGTTGCGGGCCAGTAGAGGGTGCGCGAGCTGGTGTTCTATCGTTATGGGAGTCTTCGAAGGATGAATTGTATGTGGCAATGGTAGCATCGTGGAGGGCGGTGTTCGGGCCAGGGAGCGCTGGAGCAGAGGAGGGTGCGTTGGCTTGGGGCTCATCGTCCTGGGGATATTCCGGGAATGAGTCGTAGGTGCCGATAGTGACGTCGCGGAGGACGGCGCCTGGACCACGGAGTACCGAACCGGCGGAGGGTGTGTGAGCTGATGGTCTATCGTCATCGGAGTCTTCCGAGGTGGTATCTTTCTCGGTGGTCGAACCGCTGGATGGTGATCTGTATCCAGATTGGCGATACTGGGTAAATTGTTCTTGGCTATAGGAGGAAGATGGCACTTGACCAGCTTGTCCCTGGGGTTGTGGTGTAACTGGATTACGCTGCTGCTGCTCGGCCTCATAGTCGTCTGAGGTGTAGTCTGGAAGATCATCTTCAGAGGGTTGTCGAGGCAGTGGATGCTGTAATTGCGCTTCTTGGCGTTGCTCCTCTTCATGTCGTTCCTCTTCAGGGTGATCATCTTCAGGATGCTCCTCTTCAGGATGCTCGTCTTCAAGGTGCTCGTCTTCAGGGTGCTCGTCTCCAGAGTGTTCTTCTTCAGGATGCTCTTCCGCAAGGTCTCCACTAGGTTGACCTGTTTCACGAGGGGTTTCTTCAATCTGACTAGCTCCTGAAACCTCCTCCCCAGACGCTTCGGCAGATATATCATCATAGTCCTCATCCGGATGAAGGTCCTTACGCATTGCATCTTCTGGAGGAGTGTAAGGCTCCGTGGACACCTCTGATATCTCGTCTTCCTGCTGACGGGACGTCCCCGGCGCCGGTGCTGGAGAACCCACCCCGTTTGGTTCGTACGGCTCAAGGAGTTGTCCTGAACGCAAAGCAGACCGCACTTCTGCACTTAGGTTTTCCGGCTGTGTGCTCTGGATCTCATCCGTGATGATGGAAGGCCCTACCGGTTCTTCCTCCGGGGGAGGCGAGGCTGGTGAGGCCGGCGAGGCCCGTAAGGCATCCGGGGCGTTACTATCGACAGGCGATCTTGGCGTGTAGTAATTGGGCGGCGAAGGTAGCAAAATCTCAACCTCGGGCTCCCCCAAGGCTCTGCGAGGTGTTTCCGTTGCTGGCGCTGGTAAATCTACGTCCATCGGCCCGGCCTCTTCGGGAGTTGATGAATGATAGACGGGAGATAGTGGCTCTCTCGGTGGTGCGTCCTCATCGTCTGACGTGACTGACGAGATATCGGAACATGGCGCCGAACCTGTATATGGGAACTCTTGTTCTTCTTCCATTTGTTCATCTCCGATTTGTTCATATTCCACTTGTTCATCTTCCATTTGTTCATCTTCTTGCGGCTGAGACTGCTGCTGCTGTTGCGCAACCCGGCGTCCTCCTCTCCCACTGGCTTGGCCTCTCTGAGAAGTGCCTCCCCTCCGAGGACTTCCTCTCTTGGCGGCTAAAAAATATCTCTTCCGAGCTGTGACCATCAGACGAAGCCGGCGCTGCATTTCCGCCCCTCGGCGTGCATGCAAAGCACGGAAGGCGGCGGGCATCAGCTGGATTTGCCTCGCAATAGTCTCGCCTACCTGGGCCTGGACACGAGCCGGTCTCATATCCACGCTGAGGAGACCTTCGGCATAGAGCCAATCCATCAAACGCGATATCACATCGTCCTTCTGATCCCTGGGGAGACTGATCTTGGCCCAGGACCAGAACTGGCGGTCCCTAGCCATGACCGCCTTAGGCTTGTTGGATCGTCGGCGGACCATTCTGGCGTAGATCACTTATTGTTCAGAAGGGATACTGAAATGATGGCTTGAGTATGTATGACCAAATCGAACTGACAAGGAAGGATTCCTTATCGAAGAAAAGGGAAGGCAATAGAGATGCTCTACCCTAACTAAAAGAAGGCCAAATGTCGTCGATCGCGCGATACTTTCGTCAGGGAGAAGCATGAATGAAGGAGAAGGTGAAGGATCCCTCTATTTATCTTTTATCCGGCTGAAGTCACTGTAAATTGAACGGATGTGCGGAGCCAGTTGTAGACAATCAACGGCCGTTGGCATGCTATTCTAGGTATAAAGGGTGCCATTCGCGGACCGGGTCGGTTATAAGCAAGCGCACTGAATCTTTGATCTGAAACGTAGTGTATGCTAGATACACAATGGTTATATTGCATGAATCAGAATGCATGGTCTTTGTTGGGTTTGAGGTCCCTTGCTTGTTGACACAAAGAGATGACCAACGATGGCGGGAAATCCGATGTTTTCATCGCACTCATTGTTGGAACCACTGAATGAGAAATGATCATAGAAGAGATCGGTAATTCTCCAGTGTGAATGCCATTTGCAACAGGAAACCTGTACCACGTTTAGTCTTCCTTAATGAAAGGAAATCAATCAGAACAGGTCTCCCAGACAAGGAAAGCGGACGAAAATTCCAGAACCAAACAGAAAAGAAGAAAGAGATGTCTCCGATAGAGAATCGAATTTGGAATATCGGTCCGTTTCCGGCGATAGCTTATCTGGTGCTTTAGCTACATGTTGGCTCTGGGTTCATTGACATTTGGCTAGGTGGGAATAGGTGCATAGCGTGAGATTACCCCTAAGGCTCTAACCCGCATAATGCTGCCCGTCCTTGGTTTGGAAATTAATAGATCTCATTAAATGATCAACAAATTTTTGGTATCCTAGCCCACGGGTAAAACGACATTTCTCTCACATATGTGGTTGTTCCCGATGACGGAGTCCATGCGCTGATTCCAACACAATGTTAAGTGTAGGAAGGTGGTCAGAGGTGTACCTAATTAAACAGAAGCTGAACAAGAACCAGGTAAGATGGTTCTCTGTTGTCCTTGGTTTGGAAAGCTGTTTGTCCCCATGGTGAGGATCAAAAGAAGATCAAGTCAGATGGATAATGAATGGATGTTGGATGTCGGTCATGATCAACTTGGGCAGTCTATGATCACCTGATCAATAAGACGCGCTTCCAAAGTTGAGATAATAAGCTAGAATTACATGGAATTATTGTACATTCGGAACCATAGTATCTTAAAAAGAAACCCAGAAAATGCGGTCAATATAGGCTGTATGCAAAACTTTTCGTCATCCTCAATCATAATGCGTCGTTTTCATCACTTCGTGTACGGATAGGAACGGTTCTATGCGCGAAGAACTCGGGAGACGCAACACAAGAGGCAGAAGAAGCTCGCTGCCCTAAGCCTCTAGATCCTTGAGACCCTCTTCGATTTCCGGGAGCTTTCGTTGACCCAGACCGAGCCTCTTCCTCCATTTGAACGCCTTCTTGAGTTTGGTTCTCTTACGTCGAGCTGGGGGGTAATTGACAGGCGACTCTCCGCCTATGAAGACGAAAACATCGTATACAGCAGCGCCAGTCAGGGCACCGGTGGTGGTTGCGAGCCAGGCACCCCAGAACCACCAACCATCGCGCTCGGTAAATGTGTTTCCGCCATAACCGGCCATCAAGGCAACAAGCCTAGGTCCCAAGTCCCGAGCAGGATTAAAAACCCTGGACTTCAAGTTAGCAAAAGACGAACGAGCAGATGGTAGTAGGAGGCCGGCCTTACCCTCCAGTGTTGTAGCCAAAGGCAATGCATAGCACGAGTATCAGCAAGCCGATAATGAAGGAATGCATACCCGCTCCAGGCGGCGCATTGCCGTCATCGCCCATAGCAAAGATTGTGCAAATTAAAATGGCGGCCGAGAGGTACTCGTTGAAAAATGCCGTTACGTTGCGGACATAATCCAGCGGCTCAGTGTAGAAGCCAAGCCCGGTTGCTCCCATGGAGGTCGTGGGAGCTAGGCTGATGATAGAATCACGATAGATGCAGTACGCCAGGCCCGCAGCCGTGAGAGAACCAAGAATCTGTGCAATCACATAGTAACTGCATTGTCGGCCGGGGAAGCCGCGGAAAACCCAAAGCGCGATTGAAATGGCCGGATTCAAATGCCCACCACTAACGCCACCAGCAAGGTAGATACCCACCATGATGCCGAGTCCCCAAGACCAATACATGGCTAAGCGCTCGCCAGCCTGGTAATTACTGCTAGTAATCGCAAGAGTGCCGCACAAACCGAAGAGCATAGAAACTGTGGTCTGTCCAAGGATTAGCAAAGTGGGCAACACAAGTCACGCCGAGAAAGCTTACCCCAAGATATTCGGCCAGTGGCTCCCGAAGCCAATGCCGAATCAACGCCCATGTGTTCACAAATTCATGGTCATCGGGTTGCGGTTGATCCCACTGCCCTGTAAGTTCGGTTTCAACAGGGCGGCTGACTCGATCACTTGAATCTGGACTCATGATTCCTTGCTCAACGGGAGTGTCGGTTTGAGCACTGCCCGGGTAGGTCCCACGGCTTGAGATATTCTGAGCTGAAGGTGTGGCCGGGGTGGCCGGGGTGGCCGGACCATCCTTCGGTTCGTCATGTCGACTAGGGGTCACCTTCATCTCGGGGACGGCTTCGGATTCTCCCTTGGGCTCTGTCTGGTAGGCTCCTGTGTCTCCTCTAGTGGGATCACGGCGCATACCCGGTCGAACGACGCGAGGAAGCGGTTTCGCTAAGCCCCAGATAGGAGACTCGTGGTTCTTCATGTAATCGGGGTTCATCTCGCGGTACTCGGGGTGGACATAAATATCGTTCGAGTTGGCTTCTTGCGGGCCCGCCATGTTGTGAAACCTAGAATTGTCTGTCCCTTGAGTCATTTGAGATGGCTGGCGGGAAGCCAGTTTGGATTTCAGGTTTCGAGAGAGCTGCTGCGGCCTACTCATAGAATGCAGGCTGGCTTGTTCGGTCGGTTGCCGCATGAATGCTTCTCGCGGGTTGTTCGGCTGATCTTGCGACCGCTCCTTTCGCTGTGACATTTGTCTTGGTTGAGGGGCCGGACGCTGCTGCTCTGGCTGAGGACCGCTAGGCTGTTCATTGGGGGGTCTTCGTTGAAAATAGCCGGGTTCTTCGTCGATTGGAGGCAAATCCTCCGCTCCGGGAGGGCGACTGTCTCCTATGTCTTGCTCCCCCGACATGATCTTGGTTTCGCCGATTCCCCGGACGAGGCGGGCTTTCTGCTAGGGTGCTGGTCAAGTGGATTGGATGGATTAAAAGGCGTGCAGGCCAGGAGCAGGACTCCTCCGAGGCACAAGGATCTTTTTTATAAGCTCAGATAAGCATGGCCCTCAACGGACCCGCCAGTATTCTGCGTGGAGACCACCTACTCTTTCGAGCAGGTAGTCCAAACGTGACCCTTGGCTACGGCTTCCCGTAGACCACTCGAGCCATATGGCGACCAGGTTTTCCATGGTTCACTAACACCAGGCTGGGAATGATGTCATGCTGAACGCGAACGAGATCAGAGAAAAAGAAAATGTACAACTCAGATCGGACCACCCAGTTGCACTAGTATGGAGAGCGTGGCAAAAACTTGGTATATCTAACATCACCTTTGGTTGAAGAACCCACCAATGACACTGAAGAGCACCTAGGATGCATTGCAGGAGACGGGGCAGGCACTAAAGGAATGAGGCCCGTCGCATTAAGAACAACTGCGAGCTGGAGGTGGCGATCACTCTGTCTAGAATTCTCCATTCGGGCGCACATTAGCGGACCGTCGGGGAGAGGAGTAGAAAGTAGAAAGAGAGGAGGAAAGAAAGGAAAGGAGAAAGAAAGTGGCGGCCTCAGGCTGCCGTGCGGATTTTGCAGCCGGATGGGCATCCACCCAATCAGACCCTCGGCATCCGGAATTTGGCCGATACCTAGAGATTTACTTCTCTCTTATAATTATATTACCATGGTATAACTGCATGCTCCGAACGATGTCCACGCGTCCTACGGGAAACGATGCCGAACCTTCTCCGTACCTGATGTATGAATCCTGAATACATCAACCGATCGTCATTCATGGTATACTGAGTGCCTACTTATCCAAGCATGACTTCGAACTGGTCTGAGTGATCTGCATTGCTGTTCGGTCTTTTGACAGCCGCTTTGTTTGCTGGCTTAGATCATGACAGCTATGACATCACCGTTACTATCGCGCCCACCTGTACCATGCCTTCGTCTTCTGCCTCTCTTCGATGCACAGAAGCGTGGGACGACAGGCCAGTCGACTCGATCCAAAAGTCACCTCATTGACTTACGGAGTATATCTACACCGTATGCATATCAGAGCAGGTCTTGGTGAAGGCTGAATCTCCTAGCGCATGCCCACTCGATGGACCCTGGCAGGAGTTGGCGCTAACCAACAAGTCACCTCGAACCAGTGGAGTTATCAACAAATTCGATACGATAATGTGGGCGGCACTCAATGCTAGCGTCGGAGTTGAACAGTAAGATCAGAATTCTAAATCGCTTACTTTCATTATTCCGTCCGCTCTGTTTGCGGCACGAAAAGCGTGCTGTAACGCTTGTTTGTTTGTTTGTTTGTTTGTTTTTTTTTTTTTTTTTTTCTCATCTCCATATACATGAATTGTTCTCGAGATTCCTCTATCTCGGCCCTCGATATGTAGGATTTCTTACAGGAACCCAGCAAGGCCATCGGACAATGCTAAATCTGTCGAAAGACCCACCAGAAAGAGCTTCCCATCCACTATCTGCGGTTGAAAAGGCCCAGGTCGTGACATTACGACGACTCTCTAGTTCGTGGTAATTTTGGGTGATATCACAGAGCTTCCTCTCCTCTCGTATAATGGCCCGAGGGAAAGGAAGGAAAGCGTTCAGAAGGAAAACAAGGGGAAAAGCAGGTGTTGTGCAAATTAGAAACTATTTTCGCGAATAGATTTGAGTCCTTTGGGTCCTGTGGGATCTTGCGGAATATATCGTCTGGTATGTCTAGGCGACCGTGATTTTCGATCATGCGGCATTTTCCCCTTCATAGGCTGTTCGAAATGCCGCGAATTCAGGAGACCTTTGCAAGCTTGCAAGCACCACCTCGCTCCTTGCCAAGGCAAGGATGTCAGAGACACGAAGATCTGAATAGGGAGCAAAGCGGCCGCATATATCCAGTCAAATAATGTGGGAATCACGCCGCTACGACGTTGACGGTCCGTACGATGGGCTGCAGCGGCGAGAGAGATGGCTTGGTTGATCTGATTCTCCAATGCCTGAAGTCGAGATTCCGTCTGGAAATTGGTAGTTGCTGTGCGCTTTTCGTATCGTCGAACCGCCCGAGTCAGAGCATCGATCTCTGGTTGGAACCCTTTTCGGACTTCCGTAGTTGCCTGAGAAATGACGGATGAGGTATTGTCCTGTCCTTGAGATGAAGACTCGGATGCAAGACGCTCCGCCGCAGCCTCCGAAACGTGGGCTTCCAGCTCTTCGAGGCGTTTGCTGAGGTCGATGATCTTGCTTATATCAACCTTGTCGTCGTCCTCCGTTGACAAAGCGACGACGCGCTGGAGATGAAGCGTTCTTGCTTGCACCATCTTTAAAAGATGGGAGAATGGTCGGATTTCCGCCGCTAAAAGAAAGATAGTAAGGTTGTAGTTGGACACCAACCCTTCGGAGGGCCGCGACAGCTTGGATCGAATAGTGTGCAAGAGCCATGTTCCGACCATGGGAAAGACGAAGCAAGACACGAGGGCAGCAAGCTCGTGGATCTGCAGTTCTTTACAGGCAGCACCGGTCGCATCTGAAGGGCGCGATGCCTTCTTGGAGTCCGGTGTTGCAGGAGATTCATGGGGGTTAGGGTTCGTAGAAGTTTCGTCGGGATCTGATAATGGGGAGATTTCCGAAGCATCATAGAATCTGTCGGGCTGTCGAACAGCTTGTGCGGAGCGATACCAGTCCCTAAAACCATCATCAGAAGGTAAAGAATAAATGCCACGACATTGGGGACATAGAAAGATCAGGTGCGAACGGCGGGGGAGAGGGCGAGACCGTACCATGGCAATCGCACCGACCAATTGAGGAAGATGGCGGCGAGAACCAGCAGAGTGACATCCGTCACGACGGCACTTCCGTTCTGGAAAAAGACTCCGGCGATAGCAGGCAAAAGCGCCAGGCCCAGGGGGGCTGAATGCCAATGCGACTCGTCGTTATGAAGGTCGACATCGGTCTGTTTTGCGGCGCGGGGGAAGAACAAATCATCGGTCGAGGAACGAATTGAATTTCGGGCCTCGGATACAGAATCAGATAAGGTCGAGTTCCGTCGTTCATTCCGCAGGTTCGACGAGCCCTCGGCGAAAGTGGCCGAGCGGGTCGGACCACGATGGCGGAGACTCATCGAATTCGGGGAGCCAGCGCGGGGGTCACTATCGGTGCTAGCGGGGGGATTCTGGAGGGGAGAAGTCGCAGGTCGGGGCATGGCAACCTAAGGTAGGAGACTCAACCCTTCGTTTACCAAGCAATCTCGCCATAAGCGGATCGCAATTGAGGCGGGGACACGCGATCAGGGCCTGTATCGGGGTTGAGAGAGGTAGGGAAGGGTGACCGAGTAAAGCGCAGGCGTGGACGTGATACAAAAGGAGAGGGTAGGAGAGGGAGAGGGAGAGGGGAGAGGGGGGAAAGGAGAAGCAAGAAGGGGCAAGGGAGAGAACAGGGAGATGAACCCATGACGCCATGTGTAACGGAGCTGCTCAGGTGGTCAACCAACAATGCCTCAGTTTCTGCACGCATCCGGTCTACCCCCTTCTCCAGTCGCCGGCTTGTCGGCTTCATCTCCGACTTGATCTTTTTCTTTCTCTTTTCTCTCTTCGTGTCCTTGTACTACTACTGCCTACTTCGTAGTACCTTACCTCGGTCGATTCATTGGAATCGTTCCGTGACGAGAAGGAAAAGGCTACTAACAATGCTTTATGCTATTGTTTAGAATTTCATCTACATAACTCGTTGTCACGCGACACAAAGCACGTGCAACGTAGGCCTTACGGTTCAGGCAGCGCCGGAGACTCGATATGCCAGGGATGTACTCCGGATGTACCTCTACCTCCAGGGATACTACAAACAACCACCTCCCAGCATATACGGCCGTCCACCGAGCACCAGGTGGCGAATCCTCACACTCGCCGGTCAACTCGCATCGGCGTGTTCGCGCTCTATTGAAATTACTATGTTTTACTATGTCTATGTTTCTCCATAAGATGTGAGAGGCGCACCGTGTTAGTGAAGACGAGCAGCATCGCCGACCGCATTTCAATAAGAGCGCGCCCCAGTTCTATTGACGATGAGTCCATTGACACCCTAATCAGGAATGGTCTACTCGCCGGGGCTGCCTTATACTCAACCTTCTACCCACCCGGTTTCGCAACGTTGCTCGCTGTCTCTGATCTCTCGTCTTCACTACCTCTTCTTCGGTATTGAGAATGCCCTATCTCAATAGATACGTGATGCATTCCGGTCCACCTAGGGTAGCTCCCCGTTCATTCCCTAGCGATATGTTCGAGCCGCCGAGACCACCCAGGTGTGCCCTGGTTAGACCACCATGCTGCCACCCGTCTCAACCTCCCCAATTGACACCAGCACCATGCGTGGGTCCTTGTCTGACCGGGGAGTTCTTTTCTGTACTTCCACCGGAACGGTGAAGTAAGCCTGTCTCTGCTAATTCAAAGGGGAATGCTTCTGGGATCGGGCGTGCATTTCCATCCTCAATAAGACATCTAGAGGACTCCTGTTTCTGAATAACGTCTCATATTACCGTTTTCCCTGTCCCTTACCTTTCTCCTCTTATATAGGCGATGCTGGCTCGTTGCTCTTCAATTTCTCAACATCACTTTCCCTCTCTCCCGAATAGGTCATACCTGGAAGCCGCCGAGAGATCATACGGAGAAGCCTAAGGGTTACCCAAAGCGAACGTTCTCTCTTCCAAAGGTTGACCAAGTTTTGTCTTCACGTTATGGATTCAGAGTCGGCACCTCGTTATCACAACGCAACTAATGCAGTGATCGTTCCTATTCTCTCTATCTTGTCCATCCTTGTCAGCCTGGTTCCGGTGGCTCTGCACTGGAAGAACCGGAACTTTCCTGCGACGTGTCTCATTGCTTGGTTCTTGGTTCTTAATTTCTTCAACATCACCAATGCAATCATTTGGCCCAATGACGATGTGGATTCCTGGTTCAGCGGCGTGGGTCTTTGCGATGTCGAAGTCAAGATCATGATTGCTAGTTACGTCGGCGTGCCGGGCGATCTGCTGGGCATATTTCGTGGCTTGGCCAGTGTGCTGGACACCAGTCGTGCAAGTCTCGTCCCCAGCAAGAAGCAGCGTTGGCAGAATCATTTCATGGATATCCTGTTCTGTGTTATCGTTCCAATTGTTGCCATGATCACTCAGATCGTCTACCAGGCGAACCGATACATGCTGTTCGCCATCTCGGGGTGCGTCAACAGCTTCGACGAAAGCTGGGTGAGCTTCGTTATGTCTTTCATATGGCCTCCAATAATCTGCGTGATCGCTGGTTACTATTGCGGTATGTCGAGTCGGATGTATATGGCCCCCTCAATACCTGTGCAGTACTAACCCTTCTCTACAGGGCTGGTCCTGTATCGCCTCCATAAGTATCGCAGCCAGTTTGGAGACATACTCCAGTCTTCCAATAGCAACATCAACAAATCCAGATTCCTTCGGCTTTTCCTACTGGCCTTTACCATGTTCATCGCCATCCTACCGACCCAGGCTTTCGTTGTATGGAAGAACGTGACGCTGTCGCTACCGTGGCATTCGTATTCATGGAGCACCCTTCACGGACCCAAGTGGCATGAGATTATCAAGGTCCCAACGAACGGGGAGGTCTTCTTTGATCGGTGGATACCAATAGCATCGGGGTTCATGTTCTTCATCTTCTTTGGGTGTGGTAAAGACGCCTCGAAGATGTATACCTCAATCGCCCGCTACTCTGGTTTGGACTGTTGTCTCGTCGGCGGACAAGCATCTCCGATAGGAACCACTTCGTCAACCGGCGTGGGGTCTATGAATAGCCGGGTCAAGCTTTTATTTCGTAAGAAGAGCTCATCTGCCACAAGGTTAGTGTGCCTTCTCTTAGGCGCGGGACGGGCCTTGGGCTGACATATTCTTAGTGTACATGCGAGCAACCTTGCTTCGGCAAACCTTGCTTCGGCAAACCTTGCTTCGGCAAATCCCACCGATCACAGCTATGTGGATCTCGAGAATAGCACAACGACACCTAAGACGCACAGAGACATGCACAAGGAATCGTGGATCAGGCGTTTGTCTCCATTTCCCCGTCGTCGCTCCCCTCGCTGTGGCGAAACGGTGTCGCTTCACAACCTGACCGGTCCGTCCAACACGGTTGCTACCAATGCTTGGGCCGGCGCAAATACCAGTCGCGGCAGCAACGAGTATGATACTTCTACCAGAAAAGATTTCATTCGGGTAAAGCAGGTCATCAGCCAAGAGAGCGAGAAGAATGTGTGAAATGGCAAGTTGCAGCGAAACTATATTTGTTCCTGTTCTCGGCGCATATGCTATTCGTCTGGCTTCCTTTCTCATCAAGCACTACGATGGAAAGTCTCCTGTTAGCAGCCGTCAACTTGAATCTGTATTTGTATTCATACTGTAACGGGAGTTGTCTTCTTGTGCTCAGCTTCTTAACGGCGGAGGGAACTATTTAGCGATTATAGATTAAGATTCCGAGTGACCAACCAATTAATTTTCGCTCGATCGTGCAGACAAGAACTTACGAAGTCACCTACCTGTAGCGGTTACCGAGTCATTTTGAAAGAGCGAAGTTTGTATGTGTACGTAGTAGTCCGCGTAACACACTACAAGTGCGGGCAATTTTCTCTATTGTCCACCTACATGCCTTGTAGTACGAGTTCTGGCCGAGGAAGCGCAAGATCGCTCGTGCGGACGCTTTTCCATCTGTTCTATAAATATTCAAGCACAACAGAGCACAGCCTGCAGGATAAGAGAAATTGACCATTAAAGGGTATACAGAAAATGACGACAACGACAACAGAAGCTACAGTACATGCAAGCACCGGAATGACCGACAGCAAATGAGACATTCAGGTGGCTAGCGGGCGGCTTTCGCCGGGAATATTCCAAGTCCAAAGGATGACCAGAGATAGAGCAAGCCGGTGAGTCCAAACAACCAACGTCGCCTATTATCTTCCCTTATTATAGAATTGGCCTGTGCATATCGATCGATTTGCGAAAGCTTAACCCATCAAGGATTTGGAGTCGTTGGGGCGTCTGAGAACCTCGATGCTTCCTGGAAACGAAAGACAGGACACGTTAGATATTTCCGAGATGGCCGGGGTTTAATTGTCCATTCACTCGACTGGACGGAGTTGAAGCTTACGTTGAACGATGTTTAGGGCGCTCTGCTTTTTGCCTTCGGCATCTTCGTACTGACGCATGGTTGCGTCGCCTTCGACGAAGACCAGGGTTCTATAAGAGTATATGGTTAGCGTTGTGTGTTTCTGGGTTCGATGGTAGGCAATTCTCGCGCCAGATGCGGTGTGCAGTGATCTTTTCCCTGGAAGTCCTGTATTTTCCTCCCCAACACTCCTGGACTCTCCAAGATCCCTACCCACGCACGTATGCAAATTTTATGCAAATACGGGAAGGAATCTGCGCGGTCACATAGCGTTGAGGGAAGGGAAGGCAGGTAAACTTACCCTTTCGGTAAGCCCAGGAGGTAATCCCGCTGCGGCCCTTCGGGAACGAAGCTGGCAACGCGGAACCAGCTCGTCTGGCGATTGTCCCGGGGACCGTAGGAGGAGCCCACCGCATATTTGATGACATCCTGACCGGTCGAAGTGGCTTGCAGCTCGGGCTCGCCCCCAAGACGGCCGGTGATGATCATACGGGCAGCGGAACGCGACGAAGAGCTGCTGAAGGAGCGCGCGGAAAGAGCAGCGCCGTGCGAGGCGCGCACGAGAGGACGCAGGGACGAGGTGAAGGCAGACATTGTGATGGGATGGCGGAAAGGATGTGTTCAACAAGAGCTAAGGAGGTGAAATCCGGGGTCGACGAGTCGAAAAGAAACAAGGTAGCTTGGACCATCCATTACGTGAGCCGCGGCGAGCCGCCTCACGTGATGCCGCTGCGGACTGGAAGGGCGCGCGCGAAGTCGTTACCTGTCAACAACATCAACCAAATCATGGAGATCAACGAGGCCCTTCGCTCGATGATCCTTACTTGGTTGCTGCCCTCGATACAGGTTCCGTGATGGGTCCTTGTATCTTACTACATGATACATAACGTGATATGATGCTATCAAGATCCAATCTATACTCTGTACTACCAATTTTACTCGCTTCACTTCGCCGCAAGATGGGACTTCCACGATGCAATATACCATATTCCGTCAGATACACGCATGCGAGCTCCAATATAGTCTCTTTTCAATGGTCCGCACGAAATCCCTACCGACCCGATTCCTGTTTCCTGAAATAGTGGCTCCCCGTGCGTTTGGTGACTTGTGAGACGTCAAGTCCGAGTTCGCCCAGGGAACAGGATCAGCGGCAAGGCACGAATTCAAACTCAAATTCCCTTGGAGGAATAAATCCTAAATCATATCTTGACTCCAAATTTCTTCTCACCGCATCTGTTGTGCATCCCATTATTGATTCGTCGTGCTTGAACCATTGCGACTAGTATGCTTCAAACCTTCATTGCCATGAGTTAACTCAAATCAACGGATGCAGCTGGTCGGCAGCACCGATGCCATGGGAACTCATGTTCGAGTTGCTGTGCAGGTCGGGGTGCAACTCTGCGCTCTGTACGCCGTTACTTTCCTTGGCTAGATAAACCTCTCACGGCTCCAAATATAGTACGATTTGTCAAAGACTTGTCCTTGGAAAAGTCGGCGACCGGCTCGGAAATTAGCCACACACCCATGGTCCAACAGAAAACCGAAACATGGCGATTCAAAGCCCATTGTTTCTTCGATCTAGAGGGTGATAGGCCGACAACTTTGCGAAAAAAAATAAAACCAAATCGGACCTGTCGCCTCATGCAGCCGATCACACGAACGGCCCGACTAATAAGACTAGACTAGTCTTGCTAGTTCGATCAGCAATGCCGGGGTTCCTCTGGCTGGGGTTGATTGGACTCGATGGTTTGCTAGCAAATTAGTTGTTTAAGCGAGACTTGAGCCAAGAACCTGGCTGACGAGGTCTACAGTGATCATGATTTTGAATTCTCATAGCTAACGCGGTGCTCGCGATTCTGACCCTGCATGGATCAAACCACGTCAGGATACTCAAAGGCGCTAATCCGTTGCGATGGAAATTGGTGCCTTATGCGTGAAAATTCTGGCTATACTCACGGCACACCGTCACTGACCCTGAGCTCACTGGCTAATAATGATTGTGCCCCTGCTTATCTATGACCTGTTCCTTACAGGCCTGCCCCTCGGTTCTTGGGGCGTGATTGGTGGTCTGATTCGATCAATCTGTTCTGCCCCTTGAGGATCGCCAAGGGTCGAGTTGGCAGCCATATACGAAGGAGGACTATTCGTTAATGAATGCTGTGAACTTAAACCGCAGATCCTTTCCTAATTACGCTCATACCGATGCATGACACGGCACCTATTTGCTTTTTCCTACATCGAATGGACCGGCTTGCGCCTTCCATGCATCTAGTCTATTTATCGTCATAACTCATGGATTCCCTGACGTTACGGAAGACTCCCCATCGAGGCCAAAGTTAGCGGCAGGCCGAATCTAAAGACTGCGACGCCCTTCCCTATTTCCCGTGCAGGCATTCCGGAGTGCAATATCCCTTCTAGTGGACATATACATAGTGGAGACGAGGGCTCTGCATGATTCTTCGGTTCTCTGCTACGTCTAGCCACGTTTCTTGCGCTCTCTTGCGCGTCTGGAGTCTGAATTGACAGCGGATTTTGCTGCTTAAAATTCGGTCGCCCTGTGTGTGAACGGCAGATAATGTGAAATATAACCATCAGGAGATTTTCGCGCAACCTCGAGGCAACTGTAACGATACCCAGTCGGGCCACTCCTGACTTCGGAAATTGCCTCTGATAAGCGTCCCGATATTCAATCGCTCATCGTTTCTACCATAATGCGGGCCTTTCCTACACTTGCCCTGGTGGTCTATCTTGTGTCGGGGTTGTTCGTGTTTGGCGCCTGGGTGCCTTTCGGTGAGCGCAATACGCATGGAGGTCTGGCCATCATACAAGCTCGGGCGACAGACCCGAGCTCGTCGACATTAGCGGATACGACCTCAGCTTCTGAGAGGACAACGGCAAGCGCGACACATCATGCCACAGCGACGGCCAATTCGACGTCAACATCAAGCGCGACGACTGGCGCATCTACGACGGTGGCATCGCTCAATACGTCACCACCGTCAAAAAGTGAGCTCGAATTAGTGCGCTACACTTGCTCTTTAGTATTGACCCGGTATAGATGACACAGACAAGGCTACTCCCGGAGAACTGCCTCTTGAGCCCTTGATTACTCCCGCATTGGGAGTGAGTGGCTTCATTCTCATAGCTAGCGGGGCTTTTCTTGCGTTTATAGGGATTCGGAACTTGCGGTAATTCCAAATTTCCACCAAGGGTTTGGCACGATACTTATCAACTCCTTAGAGTCCAAGTCTTCATGTCAACTGCATTTTTGACCAGTCTGGGGGTCACTGTGAGTAACTGGATACATGATCAGACATCCCAGCATCTCTGACATTCTACCACTTCCAGGTTCTCATTGTCTATGTAATGAATCCGCCCGTTCGTGCCGCAATACAAGGAGCATATCTCGTCGCGGTCTTTTTCACCGGAGTGACCTTTGGAGCCCTCTCAATCGTTTTCAAAGAGCTGAGTGAAGGCCTTGGGTGCCTCCTAGGAGGATTTTGCTGTAGCATGTGGCTCCTCTGCCTGAAGCCAGGCGGCCTCTTGACGGAAACGGATGCAAAAAGTGGATTCATAGGTGCATTTTCGGTGGCATTTTATGCTTTATCATTCAGTCAATACACGCGCCCATATGGGCTGATGGCATCGACCGGTATCTCCGGGGGCACAGCGGTTGCCCTAGGAATTGACTGCTACAGTCGGGCCGGTTTGAAAGAGTTCTGGCTCTACATCTGGGGTAAGATTTGACACAGCACCCTTGTAATTCTGGCGCGTTCTGACACGTCGATTAGCCCTCAACGATGATATCTTTCCTCTTGGCACCGACACCTATCCGGTGACACGTAATATTCGTGTCGAACTTGCGGCAACGGTCATCATTGCTATCCTGGGTGTTGTTTCCCAACTTAGACTATGGCGCGTAATCCGCGAGCGAAGGCATAAGGATGAAGAGATGCGCGCCGAGGAGCAGCGCAAGAAGGAGGAAACGGAAGCCGAAAATTCAAAGCGATTGGAGGAGGACAACATGAAAGAGCGGCTAGAGTGGGAAGCCAAATACGGCAACAATCCCGGACCGAACCTGCCAGAGCTCGCTGGTGATGCCAAATGCCTCGCGGATATTGAGATGGAGAAGGCCGATGCGATGGAGACCCTTTCAAGTTCCTCCGAGGAATCCTACCGGTGCCCTGATTGCCAAGAGCGGGCAGACAATGGCGAATCTGCGTATGCCTCTTCAATTACGTCTGATACAAGCGGAGCGACCGGAGGTAGCCAAACGCGACAAGAAGACGACATGACCAAAAGCTTGGATGGGGATGATTCAAGTCAAACGCTTGAGGACAAAAACGCCGCTCGGGTCAAAAGGTTCGATGGCACACTTGCAGCACAGATGCGTGACGATGAGAGCTCTGATATGACAGCCATCGTCGGCTCAGACGCAGGCTCAGAGCGGGGTTCTGGATGGTCCTGGGACAAGTCGTCCGTAAAGAGCGGTGCGAGGTCCGATTCTCAGGAAGCTCTCGTACCCTCAAAGGACGACTCATCGACTCATGGAAACATGGACGCAAGGAACGACACTGCTTCTGGTAATCCGGCGATTGCGGCAAGTGGTGATGTTGCAGCAAACAACGGCTCAGGTGTAAGGGAGAGCACCGTTGTTAAAGGTCCACCAAGTTCTCACGAGACGTCCTCCTCTCAAGATGATGCCGGGGATAAAATGGACGATCGGAGTGTGTACTCACGAGAAGTGGAGGATCAGAAACTGTCTCCAATGCAAGATATGGATGCAAAACAACCAAGGGAACCCGATAGAGCGCTACAGAAAGACAGCAGAGATGAATCTCCAGCAATGCCTTCCTTACCGCAGACGAATGACGAACCCGTTCAAGAACAAGAAGACCCCCTGCAGCCTGGATCAACAGCAAAGCCGATCGAGGACACCGTCTCAACGAAGAACAAATTACAGGCGGATGTCTCAGCGGATACGAAGCCAGCTCCAGATTATAAAGGTCCTAAGTCTCCCGAAGCCCAAGAACGCAGTCGCTCTTCGGAAGCCGTCAGCTCCTCCATAAAATCCGAGATAAGCGCCGGCAAGCAGAAAACTTCAAAGCCGCAACTCAAGATCAACAGCAAGCCTAAGAAGGAGGAACCGGTCAAATTAGACGCAAAGGCTGTGAAGCACCTACCTCATCGAGCATCGAAGATGGTCCAGAGCTACCGCACCGACGAATGGGCAAAGCACCTAGCGGATGCGGAGATCCCTGAACCGGAGCCCATCGAATTTGTCGAAAACGAAAGGCACGAGGAAAAATGGGAGGCCCAAGAGCCTGCGGCGCCTGTGAATGTCGAAGAGCTGCTGCAAACGCCCTTGAATGCACAGCCGCCACCTGCCGTTGAGCACACCCTAGGGCGCGAGCCGGGCAATGCAAACGAGGGCCATCGGGTGTCCAACGGATCGCAATCCCGTCGAGGATCCAAGGCAAAACGGAGATCATCCCGATCCACCAAGAGGCTTTCGGGTTTGTCTTCTATGCCAGCAAGTAACTTACCCCAGTATCCGCCTGCCGCAGCTCAGCCTCAAGCCCCTCAAGGCCCAACGAATGGGTTTCAGGCCTACGCGAGCGCGCTGCCTCCGATTTCTACCGCTGTTGATCAGCCCCGAGAGGAGACGGAACCGCCCAAACCTCAATGGAAAGGTCCACCGGCCCTCTTGGATGTGCGGGAGGGCCTGATGCGGAGCAGATTATCATCTTTCTCCCTTGGTTCAGATCCCTGGTCTGCGCGCAGTAGTCCGGGGATATCACCAATCGAGACTTCACCACGGCACTCTACTTGCCCGATCATCGAAGAAGCAGACAACCTGCCGCTTTCTCAACGTCGAACCATGCTTCATCAGCAGATCATTCCAATCTCGCAGACACCGTCAGGGCGATGGAACGGCAATGCAGCCGGACCAGCTCCAGTACCGATCCCTGTCCCCGCCCCTTCGAATACACAGGCCACCATGGCTGCGTGGCGGGAGTATGTGCGTGAGGATTTGTACGACAAACGCAATCCGTTGGCAAAGATGAACAATCCCGTCTCCAGCACGGGGGTGGCAGACCGGAATCCCTTCGTCCAGGCCGAGCGAAATGCATCGTCCGTCAAATTCGGCGCCCCGGTCGCGGAAAGCAAACAGCGAGGGGACATGAGCGACCTGCATCGAAACGCTATGCGGCGTATGCAAGCCATGGCCAACCGAAATATGAATGGGAAATGACCAGCCGTACTCCCCTTCTTTGTGATGATACTCCATCGGTCTGCGTCTCGGATCGCTTTATGATTTTAAGCGATGCGACCCCGGTCCCTTTATTGATAATGTCCCTTTGTGTTTCGGAGTTAATTATTGATTATTAAGTTAGGACTTGAGCCTAGCGATGAAAGGGTTGCGACGAACCTACGGGGTAATGTTTTCTATCTAATGGGTAATAGATTGTATGAAGATATCGGGCTTTCCGACTTGGACTGGTGTGGAGAATTGATTTATTTCACTTCTTTGTGGCCCCCCTTCGCGAGACCTCACACCCTTTGTTTCAGTCCTGCTCCCAAGAAATGGGATCGATAGTGTCTCCTTTGACCCATGGGCGGGCGATTTGGATTTCCCCGAAGCTATTGGCGTTAGGGTCGATCCCTTCAATACTAGAGGTAAATTTAGCAGCAACGCCAGGGGGGCCGAACAATCCGCCACGCAGACTACGTAGTTCTGGACTGGCCACTGCCAGTTCGAGGATCACCGACATGACGCAGTCCATGGCTTATTTCTCCTTTGACTGGGGTTGCGATCTTGGCCATCTTGCCTGCGATCTCGCTCCGGATGTCTGACTGTTTTGCGCTTCGGAGATGCACGAAGGTTACATGCATCGTTCGGGATTGACTCTCGATGTATTTATTGATTTAATTTTTGTCTAATAAATGTTAAAAGCTTTCATATCTCAATCAATTCAATGTTCCGTGTCCATGGCAGGGTGTGTGGTATGATGTAATTTGTGTCCTGAAGCCGCAAAGTTGGAGCCTTACTTGTGGGATGGGAGCGGGATGGGGGTTAATAGTGGATTATTATGGCCTTATTATTACTATTATGAATTCTAGGGATTCCCTTGAGTTCCAGGCGTTAGTAGTTCTTTATTTATTTACTCGCGATCCGTCCCAGATCCGTTTGGTTCAATTTTTGGTTTTTCTCCCACCTTTGTTGGATTTTTCGCTTGAACTACGACCATCTGAGGGAGTAGTATATGCGGTTGAACCTGCGAGGTCGATCTATAGAGATCTATGTACTGTACTCCGTACATCTTGAGCGATCCACCGGTATGCATTCATCCGCCCTGGATATGTACGGAGTATCCATGCTGACTCTTCAGGACTGCAGAGCCCCATGCGCCTCAGATAATCAATCAATCAATCAATTGAAGATCGCATTCTCCAACTACGGAATAAAATCCAACTCGAATGTTGCGCTCAGGCCGTCCCGTGACCCCAGTGCCCCTTTCTGCCCGTCGACCAACGACTCCCGTTCTGCCTGCCACCTCCGCCTTCAGGCACCTTCTCCCTCTTTTCCCTCTTCGCCTTCGCTTTCTTCCATCACGGCGTCCCCTCGTCCGCCTCGTCTCCCGATTCTCGCCCCGTCGGCTCCCCCCTCGGAAACGGCGTCCTTCACGGCCTCCCATACTCACCCGTCTCCATCGTCCGAGGCTGAAGTATATTCCACCACTTGCTCTCGCTTCTCCTCGCGTGGCTACCGCATTCCGCGGCGTTCGTTCGAGGCCCACCGGCCTGCATTTTCCTCGGCCGATCGCTCCTCCGCGGCGCAGAGTTCCTCTCGATCCCTGCCACGGTCAAGGAACTCGTCTTGGATACCCCCCGCGATTCTACGCCCGCCTTCCGTGCGACTGGCCAACCCCGTCAACCACGTCCCGCGAGTCACCCCTATCGCCGTCCCTCACCCGCTCCAGATCTCGGACGAAAACCTTCCCCTCGAAGCGCATCGAGACGCCTATCCACTTCTCTCCATTCCCGAGCAACGTCGCAGTCGACTGACCCCCTCCCCGAATAGCTTGGTGGTCGAACATAGTCAGGGGGAAATCGAGAGTGGCCGCTCGAGTATCGCAGTGCCTCGAGGGCAGAGGCGCAGTGGCGCGTTTGACGACCGCTGGCTTTCTCAGGAGATGTCCGACCCGACGACTAGGACGGAAAGCCGGGGGGCAAGCAGTCTTCGTCCACCCGACCGGGCCCATCTTGGACTCGATACCGCCGGTCCACGAGGCCCCTACGATGACGAAAGACCTCGACATGTACAATCGCAGACTTCCCTACGGTCCCAGTCGCAGATCGCCTCGGTTCCTTCCAACAACATCCCTCCCACTCGCGGCGAACCAGAAGTGGCAGAAGAACTAGCCTGGGGTCCTGCCCATCCATGTTATCCTCACATCAACTCTCACGTCCCGATCGGCTCCAATGAATTTATGACAACGCGACTCATTCGTATCCGACGCGATTGGATGGTCAAGGGGGACCTGGCGCCAACCTTCTCGAATCTTTACCCCGAAATCTTGGATCCGTTGCTACCGGAGCAAGAGTTTCGCAAGGTGATCGCGACCGTGAACGAGGAACTCACCAAAGCGTTCGACCCGTTCAGTTTTCGAAATTGGCTGGACGGCGCACTGGGATTGCTCACGGGCTGGCTGTGGGAGGACATTGGTGCGCCGGCTATCAAGGGTCACCTCCGACGCGTGGAAGACTGGATCGAGAAGTGGAACCGAGAAGTCGGTGCCAAGGACGGAGTGCACATATGGAGTCTTCGACGGACGGCCTACATGTCCCTGGATATCCAGATTCCTGATCCCAAGGTCGGTATCATTCATAGCGAAGTCGGGACGTCCATTCCGGGGACCAGGCCGAGCAGCGGGGTTTAAGCCTGCCTTGGGTCCTTTTTACTTTTCTTCTTCTTTTCTTCTTTTCTTCTTTTCTTCTTTTCTTCTTTTCTTCTTTTCTTCTTCTTTTCTTCTTCTTTTCTTCTTCTTTTCTTCTTCTTTTCTTCTTCTTCTTCCTCTTCATTATTTTTTGTTCCTATTGGATTGTATTATCTTCGTCTTTTACTCTTTTTTAATTCCTTCTTTCCCACCCGAAGTGGCAGCTGCATGGATTCTAGCGAACTTTGGATGTGACTCTGGATTCCCCCTTTTTTCTTGTCGCCTTGACTTTACGATATCCATGTCCGTGTTTTCAGACTGTTGATACCATTCGTTTTGACCTTGGGAGTGGTGTGCGCGACCCATTGTTCTCTTTTTATTTTTTTTTGTTGATATCTAGCTAATCTGCCGTGCCCGACTGTTGTCTGTTGTCTATAAATCCAGTCTGGGGCGGATGTGTTGTGGATAAATTTGAATACGGGGTGTGATTTAAACGGAGGAGCCCGGGGATGGTTAAGAGCAGAATTAGACTAATATTATTAAGAGTCTTGCATTGTTTTGACCGTAGTTAAGGTACTGAGTAACTATTAACTCTACAGTACTTGCAGTCCCACCCGCCCCGAAGCAGCAGCTCCGCGCTGGACCTCCGACGGCCCTTCCACCGTCTCCTTTCCCCTTTCCTCTTCACTCCTTGTTCCTTTCTTCTCCCCTCACACCCCTCTCCCCCTCCCCCGCCTTCTCCTCGCCATGCTCTCTGGGATTCTCGTTTTCAACCAAAAGGGCGAGAATCTTATCTTCCGCGCCTTCCGCAATGACTGCCGCCCGCGCCTCGCCGATATCTTCCGCATTCAGGTCATCTCCAACCCCCAAGTCCGCTCACCCATTTTGACGCTGGGATCCACGACCTTCAGCCATGTGAAGCACGAGAATATTTATCTGGTAGCGGTGACCAAAAGCAACGCCAATGCGGCGCTTGTGTTCGAATTTTTGTACCGGCTGATCATGCTGGGAAAGAGTTACTTTGGGAAATTTGACGAGGAAGCGGTTAAGAACAATTTTGTGCTGGTGTATGAGTTGCTGGATGGTGAGTTATGGCTTCCGGATCGTTATGGGCTTTCCTTTGCACTCTGCCAAAATCTTGCAGGGCAACAGGCAGAGTCTGACCATTTTAGAAATTCTTGATTTCGGATACCCCCAGAACACGGAGACGGACACCCTGAAGATGTACATCACGACCGAGGGAGTCAAATCCGCCATTGCCAACTCGCCGACCGACTCCAGCCGGATCACCATGCAGGCCACGGGCGCGCTCTCGTGGCGTCGCTCCGACATCAAATACCGCAAGAACGAAGCCTTCGTGGACGTGATCGAAGACGTCAACCTCCTCATGTCGGCCACCGGTACCGTGCTACGCGCCGACGTTAACGGTCAGATTGTGATGCGGGCATACCTCTCCGGCACTCCGGAGTGCAAGTTCGGCCTTAACGACCGCCTTCTTCTCGACGGCGATGGGGCCAGTACGTCGCCTGCGGGCAACCGCGACGGCGCTATGAAGGCGACGCGCGCCGCGGCGGGGTCGGTGACTTTGGAGGACTGTCAGTTCCACCAGTGTGTGAAGTTGGGTCGCTTCGATGCGGATCGGATCATTTCCTTCGTGCCGCCGGACGGCGAGTTCGAGCTCATGCGGTACCGCGCCACGGAGAACGTCAACCTTCCGTTCAAAGTGCACCCGATCGTGCGCGAGGTCGGCACGACGAAGGTGGAATATAGCGTGGCGATCAAGGCAAACTACAGTCCCAAGCTCTTCGCGACGAACGTGGTTATCCGTATCCCCACGCCGCTCAACACTGCCAAGACCACGGAGCGCACCAGCCAGGGCCGTGCCAAATACGAGCCTGAGCATAACAACATCGTCTGGAAGATCGCGCGGTTTTCCGGAGGCAGCGAGTACGTGCTCACGGCCGAGGCGACGCTGACCAGCATGACACATCAGAAGGCGTGGAGCCGACCGCCGCTCAGCCTGTCGTTCAGCCTGCTCATGTTCACGAGTAGCGGGTTGCTGGTGCGGTACCTCAAGGTGTTTGAGAAGAGCAACTACAGCAGTGTCAAGTGGGTGCGATACATGACTCGCGCGGGAAGTTATGAAATTCGGTAAGTCTACTCACGTTGCTGCCCCGGTGCATTTGATAGATGCTAACGAAAATCTCTACAGATTCTAGACAGCTGGTCTACTGCAGGCAGGGTAGCCGGTTCTATTTGAATTCCTGATATCTATCTTACCTTACCATTACCATGAGCTCGGTGTTTGGCGTTC